ATAAGGAAAACCAATGACCCCCCGGGCGGGGCCGATTTTGACCCTAGGGCTATCATTTGAACAATCTGGGTAGAAGTCTACCAGACAATGCCTTATGCAAAATATCTAAACTCTAGGCCTTTTGGGTCTTTACAAGAAGGGTATTTTTAAGGTTTTTACTATATGTACATATAGTGAAAATCAATGACCCCCGGGGCGGGGCCGATTTTGACCCCAGGGCTATCATTTAAACAATCTTGGTAAGGGTCTACCAGACAATGCCTTATGCAAAATATCAAAGCTCTAGGCCTTTTGGGTCTTTACAAAGAAGGTATTTTAAGGTTTTACTATATGTACATATAGTGAAAATCAATGACCCCCGGGGCAGGGCCGATTTTGACCCCAGGGCTATAATTTGAACAATCTTGGTAGAGGTCTACCAGACAATGCTTTATGCAAAGTGTCTAAGCTCTAGGCCTTTTGGGTCTTTACAAGAAGATTTTTTAAATTTATTCTTATAATTCCTTTTGGTTGCCATGGCAACCAGATTTCTGCATGGAATGAAATTCTTTGAACAACTTTGGAAGCCCTTCACCCAAGGATCAATCCTGCCAAGTTTGGTTGAAATTGGACCAGTGGTTTTTCACAAGAAGATTTTTGAAGTTCACTATATAATCTATATAACACACACACACACACACAAACAAACAAACACACACACACACGCACACACAGGTGAATCGCTATATGCCACCGCATCGCAGATGCTGCGGTGGCATAAAAATTGATAGGTTAACCAATAATACATCCATCTATACCGCCGAGCTCCTTGCTATTAGAAATGCTATGTGCTGGATTCATGACAGTAATATAATAAAAGCTGTCATCTTCTCTGACTCACTTTCATCACTGATCTCACTGAAATCCAACAATAGTCAGTCGAGACCAGATTTATTAAACGAAATAATTCTTTTATATAATAAAGTCCTAAACCTAGGAAAACAGGTTACCATAGTTTGGTGTCCAGCACATATAGGGATCTCAGGCAATGAACAGGCAGACAGGGCGGCCAAAATGGGCTTTAAACCTCAACAATGTCACTGAATCAATCTCACTCTCCCCCACTGAGATATATTCCAAAATTAAAAAATATATAGTTTTAATTGTGGCAGGCTGATTTCAATTCCTGCCATGATCAGAGAAAACATATAAATAACTCAGTGGGGCTCAGTCGCCCAATTCAATATTCAAATAATATTAAAATAGATAGGGCCATAACAAGACTGAGGTTGGGCACAACCCTATTACCAGGGGGATTCTGGCCAATATTCAAGAAAATGAGCCCCAATTGTGCCCAATGTGGAGTGAGATTCAATATATCCCACCTATTGCATGAGTGTGACCAGTTCAGGGACCATAGAAATGAACTGCGGTCTGCACTTGGTGCTGTAGGTTTGGGATATAACACACAAAATATACTGAGTCCACCAAAGAAATACTCAGTACACATTTTTTAAAGCTTTAGAGTTGTTTATTCTAAACTGTTGTCTAACAGATAAAATTTTAAACAAATAATAACCCATTTTCACTAATTTATTGAGTGATTGGGGCTTTAATATAATTTTTTTTTGTCCAAATACAACTGTGACCTTGATCCAGCAGTCATATTAAAATATGAAGTCATGATTGGCCTTTAATGTAAAATCCTACTTTTCCTCCCCTCTGACAATAACATAAAGATTCCATTATTTGTATACTTCACTTAATTTATCAAAAGGTGTTAAAGGGACCCAGTTTGCATACTCAGTCCCCCGATACCGGTTCCTTTTTTATGGATTTATAGTTTTGACAATATCAAATATAGTAAAAAATTATCCAAATTTATGATAGTTTTAAAAATATAATAAAATTATTTTATGAAAAGCAGTAAAATTTCTTTTTTAAAATAATATGACCCAGAAAAACCAAAAAATTAAAAACCCCAAATAAAAATTGAAATACCCAAAACTTTTAAAAATTTTTTAAAAAATTAACAAACCCCTTTTTAAGGTTTTAAATTAAAAAAATTTAAAGTACTTTATTGGTTTTTTTAAAAAATTTTTTAGGGGTTGTTTCCCTTTTTCGGGCATTTAAATAGAGGAAAAAATTAAATTTAAACTAAACAAAAAAATTTTCACCAATTTTAAACCCCCCCCAAAAAGGGAAAATTTCTTTTTTACAAATTTTCCACCACTATAATAAATTAAGAGAAATCTTTTAAATTGAGATAATAAAAAAAATTCCCATAAAAATTTCTTTAAATTTTAAAGAAGATATGGCCAATTACCTATGACACTTTAAATTTTATATTTAAAAAACAAAATTTTTCGGGAAAATTTAAGTCAAGGGAAGCAACTCAATTTGGGATTAATGAAGTATTTTTTCCCCAATTTGCTGCTTGATTTTAATTAAAAAAGGGCCAAAAATAAGATAAAAGGGTTTTTATAATATAAATTTATAGGATTTTAAAAAATGTAATTTTAACAAGTTTTAAGATAATTTGAAAATTTGGGATAGGGGGAAAAATAAGAATTATGGGCTAGAAAAGGGTTAAATTTCGGGTTTAATTTTAGGAGTTGTCCCCCAATATTTAAATTTTGGGGTTATTTTTTGGTTTTTTAACTCTTAACCCTTTAATTTATTTTCAATATTAAGGAACTTTATAAAAATGAAACCAAAATTTGGAATTTTAAAAAAATTTTAAATTGGAAAAAGTGTCCCCAATTACTGTAATAAAATGAAAATATATACATAGAACATAATAAATATAACCCTGTCAGAGGGGAAACCAACATTGTACATGAAAATACTGAAATTCTATTTACATCTTTTACCAACCTGGGTGCCAGAGTAGAATTTAAATGTTAAAATAAAATATTTCAATTAGATTTTGATAGGGACAGATATGGGCGGGCTGAACTGAACGTCGTGGACAGGCCGTACCTCAGGGAAACTTGACCCAATGCTGTCCTAATTAAATATTCAACTGTTTTCCATATAGTAGAAATACACATAGGTATGTTTTGGTAATTTGGTATTAAGTTAAATACCTATTCTAATGGTGCTAGTTTAAGGTAATTTGTGGTTTGTCCTTCCTTGGGTACATATTTCCCTCCATGAATAGCTTTAATTGGTATTGTTCTATTTTCATCTAATTATCATTTGGGCTCCAGAGAGAGCCAGTTTTATTAAAGTAGAATATGGTATATCCATATAGGTGTATAAATTTTCCAATTACCTGCCAATGGGTGTTGCCATAATTTACTTTATTGTTTTATTTTGTTCTATTCTTGTGATAATAGCTATGAGCTCCATTAAAAAATTAATTTTTTAAAAGTTGTTAAATAGTGTACAGGTCAGACACTTTTTATTGTACATAATCTATTGTTTCTTTTATTACATGTAATTTAATTTTTAAAAGTGGTCCTAAAAAGTGGCCGTTAAACGGTGAGACAACTATATATTGCTTATTTATTTTTACATTTTTAATACATTTTAATGCATATTTCTTAAATACTGACTGTACACTATCACTTATTTTTATTGTCCCTGGAACATGATCAATCAAAATTGGGTTGTGTGGCTACATGATACCTACAATGTCACATAAAGACTCCATTTTATACCTCTTATCTATATTTTTATCCCTTGTAAATAATAAACAGCTGGTCTGTTTGTAAATATATAATATATAATATATCTTCTTAATTTTTATTCATTCTTATATAGGTACAATCTATAACATACTATATGTTAAAATTGAGCCCTATTTCAATAATATGGAGCAAAAGGCTATATAGGGCTCAATCAAGTATGAAGTCTTCTTTTATATGTTAATAAGAGGACTTCATCACATTAAGGATGTCCTATTCTATTTTAAAACTAGCATAACAAGTCCCTATGGACTACAATGCTGTTTTTTTTTTCTAAAGACAACCTTAATGTTAGCAAAGACTCCATATCAGATTGTACCCATATAAACAAATATTTTATAAAACAGTTTTTTACTGTGATCTACTCAATGACAAAAATGGAGCATACGTTAATTCATTGAGTAAAAAGTATTAGGAGTTTTTTTTTTTCTAAAAGGGAGACTATCAATTTTAGGGAACCAAGCAAGTTATTAATTGCCTTTTAAGGGGATAATTTTTCTATTCTCCCCCCCCTTATTTTTTTTTTAGGTCTATAGGAAAAGTCTAGAATTAAAAATAATTTGAATATTTTTGTTAAATTTTTAAAGATCATTTTTACCAAATTTATCAGTACTTTCCCCCCCTGTTTTTAAAAAATTTTTAAAAAGGGGGGTTTGTGGTTTGGGCTCCAAAAGAAACCCGTTGTTATTTTTTAGCATTTTTTGGGAGACGGGGCAAAATGTCTACAGAGACCACGTGGGGCTAAAACCACAAAATTCTGAAACTAAGCTCCAAAAACGGGGTAGTAAATGCGCCAATGAAATTGTTTAAAAAAACAAAAATCATATCTTATCCCTAATTAGCCATACAAATCACACCATTTTTCGGCCAATCAAAATTTACCTACTAAACGTGGTTCGGCGCTATCTGTCAAAATCGTTTCTGCACTGTTCTCCCTACGAAAAGTAAATTATTAAATGATGGCCAATTGTAAAAAACTATGTTCTCGGGCGTGTTGCTAAGGTTTATACTTATAAACCTTCTCATGTGCTAAATAAAGTTTATAAAAAACTAAGATATACAAATCTAACTGTGTTGGTCTGTTATAGAAGGCGTACGCGTATAAGCGTCTTCCCCCCTTTTAATATTTGTTTTAACATTATAAATATGATTTGCAATAAATGAAGCTATCATTAAACATAATTATTAGGGGTTTTTTTTTGTTCCCTATATAGAAGACGTCCGCGTATAAGCGTCTTCCCCCCTTTTTAATTTAAGTTTAAATTTTAAATACAGCTTTTTAATCTTAGTGTGGGATGTAATCCCACCGTTTTCCGGCCCCATTCAGTGCAATTATTTTGCATGGTTGGGGCAGGAAATATTGTACTCACTAGTCACATATGCAGATATTAACTAAATAAAGTGTTTTCCCTTTAATAAATGAAGCATATGCTCGCCCATATGGTTTTTAACCGGTGGCGAGGGTAAATAAACTCAACACACACACAAATGCTTTTAGCCATAATATACATTTGACATAAGGTGACAAATGACACGAGAAATCATTAGCAATCAAATATTTTCTGCATAGAGAAGCTTACACAATAAATAAACTAGTTTGACATAGGTAAATTTAAATCGATACCAATATAATAATTATCAAATTTCTAAACTATTCCTTAATTTATTTGAAAAAAATATATATTTTGATAAGTTTAACAATTGTCTTTCATTATCTGTGGACATCAGTCTATCGAATTTATTAAGAGTTGGCCACCTACAAAAATATGGTTTGAAGTATTTTTTCTTTATTTCTCGATATATTGGGCAGACAAGAAGAAAATGATACTCATCTTCAATTATATTATCTTGGTTGCAAAATTTACATATTCTATTAGTTCTTTCTATATTAAGATATCTACCTCTTTCTATTTCTAAATTATGCGAAGATAATCTAAATCTACTTAAGGCAATCCGAAATTTCCTTTCACTTATTGAATTTAAATATGTTTCAAAGTTAAAAGATTGTTTAAACCTACAGTAAGTAAGTAAACGTTGTGAATTGTTTATGTTTGCATACCAAGCTTGATAATAATTATCTAATATCCTTTGTTTAATTTCTAAAAATGTAAAATTTCCATTATCTTGATTTATCCATTATTTGAAAGTCCTAGATTGTTTAACATTGTTTTTATATGAAAGGCCCAATTTGAATTATTGTATGTTATATTATTATTGGCATCATTCTTAAGCATGATATAAATTTGTTTTTGCAAAGAGTTGTCTGATTTCAGTAAATGGATCCAATATCTTATCATATTTATCTTTCTAAAAATAATCATAGGAACTCTCCCTAATTCTCCGTAGAGACCAGTAGCATTAGTTGATTTATTAACATATAAAAGTTTTCGACAGAATTTTGTATGAATAAGTTCTATATCTGTTCCTGCATTCATTCCCCAGACTTCTGAACAGTAGTTTAGTACAGTAGCAACTAGCGAATCAAACAATTTACTTTTTTCACTCGTAGAAAAATCGTACTTATCAAAAATTGAAAATAGTTTATGTAAAGATTTAGATGCATGTTCTGCAATACATTTTTGGGTTCTATTCCAATTTGCATTTTTGAAAAAATGTACGCCTAAATATTTAAAAGAAGTAACATTTTCTAGTAGAGTATTATAAAGGTAAAAATCATAGTTTGTATGTCTACTGCCTTTTTCAAAAATCATAACCTTAGTCTTTGAAGTATTTATTTTTAGACCCCATGTATTACAATATATTTCAATATCATTTATCATTGATTGTAAGGATTCTGGTGATGTTGCAAATAACACCTGATCATCTGCGTATAAAATTAAAAATAAAATTAAATCTTCGTATGTGAATAATCCATCTAGATTAGTATTTATATTGTCAACAATATCATTTACGAATTAAATAATTGCATAATACACAAATATCGCACCAGAGAGGGTCACAAGTTGCGCTAACATACTCTAACAACATTTTATGACCCAAGTGACATCTGACCAATTAAAAAGTTGCTGATTAATATCAGTTTATTAGCATCCTGTGATAATAAATTGGCGTCCGCGCCGAAGCGCGGCGCCCCTTTATGGAATGAAATCAGATTTTGTGAAAGGGCGACAGCAACTTCTCGAGCCTGTTAGTCGGACATAAGAAAAGCCGATCATTCCAATCGGTATGAGGTTGCTAAAAATGAAATGTCGCGATATGTACAATGAATAGCGAACTGGAGGATTTCGCAATGCAAACATTTTCAAATGCAATTTCCGTCTCTTCGGTTTTTTTTTATTTATCATTTTGTAGTACACAGTGGGTTATCATGCCGGCTCGCCACGGCGAGCCGGTATTACGTTAGGATTTTACTGAGAAACAACCTAAAACTCCGAAGCCATCCAAAAATTTAATCGAAGCTTGGCTTCCAGCTTTCTACAAAATTTATCTATCAGGGCTAGGATCCAAAATTATTTAGCCAATCAAATTTAATCTTACATAGCGTCAAAAAACCTTCAATTTTCACGCCATTTTTAAAAATCAGCAAGTATTGTTTTGAGCGCAAAGATATAATGATGATTAAAATGTTTGTCTTTATGAATTCTTTTCAATAAATCATATTTACACTGACTTTTGATTTAGCGATTTCACCTGTTTTCTCTGTAGTAAGTTTTCGTTTGGTTAATTAACATAAGTGTACATCTGGTTCTGTGCATTTTTTATTTTTCCTTTTTTCCGGTCATTTTATCCTTTCCGGTATTCAGTGTATGTATTTACTGGCCGGGATCCGGGATCGTATAAGATATTGAGGAAAAACCTAATGAACTATATTTGTTTTGATTGTTGTCGTAATGAAAGGCCATTAAACGTTAAATTTTTTTATTGTATATAATGAACGTTAAATCAATTTAACTTAGAATATAGATATATTTAGAGCTATTTATTAACAAACTTAAAATGCGGAAATCACAATACTTATAATTATATGCCTAATTAATTGGAAAAATCAAAGACTATATATATATATATATATAGTTATTCAAAAATAAGACTATCTATTTACTATCATATCAACTAATGACTACACAGATTTTTTTATTTTAGTATAACTAACTATTGAAGATGCTAGCTAGAGTTTTAGGGATTTTATCATCATGAATATACAAAAATTGAGCTACCAACATTATATATTAGCTGTTCAGACTACACAGGTATGTAGGTCAGTCTGGCTCTATACTGGCAGCATAGACTAGTCACTTTAGGCTCCAGAAAGGTAACCATTTTAGTAGTTTCTAATAACCCTTTACAAAATTCTTCCAAAATTACATTTATCACATATCTGTGCCACTTGTGTGACTATGTAAAAACTGTGTATATATTTACATGACATCATTTGCATTATACAAACATAGTATAATGATATGTTAAGTGTTAGCATCACACAACAGGCATGTAGATGAAAAAGACAGTAAACAGCATTTATTTCGGATATGTAATAAATTGAATATTATATTCACGTAGCTTCATTGCTAAATTTAATGAACTCCATGAATAAAATATTATTATGCTTGCATAATATATTTTTATTTAACTCCTTCAATAAATTCGGTATTCAACCTACACTCATTCTATACCTCTTTATCTAGATTCTTTTACCTAATTATCTTGTAAACTGTATTGTCTTTAGTGTAAATTAATGCTTTTTCTCCTCTTTTTATATATTTATCTATCCTTTCTAATGGCAATCTAATTTTTGTAGTTGATCCATGAATAAAATATTATTATGCTTGCATAATATATTTTTATTTAACTCCTTCAATAAATTCGGTATTCAACCTACACTCATTCTATACCTCTTTATCTAGATTCTTTTACCTAATTATCTTGTAAACTGTATTGTCTTTAGTGTAAATTAATGCTTTTTCTCCTCTTTTTATATATTTATCTATCCTTTCTAATGGCAATCTAATTTTTGTAGTTGATTGGTCTTCTATAGAAATATGATGGCAATAGCTCATTTTACATCATACATTCAGAATATATGCAAGAAAACTTGAATATTGACCCCAAAAATGGTTGCCACTTTTGGCAAGGGAGGTAAATATTGTAAAAATCTGGAACTATCTATACTGCATACATTAAGAATACATGCAAGAAATAACTTTCTTTTTGCATCTAATTCGGGTTATATAACAAGGTCTTGACCAAATCATGTGTACAGTTAATTCTTGAAAAATAGGGAACATCAAATCATATAATTAACAAACCTTGCTGATGATAAATCTAAAATTTCAAAAGTTTTTCTTTTTTGAAAGTGATATCGTTTAATCTGCTATTAAGTCATTTTAGAAATTATTAAGGTCTGTTAATAAACTTAGGAAATAACCATGCCACAATATTAAATTAATATCAAGTTTGGTGAAAATCATTCCACAAATTCAAGAGGAGATATGGACAAAGTTTATCTTTCTTTTTTTCTTTTTTCATTTTTGTCGCCCATTTAAAAAAAAAACCTAAAAAATATAAGGTACACCAAAACATGCTTAATGCCAAGTTTGACAAAGATTCATTCATTGGTGCATAGGATCTTACACTATCAAATAAACTCAAAAAGGGCCACCAAATACTATTCAAACTCCGGAAGTATGGGAAGGGATGTTTGAAATTTTTTAGATTTGTCACTTTGCCGTTTGTATGGGTGAAATCTCTCATTAACGCCACCTTCACCCTGCCTCTCACCCTGTAAGGCCCTTCTTGTTTGTTCAGATTTGAACCGCAAATTTGACTGCAAAATATTCTTCAGTTCAGGGCTTATTGTATATTGTGTATGATCTGGTGGCTTCTGGGGGATTGACTTATAAGGATATAGACTTGGCAGAGTATTTGACCGATCATTTGGTTGTATACCAACCGTGGCATTGCCATTTCCAGAAGCATTACCAACAGAAACAATACCATTATTAGTCAATGCATCGGAATTATCAACAAGAGCATTGCCTATACCAAACAAATCATTGGCATTACCAAACAAATCATTACTTAGGCAAACATTATTTTGCTTTGACATAGAGTTGCTTTTAGCAACTGAAACAATGACAGGTTCTAAAGAAGTCTTGCTTTCACCAACAGCCTTTAAACTGTCATCAAGTTCCATTCTTTCTTCTTCATTGATTTGGCCCTCCACTTCTGTTAAACAGTTGTTTTTGTTTTCAGCTTTTTTGTCGGGAAAGGCAATATCATCAGTAGGAATATAAGGTTTTTGGTTTGAACCATTATCCGATTGTAAGTTTTCTTTCCATATAACACCAACATCTGACTCGCCAATGAATTCTGAAAACAAGAAAAAAGTATAGTTCTTATTTATGTACAAGCTTAAGTATACAGATGACTTGTTCCTTATCTTCCTTATCTATATACTGTATCTATTTACATCAAATTTCAAGTTAGTGTCAGACACTGGATCTATGGAGAGAGAAAATTTGTCGAAAAAAAGGGGCATTATTCTGTCAAAATGCTTGATACAGTTACCTCCTCCTGTCTACAGGTTTGGGTCATGATGGTGAACAATAGTGCAAAAGTTTCAAAGCCATATGTCAATGGACTTTGAAAATATTTGAGGTATTACCAAAACTTTAATGAAAATTGTAAGTCGGAAAAAGGGGCATAATTCTGAAAAAGGGGCATAATTCTGTCAAAATGCTTGATACAGTTACCTCCTCCTGTCTACAGGTTGGGGTCATAATGGTGAACAAGTGTGCAAAGTTTCAAAGCCATATGTCAATGGACTTTGAAAATATTTGAGGTATTACAAAAAACTTTAACATAAGTGGTTACGCCGACACGGATGCCAACGCTCAGGTGACTACAATAGCTCTACTTATTCTTATCAAATAGTTGAGCTAAAAATGGTGATAAATACTGCAAAATCAGTCATTAATCACTTATAACTTGTAATTTATTACTTAATTTTTTAACTTTTTACTTTTTCTTAAAATATTAGTACATTTCTCTAAAGTCTGATTTTCTTAAAAGCTCATCTGGAGGCATGCACTAAATAGCATATATTAATTTGGATAGCTGTTTTGATGGGTTTAGAGCCAATTTTGAATTGTCATTAGACTTTTCAACACAAGTGGTTTGAAAGTGAAACAAAGGGTATTAGGCATGATTATGTTAATCGCATTGTCACATTAAAAAAATATGACTATGATTTACAGTTTAAAATGTACAATTTTTTTTAAATGAAATGGAAACAACAAACATAACAAACCTTCAAGAGTCTTTGACACTGGAATAGGGGTGAGTTCAATGCCTTCTGGTGTCTTTAACCTGAGAAATTTAGAAATCACATATCATTTAGAAACAGTTTTGTGGATTAAACATGTTCATTACTAGTAATTTTGTTTGCTTGTAAAGCCATTTCTTTTTTAAACACGCTCAACTTTTTTTTATTTCTCAAGACAAACAGATCAGCGGGGAAAAAAAGGACCAACAAAATCATGAAAAGATATTTCAAGTCCTGTCATATCATTAACGTCAGTAGAATCCCTTTGAGGAACGTTTCTAGTCTTCAACCACCTGTAAAAAGCTTAACAGTTTGGCCACTTGACCTGAAAACTTATATTAGCATTATATAAGTGCATGTATTAGCATTGCCAAAAATACGTAGCAGTCATTTAATTTTAAAGGGCAATATTCCTATATAGTCTCAGTGTAAAATGGCAATCATTTTCATATTCAAGACCTTCAGTTTTGACTTATAGAGCCACAAAGGCAACCATCCTAGTAACTTCGAGCAAAAACCAGACCTGGGGTAATCACTAATCGTAATCATCAATTTTTTAATTGATTACATGATTACACTATAATCATCATGTAATTGATTACCTTGCTCAAAATTGATTACATTAATTGTAATTAATCAATTACAGCTTAAATTCAGTCTGTTATTATGATTACAATTTGATTGATGTTGATTACTTTCAGATTTTATATGAAACTATTGAAATCCAAATGATTTATTTCACATGTTACAGTTTAACTAAGGTATTAAACTATCAAGTGAGACATTTTAAAACATCACTCACAATGAAGAAATAAATTTTAATCCAAACAGTTAACCAAATTCTAACTAAAAGATAGACATTATTGTTTGGCTGGTATTCTAACCAAACTGTCAAATCATTGGATTTATGATGTCTTTGAATTTCCTAAAGAAACATCTTGAAATGTGACAGCATAGTGCAAATTGGAATCCCGGACAATCCCCCTCCCGGACGATTCCCCTTCCATATTATTTTCACAACCCGGACATTTCCCCTCTCGTTATTTTAATAGGGTGGACTTTTCCCCTCCCATTAATTTTACAGGACGGACAATTCCCCTCCCGTTATTTTAGCAGAGCGGACAATTCCCCTCCCGTTTTTTTCACAGAGCGGAATGTGACATTATACGGCCCTTAAACATAACCGCCACTGTGTATAAAAAAATCTATAACCATTCTTATTAAAGATGACAGTTTTTTACTGTTAACAACAAACTGTTAAAGATCGGAACTTTTAACAAATCATTATTCACAAAAATGTGACATTATAGCCGCCTTTAATCATTGCCGCCGCTGCTTAAGATAAACAAACTGTCGATAAAAAATCTTAATCAATGCTGCCCTTAATTAAATGTGTCCTTGATTGCAAAACCAATTATTTACAATTATTTTACCGCTGCAGAAATCACGGTGAATATCCATATCGGTACCCTCTTTGTGAAATCTGCTCAAACGGTACCCTCTTTGAAGTATGACACGTAGAAAAGATGTATACCACGGAACACTATAACATGTATAATGTTTTATTAAAATGTGCTAATTTGTATGTGCCCGTTTTTCATGTACTGCAAACTTCACAATAAGCTACAAAAAATCGACATGTCTCTGCCTTTTAAAATAAACAATTTTTAACATATATATGTTCAACAGCCACGGGAGGGAAATTGTCCGCTCTGACAACAGCGGGAGGGGAATTGTCCACTCTGCTAAAAACATGAGGGAATTGTCCGCCTGTAAAAATTACGGGAGGGGAATTGTCCGCCGTAAAAAAATAACGGGAGGGGAAATGTCCGGGTTGTGAAAAAACATTCAAATTTACTGGGAGGGGAATCGTCCGGGAGGGGAATTGTCCGGATACCTGCAAATTGTGCCCTAGGAAGAAAAATGGATACACTAAGTCACATTCAAATTTCAATACCCATATAAAGGTATGTTAAATTTGATAACTTCTTTACTTTGTATATTCTAGAGTTTATGTCGGATGCATATTACCATATTTTAATTATATGCAACAGTTATTTTGTAAGGTGATAGACAATGTGTTTATATTATAATGGATATTGTTGTACCATTGAAGTGTTTGTACAAAAATTGATAATTTCTTTGTAAAGTCTATTGTCTCTTTGAATTCCCATACAAAAATTTTTATTGTTTTACACACCTGTTTTAACACCTATATACAGCATACTGTACAAGTGACACTTTTCAAAATTTCTGTTGCAGAGAGTTCATTATGAAACCTACACCAAGAAGACTGAGGACCATTCTTGCATCATCGGCCCCTGTAGAGCGTTTGTTTAGTATTGCGGGTAAAATTTTCCGTCCTGATAGATGCAGTCTGACTGAAAGACGGTTTCATGAACTTATGATGCTAAAGTGCAATGCTAAAATATGATGAAGTGATGTGACAGTAACTAAAAGTGAATGTCAGACATAATCCCCTTCGGACAAAATCCCCTTCACCTACCCGGACAAAATCCCCTTCATGGGTGGACATAATCCCCTTCAAATTTTTGCAAGGCTGGACAAAATCCCCTTCACTACCCGGACAAAATCCCCTTTTTTCATAGGTTTCTAATGTATTATTATGCTCCATAAAAATTGATGAATAATGTATTATTATACTCCCTAAAAATTGATAAATAATGAACTTTTGTTTTTTTATTTATAATTATGCATCAATAGTTAACCTTTATTTAGTTTAGAAGTTTTCATTAATATTATGGTAAATTATCAACTGCATAACACATATTTGATTTGGCAATTTCTTTAATTATTTTAAACTGATTAGTATGAAAAACATTTTTATTAGCCAATAATTGTTTCATTGATTGTTTAAGTTGATAATTCTAATTGATATATACTATCCATTGTTACAATTTCTATTGATGAAAGAGTGATAATTAAATCAAACCAAGATCACTGCACTACTCGATTGATTGTTATGAATGCTTTAACAAAGCAATTTCAATGTGATTTAAATGTTGTTAATTGAATGTGCTTTTCTGCTGAAATATTTTCTACTTATTTATACATTAAGATATTTACTACACAGCATAATGCAGTATGTCGCTCTCATACCCACTTTATAAACCGAAAATTCCTCTGAGGGGGATTTTGTCCTAGGTAGCAATTTTATGAAGGGGATTTTGTCCACTTCAAAATTTCACACATGAAGGGGATTATGTCCACCCACGAAGGGGATTATGTCCGGATATACAAAAATACATGAAGGGGATTTTGTCCGAAGGGGATTATGTCCGTACACCACTAAAAGTGTGTTAAATTGATGACTGTTGATGACCTGGAAATCCTTTGTGTATATAATGTATATATTAAATAGCATGAAGAAACTTTTGTTTATTGTTATACATTGGATGTAATCAATTATCATCAATTACTTCCTTAAAGTAATTGTAATTTAATTGATTACAGAGGCAAGTCTGAGTAATCAATTGTAATCAATTACAATAAAATCTGAAAGTAATTGTAATAGATCAATTACTGATCAATGTAATCATCCCCAGGTCTGGCAAAAACAATTTGACATATAAAAGGGACAATTAGCCTTTAAACACTTGCATAAAAAATAAACCTGCTGTTCTTGTAAGATTAGCATTAAATAAATCATATTTATTACTACTATTGTATTACTGTACCTTGGAAGTTTATTTTCAGTCTCATTGAATGTTACCATGTCATTATTAATTGTCTCAATCAAATCGAAGTCTAAAACAAAAACAGAGAATCACACTACACATAAGACATTCCAAAATAAGTTTACATTTTAATAAACTAGTGGTAATGGGTAACAGTGGCCATAAGGTGTCTCCCTCTCAACCCAATGATCATGGGTTTGAGCCCTACTCGAGTCACAACTATGTTTCTACATGTTTCTAAAATAATCACCAGTACTGGTTTGTTCCAGAAAGCAAATTTGAATGTTAATTTAAGTTGTGATAACTTGTTTCACATTTGACTTATAAATAACCTTCCACTAATTTAGATGAAAGTAAACCACTTGACTCAAAGAAGTAGGGGTGTTTAACATTTCATAACTTATTCATTAATATAATTATCAGACTAAAATTATCAAAAGTGATAATCAGATTTATCGCATGCAACTTTATAAAAACGGTATTGCATGACCGTGCATATACTTTTGACATGATGTCAGTTGCAATTTACAAACATAGGGTAAAGATGCCCTAAAGGATAATGTCACACTATAAGTGCATCATTGAATAAGCCATTCTTTTTTTATTAAAATTGTTCAATAAATTCAGTATTCATACAATATCCTCTTATTTATTTGGTACATAACATCCAAAGAAAAGCCAGCTGACATTGTAAAGAGCAAGTAATAGCAGGTATGTATTGTTATGGTTGAGTGCACAAGTTTATAATCATAAGCACAACTTCGGACAACTATATCAGAAAATTTACTCTTTGGCTTTGCGGTCTAGAGCTTTATTAATTTTGCTTGTAAGCAGGAGGTTGAAAGTTCGAATCCAGCCACGGTAGAATTTTTCTGAAGCATTTGCATTTTTCTGTTACAAACTAAAAATGTTCACAAATGTTTACATAGATCTTTGTGATACACTTTAAGTAGTAAAGGCTACATTAAATCAAACAGAGACTTTCTCTTACCATCTCTGATTTGAAGAATGTCGCCACATAGCTCATTGTCTGATTCAGAGAATTCTTCCGACTTGTCAAGATTGTCTGCTTTCTCTATCTCCAGTAAGACGTCATCTTTCAATGTCTTTCCCTCTTCTTTTGTTCTCAGTATATTTCCAGAAAATTGCTACAAAAATCCAAAGTACTTACATTGTATTATGAAATTTGAAAAAGAAATAAAATCAACATGTATTATTCATAATCCAATCCTGGAGCTCACACAATATAACATCACTACAGACTTAGAATGAATATTTGACTTTCAGTCACATGGACATTTTGAAGGCCATATTTGCTGCAGAAAACTGACCTTTGGTGTCCAGGAGTAAAATCATTTTTCGCAGAAAGCAGCGATGAAATTAAAAGCGCTGAAAATATTTTATAGCATTAGAGTATTCATAATCTCTTGCGAGAAAAAAAATCTTTATAACTAATATAAGCTATTTTCAGAATGTGCAGTTCCCTTTATAATAATGTATATCAAATCTGATGACAAAAGATATCGAACAAAAATGAAAAAAATTCACTTAGAACACTTCATTATACAATTTGTCAATTATATCCATTTGTTGCTGTTGTCTTGTTTTTTTGCATGTTGTTTAATAATATAGTGAAATACCACCTAACAACCACTGCACAAATAGAACCACTCCTAGTGCTAGTTAAAACACTTCATGTGGTAAACCATTTCGATGGTAATCAGACCTTGGGATGATAACATTAATCAGTAATTGATTTAATTACAATTACTTTCAGATTTTATTGTAATTGACTATGATTGATTACTCAGACTTGCCTCTGTAATTTAAATAAATTTAAGAAAGTAATTGATTGATAACTGATTACATTCAATTTATAACTGTAAAACAAAATGTGAAATAAAGATATCTTTTGAATTTAAATAGTTTCCTGTTAAATCGGATTGTAATCAATGTCAATCAAATTGCATTCATAATTACTGATGGAATTTAAGCTGTAATTGATTAATTACAATTAATATAATCAATTTTGGGCAAGATAATCAATTACATGATGTTTACAGCATAATCATGCAATTTATTAAAAAAATCGATGTTTGCAATTAACGATTACCCCAGGTTAAATGGTAATTTGTCTAATATTTAAAATAACTTTCACCTACCTTTTGAACAGTTTTCACAAGCTCTTCATCTACATGTATATCTGATGTGCTAGGCTGTAAACTATTTCCAAACCTCCTTCTATACACCAATAGAAAAGAAAAACAATATTTTTTTAATAAAATATCTAACAGAAAAATTATAGATAATATACTTGCTTATAAATATTGTGAAAGGTGACTTTAAAGGGGCTCCTCTGAGGTCAAAAAGTCTAAAAATTAAAATTTGAAATTCTTACATATCATTTTTATATGCCAAGATATTCCCTATTCCAAAATACCAGCATCTTTACTGAATTCTTTGTCTCTTTGTTGCTACTGCAACAACTTTTACCTGTTACATTTCATGTTATTTTTTGTTTATCGTTATTAAGTAAATGAGAAGCCTCTAAGCTTACATAGACCCTGCTTCTGCCATGTTCCTTGCAACAGCGTGTAGAGGGAACCAGTATGTATAATCCAAATATATGGAATATCAGTCTTTAATAAATCCACTGGGACCAGGTCTCTTCTAGATATCTGGAATAAAATTTAACAGACTATAAACTCTATAAACTTGATATTAATTACACATTTTTTGCTACATGTATGAAACACTCAAATCAATATAACAAGCAAAACTTTACAAATATGTATATATATATTTCACCTACACTCTTTCATTAAAGTTAATCTTTCACAATAAATCTCCTATGCACTATCAGGGAAAAGATAAGCTTACATTAATTATAGAAAATTTTAATTATCATTATAATGAGGTAAATTATAAGAACATTTCTTTGTCTGTTTTGTTTGGTATATGGTGCACCAACACAATTTATGGCGCTGAAACAGGAAATATGATTTTGGCTTAAACCTTGGGTGTTACAACAGTTAAAGCAAAACCAGTGGTCAAAACCACTGCTCGAGCTAAGAGATACATAGACTCCAGTTATTTGAACCAATTTGATTCCTAAATATTAGTTCTCATGCATAAATTTGTTATATGGTTTGTGCTTTAATGTGTATATGGGCATTTTTTCCCTAAATTGTGAAGGGGTCTGTGCTTTCTTTGATTTGTAGAAAAAATGTGATTAATTGTGAAGTTTTAGTGATGTTTTTTATAATTGTGAAAGAAAAGGCATGATATTAAGAATTAATTATTGAATGAAAATTTTGCATGCAGGTATTCAATAACTGAGAAGACAAAAGATTCTCATGATCAATTGCCTGTTGTTAGGTTTTTTTAATATGCGTGACTCAGGGCGCAATTTTATTTATTATGTAAAAACTGCTTCATGAAATAAGAATCCTGCATGTCCGTGGCCGAGTTGTTATATTAAAAGTGGTTGACTTCAAACCACTTGCCCCTCACCGCTGTGGGTTCGAATCCCCGTTTTGATGGTTCCAGACCAGTACAGTATAATTCAAGGTAACACTGCTGAAAAGCAAATATTCTTTCAAAGACTGTTTTCAATGTGAAAGAGGCTATTCTTGCAGTTGTGAATCTAGCAATTTGGAAAAATGAAACGGGTTTTCTTCAAATTAAGAATGGGCCTTTATATTACGGCAAAGTTTATCTTGTCAACTCTACATCACCATCAGAGCCAATAATCATCCTACAGGTATCCTACAGGTAACTATACGTCCACTTTCAGGTTTGGCTCTGGTCCAAATAATTTGAGACTGAAGAGAATTCGCATTGTGAGACTGCACCATTATAAATTTACTCAGCTAGATCTAAAACTCCTCTATGCTCATTATTAAATCGGTATATTAAACGATATTTTGAATTACCGTAAAGAAACGTAGCAAAAATGTATCATGAAAAATTCTCTTCCTGGTCGTCGCTAATACCAGTATAATGTACGGTATTGAAGTACGGAACTATACCGTCCCAAAATCGTACGGTACTGAAATTTACCTGACTTTTAACTGATTTTATTTAAGTTCGACGATTTTAAGTGCTAGACAAATTGGGGCCTACATGCCGCGAAAATTATCAGCAAAGCATCAAATACTTCAACCGCTCTATTTTTCACGTTTACAATATCTTCCTTTCGGCTAGCGGCTAGGCCTATACTGGGATGTACTATATGTACTATCGTATGTTCCAGGCCTATAGTACAGGCCAGTTACAGCTAGCCTAATTAGTTCGGCGTGAACGGCTTGACATATTTTACAGACTTCATTTTCATAGAAAGACATCGCCCATCCAAAATTATCTCGATATTTTCTGACAAGTCTAATTAGTTGGACTATATGCCAGTAGGCCAGTAAATTCACCTGTTGTTATTGTTGATGATGTTGTTACCAGTACTGTAGCTATATTTGCATTGTTTGTGTGACTGTAATATTAATTCAGTAAGTTTCATTTTCAACAGAACGACTTATCGGATAAAGGTTAATTACATAACGTGTTTTGAAGATTTCAAAGACATAAGAAAATAAATATATAGCTCATGTAGCTGGTTTCGCCTTAAAATAGTGTGCGAATCACTGATGCGTTATATCACGTGATTGGTTAAGTGGTTTTGGCGGTAAAACGCACGGCGAAATAGGGACCACAGATATACATACATTCTAGCTCCATGCTGGGGCCAAATAATGTTATTTTTGATCCCAGTTTAAACATATTTTATTGCAGCACAAACATATAAACTATTATACAAATAATAAGTAACACAAAGCATATGGGTTGGGCAACAAGTTCTTGCAGCATCCAGACTCCCGCAATTTCGTTCCTTTCGGAAGTTCGACGGAAAGGACCGGAAAAATTGTTCGCTCCTTGGTAACATTTTCATGAATAATACATGTATACGAGTACATCTCCCTTTTGTTATTAAACATAAATCTTATAAGCAAACACAACTTCCATTGGATACACTTCACTTATTAACATAAAATTATCTATATATAAGAATCGCTAAAAAATTGGCATTCAATTTAACACCGAGTATATTTCTTTATTTTTTCCTTTGCATATTTTCTTCACTTCATTTCTTCACTTGATCTATAAAAGAATTTTGTCTGCTTCTGTTTGCTATTGTTCCAAAACAACGACTCTTTCTGACCACTTCTAAAGTTAGATAAAACAGGGTCTTTCCAATTCTTTTTGAAAGACCCTGGATAAAGTTAAATTTTAAAGGAACATTAAGCTTCGGAAATGTTTTTTCTTTCTTGCTGTAGAAAGGGCATGGTCAAACTAAATTCAATTATTTTGACATTTCACAGGAGTAGCAACAAACATTATCCAGAAGAATGCATTTTCTAGGCATAGAAGAACATTTCAACTTTTTAATGTCTAGATTGCAACTAAGGAAAACTAAATACATCTTTGCAGTCGTAATTTTAATTTTACGGGTGTATATTGGAACTAAGACATTTTTGACACAGTTTAAAGCACCTAAAATATCTAAGTCAAATTCTACGTCTCTAAACCTTAAAAATGGAAATTGAAGTTGTTTTCCCTGCTCCTACAAAAATACATTTGAGCCGCGCCATGACAAAACCAATATAGTTCATTTGCGACCAGCATGGATCCAGACCAGCCTGCGCATCCGCGCAGTTTGATCATGATCCATGATGTTCGCTATCAGTTTCTCTACTTATAATAGGGTTTGTAAGCGAACAGTATGGATTCTGATCAGACTGCGCAAATGAACTACATTTGTATATTGGTTTTGTCATGGCGTGGCTCATATTTGAAAAGTGATTTTACACCCCGTGTCTTTTTCTGCTACTTTACGGCTGGAATTTTCGTACGGGATTACAAAATAATAGAGAAAATATTAGCATTATGGAATAATGGATGAGTAGATTAAACTGTTAAATCTTTAATCTTGTAAAGAATGATGGTGATAGAATTTCTATTTTAAATGTATCAGTTATAAATCAGGAATTTCGAATATAAAGAGCAATCGTTCGCTTACAAATCATGTTCGTAAAAACTCTTATTACTAATGAAAACTGATCAAATCATGATTTTGCAATTAATCGGTGATTAATTGTTGGCTATAATCAGAGACATAGATAAACATCTCTGCTATAATTTTGTCCTTAAACCTAGATTTATTTGCGATTCATTTAATGAATAATACACAAATCATCTAACAAATCAGGAAAACCCTAATTTTGGTACGATTTGTTTACGATTTGTTATCCTTTTTTGTTTGGGGGAGACCTCAGGAGCCCCTCCGTGCATTCTGGGATTATTTTTTGTGTGTTCCTGGTGCATTATTCCAGGAACAAGCGGGCACCCTTCGACGTTCCGTAAGCCAGCTGTATTCGAGCCTACACCGGTGAGGAGGCAGATAGCTTCAAGTATAACCATTCTCCCATTGATGTCCCACATCGCCTACTTCATTCCGTATAATATACAATTATTGACTATTACATGTATGTTCAAATTTGGTGTGACAGACTATAGTGAGCAATTGGTTGGAATATGATGTGATATCCACCGGTAAATGTCAATATGACGATATGATTTTTTTTCCATTATTTGATCTATATGAACTACTTTTTGACCCCAGATAGGCCATATTTGAACTTTTGCTAGAAATCATCCCAACAACCTTTCTGGCCAATTTCCTGGATATATGGTCCAAAGAAGACGCCTCTATAGCGTTTACAAAGTTGTCCTATATCTGGTCTGTGCGACCTAGTTTTTGACCCGATGATCCTAACAATTTTACTGACAATTTCCAGGATATTTGGACAGGAGAAGTTGCCCCTAGAGTGTTATAAGGTTATTCCATATTTGGGCTGTGACTTAGTTTTTTTACTATCAAAGGTAAATCGAGTAAATTAGATTTTATTTATTTTAAAGTTATCAGTCAGAATTACCAGATAAATGCTTAACATATAATCTAATGGCAGGATTATGATTTATCATCCATTAACGTACCTTATTATTATTGTTTTTATTTGTTTGGGTCGTCAGACCAAACAAATAATGGTAGCGAAATTTCAGATGATGCTGTTAATTGCAAATGCCGAAAGTAGTCCGCTTTTTTGAAGCGGTTACTTCCCTTTATATGTACACTTACGCAAAAACAAAATTCAGGGGAGATCACTGCGTAAAGATTGTCAATTGACAGGCGTATTAATTTTCAAGCAAAATAGTTCCCGAATGGTCGAAGATTTCTAATATTGTTTTATTCTTTATAGAAAAACATGCTTATAGTAAGCTCCATGATTATTTACATCTGTGTTAAACAACATTTTTAGCGTCGAAATAATAAGTGTTACAAACCCTAATATTTATAATAATATGGTTTTCTTCAGGCCGTTAACATATAACTTCACCGTGGCCGAGGGGTTTGCACCTCTTAGGAATCGAGAGATCTGGAGTTCAAATCTCAGTTAAGGCAACTCAATTTTTTTTAAATTGTTTAAAGTCAAATAAACATTGAATGGAATATCAGTGTTGCAATTAGTCTTATAGCCGATTTACTAAAGTTAAAACACTGGGAAGCATTGGTAGCACTATACAAAACCAAATTGGTTTATAATCTCACAACCTTCACCTTTCTGACATTCTGAGACCCAAACAAATTCAGCGCCTTCTGTGCTTTGATTTCTTTATTCTTGGGACGAGGATAAATATTGGTAAAATATATTGTTGGAGGAAGATAAATATTGGCAAAATATATTGTTGGAGGAGGATAAATATTGACAAAATATATTGTTGGAGGAAGATAAATATTGGCAAAATATATTGTTGGAGGATAAATATTGACAAAATTTATTGTGGGAGGATAAATATTGGCAAATTATATTGTTGGATAAATATTGGCAAAATATATTGTTGGAGGAGGATAAATATTGACAAAATATATTTCTCTACAATATTTTTAGTGATGTAGACTTGATCCATATATATTACATGTATACACCATTTGAAAGTTAAATCTTTTATTTATCTATTGTTGCATATTAAAAGATTGGTACCATGCCTTTCACTTAGAATAGATTAGCAGAACATACCCACTAAGCAAGTTTTTTCGACATATGAATAGTTTTGTAACAAAAAATTGATAAGTAGTCCTCTTTTAAAAACTGATGTCTCATTTATTAAATTAGAACTGTAATTGTTTTTACCTGCAGCCTTAGGCAAATTCATAAGCTTTCAGAAAAAATATTATTTTACTGATTTTGATAAGTTTTCATAGGCTTTTCATATGCTATAAGATTCAATTCAAAGTCAAACTTGGTTTTTATTTAAGAGTTTATTAATCATCTATGTCACAAAAATTATAAAATGTGTATGTAATTGATAAACATAAAGATCATATGAAAGTATACGCTAACAGTAGCAATTTCTACAAAGCAAGAAATGATAATTCTACAAAGTGATTTGTTGATTAACACAGTGATAGACTGATAGTGGAGTATTGGTGGTGTTGGCAGTTTTCACTCCAGATCACGGTAGTAAACTACATTGAATTTACCAAAGCACAGTTAAGCCACCACATTATTCCTGGACAGGCTGTCAAGAAGCTTACCAGTACTAGTTGCCCTCACTTTCGCAAGGAACTGATAACTTCTGTACATACCAGAGCAGAAGTCCAGATCATATGACAATAGAAATGATTTGAGCAGTGTCACAACAAAACCAACATAATGCGTTTGTGACCAGCATGGACCTAGACCAGCCTGCGCATCCGCCCAGTCTGATCAGGATCCATGCTGTTCGCTATCAGTTTCTTTACTTGTAATAGAGTTGGTAAGCGAACAGCATGGATCCTGATCAGACTGCGCAGATACGCAGGCTGGTCTGGGTCCATGCTGGTCGCAAACACACTATGTTGGTTTTGTCGTGATGCGGCTCATTTCATGATCAATCACAACAGAAGTGACATGCTCCATCCAGGAATCAAACCTGGGTCGTCAGATTGACAGTCCAAAGCTCTACCTTTTGAGCTAACTGATAGCTTTTCAAAGAAAGTTGAGATTTCAAAAGTAAACTACATTGATGTACATATTGCAGTAATTGGTGAAACGAAACGTATTATTCAATTTTAATTCAAATATAAAGGAAAAGATTCCTTACTAAACAAAAATTGTGAAAACTTTTGCCAATTTCTATAACAAGTACATGTATAGTACCTGTATATATAATTCACATAATATCAATTTCCAACAAAAAAGCAACAAGTATACAATTATATCTGAAGTACCTTTTTTAAATTTTGTTAAGAACTGTTACAATTGAAATTTTGTAATTCTTTAAACACATTACAATTGGTCAGTAATTACACATTAATATTTAGTCGATACAAGAAAAACTTATTATCTGGACTGTCATCTGTGCCGTCTGATTATAGTTAGCATTGTTCACTATTCATTTACATAATTAAAAAATATCCCTAAAAATGATGAATGGTTTTGTCCAGAATAAGAAATGGACAAGTCCATTTAACATGATAAAGGGTATACAGATGTATTTAGTGCTTGCATTGTGATAAAAATATTCCACAAATACCTGAATAGAAAGAATGGTGTACCTGTTAGTTTCTTCTCTCAAAAAATAGTAAAACTAGTAAAACAAGTACAGTCAAACATTTCAACAAAGGCCGCTAAAAGGAGACACCAAACATGACCGTTTTAGACAAGTGGTCTTTAATTGGAGGTTACTATTTTCTACTTAATCAATAAAGGGTTATGAAAAAGACTGACCTTTACTAACCAATGTTCTTAATTTGGAGGTGGTCTTTCACACAGGTTTTACTGTAAAGACTAAATATTTTTAATAAAACCAAACATAACACTATCATTAACAAATCTGACATCCAAATAATTTTAACAACTAAACATAAAACATATAAAGAATATGAAGTAAATTTAGGTAAAAAACTCTTTTACTGTGTATCTTTTAATCAAATCACTTGATATATAACAAATACTTTCAAGTTCTTTGAACGCTACCAGCAGAAATTGTTTATGTCATGCACAAGTCAGACAAACTTGTAATGTAATGCCGCTTATTTTACTATTGTCTGTTTATGTTATAAATGCTAGATTGAAACCCTTAAAGTAACAAATAGACTGACTATTCAAAACAGGGCAAGCCCATTTAACAAATGTAGGTAAATAACTGTTTTTAATCCAGCTGAAACTTGTTCATTTCACATATCTAAACACTACGAGAACTACTTTATCAACTAACAGCGTTCATGTTTTTCACTAACATATGTTCATCTCTCGCGTTCAAATTATCTCAAATAACAACAAATGTCTTTGAAACTACGCCCCGTCTATCCCTTCCACACGCACACATTATATCCTGCCCATCCCTTTTACACGCCCACATTATACCGTGTCCATCCCTTTTACACGCCCACATTGAAGTGTGCACAAATTGCGTCTATTAGATCAGCTTTCCTCGTGCCCGTACAGGATATGCCGTTCTCTTTTATCTTCTCCTTTAAAATGGGCACTGTCAGTTTACCAAGCTAAAATAAAATGGAATAAAATGAATCAATGCAGTGCGGCGAATGAAATGATCAAGCATAGAAAAGGGTTAAAACAATTTGGACAAACATCTTGAAATGCATCTGTTTTAAGTTATTCTGGCATATAATGGAGTTTAATATAATATTTCCTGCCTTTACTGAAAGAAAGACCTTAAGCATCTGCTAAGTAGTTTTTGGCACTAAGTGAAAACTTGGACCAAGAAAAAAGTTCTAATAATTGGACCAGGTGCTTGATGGTATATGTAAATTGGAATTAGTTTATACAAAATTTGTTATTTGTTTGATTGTGTAGGAAGCTTTAAGCTTTATAAAAATACTCTCAAACCAACCAGTATTGAGTTACGAGTGTAAAGTTTCTTGCTCTAGGTAACAACAGCTTGCCCGTAACTGGGTTTGAACACACACGGTTATCAATGCTTGATAAATAGGCTTGCCTGTAACAGGATTTACACACACGGCCATCAATCCTTAGATAAACAGTGTAAGTATAACCAATTTGGCCAGGCCGCCACCTAAACTATTTGGATTTGAATCACAAACATCATAATTCATGGCAAGACATTCCAAATGTTTGAAAGCCTTCTTTATAAAAATTTAATAAACTATATCTCTGACATAACATGCTATATATACTTACTCGGCCAGCTTCAGCTTCTGCCTTCAGGTCAACCCCTGAAGCCGCCTGCTCCGTCTTGGCTCTTTTAGCACCTGGGTCTCCGCCACCTCCTGCCTGCAGATAGAACAGAACAATGGTAAAACATGTCAACAAATTTCTGTAGTCTGATCATACTCTAAACTGTTTGCTGACTAACTTTAAATTTTCATCTTGATATCCCCAAAATCCAAAATGGACAGTGTCAAAAACAGAAGCTGAGCAATTCAGTGGTAAAAGAACTCTGCAGATTATGGGTTAACCAACAGACAGTTTAATTACATGTACCACATGGCTCCTTAGGGTGCGTTATCTTATTTTTGTGAGTGCCAAAACAAACAAAAAATTACACTTTTGCCCAGTTCTATCAATTGTGCAGGGTCCTAGACAATTGCATGTGTATATGATAAATAGAATATAAATGTAGTAAACAGAACTTCACACCAAATATAAGGCATTCATAGTTCCAGAAAAAATGACAAGATACACTAATTACGCTTGTCCATTTCTTTTCAGTCAAGTTTTTAGTCCCATTGTCACTCCTGAAATGGCACTTTCTTTACTGGTCCAGGAAAACCCCAGAACTTCCATGTTTTATTCCATGTAAGAACAACTACAAATGTTTCTCAGTAGAACCACAAACCCTAGTAGAACTGCTGGCTGAATTTGTGTAGGCATTTTCTCAGAATAAGGGACTTTAACCGCTCTGTCAAGGAAACACAAACTCATTGATAGCGTTCACTACACTTGAATCATTGTTTTTTGTAGTTAAGTTTTATGTCACACCATCAAGGCATATGTCATATGGTGACCAATGACTTAAAACAAAGTGCCTCTCCTTGCATTTTTTTTAAGGAATGTGTAAGCACAAAAGAACCACTGATCTCTATAAGCTAGCTGAACTGTTTCCTTAAAAGGCAAAAAACCATCCTGGCAAGATTCAAACCCACAGCAGTGAAGAGCCAGCAATTCAAAGTCAATGACTGGAACCACTTGAACACAAAGGCCTCTAGTTATCCATAGATGAGAATGTAGAATGTTAGGCCTTAATTTGTAAATTTGTAGCACAAATGCATTCAAATTAAAGATAGTTATACTTTTTTTTTTCGTTTGGGTTTTACATCACATCGACACAGTATAGGTCATATCGCGACGTTCCAGCTTTACTAGTGGAGGAAGACCTCAGGTGCCCTTCCGTGCATTACTTCAGGCATGAACGGGCACCTGAGTAGAACCACCAACGTTCCTCACATGAAAGAATCCAAAGTCCCTGTCGGGATCCGAACCAACAGCGGTTAGGGGCAAGTGGTTTGAAGACAACGACCTTAACCACTTGGCCACAGACGCCCCTATAGTTCTACTTAATGAGAAGAAAATAATATACCTTTCTCTTGGCCCCTGCAACGTATCCTGCTGGAAAAACAAGGTCTTTAAATTGATCTATAGCGTCACCAGCTCTCCTCTTTATTCTATCCTCATCTGGTACTACAATACAAATCAAAACTTACTATACATACATCTGGATACTAGTAGCTGAAATAAACTCTATTGGATAGCAAAAAAAAAATAACGTTTTCAAACATGATTTTTCATACACTTCACAAAATATAATTTACATACAAAAACACTTCAACCTTTCACAACTTAATCAGTATAATAGACACCCTTTGCTTAGGCTATAGAACTGTCTACTGTTGCTTTAAGGGGCTGCAATATCAAATATTAAAGGCAGCAGTAGCCAAGTCTTGGATTGTCTGCCTCTCAACCCAGGGAATATATGTTCGAGACCTACACTGGTCATAACCATTTTCCCTCATAATAATAGTGCTGTTTTTGTTTTTTTTGTTGGGTTTTACATTGCACCAACACAGTGTATGTCATACAGCCAATTTTCAGCTTAATTGGTGGAGGGAGACCTCAGGTGTCATTCCTTGCATTATTTCAGGCAAGTAGAACCACTGACATTTCATAAGCTAGCTGAATAACTTCCTCACATGGAAGACTCCAAAGATCTTGACCACAGACTCCCCTCACCAATAATGGTTTATTATAGGAAGCTGACTGGAGCATTATATTTCACAGTCAAGCTTGAATATAAATATAAACATGTTTAAACCAATATCAAAAGCTATTACTGAGCAACCAATAGAAAAGCGTCTGGCTGGATTGCACAGAAAGTGGCGGTACTGACGAATGAATTACTGATAAGAATTTGTCAACAAGAAAACTAACGTGTGTAATCTGTCATCTCTTCGGGCGAATCTCTGTCTAAAGCCAGGGCCTCGATGTTTCTCCAGTGTTTCTGTAAAACGGGGTTCTCAAAACTCTCTGCTGAGTACGTAAACTGAAGTTTCTTCAATATCTCTTTGGCAGCATCTATCTGGTCTGAATTAGCTGTTATATATAATACACAATATATTACAACATGATAAATCATCCTTGTGCAGTGTTGAAATAATATTGATGACTATTATGAATTACCTCCCTTTTTGTTATACAGGCCTAACAGTGATATGATGCACTTTTCCAAGATAAAATTACAGAAATACTTAGTTTGAAACAACACACAATTGTTTGTCCAACAAAAAATAAAAGGTCAAGGTCACTTTAAGTTTGATCGTTGCATACAGCTTTTGAAAACTGACTTTATCAACATGCTCAGTAATACTTCAAAAGGTATGAATTCATTTACAGGTAAAACAAAAAGTACATGTATATAGATTTATTTTACCTTTTGTATTTTGCTCATACTTGACTTTCCTGAAATCGTCTGCAAATGGTAGGAAAATAACATGGAAGCCAGGGGGACATAACTGTACCTTGTGTTCATCACACTCTTCCTCCTGGAGGTAAAAAGTTAACATTTCTCATTGTAATGTACAGTGGAACCTGTCTAATCCGAACTCGTCCGGATCAGAAGAAAAGTTCGGATTAGAAAGGTTTCCAGATTAGAAAGGTTTCCGAATTAGAAGGTTCTTTTACATGTTTTTTCATGTTACATGTATTTGCAAAATAGTTTAGGGAAAGAAAACGGGAATGCATTTGAAATTGCAATTTAGATATTTTATTTTTGCAGTCTCTTATCGTTCATTCTAATACATGTGAATACAAAAATAAAGAAATGAAAATAAATAAATAAGCAAAAAAATATTATGTCCTCAAGGGTAAGTTAACCTACGATGTAAAACAGGAGGCGGAGACATAATTAAATATTCGTACCAGCATTTGTCAATTGTTGTTTACTCCTATCCGATTCAGCGACTATCCGAATTCACTGACAGTTTCTATTAATTTTCATTGCTTAATCACGTATCATCGAATCCATTACAAAGGATTAAAAGATATTTTTATTACATTATATCAAAATATATTTATTGAAGTTGACGAAAAACAATTAATCAAGCAATTATAGAAGATATGAAGACAAGCTATAAGTGTAATTTTCACACCTTCGCAGATCATACGTTTCACCCATTAATCAAGTCAAATAACACATCAGTTTGGTGTATGTTTACACCTGCAAGATGTGCGATTATTTGTTATTTTGAATGAAGGTGTGAAATTTGGCAAAATCTGTTCGGATCCGAGAGGTAAGTTTTAGAGTCAGATAAAAACAAAAATTGAAAAAATCGTCCGGAATTCGGAGTAGACAGGTTCCGGATCCGAAAGGTTTTTTACTATTGAAAATTGAACGAATAAAATCGGGCCCGGACACTTCGTTCGGATAAGAAAGGATTCCGGTTTAGAGGGGTTCGGATTAGCAAGGCTCCACTGTATATACGTATGTCTTAAATGTTTGCCTTGTATTTATTTGGTTTGGTTTTTAAGGCCAGTTGTGTTTTTTTACACAGTATTTCAACCTTATACTAGCTGATACCGCATTTGTTTCAAAAGCATAACTCAATGGACACTATTTAAGCTCCCTCTTTTCCATTTAAGCTCCTATTTTCCATCTTGGCTCCAATTTTTCAATTTTAGCTACACCCTTACCATTTTAGCTCCTACTTTTCAATTTTAGCTACAACATTTCCATTTCAGATTAAATCTTTCTTCCCTTGAAGCTCCTACTATTCCAATTTAGCTCCAATTGAACAGAAATTATGGCAAAAATTAAGAATAAGCAAACAATGACTCTGTATCTATACTAGAAGTATCAACTAGTTTTACCACAAATTATTGTCAATATCTGTAGATAAATTACTTGACTTTGTTGTGAAGAGAGAAAATGGAATCAAACAGATTATCTTAAAACTTCTTGACCAAGTATTCAGACCTATGAAATCTGAAGTCTAGAAATTGTTTCTGTTTTCAATTCGCTTGATTCTTTAGGTATGTCATTGTCAACACCACAGTTTAGGTGATATGCCAACATAAAAAGACACCCTTTCTCACAAATGGTTAAAAACTCATCGCTTCTAAAATTGATCAAAGTGTGATATTAGTAACTATAAATATACTTGCCTGCGGAAGTAGAGCAACAAATCTTGGCGGATAATTTTTCCCGGGGATGTATTTACAGATTGGGACCACATCACGATCTACACACTTCTTCAATAATGCTGTGAACAATGTAGTGCTGCCAATAATAGTCTGTAAATTTAAACAAAAAAATTGTATGTTAAACATATGGTCTATGCTGTGTATAGCTAACTTAGTTAACTGAAATGGAAAAAAAAAGCACTTTAAAAATTCACAGAAATGGAAATTTAAATCTTAAAGACTGTTATCGAGCACCTCATTTGATAAGACTAAAGAATTCATAAATAAATGCCGTTTAGATATAATTCAATAAATCCTATGCATAAGTTATTTGAACCATTTAATACAAGAGCACCCTACACAGTGTAAATGCTTGTCTGTTAATAATTCTAAGTCAAAAAGGGGCATAACTCCAAAATATTACTTTCAGATTTATGCCCCTTGTCTAACAACTGGATCTTGTCATGATAAGCAAGTATGCCAAATTTTATGTTGATAACTTTTAATATGTATGAATAATGGGCTACATTAAAGTTTACGCACAGCGACAACAAAGACAAAGTAACAATTATAATATCTTGACTTTTTTTCTTTCGAAACAGACAAGCTGAAAATAAATACAATCAAGAGCTGTCTAATATGCGTTTGTTTTATTGGATTTCAAGTAACACCAATACTGCAAAGGTGATATGGTGACTTTCCAGCTTTACTGGTAGAAAAAGACCTTAGAGGCCTTTTTGTACATTATTTCAGAAATGAACGGGCACCTAAGTGATCCGTTGACTTTGGTAAGTTAGCTGGATAGCTTCCACACTTGAAAGAACACAAGTCTCTAAATAAGCGGGATTCAAACCCTCAGCAGTGGAGAGCATGCAAACTTAATTTGCCGACCTAAACCACTCTGCCACAGAGAACCTCTGTCTATTATGTAAGGCTCATAACAACATCTCTAGATAAACAAATATATTGAAGAACATTTTTTACTTACTTTTTCATCAGGATAAATGAACGAAGCTGGTTTTACTTTAAAGTATATTTTTAATGAACTTCTTGGTTTAAATCCCATCAAATATAAACCTGAAATTAAACAAGTTTGGTATAATATACAATCAATAAATAAAATCCAAATTCACCAGGTGAAGGGTTGATATAGCTGTCAGCACTGCTGCACACCATAATTATCAAATGTTTTTCCTTCAGACAATGATGTCAACTAATACTGTAAGACCAGGCTAAAAGAAGTAAAATGTCTATAATTGTTTCTGCAGAGTAGCGATGACTGTGTTATTAAGTATGGCAGTGTATTTACATCCAAATAAGAACAGATGGTAATCATCATTGGTTATAATTGCATGTTTTTATATCTTTTATCACTTAATGATAACCATGTGAGACCGTCACAAATCTTAACCCTATTTCCCTATTTGCAAGATTCTTTGCACTCCTGGACAGTTGGCTGCCCTCTGTAAGCTTCCCACCCTTTTTTTTATATAAGAGGCGGACTTTTGCCTCCTCGTATTCACATCAATGTGTCTTTATGCTTTGATTTTCAAGAAAATGACAACACATTGTCCACTGAGGTTTTTTGACAAGATGGGACTGAAAATATTTTTTTAAGATAAATGTACCATTTGATGTAGGCTTAGACCGCTAATCTTTGTGCAAAATTTCAGATCATTCCCACACTTTGTTTTACCAGAAAAGCTAAGAAAAGCATAAAAATATGATTTTCAATTTATTTCAAAGTATATTTCTTCAATATCTTTGCATTTATTATATACTTATAAATGAAATATTGAGAAATATTGATGAAATAAAATGCGTATTTTCATTTTCCGTATTTTCACTGTAAAAATTTATTTTTCACTGCAGTGAAACATATTTTCCGTATTTTCACTGGTGTCTTGCCGGACTACTTTCTTTTAAATTCTACCAGTACACATAATTTAAGGGAAAGTTTTTCAAATTTTATCGCAAAAAAGAGAAAAATGTACATAATAAACAGAAAATTCAAGTTTTTTCTATAAATACATGATTTATTTTCATCTTGTGGCATGAAAATTACCATATTTCACTCGTGGCTACCGCCACTCATGAAATATTTATTTTCATACCACTCGATGAAAATATATCATGTATTTATAGAAAAAACTTGAATATCCTCTATATATTTCTGTTTAAAGTGCCCCAGCTCATTTATATAAGAAATTCAAATGTTATGTTTTTAGGCTTTAAAACCTCAGTGGAGTCCCTTTAAGAAAAGAAGGCTAGAACTTGTACCATAGTTCAGGTAAAATACATCCACATAAATTTAAGTCAAGCCAATATAATAACATAAACAAACCTGATGGGTCAAATCTCTTTATCTGATTCACTTCTTCATTTTCAAAGAAGATTCTTTTCCCACCGTATGTCTGACATTTCTTGAGATCTTGTGGCATTAAAACTTCTCCAGTGTCCTTGACATGTAAATATTCCATTAATAAAATCAACCAAATAATAAAATCATAATTTTTATCCTTACAACTTAATGTGAAAGTAAATAGGAAGATGGGCACTTACTGTTTTTACTTTGGTATAAGACTGGTTTTCCTCTATTCATTTAGAAATACTATACATGTAGTCTCATAAGTGGGTCATACATAAAAATGAATCAAACAAGCATAATACACAAATAACATAACAAGAGCCCGGTTTGAGCCGGGTGATGCTCCCTGAATAGGTTTTGGACACAGGAAAGTACACCTCTTGTAGTTTCAGAGTTATGTCCCTGGAAAAAGTTCAAAGTGCAATAATTGCAAAATTAGGAAAGACAGAGTTACTGTTCTTTCCACTGCACTTCTAATCACTGTTATCTATCAACTTACAAAGTTTCTTGTTGATATCTCTTATGGTTTCCGAGTTATGTTCCGGACAAATTCAAAAAGTAAAAATAATTAAATGGCAATAACTCCAGAATTAGGCAAGGCAGAGTTATGATTCTCGTGCACTGCACATCTACCCATTGAGATACATCTACCTACAAAGTTTCATGTTGATATCTCTTATAGTTTTACAGCTATGTCCAGTACAAGATTTTTCTAAAAGGGGAGATAATTCAAAAATGAGGCTTAACAGAGTTATGTTTTTTTTGCACTGCACTTCCACTCAATGAGATCTATCTACCTACAATGTTTCATCTTGATATCTCTTACAATTTTAGAGTTATGTTCCGGACAAAGTTCAGTGTTAAAATTAACAAAGGGCAATAACTCCAAAATTAGGACAAAAAGAGTTATTGTTCTTATGCACTGCACATCTACCCATTGAGATCTATTCACCTACAAAGTTTCATGTTGATATCTCTTATAGTTTTAGAGTTATGCCCCGGACAAGATTTTTCTATAAGGGGAGATAATTCAAAAATGAGGCTTAACAGAGTTATGGTTCTTTTGCACTGCACTTCTACTCAATGAGATCTATCTACCTACAATGTTTCATCTTGATATCTTTTATAGTTTTAGAGTTATGTTCCGGACAAAGTTCAAAGTGTTGAAATTAACAAAGGGCAATAACTCCAAAATTAGGACAAAAAGAGTTATTGGTCTTATGCACTGCACATCTACCCATTGAGATCTATTCACCTACAAAGTTTCATGTTGATATCTCTTATAGTTTTTGAGTTATGCCTCGGACAAGATATTTCTATAAGGGGAGATAATTCAAAAACCGGGCAAAATAGAGTTATGGTTCTTTGACACTGCACTCCCCCTCAATGCCCTCTACCACTGTATGAAGTTTAAATAAATTATCTCCAAGGGTTTTCAAGTTATGCTCCGGACAAGAAAACGGACAGAAAGACGGACGGACAGACGAACAAGGCGCCGACTATATGCTCCCCCGAAATTTTTCAGGGAGCATAAAAACTAGAAATGTGTCCAAAGGACAAGGCTGCCCCACTCCCCATTCCATTGTTTTGCCTGTCTGTGGCAGACAGCTTGACAAACCCTCAACAGCAAATATATTATTAGTTATAAAGATTTTTGACAGGTTATATGACCCTATATAAATGGATGTTTGCAAAATATATCGCAAACAATGCAAGAATTCTTGATAAATCAACAGCAGCTGTGTATATAAAACTAATAAACGTCATGATTATCTGATGAAAAGTGACATTACAAACATGCAGTATTATCAACGTTTATATATAAGAGCTGTAAAAAACCACCAAACTCTCGTATGGGACCATGTGTTAATGCTGTATGCCAAATGTCAAGAGGCTGTGATAAGTAGTTGCTGAGAAAACTGTTACGAAAATTTCCTACAATTGACCATTAATGTTGAAAATTTAAGTGGGTAAACAGGAAGTGGATGAGCGACAGACCTGAAATTGAATCCCACAGTATGGGAAATGTTAATGCTGTATGCCAAATATCAAGATGTTGTGATAAGTATTTGCTGAGAAAACTGTTCCGAAAAAAATTTCCCACCCGCCTGCTGCCCGACATTCACCATACTATAACCCAGGTTTGCACCTGTGCAACCCAACCAAAAAATGTACTGAGATTTTAGGAAAAGTAAAAAGATTTAAGATTCAAGTAATAATTTACATGTTAGGTGGGATTAAAGACTGATTTTGCAGTATTAATTAACAAATTTCCTCCGCATTACTAATGCAGTAAGGGTTATTTTTGCTCATTTTGACCTATTTTGGTAATTTATGTGGGTTGCAAGTGCTGTTTGCAATGTGTAAACTATTGTCTCTATTCACTTCCCAATATTTCACTTTTAAATAATTTTAAGAATCTGACAGCTTGCTGCTTTAAGTGTGGGGGGGGGGGGGAAAATAAATCTGATGAATGATAATAAAATACCATACCTTCAGATATGTTTTTGAATGACTTTTCAGCTCCTCATTGGTCCTTTTGTCCAATTTTACTGGATATGGCTTGGTGCATGGTCTTACTAAGTTATACCTATAGTGAACATAAGACAGAATTATTATCTTAGCATGGAGTACTTACTTATGGTCGTACAGTATCTGTTATGTGTATTTCATCATTTAAAAATATTAAGTACATATAGCATAGGAATCAAACATTTAAAAATCTAAATAGGTTTAAAAATGCCTAAATTATTTAAAATCTATATAGGTTTTAAAAAACCTAAATTAATTAACAAGAATGACATTTCATTACAATATTAAACATTTTATCTGTTTATCTCCTAGGATAACAGGCCAATCAGAGTACACTGAACATTCTAGAAAGGCAACCAAACAAGGTGCAACAGTCTTCTTCTATTTTTATCAGTGGTTTCAGAAAGAAAAACTTTCTAGAAAATTCTAGAAAAAGACAACAACAGAAAATGGTACTTAATATACCTTTAAACTAAAATCGGGCCCTCTGGCTTTACCTCTTACTCTACTATACTTTCATGTGATTAGCCTTTGCCATCTGTATAGAGCCAGGCCAGCCTGCATACCTGTGCAGTTTGACAAGGCTCGATACTGTTAACAGACTGAATATTTCATCATTATTTCTTTAAAATTGATAATGAACATTTCTGATCAAGTCCATTTAAACGCACATTATGCCTCAGAAATGCTATCATTTTTATTTCTAAAAAAACTTTTTCATTTTTGAAATTTTGTAAAAGTTTCCAAAAACTTTATCATTTGCCATATAGATGAACTATTTTTGCTTCTGTTGCCCTGTTGTCAATTGGTATAATTATAGTGAATTAGTATTTTGTACGGAAGTCAAAATACTACTTTGTTTACATTGTGCTACCTTTACGACATATAACTTTGAGTTCAGCACTTCTTTCATCAATTGTTAAACATGTAACATTCTCTTAATCAATTATCAAAACATTTTAAAACCCATTTTTGACATTTCTAAAGAATTTAAAAAATACGTTTTTCTGATGCGTTATGTGCCTTTAAGAAATTTATGGAGTTAATGAGCTTAAACAACCGAAATCACTTACACTCCTACACCCATTTCCAATCCTTCACCCAGTGATAAGGAAATATGCCGCAGTGCTCTCTTCTTATGGTCTTTCGATCGTACCCTAAAATTATAGGGTATATATATATATACATTCCAATACTGCTTTATATGTCTGCTGTAAATTTCTGCCATCATGTCATCATTATCAATTAAAGCTTAAATATGTAACAGTGTGGTTCTAAATTAGTTGATATTTTGTTTTCAAAAATAAGTCCTCAATAGCATATTAATAGGGGTGTCATGTTATCCATTTAAAGAATTTTGGTCAGTTTTTTTTAGCTCAAAACCTGTGAGAAAATTTTAAAACTGGTAACCGGGTTAAAACAATATTAGACAGAGAGCCGAGAAAGTTTTAAATTGATTCTAAACCTTACCTTAATTTTTATAACAAGCAAGATATGACATTTTGTTTGTATTTTAATTGTATTTTAATTGTATGCAACAGTGTATTTTTTCCGATTTAATACATAAGCCTACTATCTGATCACGAACAAACCCTACATATTAACTATTTTACAGCCTACAAGAGAGGTATCACCAGTCCACTCACAGTACCTTATAATGCCAACAAGATGGGTCTAACTGTCATTGGGAAATAAGATTATCTAATTTATATATCCATGAATAGTACCACATTTTATCATGTTTTTGGATTGCGGTTAGGAAAGAATTGTTTTATTTTAACTTGTGCCCTTTTTCCATAAAAGTATAGATTTTATCAATTCTGTATAAATGATGTGTAAAAGTAAGTATCCATTGGTCTTAGTAAATTTAAACATTATAGGCCAATATATCATAAATATACAAAAATACTTCCAACATACAAACATTTATCTAAACCAATATTCCTTCAATACAATTTGTGTAATAACTTGAATCATTTAAAAAAGGGATATTTTCCTAAAATTTCTCTGACACTAATATTCTACTTAAAAAAAAAAATAGTTCCTGAAAATTTACCTTGAAAGTAGTTCCTCTAGTTTTTCAGCAGGGTCAGGTAACTCTGTCAACTCATCATCATCTGTGTACAGTAAGTCCTACAACATATACAAACTTTAGTCTATAACATCTATCCCAATAAATGTGTGCAAATAACTTACAAGCTGTACCAAATGTTTTGGATGAATAGATCTTTCATGCACTCAAATAGACCCAGTCATAGCCCCCCCCCCCCCTTCCCAAAAAAACCCAAACAAACAACAACCAAACTTTAAAATGAAAACAACTGTCATTATACGCCTTTTTAAGACTCATGACTCATTCCTTATAAAGTTTTAATTTAAAGATTTGATTTATTAAGTGCCATACATCGCATATCATTTTAGACAATAGAATAAGATTTCTTTGAAGCTACAGTGTGCAGCTGTCATTGATTCAGTCTAATTAATATTGCTGCTAGATTGATGACAAATATCGATAACACAATAGATGAATCTTTTTTTTAAAATTCAGTTTTATGTCACAACACAGTATAAGTCATATGGCCACTTTTAAGCTAAACTGGTGGAGGAAGACCTTAACACCTGAGTAGAACCACAATCATTCCATAAGCTAGCTGGATAGCTTCCTCACATGAAAGGATCCAATGTTCCCATTGAAATTCAAACACACAGCCATGAGGGGCAGGTGCTTTGAAGTCAACACCCTTTGAAGTCTGTCATGACAACCTGATCAATCTTCTAAGTATCATTAACTTATATAATAATTATTCCTGTCACTGTAATTTCTAGGCATCTTACGAACAAGCCCAAATTATTGATTTATAAATGAATCAATGATACATCCATATCAATTCTAACGATGACAATTCAAACAGTACACAGAAATCCTGTAACTCAGTAACCTGAACGATTCTGCGACAACAGAATTTTCATGTGACCTCCATACCAATACTGTTACAAATACTTTTCATGCAATGTTTGTTTGATTGGGTTTTACGTCACACCCACACAGTATAGGTCATATGGTGACATTCCAACTTTGCTGGTGAAGAAAGACCTCAGGTGCCCTTCCGTGCATTATTTCAGGCACAAACAGGCACCTGAGTAGAACCACGGACGTTCTGTAAGCTACCTGAATAGCTTCCTCACCTGAAAAAAATCCAAAGTCCCCCGAAGGATTCGAACTAATACTGGTGAGGGGCAAGTGGTTTTCATGCAATAATTGTTAAATATACCTTGTAGAATTTGGTGACATCAAATGTTTCCCCTGGCAACTGTAGATGCATCAATTCCAGGTCTATACCAGTTTCATTGAGATCACTTGCTTTTGTCTTAGCTTGACGCTGAAAGCAATCATATAGAAAATAATTTGAGCCGCGTCACGACAAAACCAACTTATTGCCTTTGCGACCAGCATGGATCCAAACCAGCCTGCGCATCCGCGCAGTCTGATCAGGATCCATGCTGTTCGCTTACAAACCCTATAACAAGAAGGGAAACTGATAGCGAACAGCATGGATCTTGATCAGACTGCCCGGATGCGCAGGCTGGTCTGGATCCATGCTGGTCGCAAACCCATTATGTTGGTTTTGTCATGACGCGGCTCATTTATATCATTTTTTAATGTTTATCAATGATATTTAAGTACACATCTTTGTCAAATACAACATTACCTTAAATTTAAAACAGATTAAGTTCAAAGATAAATATGACAATTTTCTTATATGCTTTCCTGTGGACTGTGAAATTATACTTTGATAGTACAGACACCCCATACATGTAATTCTGATATCTACAACAGATTTATTTATAACTTCTCTAGAACAAATATTCATTTACTAAGTATGGTAAAGACTTCACAGTATGGTAAAGTAAAGACTATAGAGTATGGTAAAGACTATACAGTACGCTAAAGACTATACAGTATAAAGACTATACAGTATAAAGACAATACAGTATGGTAAAAACTATACAGTATGGTACAGACTATACAGAATGGTAAAGACTTCACAGTATGGTAAAGACTATACAGAATGGTAAAAACTTCACAGTATGGTTAAGACTATAGAGTATGGTAAAGTCTTCACAGAATGGTAAAGTAAAGACTATACAGTATGGTAAAGACTTCACAGTATGGTAAAGTAAAGACTTTACAGTATGGTAAAGACTATACAGTATGGTAAAGACTATACAGTATGGTATAGACTAACAAACAAGATAATCAAAATGGTACCTACCTGTAACTGCTGGTTTCCGGCATGTGGATTATCATTACATGTAAACAACAGAATTCTCTTCGAGTTCACTTTTTGTGGGCTAGATAAAAGGATCGAAAACAAAATTTACAATATTTGGTGTCACAGATTTAAAGTTTTCAACAGTAATTATTTGTTTTCTGATCAAAATCCTACCCAAAGTATATATTGAAAGATGTTCAATAAAGTAGGTGGGCAATGAGCAAAATCACCACTTCGTTTGTTTCATTTGGTTCAACATAACTGGTCATATTGAGCCAAAACAGAAAAAATGATGGGGGTCAGAACCACCTCACCTGCTGGAGCTAAGAGATACATAGACTCCAGTAATATTTACCCATTTAATCCTCTCTTATGATCATGCAGGGTTAAACAATGGCTAGAATTCTGATAGCTCAGTCTATAAAGGCAACCCCTCTGCCAAAAGGGGCACTTTTAAATGTACCCAGAATAGCAGACATTCTATTCTGTTATTTAATATATGTGAGTTACAATTCACTTAATAAATAATGACTAGATAATGTCTATTACCTATTAGCAAACATATTCTGACATGTCCACAAAGCCTCACTGAGGGAAAATGCTGGACTGTGTCCATAATCTACAGTAAATGTCTTGTAATTCTCTGAAATAAATCCACATGATCTAACTCCAGTATCATAACCCTGTTAAGAGTTTCAAAAAACACCATAGATAGAGCTGTCATTGATTCAGTGCAAAGCATATTGATGATTATATACCAATATCGGATGACAAATATCGGTGATAATCCAATATATCGATAAATACTCCTAATTTCTTGTATATAATACTTTTTCATACCTTTTTTAACGATTTTATTAAAATAATTTAATACCTGGTAAATGTTCTGTTCATGCAAATATGTTGTATCCCGTTTCTAAATGACCTTTGTATGATTTTTTTCTGACTATATTTTGTCATCACTGCTATCAAATGTGTCCATTATGTAACAACAGATTAGTGTTAGACATGGCCACCTGCTTTTGTATATGTTTTGAGTGAATTTTCATAATTTATAGACATATAAATAATTGATCAAAATATTGATTTTTTCAAATCTGTTAGATTATTGATCAACAGAAAAGTATCAACCATACATCAATATCGTCTCTATCGGTGACAGCTCTAACTATAGATCTGTATTTGAACATAATAAATTTGTACAAAGAATTTAAATCTTTTTAAACTGCTGTTTTGAACATCCGCATTTTTAAAAACACACTGACAAAGTCAATTTTCCAGCTTAACTGATGAAAGAAAGACCACAGGTTCCCCTCTGCATTATTTCAGGCACAAGCAGGGACCGACATGTAACTTGAGTCTGCAACCTTGTGTGAACCTAGCTAGATACATTGTAGCTTCAACAGAACTCCCTGGTGGGATTCTAAATTAACCACTCAACTATATATGAGCCACGCCATGACAAAACCAACATAGTGGGGTTTGCGACCAGCATGGATCCAGACCAGCCTGCGCGCAGTTTGATCAGGATCCATGCTGTTCGCTATCAGTTTCTCTACTTGTAATAGGGTTTGTAAGTGAACAGCATGGATCCTGATCAGACTGCGCGGAGGCACAGGCTGGTCTGGATCCATGCTGGTCGCAAACCCATTATGTTGGTTTTGTCATGGCACTGCCCAATTATGCCCCTCTCTAATACACTGTTAAGAGAAGCATATTCTTTACATTGTAGAGGCTTGACAGCTTTTCATTTAAACTATTTTCAATGTTTTACAGTTTTAATCAATGGTTGGTTTTGTTTTACGACACACTAACACAGTTAAGGTCATTTGGCGCTGAAACAGGAAACATGATTTTGACTAATCTCTGGTGTAACGAATTTTAAGCATCTCCATGGGTCAAAACCAACTCACCTGCTGGAGCTAAGAGATGCATAAACCCCGAATATTTGAATAGACGCCTTTTACAAACACAAAGGATTAAAACAATGGCTACAAATTCTGATGCTGATTCTAATGTTAAACAATTCCAAATATACCAATTTACATACCTTCACACATTTCTTCAAGTTGTAATATTCTGGGAGCACCTGGCTGATCCAACTCCTGAAAGAATGAAATACAATATTTCCTTACTAATCAAGTAACCCTGAATGCATGCATAGAGGATATTTAGTTTTTTTCTCTAAATACAAAATTCATTTTCATCGGGTGGTATGAAAATAAATATTTCACAAGTGGCTGCAGCCTCTTGAAAAACAAAATATTGTACAAAACAAGAGCTGTCGGTAGGACAGCAACGCTCGACTATTCTTAGTGCTTGATAGTAAAAAAAATGCTTGATACAGTTACCTCCTCCTTGGGGTAATGATGGTGAACAAGTGTGCAAAGTTTCAAAGCCATATGTCAATGAACTTTGAAAATATTTGAGGTATAAAAAAACTTTAACATAAATTCTAAGTCGAAAAAGGGGCATAATTCTGTCAAAATGCTTGATAGAGTTACCTCCTCCTGTCTTCAGGTTGGGGTCATGATGGTGAACAAGTGTGCAAAGTTCCAAAGCCATATGTCAATGGACTTGGAAAATATTTAAGGTATTACAAAAACTTTAACATAAATTCTAAGTCGAAAAAGGGGCATAATTCTGTCAAAATGCTTGATAGAGTTACCTCCTCCTGTCTACAGGTTGGGGTCATGATGATGAACAAGTGTGCAAAGTTCCAAAGCCATATGTCAATGGACTTTGAAAATATTTGAACTATTACAAAAACTTTAACATAAGTGGTTACGCCGACGCCGACGCTCGGTGACTGCAATAGCTCTACTTATTCTTATCGAATAGTTGAGCTAAAAATGCCTTATTTCAGATTAAAACCAAGATATCTTGGACTAAGCAAGCTTCTACCAAGATAATTAACTAAAATCAGCATTAACGTTATTTCAGTACTATCAGTGTGTCACAACAAACCAAGTGATCTTCTTCATGTGTACACAAAGGTTACAACTAACTTGCTTACGCTTGTTCATAAGTCCAGGCTTTTAAAGCTCCTTAGAGCTTGTGTTATCAAACTGTACTGTACTTTAAACAACAAATATTACTTGACTTGAATGAGGTTCATTAATTGATTGACACAACACTTACCTGGTATATATAAATATGTTTAAAGTCATTTGGATTTTTTGACTTCTCCTGAAAAAGAAATCGTTTTTTGTTTTTATAAAAAGTGTAGTACAATATATTGATTATTATGCAAGAATTTTTTTTGTTTTGTTTTGATTGGGTTTTATGTCACACCGACACAGTATAGGTCATTTGGCGACGTTCCAGCTTTACTGGTGGAGGAAGACCTCAGGTGCCCTTCCTTGCATTATTTCAGGCATGAACGGCACCTGAATAGAACCACTGATGTTCCATAAGCTAGCTGGATAGCTTCCTCACATGAAAGAATCCAAAGTCCCTGTCGTGATTCAAACCCACAGCGGTGAGGGGCAAGTGGTTTGAAGTCAACGACCTTAAACACTCGGCCACGGACAAGAAATAAAAGGTGCTTTGATTAAGGTTAGTAAATGTGATGATAGGGCAACAGAAAACACAAACTAGCCTCTATATTCTCCATCAAAAAATTTCCAGACATAAATGGAAATAGATTTAGTATAATAGTACATGGATTATCATTCAAATGCTTTGTAATTAATCACTCAATCTTATCAGCCTTTGTGATTATATTTCTACGAATTTTAACTCAAACCTTGCATTATTCCACAACCTTGCACTCAGAGTTGATATCTATTTCCAAACCGACACTACACGTGACTTTCTAGCTTTAAAATAATACTTACGGTTCCGAAGAAAACAACACCTATTAAGTCCTTTTCACTACTTATGATCTTGTTCTGTAACGTAGTCTTGCAACACTGAAAATATGAATACAATTTTACAATTTAAACGTGAATTGTGAATACCTTCATTAGTTCAAATATTGAAACTCCATGCAAAACTTCAACCACAAATTTTCTAAGTTCACAAAAGGGCTATAATTCAGTCAAACTCCATACCTAGAGTTATGAGACTTGGATAGTGAGCTCCACACAAGACAAACAAATGTCTTTAGTAGTTTTGAAGATTGATGTTGCATGCAAAACTTTACAGAAGAATTCTTTTAAGTTCATAAAGGGGAATAAGTTGGTCAAAATCTATGCTAGAGTTATGGGCCTTGGACAGTGACCTGCAAATTAAATTATGATCCTGCAGACACGTAGTAAGTTTCAAATTAATATCTATAGTAGTTTTTAAGATTGATGTTGCACGCATAACTTAAATAAAGAATTTTCACTATTCAGTAACATTCTATGTCAGAATTTTGGGCCTTGGATAGTGTACTCAAATTATGATCCCAGAGATTTATTTTGTTTCAAGTGTGTGTTCAATAGTGAGAAAAAATCTATAACTTTTGAAAAAATGAATTCTTGTTATTCTTACAAATTTATTATAACCTTGACAAATACTGAACAGTAATTATAGCAGTTAATGTGTTAATTAAAATTCTAACACTAAAAATCTCTAACCACTAAAAATGTGACGCGCTGAGTACAGTAACAAATCAGACGCAATTTAGCTTAATATCATTCACCGCAATATTTATTTCTTGATGTTGTGTTAGAATCGGAATAGTATATCAAAAGCGGTGATTTAATCCCTTGATAAAATCACTGTTTGTCGTTCGGATGTGCATCATTATATCACGAGGGCGTATCCCTCATGATATAATTCCTCGCATCCAAACTCCAAAACAGTGATTTTATTGAGCAATAAAATCACTGTTTTGGATATAATATTTCTTAATTTACTTACTCTGATACAGCGCTGGAACAGACTTTCATCTTCGTCCTCATCATCCACATCAAACATTGGTTTAGTACAATCTAACAGCAATATAAGTCCATCTCTCATACCCCCACCAAACTGTAAACATAACATTAGTTAGTTAGATTACTACTGCCGCATTATAAGATATTAAAGAAACTCCACCAAGGTCCAAAAGCTTAAAAACATAAAAGTATATGTTCTTACATAGATCAACTAGGGCACTTAAAACAGAAATAAATGACAATGATAATTATAAGAAATATACCTGGAAATTTACTGAAAATACACTTTGGCCACTTAAAACAGAAAGAAATGCAAATGGTAATTAAGAAATATACCTAGAAATTTACTGAAAATTCAGTAGGGGCACTTAACCTTTTCCCTTATATAAGCGTGTTTCGACGGCTTTTTGCCCCCCCCCCTTTTGAGGCCTCAAACAGTGAAAAAATGTCCTATTTAGACCCCAAACACTGTTTTTCGTTAGAGAAATGTTGTTAAAAAAAGTGACCATTTTTTCGGCGCCGTCCCCCATCCAAATAATACATCAGGGGATTGCCAGAAGGGGGATGTGCCCCCTTCTGTTTGGGGGGTTTGAAGGGGGGCGGAGTCCCCCTCATCGCCAAGAAAATTTTGGACTTGTGAGAGGCTTAAAATGACCCCAGGTTGATCATAAAGTAAAGTGTAACCAACGCTGAAAAGCCTTTGACTCTATCTCAATCCATTGAGAAGTTGCAGCACTTTGAAATAAATTTTGATGGAAAAAATCGAGGCAAAATAGTGATTTTTGGCAATTTTGAGATGTCCCCTCGATGCCATGGTAACAGAAAATTTAAGACTGAGCATGTCGTTACAAAGGCAATGGTCCACTCAACATTTGTGCCAAGTTTGATTAGTATTGAAGCATTTTTCATAGTTTCATAGCAGTTTGAACTTGTAAGAGGAGGCTTTTCAGTGAAAATGGCCATTTTTCACAATATGCTCATGGGGGAAAGGGTTAACTAAAAAAAATATAAATGTTACAAAACAACAATTTTTCACCAAAATTAGGTAAAAGACCACATGTTAACATGGAAAAACTAGATTTTGGGTGATTCCAAGGTTTTTCATCATTTTTTGTTAACCTTTTCCCTTATATAAGCGTGTTTCGACGGCTTTTTGCCCCCCCCGCCTTTTGAGGCCTCAAACAGTGAAAAAATGTCCTATTTAGACCACAAACACTGTTTTTCGTTAGAGAAATGTTGTTAAAAAAAGTGACCATTTTTTCGGCGCCGTCCCCCATCCAAATAATACATCAGGGGGTTGCCAGAAGGGGGATGTGCCCCCTTCTGTTTGGGGGGTTTGAAGGGGGCGGAGTCCCCCTCATCGCCAAGAAAATTTTGGACTTGTGAGAGGCTTAAAATGACCCCAGGTTGATCATAAAGTAAAGTGTAACCAACGCTGAAAAGCCTTTGACTCTATCTCAATCCATTGAGAAGTTGCAGCACTTTGAAATAAATTTTGATGGAAAAAATCGAGGCAAAATAGTGATTTTTGGCAATTTTGAGATGTCCCCTCGTTGCCATGGTAACAGAAAATTTAAGACTGAGCATGTCGTTACAAAGGCAATGGTCCACTCAACATTTGTGCCAAGTTTGATTAGTATTGAAGCATTTTTCATAGTTTCATAGCAGTTTGAACTTGTAAGAGGAGGCTTTTCAGTGAAAATGGCCATTTTTCACAATATGCTCATGGGGGAAAGGGTTAACTAAAAAAAATATAAATGTTACAAAACAACAATTTTTCACCAAAATTAGGTAAAAGACCACATGTTAACATGGAAAAACTAGATTTTGGGTGATTCCAAGGTTTTTCATCATTTTTTGTTAACCTTTTCCCTTATATAAGCGTGTTTCGACGGCTTTTTGCCCCCCCCCCCCCTTTTGAGGCCTCAAACAGTGAAAAAATGTCCTATTTAGACCCCAAACACTGTTTTTCGTTAGAGAAATGTTGTTAAAAAAAGTACCCATTTTTTCGGCGCCGTCCCCCATCCAAATAATACATCAGGGGATTGCCAGAAGGGGGATGTGCCCCCTTCTGTTTGGGGGGTTTGAAGGGGGGCGGAGTCCCCCTCATCGCCAAGAAAATTTTGGACTTGTGAGAGGCTTAAAATGACCCCAGGTTGATCATAAAGTAAAGTGTAACTAACGCTGAAAAGCCTTTGACTCTATCTCAATCCATTGAGAAGTTGCTGCACTTTGAAATAAATTTTGATGGAAAAAATCGAGGCAAAATAGTGATTTTTGGCAATTTTGAGATGTCCCCTCATTGCCATGGTAACAGAAAATTTAAGACTGAGCATGTCGTTACAAAGGCAATGGTCCACTCAACATTTGTGCCAAGTTTGATTAGTATTGAAGCATTTTTCATAGTTTCATAGCAGTTTGAACTTGTAAGAGGAGGCTTTTCAGTGAAAATGGCCATTTTTCACAATATGCTCATGGGGGAAAGGGTTAAAATAGAAATAAATGCAAATGATAATTAAGAAATATACCTAGAAATTAACTGAAAATCGCATTTTTGTGCTATTCTTAACCCGATTTGAAGGTCATTTTTCACAATTAGAATAATTTTTCTGGAAAAACAGAGTGAGCGAATGATCAGAAACTTTGCACACAAGTAATTGGTCTAGACCTACATCAAACTGAACATTAATCTCAAAATATTATTTCCTGACCCATCTTGTCAAAATCCTCAGTGGAGTCCCTTTAAGATTTTTCTTTACTTTTTCACAATATGTTTATAATGACTCACATAGAAAGCATAGTTAAGAGAACTGGCATCAAGGAAAGACTGAAAAAGTCATAAAAAATTTGATTTAGATGTTTATATGTAACTGGGGTTGAAAATTATTCTAATTAATCTAAATTTCTACAAAGAGGCATAACCCATGGCAGGTTTTAAGATTAAGTGAGAAAAATCACTGCCCATTTAAGATTTATCGTGCAAGTGGTATGATAAAGCCAATATTCATCAACAAAATTGAAGCATAAAAAATAGTATCATATAAAAGAATTTGAACTTGCATGAAAATCTAATTCCTCATCTTCATCTTCTTCATCCCCAAACTTCTGGAAACCAAACTCAAAAGCCATAGTTGCTGTCAGCCTACAAAGAGTTCAAATCTGTATTAAAGGGTAGACATTTATGCCCAGTTATTTTAAAATTCTTTGATGCTTGACAAAGTTACAATCTGGACACAAATGTGTGTACTTATAATCTATAATTGTATTATAGAGTGAACCTTCAAAAAAATCAAAAACACATGACTCAAATTTACTATTTACAGGTTTATATAGGTATAATCGGATTTATAAAAATATATATATTGTTTCACAGCTTAACTTCCACATAGCGTGAATACTTATTTTATTCAAATTCTAAAACACTTTGCTAAAATATCAACCACATGGCTCAGTAAAAGACATTACCGAACGGATATGTATAAAACATAGTTGAATCTGCTGTCGTTATATTGATTCATCTTAAGCGTTCGGTAAGGTTTCATACTTAGTCAGAAGGTCAATTTTCAATTTTCGTTCTGCAGTTTGATTCTTTAACCAATAACTTCATTTTTAAATGTTTTGAGAAACATCATTTAGATCGGGAGAGCCAAACTGATCAATTTCTATCGCGTCTGATTCAAACTTTCTCTCGCAAATGCGAGTGGAAGAGTGGATTTGTCAAGGCCTGCAGATTAAAACTTCACTATTTAGAGGAGAAAATGAGTCAGCAGTCTGAAAGTCGGTAACGTAATGAAATACATGTAGGGTCTCTGGTTCAAGTCCTGGTCAGGCTGCAAATTTTTCTCCCCCATAACGATACAACCTTCAACAGGTGCTATGTCTGGGTTAAGTGATTTCAATCTCTTTATACACATACATGTATATGCATTTATGTTATTTATTAAAAGCAATCAATCAAAAAGGTCACTGGCAAAAAATACTCGCGAAAACATATAACTTAAAGAGAACACGACTTGCAATGACATTTAACGCCCGTGTCATGCAGTGCTTCTATTACCATTGCTTTTATTTAATTTAATCAAAGAATGAAACATCATATCTTGAACCAAAATACCTTTATTAATAGGCAATTTTAGTAAATTGCAAATTATGCAAATTTTCCCGGAAAACTACTGTGACTGTCGTGATGTTAGATTTCGAGACGTTTCGGCCCCAAGACGTATCGGCCCCAAACTACCCAAGACGTTTCGGCCCCGGACGTTTCGGCCCTTTACCAAATCGGCCCCAGAATATGTACTGTATTTTAAACCGATATATTCATAGCATTTCAATGATTAAATGAATCAATTAATATATATATATTTAATCATTTTGTATAAAAACTAGATAATAATAGTAGTAGGGGAAAAGTAATCAATACTTGTAAACAGAACAGAACATAAACTTAATTTGAAAAAATATAATACACAAACAAACAATTACTTACAACATATATAGATAATATTTTATTAATACAAACAGAACAGAACAAAAACTTTATTTAAAAAAAATATAATACACAAACAAACAATTATTTACAACATATATAGATAATATTTTATTAATACAAACAGAACAGAACATAAACTTTATTTGAAAAAATATAATACACAAACAAACAATCATATATGGTTTGTTTTATAAATTAAGTAACCTGCCTTTATTGTTTGTTACACCTTTAAAAACATTAACGTACATCTAAATGGTTCAAGAGATAAAAAGATAATAAATAATTATTTAAAGAATTACAGTGTCATAATTGTTTAATTGTTATTAAATTAATTGTTGTTAATCAATCAAGCAATATACTATAGTGGGGCCGAAACGTCTCGCGGAAAAGGGCCGAAACGTCCAGGGGCCGATTTTTCGACTGGGGCCGATTTGGTTTGGGGCCGAAACGTCCTGTTTCCTGATGTTACACGGCTGGTGATTGGCTGAATAAATGCATGATAAATCCTCAAGCGTCTACAGGAATGTAAATAAAAAAATGTGAAATGATAACTTTCACAAGTGTACAAAACAATGAAACGCACAAAATCTGAACATTTGCATTCAACAATTTCTCAATATCTGAAAAGAAGACAATACTCGGTAAAGACTCCTTAAATTATGTTGCCGAAGTTTGTTTACAGTTCTTTAGTTAAATTCGTACTCAATTAATCTCGCATCCATTTTGTATTCAATTTATTCTCATTAATTATGGTTTATTTATTTCATGCTTATTTTTGTAACCAGTACGTACTGTCTAGTTGCTGTTCATTTCTTTAAAAAGTTAAAATTGCAAAGTACAATTTATTATATATCAATTACCCTTTAGTTACAATTATCCTGGTTCCCAACTGTCACTTGAAAATGGTGACAAAATTATATGAAAGTAGGCATGCAGAGCCTATGAGTATGATCGGGAAAGTCATATAACAATGTCAGTCATTTTTATTTCACAAATTTCGTATTCAAGGTGTCATTTCGTATTTCATGCACCGTTTACGATCTCAATCGTATAACACCTCAACTATTCTTTAAGCCAAAAAGTTGCAATTGTTCCGGTATCGTAGTGTCATTTTGTTACATTGAATATGGCATTGCCCAACTGGAACTGTCACTGAAAATTTCATTGATAGGTGTAGAATTTTATATTTTTATTTTTTTTTTATTTGATTGCCTTTTAAATATACACATGCAGGCTATAGCCGAGCAATCCAAAGCCTCAGGGCTCGCTTTGCAGCTAAGGCTCCCACGTTTACAATTTTTTGTAAAAGTTTACACGATTGCTAAGAACCAAAACGATACCGTTTAAACGGTGGTACATCTATGTACTATATAGTCGCAAAATGATGACTTACTTTCTATTTTTAATAAATGTACAAATAAAGAATGTTCAGGGCTCATCACGATTGAGTCAGCACACATTTTCGGCATTGTATCCCAATTTTTACCAAAAATGTATTATGTCAAGAGCAATTTTTGCATGGTAATGCTGTGTGGAGGGTTGTAAACACCCATTTTCTGTTTTTATACTTTGGAATAAACCATTTTGTAAGACAATAATGGCCATATTGTAAGACAATATGGTCATTTCGTTTAAACGGTAAAAAATATTGTCAAGGTTTACGAATGAAAATCGAAACAAATCCGTTTAAACGTGTAACCATGGGGGCCTTATTTGCAGCCCTGGCCTTCGACTTCCCTGTATTAACTCTGACTTGTTAAATCTATTTCAATGTGAAAATGGACCCAATACTGGCTCATATTGCAAATATTATTGATAAAATTTATGTTATGTATTAAATGAATTTGTAACATCTCGATAATTTTCATGATATTTTATTTACATTAGTGCCAGTCTCCTTTCAGTGCCTTTAAGAATTCTACAGAAAGGCTGTTCGACTTGGACAAGACTAATATTAAAATAATCTGCTCGATTTGATTATTTATAATTAATGCCAAATACAGAGTGTCATTCCTATATGTTTGTCTTTGTTTTCTATATTAGATAAGAGAATAATTGTTTTACCCTCAATCAAATGGGGAGAGTAATTCCTATCATATGATATGTACAATTATGTTGTATACACACGCAATCTGTGATGCAAAGAGCAAAGGGTTAGATGTATACTATATGTATGAAAAAATATAATATAATTAGCTTACATTTTCTACAGCATGGTAGAATTTATGCATTGAAGTGTGATGCAGTTGATATGATGATCAGAATTCCTAATTAAAAAACAATAACATGAAAAAAAAACTAAAAATAAATTGATTTGTTATTTCAAATCCTTTCTGTCATAAAATTATTGTAGGTTAATAAGACACAAATTCTGCATGACAGTTCCAAATTATTTCCAATCTATTTAATACCTGTACCAGACCTGTATTTTCAATTACACAGTTTTCTGATCTCCTTTGTAGGAAAGTGAGACAACCCAAAAGAAGGAGTCTAGATGGGTGCAACAACTACCTAGCATGGCATTAAAAGGTTCCACATCAGGGGAGATAACTCAGGACAATACATTATCATTTAGCAGCATATCTGGCGATGCCGCATTATCAGAGCAAATATTTACAAGGTCAGCCTCTTAGTAAAAAATAGAAAATATCTTGACATTATATTTATTTTTAAAGAGCATGACTTATCAGTTCCTTGTAAGGCGCCCACGTCTACACATTTAAATGTATGCATTTCAATTATCATCCATAAACAGTTATGATTATTCTAATTGTTTAAACGAAATGATAACATAATAGATATGTTTTTCTTGCGAATGCTTACAATTCACTTTTATTGTAAATGTTCATAAGTTTGAATAAAACATAGTTCTAAGAGCCAGAAAAAAATATTACATCTCACTTTAGCACAGTATAAATTGCAATGATAACTGCTATATGGCCCCTTGATTAGTTTTCCATGCAGTGAATAGTATGTGTGATTCCTAAACGAAACAATTAAAATTACCGACTCACTAAAAATGAGGAGTTGGACATGCTTCTTTCATATTTAAAATTGTACTGTTATCATCAAGTTTACAGTCATGAACTTGCCGACTTCTAATCTTTATCATCAAAGATGTCTACCATATTTAATGCATGGGAATTTACATGGTCGCTGTGACATAGCGTGAACAAGACGACAATTTAAGTGGCTGGTGTCACAGTTAAAACAGGAGAGATTTTTTTTTTTTATGACCATGATTGATTACTTACAGTCAATTAGCTATATACAATATTTAATCCACTGTCATGTATGTGTACACATTTTGTTTCAGCAGTATCAAATCAATTAAACATTACTCCAGAGTTGATTACGAGACCTCAATTCAGTCAGCTGGCATATTTTTATAAAGCTGGCTGCTTCCTTGAATGATGTAATTTATTGGAATATCTTGAATTGCCAAGTTCATTACACTAGTTTAGCTGGGTGTAAGTTAAGGATGTTTGGGAGTTTTCATATAGACAATTTTTTTCCAATTAAAATGTTTCTATTATCATATTCTAACAACAGGCCAAGTTTTAAGAAATTCTATAGAACAGTTTTAATGTTGCTTATATGTCTATATGAAAACTCCCGAAATAATCTTTAAACAAAGAACAAATTTGTTCGTTTTTAGGTTGAAGACATTTCTCGGAGAGAAGATAGCTCTGCAGAATGTTGATTTACAAACCTTGTTGTTCCCAGTATTTGTTCATATCTACATAGAAATGCTGAGTAATGGCCACAAAGCACCAGGTAAATAATATACCCAGTCAAACCTCTGTTGTTCCCAGTATTTGTTCATATCTACATAGAATTGCTGAGTAATGGCCACAAAGCACCAGGTAAATTATACACCCTGTCAAGCCTCTGTTTAAAGACCATACACAGTCTGGGAAATTAGCAGTTGTCCTATTGCCCGAGACAACCATTTTTTGGTCCGGACAACCAATTTTTAAAAGTTTACATTGTACTTGCCCGATGGACAAGTTAAAATTTTCAGAAAGTATTCATCAAAATTTCAACGAATAGTGATATAATGCAAGATATCAAATACAATTAATTTGCTTACATTTATGACTGTTTCTTACTGAAGATAAATGTGCAGATTTGATCAATAATTACTTTGAGATGTTCTGATGATTTTATGAGATGTTTTTATTTTGGACAAACAGGTTCTTTTTAATTGGTTGCCCGAATGACAATTTTTAAACACTAATTTGACAGACTGCATACATATAAAACATGTTAATAAAGGTCATAGCTGTACGCTTCCTTTCGATCAGTGATTGTGTTAAACAGTCACTTCTTGAAAGACCAATTTAAAACAAAGACTGTTATTTTCAATTTATTTGCACTGGTCTTTATAGGCAGACATGCTAGTCCTTAAAGAAAAGGCCAACAGAGCTTTAAAGGTACATGCATCACTTTCTCCACCTTATTACAGATTGTAGTTTTTATAAAATATAAATTATAATTACAGTGATTTTTTTCACTGCATTTTACAGCCGAATAAAGGCTGTTTCCCCTAGCTCAAAATAGATTTATTTTACCCTATAAATGCAAATATTTTCCCCTAAAATACTTTGTGCTCTTTCTTACAATTTCTTACAAGAACAATGACATAACAACATCTGACTTATATCAGCTAAAATACAGAAAGCTGTCCCTATAGACAGTCTCTGCTATGTACCATGCATGTTTAAGTGAATTTTAAAATGAAAATTTTATAAAAATGGGTTGGTAATTTCCATTCTCAGTTGTTGGAATCTGATTTCAGTTTTCCCCCTTTTCTGATTTATCTCGCTATATTTTCCCCTTTGGAAAGCCACTGGTTGTTTTGAAAATTGAAAAAAAAAAATCACTGATGTATGTACTTTTTCTCTACTATAATTTTTACAACATATTCTGTACCTCAAGGAAATGTATTGACATAAAGGTTGAATGATATTAAGGTTTTTATTCAATCAGTTGAATGAAATTTAATAAAGTTATATTGATTTCTTTCTTTTGACCTTTACTGTAGAAGAAAGTCATTTAAGAACTTGTCGATAGAAGCCATTAAATTGCTCATCAACTTTTCATTTTTCAGTTGTTTATTTTTTTTTTCTCAACACAAATTGCAGAAAACCATCAAATTAGAGAATTTCTTTTTCTATTTATAGCTCACAAGTTTTTTGGCCGCCACAGTAGCTTGTTTAAAACAGATGTTGATCAACAGAGCATTCTCGATCAACTATCAAAGCTCTATTCTAAGGCTGACATGATCTCATGTAAGGAAGTACAGGCCTTCAAGTAAGTTGTAGAATAATTATAAAAAAGCAGATAGCTTTCCACAAGTACAAACTAAATATTCTCCACAGTATTACCAGTTTCAATATTTACCTGATATTTTGTCTTGGATGTGTATGTAGCCTTCCATTTTAGAAAGTTATACAGTAAGTCTTGTAAGTGGATCAAATAAACACATAGGAAAAATGACCATCAAAACAACTTTAAAATGATTTATAAGTGTTCTGTTTTGTAGGTGAATAAGTAGGAAATTATTCACAGGTCAGTTAAAGGGATATTCAGGCAAAATAATGACAAAAATATCAAAATGATCTTTTGTACTCAACTCGCGCTAAAATGACAATTCTAAAAGTTTCAGCATGAATTTCTCTTGAAATTCTATATATTTTGGATTTGAAACATAAATATATCTATATATGTTGAACAAAATTTAGATGCAAATAGAATCACCGAATAGTTTTAAAACAAGTCAGGTGACTTGAACAAATCGTTGAAGTTGCATTAACAGATACTGTGGATATTGTATGATTGAAACAAGTCAAAATCATTCATTTGACATGTTCTTTAAGGTTTCCAGAGTTCACCGAGACAATTATTGTGAAATCCTAGCGCTTTAACCTAACCCACGCGGGTCAGGTTAGGAAACCACCATTTTATTCTTTACATGGACAAAAGTTTTGTTGCTTTGACTGTCTAATATATTCATTTTGAGGGCATTTACAGAATTAGGAATTAAAAAGTTCAAAACTAAAAAATGAAAATTTTGCCTGTGTCTCCCTTTAAGTCATAATGAATTGATCATCTGTTTTCTTTTTCAGAGATATGAAATATCAAGTATTTCTTCCTAGGAATAAATTTGAAAGTTTGCAGAGATTTATAAAGGTAAATTTTTTGTTTATATTAATTCCTTATCATAGAAACAAATTTTCTTTGTAAATTCAGAATGATAAATTATTTGATCATATCACTGACTCAGTATTTTATGTCATTTTGATTTTTACGTTGATTTCCAAGCCATGCGGAGTACAATGTACATACTTTCAATAATATGAAATTATATTATACATATACATGTACATGTATATTGATTTTCTATGAATATTAATGATTTTACTTGATAAAGATAATCTGTAAATAGCTTTATAATCTGCAAATAGATTTTTATTTCATACTTTCCAGTATTTTACTGTAATTTATCAGATGATTATATTCTGATAAACCTCTAGTGAAATTTATAAAACATATTTTTCACAGTAGTCGGACTATATCTGAATGCGGACGAAAAGGATATCATTACTAAATGGAATAACAGGCAATAGTAAATGCCATCATATGTTAATTTTGCTTCTTAAGGCAAAGAAAGTCAATGTCATCATACAAAATAATGTAACAAAATTAGAAAAATTCAACAGATTTTTATTTCAAAATTGTGATATGAGGTCATGTTGTGATAATGTTATAAAGGAGAATGCGCGACGTTACGCGGCAAAATCAGTTAAACAGGGATTTTTTGGCTTATTTTATAGCGGTTATTGGGTCATATTCCCAATTAAAAATAGTATATTACTTTCCCAATCTACAGGAAAATATTCCCATTTGAAAGTTACAAAATAAAAATATTGAATAAAGAACATCTTTAAAAATAAGGGCTTCTTCACTGTAATAGTGCTAAAATGTTTGAAGATGCCATCCTAGACATGGATTGTTTGCATTCATATAAACACTGCAAAATTTCAGTCATGCATTTTTTCCCGATTTTTAACAAAACAATGTTGAAATTCCCAATGCCATGGGTATGGGTCATGTTCCCAAAATCCTCGAAAAAAATCCCTGGTTAAAAAATACTTAAACTCACTTAAAAAGCATGAAAAAAACAAAACAAATTTATTTGTTTTACATATAAGATTGAAATATATTTCATTCGTGAACACCAGCTATTATATTGCTAAAATATTGCTTCTGGTGTTCATTCAGTGAAATATATATCAATCTTATATGCAAAACAAACAAATATTCTCTATATAATCTATAAATAGATTTATGATAATGATTACATTATTTTAACCCTGAACATGCTGAATATCTTAAATGGACTTGTCCCACTTCCATTTTTGGGACAGTCCATTATCAATTTTAGGGATATCAATTTGAATATTTAAAATTTGTCAGCCAACAGTATAGAGCCTGGTCAGACTGCACGGATGTGCAGGCTGGCCTGGCTCTATACTGGTGGCAAAGACTTTATGCTTTCGGGTCCAGCACTAAAAGGGTTAATATCAATGACTTTTTGTATATAGATGATGAATATTAATGAGTCTCAAGGGGCATTGTGCTAAACGCGTCTGCCTCTCAATCCAGCCGAGGAATCCTAAGCTTGTCAGGTGACGATCAGGTTTTCTCATATGACAACAGTATTGGGCAGGCTGAAACATGATAACTGGTAATTTAAGTTGGTTTAAACATATTTATTAAGCTTGATTGCGAAACAAGTTCTTGCAACTTATATTAATCACTTTTGAGTCCCCTCCCTGGAACCAACAAGTACTGAGAACCAATGCTTCACAATCAAGCGGAAATAAAAGCTGTTTAAAACTAATTAATGAAATATATGAATAAATCGTAAAATCATTAATATTCATGAATTATTATGAATATTTTATACAGAATGATGACAACATGATGCTGTTACAGATATTGAATCAACACATACAACTTCAAGGTATCAATTTTACCTTTCATTCTCTCATTCTTTTCTAGATGTTTATTCCTGAAATGTATTTATTAGAACAGTAAACTATCCATTTATAAAGGGGTTATTAAATGGGTATATTGATCTGAAATGTGTATATGACAAGAGTGGATTAAACTATGCTAGGGTCTCACATGGCGCGGCACAGGAGCTGTTGGCTACTTGATTATACCATTTTTGATACAAAATTCCTCGACTTTACATTGGACGGTCCCATAAATTAGTAAATTTTATAAATTCAGCATGCAAAGGGATTAAAGTTTAAACAGTGCCGTTATTTTATTAGTTGCTATTGTAGTGCTTTACATGGAATTGCATGTTGTTGTTTTTATAGCTTATTTAGAGATACAATTTCACCGTTGATAAAAAAAAATCTGACATGTTCGAGTAAAACTTACTTTTGTGTTTCAAGAATAGATAATCAACATGAAATGCCCAATTTTTTAGAACAGATTCATACATGAAATATCCTGTTTTAAGAAAAGATACACAATTTTATTTGCATGAAATATCCAGTTTTAAAGTGGCATGCCTCCAGATTCATACTAATTTTCATGAAATTTTTGAAAATGTATTTGAATGTATAAGATTGTGAAGCAATTTACACATTATCAACGGCGCTTACAACCCACGTTAATAACCAAAAGTGGTCAAAATATACATAAATAGCACAGTAACGCAGTAGAAATGTAGTTGTAAATACTGAAAATCAGTCACTAAATCGCACATAAAATGTAAAATATTACTTAAATTTTGAATCCTTTTACTATACCTAAAATCCTAGTACATTTTCTCAAGTTTGATTTTATTGAGATATTTTTTATCTCATCTGGAGGCATGTAGCTTTAAGAATAGAGACACAACAGAATTTACATGAAATATTGTGTTTGAAGAATAGGTGACAGCATGATATACAAATGTACCCTTTTCAATGTTATGAAACATCCCATTTACAAGGTAATACAGTAGTTTACATGAAATATCCAGTTTTTAAGAATTGAAAAATTGAGTAATTGACTGAAAGACTAAACTATATAGCTCATTATTGTGTAAGAAAATGGATAGTTCATGCAAGTTGTTGTATATCAGAATTAGTTCACACCTACTAATACAAGAATACAAAATTAGATCTTTTTATTTTGTTTACACATAATATCTTTTACAAAGAATGCATAGTTTTAGTTTTACACATATATTATATACACACACACAGATATATGTGTATAGCTTTTATGTTAAGAATGCATAGTTTGTGTAGTTGCAGGCGTATACAGTAGAGCTTCAACACCGTACGAGCAGGGTAAACTTACGTTTTATGATGCCACAAAAAGGCTTTAAGGTTTAAGCTGGAACATCTGAAATATTTTATGAATTTTTTTTTTTATTTTAATTAAAGCACTTTAAATACTAAAGTAAATTATGGGCCTAAACTTTCAAACCTGTGCTTTAGAACCATCTCTGGATAAAGACAAAGGTGCTAGTCTCATTGATTTGACATAAATTAAGTTTAATCTTATCATTCACGCATTATAATATCAATATATATATAAAAAATCGAAAAAAGAAAAAAAAAATCTGATTTTCTGTTGTATTGTTATATATAAGTTTTATATATTCTTTTAAAGTTTTTTTTCAATGTATGGATATTATATTGCATGAATAACAATATTCAATACATATTAATTCTCCGTGGTCGAGGGGTTAGAGTCAATGACTTCTAATCCAGTTACCTCTCTGGCGTGGGTTCGATCCCAGGGAGATGCTTTGGTAGTTATGCTCCGAGGAAGGTAGTCTAGTACTGGTGTAACTCTCCAGGAAAAAAATACTGTGGGAAAAAGGCATAAAATGAAACTTACAAACAAAACAAACAAGGTCAAATCAATGCAACAATACGAAAAATTAACCTCACACCAACAGCCAGTGTTTTGGTATCTTTTTGAATCAAAATCATAGTTAAAATTTACAGTCTATAAGACACCACCTGTCAGTGATGTAAAGTCTTTTCATTTCCCTTGACTGGCCTTTAAAGACAGTTTCAAGTTAACTGTGGTTAAGGTCACAGATATCAAATCACCTTACTGTCACCCCCACAGGAACTTGAAATTCTATTAATATTAAAGATAATATCCTAAATATACCCCCTATACAGTATAAATAAACACTCTGTATTTATTTGTTTATTTATACTGTATAGGGGGTATATTTAGGATATTATCATTAATATTGATAGAATTTCAAGTTCCTGTGGTCACCCCTGTGCTTTGAAATGCCACCATTTATTTTTTCAGCTATTTTTCAGCTATCCAGCTAGCTTTAGGAAGATCAGTGGTTCTACTTAGATGCTAGCCTGTACCTTGAGTACGGTAATTCATATTTAGGGAACATTTGAGGGCTATATTAAGATTAACTAAATTGTCAGATGCTGCGAGAATCTTATCCAAATATTTTGTAATTTGACTAATTTCAGTCTGGATTTTTCAAAATTGTTTTGCCATGAAACACACAGTTTTACACTTGTAACATGTTTTCCTTATTTGACCTTATTTGAACACTTAATCAATTAAAATGATATTGCTGTAACAGTATAAATCATATGTTTATTTGAATGTACAGAGTTCTAGCTTAAGCCGTTAAGTTGCTTGCACGCTTTATGGCAGCATGCCGACCTAGGTTTAAAACCTCTGTTGTTTGTATTGTTTTTTAAGCAGCACACCTCCAGATGAAGAATCACTTTTTTCAGAAAATTATTTTTATAAGTTTTTAACCCTAAGCCTGCTGGCAGAAACTGAATCAATCAACCAGTGCAAACCAAATTCGTGCCGTCTGCCCATGGTCTGCACTGTACGCCATTTAACGATGGCAAATTATTTTGTCCATATGACCTGTGTACTAATTTTATCATCATTATTTATATGAAAGCATTACTAATGGGCCATTTTTTTTAAAACATATTTTGGCAAAGCTTAAAGGAACTCCACTATGATTCAAAAGCCTAAATGCATAAAATTAGAACTACTTACATAGATCAGACGGGGTACTTAGATCACAGATATGCAAAAGAAAATTAAGAAATATACAAAAAGAGTACATTGAAAATCATAATTTTATGCCCTTTTAGCCAGATTTAAGTGATTAGCACTCAAACACTTCAGTTTTTGTTTATTTTCATAAAAAGAATAATCGTTCTGGAAAAAACCCAGTGTGCAAATGATCTGAAATTTTGCACACAAGTTATTGGTCTAGACCTTCATCAAATGAAACATTACTTTAATCTTCAAAATTTATTACCAGTTCTGTGATGTAAAAAAAAAAAAAAAAGCGCTGTGGAGTCCCTTTAAATTAGGTGATATAAATCTGGGGGTGTGCTGCTGATAATTGTTTGCTTCTTCTTTATTGACCCTTTTGGTACTGAGTTTTGATATATGGAAAAAAAATCATTTAGAAATTATTATGTGATCACAATATGGTCCAAATGTTGCATTTTTTGTGTCCATTGGAATAGACTACAGGGCATGCAATTCTGGAATTAAGAATATTTGGGTTTTTCCAGCTAATCCATTGGTACAATCAAACTTTAACAGTTACAGCTTCAAAAATAAGAGTGATATGTTGACTAATCTGTTGTGACGGGTAGTGCACTGTGAAGCTTATAATAATTGTAAAAGTTTGTTTCTATCGTAAAAGTTCTGGAAATCATCTATTTAAATACATGGGTTATGTTTAAGTAAACATTGCTGCATCTTGCATGCAAAGTGTGTTAGATTTTAGGCAACAACAGTACAAAGAGGGTTGATAAACAGTATTGTTGTTTATGGTTATTATGTTGTTTATGTTAATGTTGTTGTGTTGAATGTAATTCCTAATGTTTATTTGGTTTGTTTTTGATCTTTAAAACTAAGACATAAGATAAGAATAGTGCATGTCCTGTTTATGCATAAATGCATTGTGTTGCATAGTTACATGTATAAAACAGGGCTGGGTATTGCAAAGAAAAATCCTATTGTGATGTACTGCAATATTAAAGATTGAGAAGAAGTAAATGAGCCGTGTCATGACAAAACCAACGTAATGCGTTTGCGACCAGCATGGATCCAGACCAGCCTGCGCATCCGCACAGTCTGATCAGGATCCATGCTGTTCGCTATCAGTTTCTCTACTTGTTATAGGTTTGTAAGCGAACAGCATGGATCCATGCTGGTCGCAAACCCATTATGTTGGTTTTGTCATGACGCGGTTCAAATTATTCTCAGTACTGAATAAAAAAATGTAAAGGCATTTGGTTATGTAAAACAAGATGACCGAAATTTAACAATTCCATGAGTAAATGAATATCGCGTTGTGGATTGCGGGTCAAGATTGTTTTTTTTTACTATTTTTAGAGCTTGTTATTCCTCTGTAATATAAATCTCCAATCACCACATTTACCATCCTCCCGTCCTCTTATGTGCTTTCTATCTCTGAGCATTTCTCATGAGGATATTCATGTAGTTACCTAACTCTGTTTGTCCTAGCACATTGTCTCAAAGCAGTTTATTACATATACATGCATTTATCTATCTCTGGTTGTCCAAGCATATATGAGCCGCGTCACGACAAAACCAACGTAATGCATTTGCGACCAGCATGGATCCAGACCAGTCTGCGCATCCTCGCAGTCTGATCAGGATCCATGCTGTACGCTTACAAACCCTATTACAAGTAGAGAAACTGAAATCGAACAGCATGGATCCTGATCAGACTGCGCGGATGCTCAGGCTGGTCTGGATCCATGCTGGTCGCAAACGCATTACGCTGGTTTTGTCGTGACGCAGCTTTTAAATATATGAATAGAGGAATATGTATACAATGAATGTGTCTTAGCTTATATACCTATTAAAGGGGTATAGATCTTGTTGCCAAACTCTGAATACAGGAGAGAATTACTTACAGGTAATATCTTAATTAATTCTAAAACTATTCCCATACTTATAACATGCAAATGGTTTTGTTTTTTTGCATTTTGTATAAAATTTATGTGTAAATGCACATGTACAAATATCAGGTTTCTGCTCTTATCTTGCTATTTCTGTAAGAACCTGGATTTTTCTACTTAACCCATTACTTCATGAGCATTTTGTGAAAAATGGCTGTTTTCATTGAAAAGTCTCCCGTTACAAGTTCAAATTGCTATAATACTATAAAAACTGATTCAACACTAATTAAACTTGGCACAAATGTTGACTGGACCATTGCCCTTGCAACAACATGCTCAGGCTTAAATTTTCTGTTACCATGGCAACGAGGGGACATCTCAAAATTGCCAAAAATCACTATTTTGCGTTGATTTTTTCCATCATAATTGATTTTAAAGTGCTGCAACTTCTCAATGGATTGAGATAGAGTCAAATGCTTTTCAGCGTTGGTTACACGTTACCTTATGATCAATCTGGGGTCATTTATAGCCTCTCACAAGTCCAAAATTTTCTTGGCGATGAGGGGGACTCCGCCCCCCTTCAAACCCCCCAAACAGAAGGGGGCACATTCCCCTTCTGGCAGCCCCCTGATGTATCTTTTGATTGGGGGGCCGCGCCGAAAAACTGGTCACTTTTTTTAACAACATTTCTCAAACAAAAACAAGTGTTGGGGGCCTAAATAAGGCATTTTTTCACCATTTGAGACAACAAAAAGGGGGGGGGGGTGAAACAGGCGTTAAAAGGCGTGTATATGAAGTAATGGGTTAAATGGCCTTTATTATATATGCTCACACTGTTTGTTTGAAGAAAAGTGTTTTTTTGAGGCCATTGAGCTTATCAATTTATCTGACATATTTGTGTATACATTGATTTTGGTTTTACTTTTAGTTGATCTAAAATCTTTTGTTAATCTAGCATTATTCTAGAATAAAATAATACTCAAGCCTTACAAATTTAGAATGCCTCAATTTAAATTTATTTCAATGACTTATCATAGTCATAAATGATTTTGTAAGCCATTGTTTTTGAAGAAATATCCAATGTACGTATAATAGTAAAAAACAACAACATTTTGTTAAATAGGGATGTCATAGCATTTTCTTTCTTGATTATTACAGTTAAAACTGACTTGAATCCAACACTAGGCCTTCAAGACGAGAAACTTGAAAATCGTCAGCAGCAACCGATCTCACCAGCCGTTATACCAGACAATAAGGTTGTACAAGATGACCTTGGTCTGTCAAGTTTGAAACAGATCATTAAAGAAGTGAAGGACGGTCCACCAGGATTACCGTCGATATGTTTCTACAGTTTTCTCAATGCATATCAAGGGTAAACAGCATTGTTATTATACTATTGTTATCCAAACAGTTTAAGTATTAATATATCCCAAACAGTGATTTTATAGTAAGTAAGTCAGTAAGTAACAACTTTATTTAATGAGGCAACACAGTTTGGCCAGCCCAGTCTTTCCTATGAGCATCTGTCATATGTTGCTGTTCTGAAGGGACCCTCCCAATGTTGCGGTTCAGATTTGAATATCTGCCCGGAAATTTTTCTATATAAACAGAGAAGGCCCGAAGCTTGCATTATTCTTCAACAATGCACTCACCGTTTTTATTATCTTTCTGTGTATTTTTACGTTGAGGACACCATTTTGTTTGAAAAATCTGATAAATAAAAAACATTTTTTTTGTCGAATTTTGTTGTGACGAAAGAAAATTGTCTAACTAAGAAAATGAATCCAACATCTTTAATTCAGTCGTTAACGCTGTATTGATGTTTAAAGAGTTGATAATGTGACGTCACAATGTAGCGCCAAACAGCAAGTGCAAAACAATCAAATCAAGTACAATACACGCTATTTTAATGTCGCAAACGAGTTAAGTTTTACATTTATTTCACTTTTAATAATTTGTATTTCGCTTGAAAAATTATGGAGTGAAATAAAATAAACAAGGTTTTAACAAAATTTTATCAACGTTTTCAAAATTTGTTATTCTCAAAATGTTTCTACACACGGTAGATTTAACGAGAGTTTTCTTTCAACCCACTGGAACGGCCTTAAAAGAACGTTTCTATTGGACACTCTAAGGCGAAAACAAATTTAACCACCAAACATAAAGTCCATCTTTATAATAATAATTATGTTTTTTCTTGACGTGTTAGAATGGAAATAGATATTAATTCTTTGTGCATTATTTGCACGTTTTTCGTTCAAATGCTTTGTAATAAATCACTCAGGCCTATTGACCTTCCTGATTATGTTACTACGCATTTGAACTCAAACCGTGCATTATTTTACAACAGTGCAGTCAGAATTGATATCTATTTCCTAATTCTACCATATTCAATTATATTTTTAACTCTTTACCATAATGAAACAATTTTCCATGGAAATTTATGTCATTACACCAGCGTATGAAATTACAACTTAATTCATAAATGTAAAATTTCGTCATCCTAAGTGTGCCATTGTATAGCACTCTGCTCATCTGGCACCCCACTATGACAGATGAAATTTCCAGCTTGGGTAAAACTAGTGGAAATGCCATTCTGATATGCCAGAAGTCCTGTACATATAGTCAAGATATTTTATAATGAACATTTTTAATTAACAATATTAATGTATACATGTAATTATGATCATCAGATGTATATAAAAACAAGATTGTTGTACATTTTATAAATACAGGCTGTGCTGTGCCTCTACATCTGACAATAGTACTTACCTGAGCGGAGGTTTTGAGGACAGTTCAGTAAGACTATGGAGGTTGTTACCAGGCTCGTTCCCCGCTGTGGACAACAGTGACGGTCCTTCTGTCATACACCTCGCAGCCAATTATCTCAAAGTTCTAGATGATGAAGAAGATAAAAAATGGTACAAAATAATTTTCACTTTACCGATATATTAAAAAAAATGTTGCCAAATTTTTTTATCCTACTGCCTTAATAAGTGTGTAATGTCTTCATTTATTTGACAAGAAAGGATGATATTTAAGGTAAATTGGTAGGGTGTGATGTGTCTGGTATTTAAGGTCTTCCATCCATGAGATGCTGGTAATATCAGACTTATTTTGTCACTTTATCTGCCTGGTAGATATTTTTAGACTTTGGAACAAGAATGGATTTTCTAAAAGTGAACTATTTCTCTGAATTTTTTTTTCAATGAGTAGAATTATTTCTGGGAACTACTTTTTCATTGAGCAGAATTATTTCTGAGAGCTACTTTTTCAGTGTTAAGAATTATTTCTGAGAACTACTTTTTCATTGAGCAGAATTATTTCTGAGAACTACTTTTTCAATGTGAAAAGAGTTATTTCTGAGAACTACTTTTTCAGTGAGGAGAAAGAATGTCTTGTGTTAAGAGGTCATACAGGAAGTGTGTATCAAGCGAGGTTCTCCTGGGATTCCAAGTTTCTTTTTACCTGTTCAGATGATACAACAGGTAAGACTTCAAACATTATAAACAATTAGCTTTCACACAATAAAGATACATTCTAACACACTTCACACTATTTCCCTATCAAACAGTTAGGGAAATTAAGTGCATTTTTACATCATATATGCATAGAATAAACTAGAACTTCGCGAGTCGGATGTGTTGCCTTGTGAACAATATAGTTTAGGAGAAATGGCCAGGACAAAAATGAAATATGAAAATTAACAAAGGGCAACAACTCAAAAAATAAGAAGTGCAGAGCAGCAGTTTCTGTGCACTGCACTTCTTATCAATAAGATCAATCATCCTATGAAGTTTCAAGTCCATAGCTTTTATAATTTATGAGAAATGGCCTGGACAAAAATAAAGTATGAAAATTAATAAAGGGTAATAACTCAAAAATAAGAAATGCAGAGTACTGGTTTTTATAAACTGCACTTTTTCTTAATTAGATCTATCATCCTATCAAGTTTCAATGCCATAGCTTTTATACTTTCGGAGAAATTGCTTGAACAAAAATAAAGTATGAAAATTAACAAAGGGCAATAACTCAAAACTAAGAAATGCAGAGTACAGGTTCTTGTGCACTGCACTTTTTCTTAATGAGATCTATCATCCTATGAAGTTTCAAGTCCATAGCTTTTAAAGTTAAAGAGAAATGGCCCAGACAAAATTAAAGTATGAAAATTAACAAAGGGCAATAACTCAAAAATTAAGAAGTGCAGAGTACCGGTCCTTGTGCACTGCACTTTGGTTTATTGAAAGAAGCATGCATACCAAGTTTTAAGTCAATCCGACTTATAGTGACTGAGTTATGCTCCGGATAAGCTTTAGGGGACGCAAACAACAACGCCGCCGACAAAAGTAACCCCTATATGTTGCCTTTTCAAGGCGACACAAAAACGAATGCTTACACAATATTTGACATCCAAAACCAAATGATGTCAGGAAAATTACTTCCATGCTTAAAATTAATGTAGTTCAACATATTTTTATCCATTCTCTTTTATATTAGCATGTTAGAATGGAAAAAATACCAATTTTTCTTGCAATATAGTAATACAATGCACGGTTTATCGTTCAAATGCATTTTAAATAATTACTCACACATATTGGCCTTCGTGATTATATTCCTGAGCATTTGAACTCAGACTGTGCATTATTCTACAACAATGCACTCAAAAAATTGATATCTACTGAAAGTATTTCCTGATTTTAACCGGCTTAATTTCTTAAATGGACTTGTCCAGCGGCTTCCATTTTTGGAATGTTCCATTATCAATTTTAGGGTTATCAAGATGAAATTTCAAGTTTTTCAACCAACAGTAATGAGCCTTTTTAGACTGTAATATTCTGCAAGTTGGCCAGGCTGTATACTGGTATCAAAGGCTTATATTTTTCTTTTGGTTCAAAAAGGGTAAGAGTCAGTTTGGAAAAATCCCCAATAATGTTTAATCCTTAAATGTGTCTAGTGACTATGAAATGTCTCTGCCATCATTCTAGAGTCTTGCCAGTCTGCATGTCTGCCCAGACTCTATAATGTTTACTGCTCAATTTATATTTTTAAATTGAAACCCCTCATAGTAAATGACTGTTCCAAATTTGATGCTGGGTCTGCCTATTACACACATTTAGCTGGTTAAGTGTCAATTATTGCATTTAAATTGGGGAAAATGAACTTTTGACCAATCTTTAATGCATAAATCTCTTTAGTGCAAAAATATCTTTGTTTTTGGAAAAGACTTGGGGATATAGAAAAAAATATAAATCCTCTAAATACAAAAATATCTTTGTTTTTAAGAAAGACTTTGGGATATCGAAATACAAAAATCTCTTTGTCTTTTAGAAAGACTTTGGGATATAGAGAAAAAACATAAATCTTCTATATTCAAATTTTTTTTTTTATTAGAAAAACTTTTGGATAGAGAAAAAAAAAGACAAGTATTCTAAATTCAAAAATCTCTTTGTTTTTAAGAAAGACTTTGGAATATTGAGAAAGACATAAATCTTCTATATCAAAAAACTCTTTGTTTTTCAGTAAGACTTTGGGATAGAGAAAAAATAGAAATCTTATAAATATAAAAGTCTCTTTTTTATCAGAAAGACTTTGGGATATAGGAAAAAACTAGATCTTCTAAATACAAAAATCTCATGGTTTTTCAGAAAGACTTTGGGATATAGAGAAAAATATAAATCTTCTAAATACAAAAATCTTTTTGGTTTTCATTAAGACTTTGGGATAGAAAAAAAACCCCATAAATCTTCTATATACAAAATTGTTTTTTTAGTCCCCTACCGGTTTACCGGAGGGGACTTTAGGTTTACCCTCCGTCCGTCTGTCCGTCTGTCTGTCTGTCTGTCTGTCCGTCTGTCCGTCCGTCAGTCCGTCCGTCCACAAAACTGGATCCCGCGATAACGCAAAAAGTACTGAAAATATTTTAATGAAACTTGATATATGGATAGATGGCAGTATGGAGATTATGCACGTCTTTTTCTTTTCTTCCTATGTTGAAAATTCTGGTTGCTATGGCAACAAATAGACTGAAAATATGGCAAATTTTACACATAACCTGGATCCCGCGATAACGCCTAAAGTACTGAAAATATTTTTATGAAACTTTATAAATGGATAGATGGCAGTATGGAGATTATGCACGTCTTTTTCTTTTCTTCCTATGTTGAAAATTCTGGTTGCTATGGCAACAAATAGACTGAAAATATGGCAAATTTTACACATAACCTGGATCCCGCGATAACGCCTAAAGTACTGAAAATATTTTTATGAAACTTGATATATGGATAGATGGCAGTATGGAGATTATGCACGTCTTTTTCTTTTTCTTCCTATGTTGAAAAATTCTGGTTGCTATGGCAACAAATAGACTGAAAATATGGCAAATTTTACACATAACCTGGATCCCGCGATAACGCAAAAAGTACTGAAATATTTTTATGAAACTTGATATATATGGATAGATGGCAGTATGGAGATTATGCACGTCTTTTTCTTTTCTTCCTATGTTGAAAATTCTGGTTGCTATGGCAACAAATAGACTGAAAATATGGCAAATTTTACACATAACCTGGATCCAGTGATAACACAAAAAGTACTGAAAATATGTTTATGAAACTTGACATATGGGTAGATGGCAGTATGGAAATTATGCACATCCTTTTCTTATCTTCCTATGTTGAAAATTCTGGTTGCCATGGCAACAAATAGACTGAATTTCAAGATTTCTGATTCTAGTTTTTAAGTTTTTTCACTATAAGTTCTTTATTTCTTAAGATATTTTCTTCAAACTTTAAATATAAGTTGCTTGTCATCAACCACATCATATGTGACAAGGTTTACAACTCTAGCACAAAATTTATCAGAATAACCTCCCTTGAACTTAAAATTTTCATGAAAAAAACATTGTTTTTTTTTTAATAACTTCTTTTTCTGAATGTATCTACTTCAAACTTCATATAAATGTTTCTTATTATCACTCAACATTTGTGAGTGTTCAATACTCTAGCAAGACTATTTCCAGAATTATGCCCCTTTTGAACATAGACTTTTTTTTTGAGAAATTGGTAATTTTTACTCCAACTTCTTAAATCATGATAGGATGTTAAAAATGTTATATTTTGATAACAGGGATGTTTAAAAAATAACTTTAGAGTGTCCTTCAGTCCGTCTGTCTGTACATAAAAACTGTTTTCTTGTCCTTCAGTCCGTCTGTCTGTACATAAAAACTGTTTCCTGTGATCACTTTTAAAGAACTTTTTCAACAAATTTACTTAAAATAGGAACCTAAGTAAATGGCCAATGGCCCTTCAGAATGTTGCTTGGGCTCTTACCGGTAGGGGACTTATGGATTGCTTGCAATACTATGATAATTGCTTGTTTTATCAGAAAGACTTTGGGAAAGAGAAAAAAAAAATCTCTTAACCCCAAAAATCTCTTTGTTTTTAAGAAAGACTTAGGGTAATATAAAAATTATTTTCAGAAAGACTTTTGGATAAAGAGAAGAACATAAATCTTCTAAATACAAAAATCTTTGTTTTTCAGTAAGACTTTGGGATATAGAGAAAAACAATCTTCTAAATACAAAAATCTTTGTTTTTCAGTTCGACTTTGGGATATAGAGAAACAAACAAATGCTGCGGTATTCAGGGGCCATAACTATCCAGTGTGGGATGTAGATACAAGGTAGCTATTGTTGTAGTTTTATAAGCTTGTTTCATTGTCCAGATAGGATTATAGTTGATAATGACAGCAATATCAATGTTAGATTTTCTAGGAGTAACCTAATTCCTGAAAAAAACTTTACCTGATTTAGACTTTTGAGTCAACTGGAGTTGTTTTCTATATTCTTATTTACATTAAAATCTGCTAGTTTAAGTTAAGATCCGAGCCCAATAATGGTCATTATTGCAGTCTTGCAAAATTTCCGTGCTAGTTTTTTTCTATGTTCAATAAGACACTTTTATTTGAATTTATAAAAAAATGTACCATCAGTTAAGGTTGTTAAGGTTATTTTTGTTCCCTGACCCCCAACAGTCAAAATTCACTATGGCAACGAAATAAGAAATATTCTTTTTCAGTTAATTAAAATTAAATGAAATATCATTTAAACCAGACAGTGAGAAAGTTTATGGTATGATTTTGATTTTCTTTAAATAAAATCCAGTATCTGTTTAATTTTAGTGCAATGGGTGATTATTTTGTAAGCTGTTCACATGACCAGACTGCCAAATTGTGGTCGTCAGAGAGAACGTACCCAATCAGAAGTTTTATTGGACACACATACGATGTTGACGTAAGTTAAATGATAAAGTAAAGTAATGCATGGAGAAGCCTCGGAGACCTTTTTTCACCAACATTGCAAGAAAGTCATTAAATTACCTTTCTAGTAATTTGTTCCTCCTGTACAAAGTTGAATATCTTCTGCCTTGTTATTAGTTATAATTATATTCTAACTACATTTTACTAAATCATGTTAAAGACTTCTGCATGTGATAATTTGTAAAAAAATGAATTTCAAATAATCATGAATTTTAAGTGTAATGTATGCTCATTTCACCACATTAAAACCATTTATGAACTAAGGTTGACATCATTTCACCACATAAAAACTATTTATCAGCCTAAGATGGCATCATTTCACCACATTAATTTAAACCATTTATGAACTAAGGATGACATCATTTTACCACATTTAACCATTTATGAGCTTAGGATGACATCATTTCACCACATTAAAACCATTTATGAACTAAGGATGACATCATTTAACCACATTAAACCATTTATGAACTTAGGATGACATCATTTCACCACATTAAACCATTTATGAGCCTAGGATGACATCATTTCACCACATTAAACCATTTATGAGCTTAGGATGACATCTTTTCACCACATTAAACCATTTATGAGCCTAGTATGACATCATTTCACCACATTAAACCATTTATGAACTTAGGATGTCATCATTTCACCATTATGAAATAAGTTGTAAATTTGTGTTCTTTCTTAAGAAAACACTGTTAAATAGAGACAGTAGTTTTCATAATTTATTTTTTTGCTAATGTTATTATGCAGCATGCTTGAAAAAGAATGATACACTAGCTGTGGTAACAGACTGGGATGTTCGGTTCTCTAGTAACTGTTTAATTGAAATTCAACAGTTTTGTTACTGCCTAAAACAGTAACCTGTGAACCAGATATTCTGGTCAACTACTAGAAGCCTGCATAAGACTCTATAATTTATTTTTTTTTACGGTTGATTTTTTTCATATTTCTTTAGAATAATTTATTTGGTTTTTCAGTGTGTAAGGTTTCATCCCAATAGTAACTATGTGGCTACAGGTTCAGGTGATAAGACGGTTAGAATGTGGAGTATACAGGACGGCAAGTCTGTACGTCTGTTGCCGGGACACAAAAGTTCAATCCTCTCCCTAGCGTTCTCACCAAATGGCATGCTGCTGGCCTCAGCAGGTAACTATAATTATACTTTATCATTTTTGGATTTTTGTTTATGTTAAGGTTTGTTGAGCCCTAAAAATTTTGAGTGACACTAAGTGTTGGAGCACTGAACTGAATACTGTATTCTGGTATGTACCAGTATATACCTGACAAGGCACTTGAATCACTAAATTCTAAAATCTGGCCTTTTCACCCACTGAAAAGCACTTAAAGACAGTTAATTCATCTGACACCGATTTATATACAGATATGAATGAAAAATGTAAGAATCTCTGAAAAAAACAATATTTTTCTACTTGTGATCATGATAACTGTGTCAAGCGTCTTAGAGGTACTGCTCCAACACTGTAGTGAATTAAATCTAAAAATTTTCATATGGATGCTTAGAACTGATCATCAGCTTTGAAAAATTTGAAAGGTCAAAAATGTTTTCAATTTTCTTACATGACCATTTTCTTAATTTTAAACATGGATCATGCCTAAAATAGGAAAAATTGTCCTTGCTGAAAAACAAAACTATTTTTGCAGATCAGTAAGTAACAGTCATGTAGTCTTCATTATAAAAACTTTCTAGGGCTTTTGATAGCATAGTATTTGCCCTTCACTATTGCGGTTTTGAATCCCAACAGAGACTTGTTTGGTTTTTTCATGTTAGAAAGCTATCCAGTTTGCTTATGGGAGGTTGCTCACTGGACCCAGGTGCCTGTTCTTACCTGAAATAATGCACAAAGGGATACTTGTGGTCTTCCTCCTCTAGTACAGCTAAAAAATCATCATATGACCTTTACAGTGTTGGCATGACTTAAAACCCAACAATCATGACCTCTGATATTGACAATGGTATGTTCCAAATACAAAGTAGGAAAAGTCCATTATTCAAATCTAGGAACATATTCATAACATAAGGGTATATATCTGGTAAAAAGGTGATCCCTCGGAAGCATTAAAAACAGCAAAATAACATGAAAATTACAGACTCGGTTTGATTGAGCCTGTACGTGTATGTGTTAAGACTGAGTAACTATAGTTTGATACTTTACTCTCATAATTATTTGTTTATACTTAAATGAGACGTGTCATGACAAAACCAACATAATGGGTTTGCGACCAGCATGGATCCAGACCAGCCTGCGCATCCGCGCAGTCTGATCAGGATCCATGCTGTTCGCTATCAGTTTCTCTACTTGTAATAGGGTTGGTAAGCGAACAGCATGGATCCTGATCAGACTGCGCGGATGGGCAGGCTGGTCTGGATCCATGCTGGTGGCAAACCCATTATGTTGGTTTTGTCATGACGTGGCTCATATATTGTTACATTTAAGGTGAGGACAGGAGGATACGTGTTTGGGATCTGAGGAACGGCCAGCTGTTTAAAGAGTTCAGAGGTCATACTGACACTATATATTCCCTCAGTTTTAATCAGAACAGTTCAACGCTTGCCTCAGGTGAAGTTTATGCTTGTTTGTTATAAGATCATTAAACACTTTCTACAAAACATTAATTTTCTTATTACGATCTTAACATTATAGCTTGATTACATGTAAGAAAGAGAAAAACAGTGTTTATACAGTATGTACGCAATAATTGAGAATCCAGATAGATTCTTCTTTGAGATATCTTTACTCATCCCTTAAGATGTCTTAAGGTATATCTATGACCAAATATTTAGGTATCTCTGACAAATTTTGGCTAAACTTGTAACCAGTTTTTTTTAGCAATCTTTAGTAAAAGTTTAAGCATATTTTGCTGAACTTGTCCATCTGTAAGAGTTCAATTTGGTACATGTATTATAAATATATTATTGTGAGGGAGCTATTCAGTCAGCTTATGAAAGGGAAGTTATGGTTCTACACACATATTATAGTAGGTCTAAAATGGGCATCATTTTTACCTATAGGAATCTGTTCTTATATGTTTAATGCCTACATTTAAAGCATGTGACGTTATATTGTGATTATTTGACAGGTGGATTAGACAGCTGTATTAGAGTATGGGACTTGAGAAAATCAGCTGGAAGTTCATTGTCAGCGTAAGTGTTGTACACTACTTTGTATATTTTTTAAGCTCAACTGAGCACACAGGTTTATTCAAGCTTCTAGCATTGATGGTTGACCTAAAATTTAAGGCTATATCCCTGAAAGTTTTACTTTCAGTACTGTTGTTTTGCATGTTGTTTTGAACTTTGACCTTGAATATGACCTACAGTGACCTATATCTGAATTGTAGACATGATGACCTTACCTAGCAATAGTTCTAGGCTGAGCGATCTAGGGTCATCATGGTCCTCTTGTACATTTTGAATTTTCACCTGTGAGACAAAAACTTTATTTGCATACTGATTTTCAGGATGTTGTTAAGAATTCATGTTTGTTACTGCACCCATGCTGTCAGAATTGCTGCACAATGTTTAAGCCATAAATTTTTGCTAAGGATGTAATTTGATTGAAAGTTGTAATTGTAAGTGATAAGTTGGCCAAGATAACTACATTATTGTAGTTTTCTCTAATATTTGTATTAAGAATAATTAGTATACAGCTTTTTACTCTTAACCTCAATATCTGGAATGGACTTGCCCATTCACAACCATTCATTAATTTTAGGGGGTATTTCAAAAGAAGTGCTGACTGAATAAAGAACAGTGCAGACCATTATTAGATGGCACAGATGTGCTGGCTGATCTTGGTCTGCAATGGTCTCATGGGTAGATTCTGTTGCCACTAGCAGGCTAAGCTGTTATTATACCCAGTTATTTATTATTCAAATGTTTATGCTAACTCCTTCATTATGATGAAAAATACAAATATACAGACAAAGGTTGCATCAAAAGGTCAAATATTTTATGCTACAGATAATGGTGTTTTAAAATCTTTCATTACTTTCAAAATCATACCTATGTACTATAAGATCAACATCATCTAGTATAATCATGAAAGATATAGAGGATATTGAATGAGTGTAAGTTCAATAATGAATTTATTGCACGAGTTGAATAAAATTATATTATGCGAGCCTCTGGCGAGCATGATATTATTTTATTCAACGAGTGCAATAAATTCAGTAATGAACTTACACGAATTTAATATTCTATTTATCACATACCAAAAATAAAGACCGTTTAAGGTGTAATAAGAGTCATATTTCAGTGACGCGCCTATAGTATAACGCTTACATTTAGCGTGTCTTTACACTATGTTTGTATTACGCTAATGACGTCACGTCAAAATATATGCACGGCCGTGCAATACCATATTTACGGAGTCGCAAAATCGGCCAGGGTGTGTGATAAAATATTTTAAAGCTGCATTATTTAGCTGTTTCAGAATGACCTAGGTTTTTTTTCAAATCTTTTTTGATATTATTTATGTAATTTACATTACATTATACTAGTATGATACAACATTATATTATAAAGAATTATACATTTGTTATTAAACTTTAATGAATAACGACTATTTTTTTTCCGCTCTTTATGTAGGTCAGACAACCATAACTCTGCGGAACTTCTCGGAGCCTTCCCCACAAAGTCAATCCCCGTGATATATCTAAATTATACAACTCATAATGTACTACAGGCTGCAGGAGCTGTATGATTTATTATATTTGTATACTAATATGTTAGTGTGAAAACATTGTGGTTACTATGCTGTGCAACCAATGTGGCCAGTGATATTTGCATACCAGCCAGAAATTCTCGCAAGCTAAACAAGTTAAACGAGAACTGTGGTGATTTGTTTGCAACCAAGCCAGGATAAATGTTGGTTGACATGCAGTCCAGCCAGGATAATTGCTGATCAACTTGCAGTCTAGTCAGGATAATTGCTAGTAAGCCTGCAGTCCTGCCAGAATACTTACTATCAAGTCAGGGTAATTTTGGTTAACATTGAAATCCAGCCAGGATAATTGCTTGAAAATGTAAAGTGCAGCCAGGATAATTGATGGTTAACTTTATGTCCAGCCAGGATAATTGTTGGTTTACTTGCAGTCAAGCCAGGATAATTGTTGACTTACTTTCTGTACAGTCAGGATAATTGTTAGGTTACTTGCAGTCCATCCAGGATAATTGTTGACTTACTTGCTGTCCAGCCAGGATAATTGTTGGTTTACTTGCAGTCCAGCGAGGATAATTGATGGTTCATTTGTTGTACAGCCAGGATAATTGTTGACTTACTTGAAGTCCAGCCAGGATAATTGTTGGTTAACACTTGCATGTCCACTTTGATTTCTTGCTGTAGATAATGCATTTCTTTGCATTTAACCAAGACTGCTGATTGGTTGCTGGTAACTTGCATTTCAGGCAATGTTGTTTGTTGCAAGTCAGGCTTTCTAGCAAGTAGAGCAGTCAAAACATGTATAACAAGAAAGACTTTGGAATGTTTTCCTAGCTTTTCAGTCAGGATAATTTATTAGTGCTCTTGCATTTCAAGAAATTTAAGCATACCTGTTGAATAAAACTACATGTATATTACAGACAGAAGAGACATGTAGAATGTGATCTCTTTTTTAATGAGATTATTTGCTACTTTTTTGAAAAATCATGGTAATTTGATTCCATACATTTTTAGCTCACCTGTCACAAAGTGACAGGGTGAGCTTTTGTGATCGCTTTTCGTCCGGCGTCCGTCCGCCGTCCGTCCGTCCGTAAACTTTTGCTTTAAATGACATCTCCTCATAAACCACTGAGCCAATTTCATCCAAACTTCATAGGAATGTTCCTTTGGTGGTCACCTTTAAAAATTGTTCAAAGAATTTAATTCCATGCAGAACTCTGGTTGCCATGGCAACCGAAAGAAAAATCTTTAAATATCTTCTTTTAAACAACCCTAAGAGCTAGAGCTTAGATATTTGGCATGAAACATCTTCTAGTGAGTGTCTACCAAGTTTGTTCAAATAAAAGCCCTGGGGTCAAAATTGGCCCCGCCCCAGGGGGTCATTGATTTTCCCTATATGCATATACATGTAGTAAAAACTTAAAAAATCTTCTTTTAAAGAACCCTAAGAGCTAGAGCTAAGATATTTGGCATGAAACATCTTCTAGTGAGTGTCTAACAAGTTTGTTCAAATGAAAGCCCTGGGGTCAAAATTGGCCCCGCCCCGGGGGTCATTGATTTTCCCTATATGCATATAGTAAAAACTTAAAAAATCTTCTTTTAAAGAACCGTAAGAGCTAGAGCTAAGATATTTGGCATGAAACATCTTCTAGTGAGTGTCTAACAAGTTTGTTCAAATTAAAGCCCTGGGGTCAAAATTGGCCCCGCCCCGGGGGTCATTGATTTTCCCTATATGCATATTGTAAAAACTTAAAAAATCTTCTTTTAAAGAACCGTAAGAGCTAGAGCTTAGATATTTGGCATGAAACATCTTCTAGTGAATGTCTACCAAGTTTGTTCAAATAAAAGCCCTAGGATCAAAATTGGCCCCGCCCCAGGGGGTCATTGATTTTCCCTATATGCATATAGTAAAAACTTAAAAATCTTCTTTTAAAGAACCCAAAGAGCTAGAGCTAAGATATTAAGCATGAAACATCTTCTAGTGAGTGTCTACCATGTTTGTTCAAATTAAAGCCCTGGGGTCAAAATTGGCCATGCCCCGGGGGGTCATTGATTTTCCCTATATGCATATAGTAAGAACATAAAAAATCTTCTTTTAAAGAACCGTAAGAGCTAGAGCTTAGATATTTGGCATGAAACATCTTCTAGTGAATGTCTACCAAGTTTGTTCAAATAAAAGCCCTGGGGTCAAAATTGACCCCGCCCCAGGGGGTCATAGATTTTCCCTATATGCATATAGTAAAAACTTAAAAAATCTTCTTTTAAAGAACCGTAAGAGCTAGAGCTAAGATATTTAGCATGAAACATCTTCTAATGAGTGTCTACCAAGTTTGTTCAAATAAAAGCCCTGGGGCCAAAATTGGCCCGCCCCAAAAACTTAAAAAATCTTCTTTTAAAGAATTCAAAGAACTAGAGCTAAGATATTTAGCATGAAACATGTTCTAATGGGTGTCTACCAAGTATGTTCAAATAAAAGCCCTGGGGTCAAAACTGGCCCCGCCCGGGGGGAGGGGGGGTGTCATTGATTTTCCTTATATTAATGAAGTTATATGTGTATCGCAAAAACTTAAAAATCTTCTTTGAAAAAACCCAAATAGCTAGAGTTTAGATATTAAGCATGAAACATCTTTAAGTAAATATCTACAAAGTTTGTTCAAATAAAAGCCCGGGGGTCAAAACTGGCCCTGCCCCAGGGATGTCATTGTTTTTAACTATATGTGTATAGTAAAAACTTTAAAAATCTTCTTTTAAAAAACCCAATGAGCTAGAACTTAGATGTTTAGCATGAAACTTCTTCTTATGGGTGTCTACCAAGTCTGTTCAAATAAACAAATAAAAGCCCTTGGGTAAAAATTGGCCTGGGGGTGGGGGGGGCCTATATACAGGTGAGCGACCTCAGGGCCATCATGGCCCTCTTGTTTTCTATAAGATTTAAAATAATTCCTGTGGAATTATATTGTTTTGGACTCATTTTTTTGCAATTTTGTATACATGAGTTGATCAAATATAAATGTTTATGAATACCTACATTTTTGAATTTTGTTATTCTTTTTCTTTATTTACTTTATTACTTTTTGTATTGTTGTTTGCCTGTAAATGACCGCAATTGATTTTTAAGTCTTTAGGTCAAAGGTCAAGGTCACAGTGACACTTAGAGTAAAAACTTTGTCCAGTCAATTACTTGCGAGGGATTGTGCCTATGTTACTTGATACTGACCCCTATTGATTTTGATGTCATTAGGTTAGAGGTCATGGTCACAGAGACACTTTTCAGTCAGTAATTTGGTCTGGTTGTTGTCTTTTTCTCTCCAATGTGTCATCGCCCATTAATGCATCCTTAGATAGTACATACATGTACATTGAACTTGTGGCAATATATTCTCTTTTTTTTTTTGGGGGGGGGGGGTGCTATTCATTCCTTGGATATCTTTAGGAGGGTATACAATGGTAGGGGCACACCCTGTTTGTAATGTATATAGTATATTTGCTGTATGCTGCATTGTGTCACTTTAGGTATACCAACACCTTGTAAAAGAAAAGTTAATCATATTGTTATTATTGTTCCAGACTTCTAATTGACATCATAAATTTATGTTTGAAATCACTTGAAACAATAAATGGCAATTTCTAAATTCAAAAGCAGGGTGTGTCTGCCAAAACTAGCAGGGTGTCCATAACACAAGCAGGGTGTGTCCATAACACAAAACCAGCAGAGTATGGGTTAACTGTATTGTCACTGACCATTTTGTATATAAAATCCATAACAACATCAATTATAAGCAGCTTTAATATATTTGATTTTTAAGCATTAAAATATCAGCAAACATAAAAACAAAAATATCAACTTAATATACATATTGCAACATGATATAATCTCCAAACAAAGTCAATGAAACCAAGGTATTTCTAAATTTATTTTAATATTGAAAGACTGATGAAAGGTAGCCATATATTATAAATATCTTATGCATAGATACATACAGGATACCATCCTATGCAAGTAAAATATGTAAAATTTATTTTAATATATTTATCATACAAAAAGTTAGGTTTTCATACATCTCTTAAAAAAAAAAAAAAAAATTACCCATTGAAATTTAAACTGGTTTTCTTTTATCTACTCAGACCTGTTTAGCAAAGAGGAATTGGAAAATCAATTTATAACAGGGGTTAATATAGTTCTTCTACTGCAGAATATGCATCAGGTTTAAAAGAATTTATAATGCGCACAATGAGATGTATAATTATAAAAGCTGCACGCCTTCATATGAATAAATGAGACAAAAAATGTTTTAAACATTCAACTTGTAAATGAAAATTATGAGTGTATATTAAATATTTGCACTTCATGCCAAAACCTTGTTTAAGGTCGAATATACATTTATATATTTAATGTATGTTCTAAGGACAATATTTTTGTTAGATCTACCAGAATAATTGGTATTTTAGCATAATTTTATTGGTATTTTAGCATAATTAATATGGTTGATAAGAATTTATGCTATTTTGGGATGGATTTTAAGTGCCTTTAGACATTAGGGCATTATAATCTTAGAAGTGCATGTAATTTAAGGCTACTCTTGAAAATATATTTACTTTTCAAATTTTTAAAAAAATCTCTTTAAGTTTTAACCTGTTGGAACCGGAATGATTTGCCTTTGCCACCAGTTTAGAGCCAGGCCAGTAGGCTCCGCTCTATACTGTTGGTAGACTAGCTCATTGAAATCCCTTTAGCTTTAAATGGACTATTCCATATTCAAAGCACTGAGCAGGTACATTTAAATTGGTTAATGGTAATGAATATGGAGGCGTGCTGCTTTAAAATGAATTCAACTTGCATGTACATTTATTACCATAATCAAATAAAGGACAAAGCACCCACACAATGTTTTGCATAGTGGCTTTTTGTATAATGAACGCAAGTTAAATTGACCCTTAACCTGCTGAATTTGTATAATGGAATTGCCCTGCTTTGAATTTGGGACAGTCCATTTAAAGTTTAAGGGTAAGTACTGTTAGCAAATGCACGTCACTTCCGGTGCTAGCAGGGTAAGGGGTAGTCTGGTTCCCTTCTTTAGTAAAGTGTAAGGAGAAGAAACTCTAGACAAGGTAACTATTATAGTGATCGAAACATATTGTAACCAGGGCTCCAGTTTGTTTACATTAAGAGCCATTATTTTTGTACAAACTCATTTATGCAAGTCTCGATGGGGTGTAATCAACTTTGAAAAGTTTATAAAATATAACACCTATTGAAATTAAGATATTGAAATACAAATACTTGTATTGCGGAAAACTAAATTCTGGTTTATTAAATTCGAAGTTGAATAACATTAAATGTGTCATTTATATATATATATATATATAATATATATAATATATATATATATATATATATATAATATATATATATAAACGTAGACTCTAGCTGGGATGTAATCAGAGACATTTTTACAGACTGTACATTATATTATGCCCCAGGAACACTTTATAAACATTTTAAGAGTCATGCAAATTTTAAATGAATATATACAGCATTCTAATATGTAGGAGGAAATACATTTTTACAATGGGTTATTTAATAAACAGTCATTCTTGGCTGTGAACGTTAAATAATGGCATAAAGTTTATATTAAACATAAAGAGAAGTACTATGTAACTGGCAGTGGTTTTTCTCACTTAATTTGGAAGAGGTCTTACAGCCTCTTGATTTTGGGAAAAATCTGGGACATACGATATCGTATGTCCCAGGAAAAATCATCGCTCATATTATATTGCTAACTTGCATGGGAAGTAAATAAGCTGGAGCTAGTAAGCTCGATCAGATCTTTTGGAAAACTACATGATTTCAAGAAAAATTTCAATTGGGAAGTGTCCTTTTATTGGCCTCTGTTATACATGTATAAGGAGGAAAATCACGGACAGGATCGACATATTGGTCATTTTTTTCCACAGGATGAACAGTATTAATAATACTGGTAAACAGAGCTAAAAAGTCATGTTTAAACTGAGCATTTTATGGTTTACAACATAAGCACCTTGGAATAATTGTCCTCACACAGTTTCAGTTTCTTTATGTAATAGTCATTATTTAATATTGCTTCAGAGAAAACAACCGGAACTATATTTGTATTGACGTAATTATATTCTTCCGCCATGGACACATTCCGGAAGTCACCCGATGATTCCCGAACTCGCACATTTACAATACTGTCGGCATTTCCTGGCCGAATGTTGTCGTCAAAGAAAATGTGATGAGTACTGGGGTCCGATTGGTCAATCCACAAAGGTTTCCCTCTTGTCGGGTCAAACCCATGTTTGTACCAATCTTCACAATCGTCCCTTATCGCAGATATTCCATTCCGACTTGAGAAATAATTGTACATTTCGTTGTCATTTTTCACATTTTCACAATTTTCACATTCTTCCGACTTTTCACACGAATCTTCACATTCCGATAAAAACCGAAAAGTTCCAAAGTCTTCGCCTCTTCTTAAAATAGGCACTTCTTCTGAGAAACCTTCCAAAAGACTTTCTAAATTATGACAAAATGGCATATTTGATCCAATGGTTGCTTTGATACTCTTAAGAACGCCTTTTGCGTCACTTCCGTAAGTTCTAAATACTACAGTGAAATCACGTTCTTCCTGAATCAAATAGTTCAAAAGTGTATAAAAAGACGGCAGAATGAAATGAAATCGACTGGATTTTGTTCCAGGAACGGTCATTTCTTTGTGTAGAGATTCGTCATATGGCAATTTCCATTTCAAAGTGTCCAACAAAGTATTAAGGTATGGCTTAAACGTCGTTCCTTGTGGATGATCCGTGAACGACGTTAAATGATACCTCAGTGCCGCTCTGTCTTTAGATTTCTGAGGCAGAAGACGTTTCTCTTCAAACTTATAGAAACTGACGTCAGTGGCGTCTAAGGGACGACTGGAAGGTTCGTGTCTAGAAGAATGCCATACCCCTTCCCGATCCTTTCCCCACGCCATACCAGAGAGATAAATGTTCAAGGCAGCTTCTACAGTTTCACCGGTCGCCGAATCTACGGGAACTATAGTTTTATTTACATCAAAATGTAAAACAAGTTTTCGTTTCACTACTTCAGATATTTCTCTACCATTTTGATGAAACATTGCGCACAGCCTCTGTTTCATATCCTCGAGCGTCTTTGCATCCTCCGCTACCGTTGTATCCTCCAATATCGTTGTATCTTCCAGTACTATTGTTTCCCGCGTTACTACTAGAATATCACCGGTTGTTTCTGCTTCATTAATTTCCGGTCTATCGTTGTGATTTGTCCTATCAGAAATCGACATTACAGACGATGTATTTGTTGAATGACTGTTGTTAGCGTTTGATTTATGAAGCTGCCACTAAATTCTGTTGCTCTTGTCTGAAAATATAACATTTGCATTCGTGTAAAATACAAGTAATCGATACGGTTGCAATTTTCATTCAGGGTAGACCGTATTAAATGGTCTACACATCGGTTCTGATCAGCTATTTTTCACAAAATTTACGTACAGTTTTGATCCCTTTTATAAATCCACAAAACGCAAAGAATGAATCCAAGAAATACGCAAACTCCATGATAGTTTTTATAAATGTAAAGTCAACGTTAATCTTAATTTCTATTTTTCGAAATCCGAGTAGGAAAATCTTATGTCAATTCGAAAGAAATGTTTAAATTCACCGTCACTCATATGGAACGCTGTAACTGCTTTAAAATGAAAATCAATACCGTAAATCAAACGGGGGCCTATCTCTTATTGTTGAACTTCAAAAGGCCTTTATAAATGTGTTAGTTCTTTCGTTATTTGTCACTAACTTTTATCTATATATACAAGTAATTGTTTACCTTGACTTGTGTAATTTATCCCGAGTCAGTAGGAAATTCTACATGTAGAAATATATATAACTATATACATGTATATTACCTGATTATCCCAAACCGTACAAGAGCTTTTTTTTGATACTGGTATACAGTAGTACAGTGACAAAGATTTATTTATTTATATTTATACTTCTATTATTCCCAACAGTTAAACTGAACGTGAAACGTGAATTTAATCTACATAAACCAAACTAAACAAATGCTTTAAATATACTACATGTAGTTGTGCGGGTCGTAAAGTTTGTAAGATGTCTGAAGAACGCCCTCATAGGTCAAATATGTCACCTGATATTTGAGCCACGTCACGACAAAACCAACATAATGCGTTTGCGACCAGCATGGATCCAGACCAGCCTGCGCATCCGCGCAGTCTGATCAGGATCCATGCTGTTCGCTATCAGTTTCTCTACTTGTAATAGGGTAGGTAAGCGAACAGCTTATGTTGGTTTTGTCGTGACGCGGCTCATATAATAACTCGGTCAGTAAAATATTTGAAATATCTAAAGCAGCTTTTTTGCCAAAATATTTAACACTCCCAATTGACAATCATTAATATAAAAGAAAATGAATTAACAAATTAATCAATCAATCAATCAAATGATTTCTGGATGCTGCTTTGTAACTTTAAAAAGACACATGTAATAGACAAACTATTTTTTCTTGCTGGTTTGACATACACTGTATATATATACATATGTTGTATATACAGGTAACATTTTATTTTACACCTTCAAAAAATAAAAAAAATATCAATGAAACTTCAAACGTTAGAATCACGTGAAGTGCCAATGGAAATCATTTTTGGATCCAACCTTGTCAAATCACAACTTCGTTTTCATTTCCAGAGTCCAAAAAAAAACCCCATATCAAATGCATACGGTACCCCATATAGCCTCATTTTCAGAATCCAAAAATTCATATCAAATCTTTAAAGTATTTAAAGTTACAAAGTTCCGTCAAAAACTCGTGGTTATGAAATAAAGAGGTCATTATACATTGTTCGGAACTAAACTGATTTTATCAATGGACTGATACACTACACTGCTGCAAGACCTATATCAGGCTCGGTCATCGTCGCGTCCAATATAGGTTTGACAACTCTGTACTCATCTTGTATAATTCAATTTTGAACTCAACAAAATATGATAATTTCATAAAATAGAATATTTCATTTTTTTCTAGTTTTAGAAGAAACTTTACAAGAATATTTGAAAAAGAGAGGTTTAATGGGTACATGTGAATGCAATGACCTTAAAGTGGACACTTGCGTTCTAAAGAAAAGGGGTTTGTCCGATTAAAAAAATTAATATACTCTTTCTGACCGCAGATCTTAACATTCGGGACGCTCCTGAAATTGAAACCACCGTACCATAAAAAATATTTCTGACTTTTGGCAGTTCAGTACGGCTCTACGTACGGTCAATGGTCAAAAATGAATTTTAAAAGAGGCCAAAACAGTGGTTTTTTTACCACGCGTACTGAAAATACTAGCTATTTTTTCATGCTTTAAATCAAAACCGCAAATAATAAGAAATCATTTCAGACAGGCATTCTTACTAGAAGCACCGTGACCATTAGATGTCCTTGAATAATAGCTCAAATTAAAGGGACTCCACTGAGGTTTTGCAATTCGGACTGGTAACCGACACACGTGAATCCGGTTATCATTGGCAACATGCCAGAGCATTCTTTCCAGCTTTACACAGACAATTTTAGTCAAATAATTGTGGGTTCCTGTAACAATTTTGTATTATTATGAAATGAAAATATCCCCAAACCTGTGATACATAAATTACATCATCTGTTAGAGCCAGACGTCTTTATTGACCTAACATGGTGGTTTTTGATGTCCAACTTTGTGTCATCTATAATAACGTTTGCTACAATTGTTTTCTGTATGAAAGCGTATTTGAAGTTTTTTGGTTAATCTTTTGATTATATCAGAATGTACTCTTAGACAATAAAGATATCTGACTGCCAGACATTACCAATCAAGGTTTTGTGTTTGTGTTAACTCTACTGATGGCAAATGCCATAGGATAATAGAACATAACATTTTTTATTTCGTTTTGCCTTTTTAACAAATGTAGCTTTACACAAAGGATTTGGGGGGGGGGGGGGTACTGGATTCCATTTTATATCATTCTTGGTCTAGACATACATCGAAATGGAACATTAATTTCGAAAACCAAGTAACGGAACCGTCAATCCGTCACCTCCCCCACCCCCAATCAAAAAAATTCAGTTTATAAAAAAAATTCAATGCAGTCCTGAGTCCCTTTAATGAAGTCTAACGAACAGTATTAAAACCTTGTTTTAGTTGGTAGTTTCATCAATACTACCTTCACGATCTACTTGTAAAATGAGGTTATTCCAACACACTTAAACAATGCAATACTAGATCTATATTTAATCGATTAGACTTACCGTTTAAAGTATTTCATACGTTAATCCAGGGTCCTTATCAAGATATGCATGGGTTTGCTTTAAATCCACGTATATATTCATAGTTTCCATGTTTGTTTTACTTATGACGTCAGGTGTTTTCAAAATCATCACTTAATCAAACAGAAACAAGAAATTTGTTCCACGTATACGTAATATACAAAATAAACATAACCCGTTGACGCATAATCATGTAGATCATTTACTGATACAGGTCACAGACAATGTGTACAAGGTTAAGTTATTTATATATACTTATTCTATTTATATCTAGAACCATAGCTACTATGTTGACAACCTTGTATTATACATAAATTATCGGACTCGCGACAGTCGCCTGGTATCGATTTAAAACAGTTTGAATTATTGCGCGGGAAAAACAATTGTCTCTTAATCGGTTCGCTCAAGGAAGCGTTCTAGAGAAATTACAAGTATGATTTCAATAGAAATATCATATCAATAATAACGTCTTATTATCATCATTTGATATGATAAATTTATATGAAAAACAAGGAGTAGATCTATATTATCATACAAACACAAATGGAGTTTTTATGACATGTACATTAGTAGGCTTAGCCGAATGGAGACAACATTTATACATATAAATCACGTGCACGCACCTACTACATGTACATGTATGTGCATAAACATTATATTGATGATCCATGCATCAGTGAATCTATGTACTTTTATAGAAAATAAACGCGAAGTGTAGATCTAACAGAAGCTCAAGGTTAACATTTTATGCGTTGAACTGTAAAATTTTTTGTAAGGAACAATAACCAAGACAAAAACATTGCAAAAACATTAATTTTATGCACTCCCACTTTCTAAAAAGGAAAGAACATGTACATTGTACATTCATTTCAATATTGTGTCACATGAAATAACTTAAGGTATTACCATCCTAATGCATTACCTCCGCTTTGAAGAGTATTCAAATAGGCTAAAACTACTGTAAACTACATTGAAAATGAGGGCCGTGGGTTCAATCCCCAGAATTTCTTTCTTTTTTCTTTTAACATTATTTATGTATCTCTCATGTCCCATTTGGAAAGAAGGAAAAAAGTGTTTAATTTTGATTTTTAAATTTATATAGGTATTTATTGGCTAAATTATGCTAAATCAAGTAATAAATATGGTACCTGATATTTTCAAAGTGTAATAAAATCAAAACTAGACGGTAAAATTATTTCATATTTTACAAGATCAACCAATATACTTCTTTAAAAATTTAGGGAAACTTTGAAAACAGTCAATGTCAATTTTGTAGTTCCTTATAGGGTGCTAATACCTTAAACAAATATTAAACTACGGAGAAGCCGTGTAATTCTGTCAACAAGTTTATCTTCTACCGATTGTGAAGAATTTAAACCATACGAAATAAGTTTATAAACTGTATGACAGAAAAAGAACTAGGTTTATTTTGTTGTTTTTAATGTGAATATCAAAGCGCTGAAAACAATTTGCTAAATATGAAATGAAACAACAAATTTCAATGTAAAAATACTAAAAAGATTGGATACATGTATATAGATTATAATTATACCAAAATAAACTTGATAATAAATCATGTAGTTTCAACATATAACTCTTAAATTAATAACAAATGGTCATTAATAAGAAGCAAATTAACAAGAGCACTGTTTGCAATATTAACACTTTGTCTGTTTTGAAAAACCAATTTTGACAAAAAAATTGCTTTTAGACTTTTTAACCTCACTAGAGCTCCTTTAATAAATGCAAGAAAAAGAAACAAACACTTTATCTTCAGTACTTGGCAATATAAATATCAAACAGTTCAAGCATAATCCTGTCCACTCATGTTAAAACACAAAGAGAGTCACACTTTTCATATATTCAAGAATTCTTGCATCTCTAGTCACAATAATAGTGAAAAATTTGATATAAAAAAAAATTTGAATAAAGATAAATGCCATGATAAGGTCAGAACACAAAACCACATTTGAGCCGCGTCACAACAAAACCAACATAATGGGTTTGAGACCAGCATGGATCCAGACCAGCCGGAGTATCCGCGCAGTCTGATCAGGATCCATGCTGTTCGCTTACAAACCCTATAGCAAGTAGAGAAACTGATAGCGAACGGCATGGAGCCTGATAAGACTGCGCGGAGGCGCAGGCTGGTCTGGATCCATGCTGGTTGCAAACCCACTATGTTGGTTTTGTCGTGATGCGGCTCATTTGTGTTCTAGTTAGAGACAAAATAGTGTCAGAACACAGTATATATCAGACCATACATTCTGATAAAAAAACAAGACTGAGTCAGAACACATCATCCTTAGTTAGAAACCCAAATAAGAACACATTGTCATGGCAGAACACATAATCTTGTCTGAACACAATCTGGTGAAACACATTTTTGACTATCACAAGTCGGAACACATTATCCTGAGTTAAAACATACTAGAAACTAAGAACACATATTCTAGTCAGAACACATGACTAAGTCTGAACACCATTCTGATGGAAAATTTGTCGTAACCGCTCTGTCAGAACATTTTAACATTCAGTGTCCTCCAGTGTCATGATAAAATCCCACTCCTCTGAAATATAAAGAAAACAGTTAATCATAATGTTTCAAAAAAAGTTTATTTAAAGGTCAATTATGCCTCAGAAATGCTATGAATTTTAGTTCTCAAAACCATATAATTTGACCTACTGACCTAGATTTAGCATTACAAATACCCATCTCAACACTCCACCAATGATCTGAACAAGCTATAAGGATTGGATTAAACAATGCACATTATATCAGATATAAACATTTACCAAGGATGACATCAGCTCTTATAAAGTCAAATTCTGTTTATCTAGAAGTAAAATACCTGGCCCCTTGAAATTCAAGATATCGAGTGTCAACAGTATTTCTTACCTTGGGTCAAAGGTTGCACGGAGAGCCTCGCTCTAGTGAATAATGCAATATTTTTAAGTGGCCCGCCACTTTCTTTATGTTTAAGGTGAAGTTCTTTCAGTTCTGACAGGGGAATATATCGTTTCATCATTCGTTTAAAATGCACATCCACCATAAACCATCTGGGGTTATCTTTCTTGGCAGAACTGAAATAAAATAAAATCATTCTTGCTTTCAAAGCTTATCCAATTTGAGTTTATTAAACCTCCAAATATATGTATCTTGCATGCCCAGATACACAAATAGGCAATATCTAATTAAGAAATAACATCGGCCTGAGAGGTGTATATCGGCTATTTAACACCGGTTTGGAGTTTTGATGCGTAGGAATTGACCACGAAGGCCGTAGGCCTGAGTGGTTAATTTTTACGCATCAAAACGACAAAACCGGTGTTAAATAGCCGATATACACCTCTCAGGCCGATGTTATTTCGATTCTATCACGATAAAATAAGGAAGATCACTAATGTTATTTTTTCAAGAGGAAATAACTTCCGGTGCCGATTTTCGTATAACGCTGTTCGATTTTCGCACCCTACTGTTGCAAAGATATAGAAATTATTAAACAAAATAAATAATAAGAAAAACGTTATTTTATCAAGTTTTCAACAATAATAACTTACGTCGTATTGTATTTACATCAGTGCCCCATTAATAATATCTGTCATATTTTGCGGTTCGGACCGGAATATCCGTCCCGAGGGGACCCGCCCATTGGGCGGTAACGAGGCTTGCCGAGTTACCGCCCATGGGCGGGTTCCTGAGGGACGGATATTCCGATCCGAACCGCAAACATATGAAAGATATTTTTTCTTGCATATTCTGCCATATTATGTCATATTTAAAATGGTTTACCTCAATATGATATATGTTCAATGGAAATTAAAGTCATTTCATCCATAACTATTTTCTTACAATAGCGTATGAACTTACAACTTAAATAACAACGGCGAAATGACGTCATCCTAAGACATATTTCCCTTCTAAAACGACGTCATTTTAACGCGGTTCATTCATAAATGGCGCTAAGATGACGTTGTTGTTTGGCACGCGACTCATCTGGCACCCCCCATGCCAGATGAAATTTCCGGTATGGGTAAAACTCACGGAAACGCCAGTCTGCTATGCAAGAATTATTATTCTTGTATGTATGAAATAACGTCAGCTTGTTTATGAATGAGTTGTTTACTTACGATGACGTCATTACGTTGCTTACGGATTGGCGCCGTTTTGTTAAAATATTTATTAACTGATATGGACCAAATATGTGGCGTTAGTGTATGTGAGATATAATTTCAGTATTGTATGAAAAGAAAACATTATAAGAACTGAAACTATAAATAAAAATGCTTTTTATTGTTGCTATAAAAGGCTTTGTAAACTATATAATCGAGGGTGAAAACATAAAAGCCGCATATACAAGTAGTCCCTAGCCAGTGTTTATTGTCAGTTTAACACCAGTTTTTTCCTTCTTTGTCTATAGTGACAAAATCACGTGGAGTGATAGAATAAGAGATAAATGCAGCTAAAGTGAATGTATTAAATAGGTGCTGATATAAAGCTATATATCTACACAATTATTAACGTCATCCTTGTGATGCTTACATTACTGAGCAAGATATCATCATAGAACCTTTCATCTTTGGGAAAAATTCCTCGTGAAAAATTCCTCATACAGCGATGTCATTTCCCGACCAGTGTGAACCCTACATTGATACAAATGTACATATTTCCTTCCCAGCCAGTGCTAACCCCACATTTATACAAATGTAGATATTTCCCGGGCAAGTGCAAACTGTACATTTATACAAATGTACATATTTCCCTGCAAGTGCATAATGTACATTTATACAAATGTACATATTTCCCAGCCAGTGTGAGCCCTACAATTAAACGAAGGCCAGTGTGAGCCCTACAATTATACAAATGTACATATTTCCTGGCCAGTGCGAGCCCTACATTTATACAAATGTACATCTTTCCCAGCCAGTGTGAGCTCTACAATTATTCAAATGTACATATTTCCCGGCCAGTGTGAGCCCTACAATTATACAAATGTACAGTTTGAGCCCTACAATTATTCAAATGTACATATTTCCCGGCCAGTGTGAGCCCTACAATTAAACGAAGGCCAGTGTGAGCCCTACAATTATACAAATGTACATATTTCCCAGCCAGTGGTAACCCTACATTTATACGAATGTACATATTTCCAGGCCAGTGCGTACCCTACATTTATACAAATGAACATACATGTACCTGTCATAATGTGGATCTTTAGGATCAAACTGTGTATGGTCAACATAACTTTCCTTCACAACCTGGAAAGTTACATTATAATAATATATGTATCAATAGGATAGCTAACCAATATGTGCATGCTATAAAACACAACTTCTTCAATTTAGAGGGATACTCAGGCAAAATAATGACAAAAATTTAAAAATGATATTATGTACTCAAATCACGACAAAATGACATTTTTTAAAGTCCCAGCATGAATTTCTGTATAAATTCTATATATTTTGGGTTTGAAGCTTAAATATATCTATACATGTTGAACAAAATTTAGACGCCAACAGAATCACCGAATAGCTTATAAACAAGCCATGTGACTTGAACAAACCCTGGAAGTTACAATAACAGGTATTGTGAATATTGTATGATTGAAAGAAGTCTAAGTAATTGATTTGACATGTTCTTTAACGTTTCCAGAGTTCACTGTGACAACTATTGTGAAATCTACGCGCTCTAACCTGACCCATGCGGGTCAAGTTAGGAAAACACCATTTTATTCTTTATATGCAGAAAAGTTTTGTTCCTTTGACTGTCTAGTGTATTCATTTTGAGGACATTTGCAGAATAATGCATGAAAAAGTCAAAACTAAGAAATGAAAATTTTGCCTGTGTCTCCCTTTAACAGCTGTTGAACAACATTAACTTTAGGCTTTTTTGTTTCCCCTTGCTAACTACCCACAAAAATCACAACCCAAACATTTTTATTGCCAACAGTGTCTATTCTAGGATTTGAAAAACAATGTTTTTTTTGTGTTTTTTTCGAAAAGTGAGAATTTATTACATTTGTTCATTTCTTTCTCTATGTAAAATTTCCCCCCTGCCTTTGAAAAAATAGGGGGGAATTCTCAAAAATAGGAGTGAATCCCACCCATTCTAGAATAGACACTGTGCCAAAAAACAACATAATTATTTTTTTTACTATGAAACATGGAAGAAGAGTCTGTCATTGAAAATCACAATATACAAATTGAGATGTATGTTCAATATTTTGGACATAAAAAAACATTTTTCCGACCTACCTACCCTACCCAAACTGGCATGTGTCGGAAACATAGAAAATTTTAAGTTAGGCCTTATTCCCCTGCAAGAGAAAGGACAAACCTGGGTACTGCAAACATTACAGTCAGAAAACATACATGTTCAATATATGTGACAATGATTTTTCAGTCTAACCTGCCTATAGTAGTCAGTAATGGGATTGATCTAAAATGGCCCCTATAGACAGGTTACCACTATATTTAGGTTAACAAGGATATTGTAATATGTTATCATACAATATGGCTCCATATGTATGTATAGCCTTAAATTATATTCAATTTAATTACAAAAGGAAATAGTTTTTCAATTTCTAATATATATTGGCCATGATACAGTGATAACTGTTATTCACAATAAATCAGTTTTTTCAATTGTAAAATAGTCTGCTTTCAGCTGGACCTTCATCTGACTGTTACAGCCAGGGTCATGTTTTATCAAGGTCACTGCTAATGCAGTTTTGACTGTGTACCATTCATCAATATTTCTGACATGGACAAGCATTTGGGTGGTTTCTTTGACCACAGTCAGATTCAAACCCCAAGTGAAGCTACCACAATCTTGTCAACAAAAAAATCATCTTCTTAACAAATACACTTAGAAAAAATTCTGGAAAGGGCAATCCCAAGACAGGAAATGAAATTGAAAACAGGAAGTTAAATGAAAATTACTCGGTCAAATATGGAGATTGTTAATCAGAGATAATGGTCAGTATTAAACACCCTGTCCTCCCTAGCTAATGCAAGATTATGGTCAGTATAAAGCCCCGTTTTATCCCCAAGCTAATGAGAGAAAATGTTTAGTATAAAAACCCCTGTCCTCTCCAGCTCAGAGATAATGGACAGTATAAAAGCCCCTGTCCTCCCCAGCTCAGAGATAATGGACGGTATAAAATCCCCTGTCCTCCCCAGCTCAGAGATAATGGAGGGTATAAACAGCTCAGAGATAATGGACAGTATAAAATCCCCTGTCCTCCCCTGCTCAGAGATAATGGGTCATGGTCATGTTTTATTAGCTCAGAGATAATGGACGGTATAAAATCCCCTGTCCTCCCCAGCTCAGAGATAATGGACGGTATAAAATTCCTCGTCCTCCCCAGCTCAGAGATAATGATCAGTAGAAAATCTCTGTCCTCCCCAGCTAATGAGAGATAATGGTCAGTATAAAACCCCCTGTCCTCCCCAGCTAATGAGAGATAATGGTCAGTATAAAAACCCCTGTCCTCCCCCAGCTAATGAGAGATAATGGTCAGTATAAAAACCCTGTTTTCCCAGCTAATGAGAGATAATGGTCAGTATAAAAACCCCTGTTTTCCCCAGCTAATGAGAGATAATGGTCAGTATAAAAAACCCTGTCCTCCCCAGCTCAGAGATAATGGACAGTATTAAAGCCCCTGTCCTCCACAGCTCAGAGATAATGGACGGTATAAAATCCCCTGTCCTCCCCAGCTCAGAGATAATGGACGGTATAAAATCCCCTGTCCTCCCCAGCTCAGAGATAATGGACAGTATTAAATCCCCTGTCATCCCCAGCTCAGAGATAATGGACGGTATAAAATCCCTGTCCTCCCCAGCTCAGAGATAATGGACGGTATAAATTCCCTGTCCTCCCAGCTCAGAGATAATGGACGGTATATAATTGCTCAGAGATAATGGACAGTATTAAATCCCCTGTCATCCCCAGCTCAGAGATAATGGACGGTATAAAATCCCCTGTCCTCCCCAGCTCAGAGATAATGGACGGTATAAAATCCCCTGTCCTCCCAGCTCAGAGATAATGGACGGTATAAAATTCCTCGTCCTCCCCAGCTCAGAGATAATGGTCAGTAGAAAATCTCCTGTCCTCCCCAGCTAATGAGAGATAATGGTCAGTATAAAACCCCCTGTCCTCCCCCAGCTAATGAGAGATAATGGTCAGTATAAAAACCCCTGTCCTCCCCAGCTAATGAGAGATAATGGTCAGTATAAAAACCCCTGTCCTCCCATCCTCTGTCCTCCCAAGCTAGTGAGATAATGGTCAGTATAAAAACCTCTGTCCTCCCAAGCTAGTGAGATAATGGTCAGTATAAAATCCCCCGTCCTCCCCCAGCTAAATATGGTTGTTATAAAATCTCCAGTCCTTGCCCAGCACCAGCTGTAGTGGTATTCAATCCTACACATTAAACATTATGGTATTACTGATCCCAAATACCGGGTATAAATACCATCGACCTAGAACTTTAAATTAGAAATCTCTAAATTTATCATGAATGCTTCATATGAAATAATTGACCATTACTTTTAATAAAACTTGAATATGAAAATGCTTAAATGTCTGAACAAAAACAGCATTTCAACAATACATTTGCTTTACATTATTAAGTTACAAATCAAATTGTTTACCTCACAGACCCCTGCGATCCCTGGGATCTTTGTGTTGCTGTGGTAGAAGAATACATTGTGACCAATTCTCATCTGATCCCTCATGAAATTCCTTGCCTGAAAATGTAGGAAATCATGTAAATTATAGAATAGAAGGGTTGTTTCAACAATATTAAACAACCTTAGCTTAAAATATTTCACAATCTTGTCAGAATCGATGCTGTTGGCTGACAAGTTTTATCTTGATCAAAACAAATATTAAGGTAACATTTCTGTAATGCTTCTTTGCCGAAAAAAATCAATTATCTAACATCAGCCAATATCGTTGCAATTATAACTTGGGCATTACATTATTTATAATCACTCATTCCGTATCGCTATGCACTAAATTTTGGTATAAAACGTTAAAAATTATTGAATACCGAAGATTGTGAAAAAAATAATGTTCCGGAAATGACTTATCTATTACACTATTGGCCAATTTTAGCAATTTTTTGGCGGGAAAGCATTACAGTAAGACTGTTTAAACCTGTCTGCAGACAGCACATTCCACTATTATCTGGATAGTTTATAAAAAGAAACATAGAAAAGGGGGCATAAGTCTGCAAAAATGCTTACCATACTTACTTGCCCTTGATAGTTAATAAATTTTTCATGTTTGACATGTTTGAAGAGTATACATATTATAGAGCAGTGCTTGAGAAAAAGGCAAATATCATTCTAAATATAAAAAGGAATAAATTATGAAAAAAAGTTTTCATAAATATCTGTCCCTTAGAAATCTATTTCAAATTTGATAGTGAACAAGTACTCCAAGATTAAATTTAATATCTTTGATACTTTTTGAGCAATACACCTTATCAAAAATGTTAATCAAAAATTCAAAGTAGAAAATGTTGGCATAACTACAATGTACAATGTAGGCTAAAATACATGTATGGTTGCCTGCCTTTAGGAAATGCATTTTAATTTTTAATTTAGATTTAGTATTCCAAGTTTGAAGCAATCAACTTTGACAGTCTTTGAGAAATTGACTATTGCAAAAATGAATTTTCGGTTTTCGACTCTTCTGAAATGGTGTCATATTTTAAAAAAGTACATGTAAACCAAATTTAAAGTGACTAACTTTGATAGATTTGTGTAGCTTCTGAGAAGTTGGACCTTAACACAAAGTTAACCAGGACAGGAAATCTTAGTTTAAAAGGGGGTATTAACTTTGACCTTGACCCTTTCATCTAAAATAAGTGGATTATCATTACCTGGTAATTACGAACACCATCCCAGCAAGCTGTCTGGTTAGGGCACTCCTTTAAATCCTCAATACCAAACTGAAACAAATCTACACCTTTTAACTTTGTATTTTCTTTGTAATTCAAAACTATACACATTAATGGACAAAAAAGTATGTTTCTAAATGATTCTTTCTTCAAAAGAGTCGGGCTAACAAAAAAAATTATCATTTACTTTTTTTGTGATATCAGCTGACCAGTAATAATTAAAAGGAAATTTGAAAATCATATTAAAAAATCGCGTTATTTTCTGACATTTTCTTTGTGCTATATAAATGAGGTTGCTTAGAGATATTTTTATTTCTTGGCAAGCCCGTAACGTCTAATATATTGGACTAACATATTCTGATATACATATACCTTCACATCAACTCCATTCTCAAACCTGGATTCCGGTTCCGATTTCATCAACCAGTGAGAATATTGTACAGTGTTCGAATCTGAAGTAGCCTTTGCTTTGAGAATCTTTCGAGAAGAGTTTACATCACTTTTTTCAACAATTTCCGACTCTGGTTCTTTTTTATGATCATTTCTTACAGGAGCTGTTTCTGAAACATATTAGGTGAGATTTTCATGCACAAGTTATTATGCATAGATGACACTAAAAGTATCAAGTTGCATGATAAATTTTCAGTCTTAAATATAGGTTGGCAAGGAGTTTCGGTGCCCCAGGGCCATTCTTGCTGACATATATTTTCTTCCATTTTAGGGGCTTGACATTATTTTAAGGGGTCAAGGTAATAGTTTCTGTAACTTTGTGTGTTTAAGAGACCATTATTAGAGACAGTGGAGATCGAGGCACTTTAGAGACAGTGGAGAGGGATTTTAGTGACAGTGGAGAGGCACTTTAGAAGCAGTGGAGAGGCACTATTATCAGTGACAGCGGAGAGGCATTTTAATGACAGTGGTGAGGCACTTAAGTGACAGTGAAGAGGCACTTCAGTAGAGACAGTAGAGGGGCACTTTAGCAGTTTAGAGACAGCGGATAGTATAGGCACTATTATTAGAGACAGTGGAGAGGCACTTTAGTGACAGTGGAGAGGCAATTTACTCTTTCGAGTCCAGATCTAAACAGTAAGCTTTAAAGCTTGTCATCTGCTAAGCTGTTCAGACAGGATATTGATTATATACCAATACTATGAGTACATTGATGCACCGATCATATGTAAACTTCTGGAAGTTTTAATCTATATGGTACTTAATAGCACGAAACAAACCACGTTTCCTTTTCTTTGGCATTTTGTGATGATTATTTTATTTCCCGCGATTTTTGAACTGGTGCTCGTTTTATTCTTTAACTGTGTAAATCAGTAAACCAGCGAGTTAAAGCCTCTAAATTATTATTTTCAAAGTATGTGTAAACGTACGTGGAGGAAACAAAGGCCGTAAGCAGATTTTCTAAACTTTGCATTTATAAATAGGCTAACATAATAAAACACATCCATGGAGCTCTTCATACGGTTTACTGCCCACTAGCTGTCGGCATACATTAACAATAAGTCATTAAAGAAATTAACACCAATAATAACAATGATGTTTGTTTGTTTAGTTGGTTGGAGGGTTGGTTTTACGGTGCACCAACCAAATTTACGTTAATTAATTGGCACCTTTTTCAAATTTACGTTAATTAATTAGCACCTTTTTGTGAAAAATTGAATTAATTTGTCAGATCAAAGTACCTTATTGCTTTACGATCACGCAGGGATAATTTTAAGGTGGCTGCATTTCTGATGGCTCAACATCTAAAGGCAATTAACCCTTCAAGCACAACTTACAATGATTGTAATCATAGAATGATATCAATATTTTAAGAAGATGAAGCAAACACGTAAATAAATGACGGATACTAATTTATATCGCAACCTAATTTTTAAACTGGGCCTTTGCAAATATGACATATTGTCGTTTGCAAAAATACTGTAACATTATGGTGCAATTATTTTCTTTAATCGCATTGACATTTGACACAGTCACAACCAAGGCTTTTCGATCACCTTCTGTTGTCAAGTGAATTTTCGCTGCCACTCGCGAAATATACGACATGAAACAGTTTGTCGTCTGCAAAGTTACTGTAATTAATGTGGTCATTCATTGTTCTTACATACCACCCAGGAACAGCAGAACCTTCTTGTCCCAACAGCATTTAGTCGAGGGTACTACACACATTGTGACGATGAACTTATTTCCAAATTAAGTATCAAAAGTGATGACGACTAACAGCTTCCTATTAAACTATTTTAGCGCTAACGCGCCTCGTAACTTATGACGCAGATTGCGCTTTTGAATCACATTAGGCCTAATGTATGGGCATTATGTACAACCGCTGCGCCTTCTTGTTTTATTGGGGGCCTCCGTGGCCGAGTGGTTAAGGTCGCTGACTTGAGATCACAGGTCCCTCACCGCTGTAGGTTCGATCCTCACTCGGGTCGAATTCTTTCATGTGAGGAAGCCATCCAGCTGGCTTACGGAAGGTCGGTGGTTCTACCCAGGTGCCCGCTCGTGCCTGAAATAATGCCCGGAGGGGCACCTGGGGTCTTCCTCCACCAATAAAGCTGGAAAAAAATCAACGAAAAAATCTCGGCGGGACGCTCTAGGATGGCCCGACTTGAGTGTACGGTCGCCCATATGGGTTTCCGGCGGCGACCTTAAATAAACGCATTAAAAAAAAACAAAAAAAAACTTGTTTTATTTAATCAAAATAACCCACCGAACATATACAAATCAACTGCAAATGATTTTCGATGTTTTTCTAACAAATTCATATTAAAATGAAAATTTATAATATATGTGTATTTGCACTTATTACATGTAACGTGTGTTATTTTTCAGAAGTTTGGCTTTCGGCTGCTAGTGTTCGGGTTTGTCGGCTGCTGCAACATCTGTATGTCAGAATGATAAATGAATGAAGGGGAAATAAATGAATAATATGAGAAACACGTGTGCTCTTTGACGAGCCATATTAAAGCAATTTTTAAAATATTAGTTCTAGCTGTTTCAGGCAAGGGAAAGATACATTCAACTTCAGCAAAAGGTATGTATTATTTAAACCGGTTTGTATACATTTTAAATAACTTTTTATTGAATTAATAGACACTTAACATTTGTTTAAATACCTTTAAAATATTTTTTTTAAGTAAAACGATACAAAAAACAACAAAAATATGAGTACAAAAACATATATGTTATCTTGAACATTCTTACGGTGATTTTATTCGTTGGAATAACGATAATATAAAGGAGCAAACGTTTGAGACATGGTCCTTGATATTGGCTTTTAATACTCAGCAGGTAAATTGAGAAATGACCAATGAAGAGATATAGTAAATATTATTAATTAAGTCAATCCCAGCACATGTACTGATCATATATATCAAAAAACTAAATATAAGCCGTTTTGAAATATTTTCATATTTCAACGTCTATAATAATATACATTTTATTTGGATATTAAAGGCGTTTTTAGCTCCACACCCCAAGTGTCTGTGATATCAAACAGGAAACTACTTCATATTACCGTTAAGTAAAATACATTGCGTAAGAGTTCTTATTACTTTATTTTGAAGTAGTTGAAGTGCATGTGCAAAACATGCGGAAAAAACATATACACGTATCCGCTATAATTTTGTTCGGACATACGTGTTAGGATAGCTTGAATTGCAGCGGAGCAAGTTTGATTTGTTAATTATTTGGTTTATTTTAAGAAACAAAATGATTGGGTTGTGCGTTATCTTGTTTGCAAGCCTAGCCACAATGACATCTGCTGGCCCGGACGAAAGCCCGACAGGGAGAAGTAAGGATTTAATGATATTCTATAATATACATTATTATATATAGTAAAACTTATTAGGAATTATGTGAAGAGAAAAAAGGACTAAAGGTGAATTAAACTGTCTCCATTTGAACAGAAATACAGGTATATGTATTTGATTCTTTAAAATATATAATTTGCAGCAATTTCTGCGGAAATAGACCAAAATTTCATGTTCAAGTATGAAAAGTCGGTCTTTTTTATCAAATGAGCCTTGTTTTTTACCGTAGGTATTGTGCGAAAAAGGCAACAGTGTTCTTTATTATCTAAAACATAATATAAAATATAAAATTCACATTTTCTTGTTAAGGAAAGATTATCAAAGAACGACAAAAATGTTAAAAGACCAGCTTGTTTTTCCACTCGACTAGTCGCGCTTATTATAATTAAGGACTTTTTTTTTCGTCTTCGGAGTTCAGGGGTACATAAAAATTATGTTTTTTAAATAATGGTTTAAGAGCATGCAAGAAGATAATCACCTTGAGAAAGTAGTGCTGAATGTGAAATTGTTTGTAATAAATGAAGCAAAATGTAAACAAAGAATTATTAACGCTATATATAACTGTACTAATGACCCAAAAGCAAAATAAGCAACAGACAGTTCAGTTAACCGGCTAAAAGCAACATACAATTCAGTTAACTGGCTAAAAGCAACAGACAGTTCAGGTAACTGACTAATGAATAATGTTTTGGAAACTTTAACAGGACGCCAAAAATGAAAGCTTTTGAGAAATAAAACTTAAACCATTTCTGAAGCATTCTTGGTCTTTAAGACCGTGCATTCTTATTGTTTTTACTATTTTTTCCTTTACAGTTGACGAGTACTGTCTGCAATCAGCTCCCACCATAAGAGGACCGTGTACACCAAGGACCATCTGGACCTATGACACTGACGTTGAAAAATGCGTCGAGAAAGAGGGCTGCTTTGCAAATGGCTTTCAGGAGTACAATATATTCACGAATAAACTTGGTTGCCACGTGTGGTGTCATATGATATATGAATAAATCTGATTATATATATCATACTGTATTTGATGAAATAAAATATCTCATTTCTTTGTATTGTTTTGTATTTTTTGCAGTCATTAGCCATAATCCAATCAGTACTAGATATGATGCAACATACCAACTAAGAGAGCCTCACAATCTAGGACATATTTTTTTTATAATCATAGATAATTTGCTTTATTGGTCATATTATGACAAACAGAAAATTTTCTGTAGGGAAAATCCTATATTATATATATATATATATATCTCAGTTGCCGTAAGGGACGTTAGGATGCTTAATGTTTTTTGTAAAGAGAGACAACTTATTTAAAAACGCTTTATCTTAAATATCAAGGGAAATAATACCTGTAAAAACGAAATCATTCTTGAATACCATATGATGCATGCATTTCATAAACATTCCGTATAAGTAATGAGTCTAGGTTTAAAAGGCAGATATAGTGTAAACTTTTACTATGTCCCAGCGCGGACAATTAAAGTCTATGGTCCCAGGTTTAACACAATCTTGATTTAACCCTTTACCTTATGAGTATATTGTGAAAAATTGCCGTTTTCATTGAAAAGTCTCTCGTTACAAGTTCAAACTGCTATGAAACTATGAAAAATGCTTCAATACTGATGAAACTTGGCACAAATGTTTACTGGACCATACCCAATGTAACAGCATGCTCAATCTTAAACTTTCTGTTACCATGGCAACGGGGGACGTCTCAGAATAGCAAAAAATCTCTATTTTGCATTATGTTTTCCCCATCAAAACTGATCTCAAAGTGCTGCAACTTCTCAATGGATCGAGATAGAGTGAAAGGCTTTTCAGGATTGGTTACACGTTACCGAGCCCTTTTTAGTCTGTCACATGTTCTGCACATTTCCTTGCCGATGAGGGGGACTGCCGCCTCCTTCACCCCCCCCCCCCCCCCCAAACAGAAGGGGCACATTCCCTTTCTAGCACCCCCTTGATGTACCTTTTTGATAGGGGCGGCGCCGAAAAAGTGATCACTTTTTAAACAACATTTCTCAAACGAAATACAGTGTTTGGGGCCTAGATACGATAGTTCTTCATTGTTTGATGCCTCAAAAGAATATGGGATCGAAAAATCGTCAAAACACGTCTATATGAGGTAAACGGTTAATACAATTTTCTGAGAACCATACAGGTCCGATAACTTATTAGGATATGCAACTTATTATAAGATTAAGAAAGAGAGAAAAAAAAAACTCAATTTCAGAAACTCATTTTAATGCCAATAAAACACGCTCACTAAAAATAATTACTGAAACATAATCTTCAAAGCACGTATTTTAACAATTTTATGGCAGTACTTCTTAAATTTTACTCAATGCATATAACACAAGCTAAATAAATATCTGAGCAAAATACAGAATTTGTTGGTATGTATGTGAGTGAAAACAAATGAGCCGCGTCACGATTAAACCAACATAGTGCATTTGCGACCAGCATGGATCCAGACCAGCCTGCGCATCCGCGCAGTCTGATCAGGATCCATGTTGTTCGCTATCAGTTTCTCTACTTGTAAAAGGGTTGGTAAGCGAACAGCGTGGATCCTGATCAGACTGCGCGGATGCGCAGACTGGTCTGGATCCATGCTGGTCGCAAACACACTATGTTGGTTTTGTCGTGTCATGGCTCAAATAACATTCACTTAATTTCATCATATAACATCAACATAAACAATAGAAATGAACATCTTATAACAATATGAAAATATCCAGAATAGAAAAGCATTCATTCAGAATTTGCTGGTTTGAGCCAAAAGCTGGCCATGTTAAACAAAAAATCAAAATGTCCTCTGCATGTTTCACGGCAAATGGTATACATGTATCATGATATAACAATACAAGAGGGGTGCAAAGGGCGTCCAAGCAAGGTTTGCTAGAGATTAGAATATCAAATGAAAAAACAAAACTGAATGAATTTCAAAAAGACCAAATTCAGGTATTTTTGTTTGTTATACACGTTATATACATTATTTATCAATATAATGGAAGACATAAATTTAGACTGGTATGAGGAAATTTACTAACATCATGTTCGTGCGAGTCAAAGATATAAAAGCTACTTGGCATTGGTGATATATAAAGAGCTATTGCTAATTGATTTATTCGGAGATCAATATACTATTTTGTTCAATTTCTTCAAAACACTCTGTGTTTATATTCCTAAAAAAACCATGACATCTTATGTTTAAACTGCAGACGAAAGTTTCTGTTGTTAAAATGTCACAGTATTCGGCACATCAACATTCCACGCAAACCACCATAAAACCGATTGCCTTCAAACAAAATAAAATGTTCAAGTAATAATCGCGGCAAAGAATGTCAGAAGTGCAATCGATGCCGTAAAAAGGAGCTATATCCCGGAAAGAACCTACGATAAAATGATAATATACTATTATGATATAACAATTCGTAAATAATGGCTTACTTAAATTTTTCCGATAAATTAACATGAAGAGTTATTTTATTGTTGAATGGTTGCATTTCAGTTCCTGCAAATTTCTCCAGTTCGTTATTTATTACCATAGCACGACACGAATGACCATTTCGTTTAGACTAAAACAACTTCTGTAAATAGATTTTCGGACTTTCAAAATGTTAAGGTCATTTAGCTATTTAAAGTTTTCTAATTCATGTACACCAGTACTGCAATCCCAGCGGTTGAGGCGTGAAATTTGTCTCATTCTCAATCATTAATATGACATGCTGCGAACCACCGAAGGGGAAACAAATATATGACTTTACATAATAGAAATCGGAAGGAGTTCTTGATTCCGAATTTACTTTTAGCTGCAAATCGAAGGGATTAATTGATATAAAAATCGGATCCATGGATAAAAAAGTAGTAAACTCAAATAGCGCACACAGGTCACAGGCGCGGAGCAATAAAAACTGTACAGGTTTGCCTTTAACATCCAGACAAAATTACAATATCAAAGTGAATGTAATCATCATATCCATAAAACTGAATGATCTTACAATTTCTTTCTGTAGCAATCTCTGTATAAAGAACATACAATTTTTAGGAAGGCTACTCTAGATGCCTGAATCATAAGCTCTTCAGAAAGGAATATTAGCCGCGTCACGACAAAACGATCATAATGGGTTTGCGACCAGCATGGATCCAGACCAGTCTGCGCAGTCTGATCAGGATCCATGCTGTTCGCTTACCAACTCTATTAAAGTAGAGAAACTGATAGCGAACAGCATGGATCCTGATCAGACTGCGCGGATGCGCAGGCTGGTCTGGATCCATGCTGGTCGCAAACCCACTATGTTGGTTTTGTCGTGACACGGCTCATATTATTATTCTGGCTGACTATGGTCTTCCTAGATGCTCTCAGCTTTTAATTTCCATGATTCATTGCTTACATTACTGAAACAAAAATTGTTGAGTTTGAGTTGTAGAATTAATAATAAACACAATCACTGTGGCCACTATGATATATTTTTTTAATTATCAAATTTAAACATGCCACCTAATTCCGAAATAAGGGTATTTTCATGTGAGGAAGAATTACATCTATATATTTTTACTAAGATGACTATTCCGGCTTTAGGTAGTTGGATCTCAGCTTTATATAAATGTCATGTATTAAATATTTCTAAACCAGATGCGTACTGTCAAACTACATACTTACGAATTTCTGTAATAAATCAAAAAGATAAAACATAAATATACTCTAATGTCAAGAAATTCAATTTCTGCAACATTCATTTCCGTTAAAAAGCTAGCATAGATAATGTCTTTACAATTCTCTTCACATTTTTACTAGACTAGAACAGGGTTAGTTGACAATACTGGCAGCCAGGCAAGGCTCAATGCCTTTTCTTGGCAAAATCCTCCCAAACCTGCCGATATTTTAAATGTACCTGACCATTTTAATTATTGGAGGTTATAAAGATGAGTGTCAGTTATTGACCCCGACATATTAGAGCCTGGTTAGAATCTACGGTTGTGCAGGCTAACCATCTACTGGAAAGGTTAATCGCAGGGTGAGGATTAATAAATAGAATGTTCCGAGTTGACAGTAGGGCAAATTAATAATAAATTTAACAGGATGAAAGATAAATTCGTCATACAAGAAGGGTTATTAATGTGAAGATATTAAAAGCAATATCACTTACTTCTCTGAAAAGATTCTTCAAGAATTTCAGACAAATACAAGCTTAGTAAAATGGTCTGCCTTCACTTCCTACAATTGAAGATGTTGACGTTCTTGGAGTTCGAGCACTTATTGGGTTTTAAGTACATAATTAATTTCTACAACTCTATCCATAGCTCATTCAATACTTTTACCACGGTCCAACTCAGATGAAAGGTCATATATAAGTCCTACTTATATTCAAACGATGTTCTAGTTACTAGTTCAATTTTAACGAGAGAATAGTGTGTATATGTATGCATTTACTTTAACCAGTTTGTATACCTTTATATAATTTTCAAATACTCAAAATCTTTTATAAGAAACTAAAAATATATTATAAGGAAATAAATAGAAAGTTGACTTTCCCATCTAGAATTAGTTTTGCTTTTGTATTGTTATCATTATTTTATTGAAAAAAAGAGAGCCAAAGAAGCATAAGTTTCAAAATATGCCATATACAACTTAATAAATCGATTTTACGAGTGTCCCCGTACATGCCAGTAAATACGCCATGATCACTGGTACTGGAGAACTGAAGTTCTCCGCAAGATACTTTTTTGAAAGGGAAATAAATGTAATTGTAATCAGACTATAACAAAGTATTCCATTACTTTTTATTGTCAACTGCAATTGAAAAAATGCGTCTAAAAGAAGTGATGTTCTAAAAAAATGTGACTAGGAGAACCAAATATTTACGAATAAAAGCGATTGCCACATGTGGTGTCATACAATATAAACATACAAACTGTAATCCATATTTTATTCTGAAGCTACACGCTCAGGTATATAACATTTTTCATTAAAAGTTTATAAAGCATAGTATTCAGGTATAAAATTTTGATCTTTGATAAATTAATAAAATCCTATAAGAAATAAGAATTGAATAATGATACCTCTTTCAATATTTTATGAAAATCAAAGGACTGCATCGGTACTGCATATCAAGGCGCAGGTTTGGTACAATAATGCAGTTCCAGTACCAGCAGTAGAACCGACTTGTATGCGTGGTATTATTATCAGAACCAGTTCTAGCAAGATGAGTGCAGTTTGTAGTGCAGTACCAGTACCAGTAATGCATGTCGGATACACGTTATAGGATTTAGAGAAACAAACTCAAATTTCAGATACTCTTTGTAATGCCAATAAAACACACATTTACTAATAAATAATTACTGAAACATAATCTACAAAGCACACATTTTAACCATTTTATGGCAGTACATTTTCAAAATTTTTCATAAATACAAATAACACAAGCAAAATAAATATCTGAGCAAAATACATGTTTAAATGATACAAGTATAGCAAATTCAAATACCAATACACTTCTTTTCTTTACATAAAACTATACATTATTATAATAAGAAATACCAAAGAAGATAACGTTTTTAGAATTTGCTGGTTTGAACACTAACTTTGCATTATAAAAACATTGGTAGACAATACCTATTACAGGTTAACACATAATCACTATTCAGGGATCTTATATATTTTTATCATACCTTCACAATAATAAGAAACACAGACTAAGTCATGTAAGGTATATTATAAGGATTGGACCAGAAGATTCCTTGCATGACGGACATTCAAAAATGTTTCATGCCAACTATCTTGAATGAAGTCTCTGAGGGTTCTGTGGAGAAGACATTTTAAGTTTTTATCATAAATCTAATTAAAACAGAAAAATCATGACCCATAGGGGCTATGCTAATTTTGACTACAGCTTTAATTTGAACAACTTTAGAAGAAATCTAATAGACAATATATTTTATACCATATATATAAGCTTTAGCTATTGTGGTTTTAAAAAAAATACGTTTTTACTACCTATATAAATATAAGGGAAACCCATGACCCCATGAACTGAGCTATTTTGACATAAAGGGCTATCATTTCAGCGAAATTTGAAATACAATTGGTAGACAATAATGCAAAGATGTCACAGCAAAACAGAAAAAAAACAAATAACTATGTCGAATATAACATTCAGGCCATTTAAAATTACAGACAAAAATATAATGCCCTTTTCAGCAGTTAACTGTAACATTTAAACATGTATGTCATGTAATTTTGAATAAAACAATAACATTACATGTATATAGAGCTTATAAATATCTAACAATTAAATCAGTTTAAATACATATGTAGCAACAAATTATTCCCCACCTTTTAATTTTCATTGATGTATCCAACAGTTTATGAAATGAGTTTGGAAACTGAGCTTCAAGTTTTTGTACATGTATATCATTGATGAAATTATTTTTCATAAACTTATTTATATTGATTTCATCCAAAAATGTAGGAGTACAAAACGTGTAAAAACAAAAACATTTCTATTTATGCACTCTTCGCATAACGTCAACCCAAATATATCCAATGATAATAATTTACTGCAATAAAATAATCATGCAAAAATTACTGTGAAAACTAAAATGCAAATAACAATGTGCAATTGTATGATAGATAAACAATTCTCAATTAACATGTACTTTACATCAAATGCAAATTATACAACATTATTTCATAATGATTTTGACTACACAATACAATACATCAGAACAAAATAGATGCAGAATATATTCATATATACGGCTGAGTGTTTCAAATTATTATGCTTTATTTAAAGTATTTTAGAAACAATTTATCCAAGTCTTACTGTTACATCAACATTATCTCAATAGACAATGTCCCTTTGTTTTTCATGATTTCCATTTAGTTGAAATTCCAGTCACACTGACATTGAAGAGGTCATCATTTTCTAGCTTAAATAGTGGCAGGTGATACATTCATTACTTACACTGACATTCAAGAATAAAAAATACACAACACTGGCCTTTCATAACCTTCTGGATAAGTTTCTTTAATAGAAAAACCAAACTTAATTTAGCGGGTTTTGATTACACCATTAACGTCAGTGTTTCAGTCAGTGCCTTAACCCGTTGCCTAATAAGAAACATTGTTTTGTTTAAATACATCATTTATCAAAACAAAAAGACATGATTATTTATTTATATTTCATCAGTGCTTTATAACACTCCTACACCTATTTCTTATATATAGAATCTGACTGATGGAAAGCTATATGTTCTGAGAATTCAGTGAGTGATATGAATTGTTTTTTTTCATATACAGCTTTCAAAATACATATTCTTTACCATTGAACATATCTAAAAGATACATTAAACTTGAATATCAGATTGTGTCCAAATAGCAAGATAAATGTACATTTGACTAGTAAATGCTATGTAATGAAAATTATGGGTTTTAACTTCTGACTAGTAAAGATTTCCTCGTTTCTTCCCACCACCCCATCCTACAGATTGGTTAACTTTAGGGTTTCTGAAGGACATTCTCTCTTTCAGATGAGGAGCTGAGGCTGGTGCCGTTGATGACTGGATTGGAGGCAGCTTGCTGGTTCCCGAACCTAAAAACATAAACAACATGAAAACAATATTACCATGTCAATATCGATTATCTTACTTAAAAAAGTCAAAAGGTCAGAGAAACAAACAATTAACTAAGCAGTAACATGTAACTCATATATAAAACATGCAAAATGGTTCAATCATAATTTTTATCATGATTAAAACAGTATTGACAAAATGGTTGTTACCCGGGATATCTAGGCTATTCCCCCCCCCCCCACAAATATTGACCACTGATGCCAACTGCCCTCTAGCTCTTAGAGTGTACTTAATTCACATACAGCATCAGTTTTTGAGTATTGACGAAAACTTCATTACAAAGACCTTACAACCCTTAAGACATGTACCTTAAACAAATTCTTATCAGATATAGTCAAACATATACAACGGATATTAAAAAAGGTCTATGTCCAAAGGGCCAATTTCCATTATCCAATTTGAAAGATAATATCGACAACTACTTTTTTACAAGAGTTTCTGTTAATAAAGCCTCTTTTCATTTCTGAATACAGGTCATTCATGATAGATGTTTGACATGAAACAATATAAGCATGATAAGTAGAAGTTTACATCAGGACGTTTTCTTTGTAAAATGGGCGATTAATTTGTCAGTATGCAATGTAGAGATATGAAACTTGACCTACAGAACATTCTTGTGACCCTGCATGTTTCAAATTTATAATTGTACTGGTTTTATGACAGTAAGGAAAACAATCAGAACTGGACAAAGTACATGTTACACCAATATAGCCACTTCCAAAATATTTATAATTACATCAATATTAAACCTACTCACCAGATCCGGCAGAAAATCTCCGTTGCTTTTGACCCGTCATACTAGCACTTTCCACAGACTGTAGTTCCATCGACATCGGGCTACTCTGTAAAAATGTGTAGTAATATAAATTAAATTAAATAACTTTAGTGTTAGTGAGAGTCATTGTAGACCTATGGATCTGTTCAGGTAAGCTTGTACTTGTTATAAGTTTTTTTGTATGTACTCAAAACACGGACTTATACAGCCCCGGATGTTCAACAATTCCAAGAACTTTATTCAGTAAAAATCAAATATGAATATAATATCAATATTAAGTCAGACAAAACAAACTTTTAACAGTATGTGTTTAAAATGAAAATTATTTTTTTTCTTAACAAATAACATAATGGGCATTAAAATATTTGGCTTGCAGCCCTCACAAGTAAGATAAAATGCTTAACTTACAATAAGCTGAACCCTTTTCCCTCCATTAATCAGCTCTGGCAGATTTTTCTCTGACAATGGTACATATTTTGGACCTTCAGACAATCTGTAAAAGTAAAAAGAACTGTTAAAGTGAAGCTTAGACAGTTACAAGAGGATTTTTTTTAATTCCCAAAAATGGGCTTACTTGTGTCACAATTTAAGTATATATATTCAAATGACAGCTTACCCTTGATTGATAACAGAATCAGATATAGGAAGATCTCCCACTTGTGAATGCAGCCATTCAAATGTTCTTGATACCTTCAGACTGTTTTCTTGTTGCTTCTCCCTCTCCTGTCTAACTATCTCATCCTGACGAGCTGAAATACATTCATGTACATTATGCCATTTTTATTGACTTTCAAAAGGTATAAATCTATATCTCTAACATTGAGAGTGTACCTAAATGAATAAAATGTTTCAGATTAAAATACATCTTTTATGCTACTTTTTTCAATTTAGTTACGCAATGATTTCATGTATATGCCATTCGCTTTTAAGGAAATACCATGGTAAAACATAATCTTTCATACACGTATTTTAGAATTATTCTACAGACAGCAGAGGAATAGCTTTCTACACTTGAAGGTTAGTGTTATTGTAAAGGTAATTTGGCTACTTCTCAGTTTTACTAGATGAGTACGGTCTCAGGTGCCCAGGATATACGGTAAAAGTCAACTTTGTTTAAATCATTAACAATAAAGAAAACTTCATTTACCTTGGAAATATTCTTTTCTTGGCAAGGTTTTTCTCTGAGGTACAGTGTGAGTATGTGGGTGTGTGACTTCCTCAAGCTTTCTGAACAGAGCTAACCTTTGTTTAGGATCTGTAATAAACAAAACATATATAACTACATATTATAGGAGTTCAAATCCAATCAAGACATGGTGAACATTTTTTGTTATGTGAAAATGCTGTGCAGCAAGGTTGACAATACACATTCAAACCAAAACAAAACCATGTCAAATCATTTTAATTCTACAAATTTTCAAAAAGAAATTATTCCAACCATAACATATCTGACAGCAATTCCTTTTTCATTTAAATTTTTTTGGAAGTCTATTAGATTCTTTCATCTTAATATAACCCACATCTTTAACTTTAGTATAGATATTAGTATGGGGCAGCATATTAACACTTAAATACTGACAAATAATTTTGAAACAATATATTACTAAATTTGCATTCTACTTGAATACACTGCAAAAATCTCGTGTGAATCATAATTATATATACATTCATAAAAAAAGGAAACAAGATCATACCAAGTTTCTTGATTTTATTTCTTCTTTCAGCATTCAACTTCATCTTCTTAGCTCTCTGCATCATAAGATGGGCGGTTCCAGAATCCTTAAATCCCCTGTAGATATAAATAGATTCATTCAAATAGACAGGTCTATGTTACCAGCATACAACTAGACAGGCCTTTATTTTCAAGCAGTCATTTTAGACGCTACACTGTTGGCTTCTTAATTTTAGAAATTCAACAATTAAATACAATTAATTAGGCAGGCCCTTTTAAGCAGTCTAAATAGACGCTATACTGTTGGCTACTTAATTTTAGAAATTGAACAAAGAAATACAATTAATAATACTAGTTATCAATGGACAATTCAAAATCTAAGCAATACAATTTCATTACACACATATATACATATAGGGTTTAAAAGTTAATTGGTTGAGATGATATTACCATTCCTCTGCCATTTTCTCCTCTTTCCTTGAAACAGTAGATCTAAACGTTAGCTCTGTGGAGGCTACACTGGAAGGTGGACGAGGAATCTTTGCCAGATCAGACATAGGTGAGTCTGCATTCCGCCACGCTCGTCTTGGGTTACTAGGTGGTCTTAGGTCAGCTGCGTTGAGTGGGGGCACTCTCAGCTTTCCTGATGGAGGCTTTTTCAACACGGCATAGCTAGTTTTGAGAAATAATACAGAATATGAGATTGTTAATCAAATCAAAAATTTTAATCACAGTTTTAAAAAGCAGATATGGACCCTAAAATCTAGCACTTATTAACTAACTTACTGTTTTTGAAATTGTGATTATAATCCTCATATTGAAACTACAAATTCCCAACATTTTTAAACATTCATTTACAGGGTCTGCTCGGAGATATCCTTAAATTTACTTTTTTCTATAAAAAAAGACTGGATATCCCTTTTTTCTTATGACATCAGATCTGTGTTTGATAAATATTTGAGCAAAAACCATTTCGAAATTTAACCTAATATTATTTATGTAAAGTAAGCGTTTATATTACTGGACACATTTCAATTTTTCTGTATACAAAAATTCAAATCACATACCTAGCTGGTATATCAGGTGTAGCAGGAGGCTTCCAATCTGTATCTAATAGACCCTGAAAATAAAATTAGAGCCCTTAGTAATTGATCTATGGGTCTTAAGTCAATTACCTAATATCAAAACCGTAACGACATGGGAAAATTTACTACGGAATACCTAACTTGGTTGTGAACATAGAACTTCATTTCATACTTTAAACAAAACTATCTACACAGTGGGGATGAGTAGAATAGCCCCAATTATTCAACAAATGATGAATGTGGCCCTTAGATGTAATAGGGATGATACTTTGATTATCCATAGGCGTAAGTCCTCCATAAATCTATCATTACCTCATCAATATCCACAAATTTATCCAGGTCAAACTCGTCTCCAAAGTCCATGGCATCATCATCATTTTCATCATCATCAAAATCACATTGTGCATATTCTAGGGCCGCTAGAAGTTTCTTACGTAGAATGTAGCCTCTCCATGATGCCTGAAATGATAACAAGATAATAGATGTTTTAATATTGATCAATAAAATATTATCCTATGATAATAAGCCTATGACAAAGATAACGGTCAATTATGAATACAGAAGCAGAACAACTCCATTTCAGAAATTATTACAATCTGGGTTTTAAGAATTTCAGCACAATATAGTTTTAAGAAATTCAGCACAATATCGGTAAAGCTATTCTTATAAATAACTTGTTTAATGTAGGGAAATGACTCATGTTTTTGAAATGTAATGATTTATTTGAAAAATTAACACCAAACAAGAGTTTTAATATCAACTTCGTTTTTATTAAACTTCTTTGATCTTTATATGTTATCATTTGATATTTACTTGAATTTTCACAGCACATTTGTTTAACTGTTCTAGCATGACTGGATCAAAGCCTGTAATAACATGGTCCTGAAACTGTTCCATCAACTGTTCCCTACATCTGTAGCCTCTCCAAGTAGACTGTATAGTTGAAGCAGCCTCCTCTAAATTCTTTTGTCTGAGATTCTCATTCTGTACTTGATGACCTCTGAAAATTATATGATCAACACAATTTATATATTATTGCAATTAGATACTGCCCAATATCATTTAAATTTCTTTCGAGGAGCTTAAATGTGTATATACATGTAATTGCTATTATCATTCTAAACAACATTTTTTCCCCAACAAATAATTTACTGGTGAATAAGAACTAACATAATATTACTTGATCTTTCCTCTATTACGTTTCACCACAAAAAATGTATTTTTGACATAAATTTTTCCAAAATGAAAGAATAAATTCAAGCATTCAATATCTTTAATAATACCTGTTTGCATGGATATGACCATTGTATAAATCATCCGTCCCATTCATGTTGGTTGTGTTAGAGTTGTTACCTGTTTTGTCTGCTGATTTTAAAGCTTGTTCAAACAAATCTCTGGGATTTGCTGTAAAACTTGGGTGAACAAAACTGACATCACTTTTCTCATTTTTATCCTTAAATTTCATATCTGAATCAAAAGTCTCTTTTTCAGTGTCTTTCATTTTAAGAGCACTTTCAAATAAGTCTTTTGGATTTCCGTGTATTTTTTCCTTTTCTACATCATTAGCTATATTCATTGATATAGAATCTGAGTTTGATGACTTTAATGCATTTTCAAACATTTCCTTTGGGTTCATAAATTTCTCACGTTGTCGTGATGATACCGGACGACCCGATTTTGGTGCAGTAGGAGCTGTTGGCATGGGAACTGTTACTTCACCATACTCGTGGGCATATCTGTATTCTACCGCGATGTTGAATGTCCGATCACAGAATTTGTAATGTGCATCACAGAACTGAGACTGATGTGTTGGACTATTTTCCTTCAATCTGATATATATATTGAAATGTTCTTAATATCATAATTTATGTACAAGAATATTCTCATTTTAGGTAAAACGATGTTATACACTATATTATCACAATATTTATGAACTTCTACTCAGCTTAACTATAATTGTTTTTAACTTCATAGAACCTTAAAATGAGAAAAGCAAATAACAAATTACTCACTTTAGACTTTGTTCAAAATGACAAATAATGTCTTTCAATGTTCGCAGTTGGGTAAGACACATGGCTTCGTAACTTGTCCTCGGTTTCACAGGGGTTTGCCTAGCAACAGTGTCTGGACTCAAGTCTAGACTACAACTTATCCTTGGGCAAGAATATTTCAGTTGAGAAAAGAAGCTGAAACAAAGATGGTGAAATACGGAAAAATAAGATAATTCAACGAGATCCCCCCTGAATATATTAAATTTTGAAGGTTTTTTTTTATCGTTTTCATATTTAAGTAAAAAAATCAACTTTCCTTTTCAATAAGGATCAATAATAACGCATGAAAGTTTTTTCTTGCTCTGATAATTTTAGTATAGACTTATGGTTATAAAGCTTGTTGTACCAGTACTTGCCTGCTTTGTGGCAATTTACTGCCAATTTCTCCACAAGTAATACATAATTTGCACACATAACAATTGACTTATCACCCATGATTCTACATAAATCATTTTAATCAAGATAAAGGATAAGCTTTAACAGTGATCGGTGTTAGTATTCAACCCATCCTCATCAAAATCCCTCCACCTATAGTCTAAAACTTCAATTCACAAAACAAAAACCCTAATGTGCAAATCAGGTAAAACATTTCTAATCAATTCTTTTTTCGTTTCTGTATAAAAAGACGTTCAGTGAATATGTGTATCAATAAATGATATAATAAAGTGTACTGAATATGTTTTGAATTACCTATCATTTACATCAGTGACAACTGGATTGTCCACCAGATGGAGCTGTTCCATATAAAAACATGCTTCAACACAATTTTGAACAGTCACTGGATCTGAAATATGAAATTTATATATTGAATGGAATAGGCCAAATAACAAATGTTGTGATAAATGACCACTTTGTATATGGTACTAAATTAGCTTTCTAAAAAAGACAAGCCTAAAGGAAGTGTTTATTTGTTCATCCAGTTCATGGACATCAAAGGCTACTAAATAAAATTTGCCCAAACAATTACATGTTGATGTACATGCTGTACCGTCTCGTTTGAAGGGCATATATGCTTCACATTTGTATTGAATACAATATTTACTGAAATATAAGATGAAAATGCTGTTCTCTAATAAATAAATACTATTGTTAATACATAACTTAACAAGAGGGCCATGATGGCCCTGAGGTCGCTCACCTGTATATAGGCCCCCCCAACACCCCCCCCCCAATGTTGCAGGGCCAATTAAACCCAAGGGCTTTTATTTGCACAAACTTGGTAGACACCCATAAGAAGATGTTTCATGCTAAACATCTAAGCTCTAGCTCATTGGGCTTTTTAAAAGAAGATTTTTTTAAAGTTTTTACTATACACAAATAGTTAAAAACAATGACACCCCTGGGGCCGGGCCAGTCTTGACCCCAGGGCTTTTATCTGAACAAACTTTGTAGACACTTACTAGAAGATGTTTCATGCTTAATATCTAAACTCTAGCTATTTGAGTTTTTTCAAAGAAGATTTTAAATTTTTGCTATACACATATAAAGAAAATCAATGACCCCCGGGGCGGGGCCAATTTTGACCCCAGGTCTTTTATTTAAACAAACTTTGTAGACACTCACTAAAAGATGTTTCATGCTTAATATCTTAACCTTAGCTATTTGGGTTTTTTCAAAGAAGATTTTTTAAGTTTTTGCTATAATCTCATATAAGGAAAATCAATGACCCCCCGGGGCGGGGCCAATTTTGACCCCAGGGCTTTTATTTGAACAAACTTGGTAGACACCTATTAGAACATGTTTGATGCTAAATATCTTAGCTATAGCTCTTTGAGTTCTTTAAAAGAAGATTTTTTAAGTTTTTACTATATGCATATAGGGAAAATCAATGACCCCCCGGGGCGGGGCCAATTTTGACCCAAGGGCTTTTATTTGAACAAACTTGGTAGACACTTATTAGAACATGTTTCATGCTAAATATCTTAGCTCTAACTCTTTTGGTTCTTTAAAAGAAGATTTTTTAAGTTTTTACTATATGCATATAGGGAAAATCAATGACCCCCTGGGGCGGTGCCAATTTTGACCCCAGGGCTTTTATTTGAACAAACTTGGTAGACACCTATTAGAACATGTTTGATGCTCAATATCTTAGCCATAGCTCTTTGAGTTCTTTAAAAGAAGATTTTTTAAGTTTTTACTATATGCATATAGGGAAAATCAATGACCCCCCGGGGCGGGGCCAATTTTGACCCCAGGGCTTTTATTTGAACAAACTTGACAGACACCCATTAGAACATGTTTCATGCTAAATATCTTAGCTCTAGCTCTTTGGGTTCTTTAAAAGAAGATTTTTTAACTTTTTACTATATGCATAAAGGGAAAATCAATGACCCCCCGGGGCGGGGCCAATTTTGACCCCATGGGCTTTTATTTGAACAAACTTGGTAGACACTCACTAGAAGATGTTTCATGCCAAATATCTAAGCTCTAGCTCTTATGGTTTTTTAAAAGAAGATATTTAAAGTTTTTTCTTTCGGTTGCCATGGCAACCAGAGTTCTGCATGGAATTAAATTCTTTGAACAATTTTTAAAGGTGACCACCAAAGGAACATTCCTGTGAAGTTTGGATGAAATTGGCTTAGTGGTTTATGAGGAGATGTCATTTAAAGAAAAAGTTTACGGACGACGGACGGACGACGGACGGACGGACGCCGGACGAAAAGCGATCACAAAAGCTCACCCTGTCACTTTGACAGGTGAGCTAAAAAAACATGTTGAATAAAAAGACAACATAAAACGTTACCTGTTATTTGATTTTCAGCAAGATTTAATTCCTTTAGAAGTAAGCAGTTCTGTAGGGACGGAAGTTCTGATAAGCTGAAAAAAATATTCGCTTTCTAAATTACAGTTGTAGAAAACTGAACTAGAAATGTGTCCATAGCCCCCACACACCACTGTTCTGTCAATCTTATGACATTTATGTGCCACAAATTGAAAACTAGAATTCTTTTACTAAGTAAAGGGCAAGAACTTTACAAATACTGAATAAATCCACAGGCAAACCCCAAGGTGCATAAGTACACATGCTGACCAACATTCTTTCAGGCTTCAGGCCTACAAGTCAAATAGTTTTTTAGCTATGCATAAACGAGTTGAAAATTGCAAATTTATACTAGTGTAAGTCAAGGGCAATAACTCTAACAAAACTAAAAAAAATCTACATGCAAAGTCCCAGGTGCATAGCTTCACATAGATGTTGATCATTATTCCTGTAATTTAGTGGTGTTGATCATTATTCCTGTGAAGTTGGTTGATTCTAACCCAAGCACTCAAGGAACAAATAACACAACATAATGAAACGGTTTTTACTAAGTCAAGGGCAATAACTCTACAAATACTGTATAAATCCACAAGCGAAACCCAAGGTGCACAACTGCATATGCTGAGCAACATTCCCGTAAGGTTTCATGACTCTATATCAAATCCTTTGTGAGTTACATGCGACACAAGTTGAAAATTGCAAATTTTTACTAAGTCAAGGGCAATAACTCTAAAAATACTAAATAAATCCAAACTAAAATACCCAGGTGAAAACCTTCACATGCTGATCAACATTCTTGTAAAGTTTCGTGACTCTAGGTCAAATACTTTTTGAGTTACGTGCGACACAATTTGAAAATTGCAAATTTTTACTAAGTCAAGGGCAATAACTCTAAAAATACTAAATAAATCCACACAAAAATACCCAGGTGCACAACTGCACATGCTGATCACATTCCTATTAAGTTTCATGACATAGGTCAAATACTTTTTGAGTTGCGTGCAACTCAAAAGAGAACAGACGGAAGGACGGATGGACGGCCGCACAAGGGTAAATCTAAATGCCCCCCATAAAGTCGGGGCACAAAAATGATGTCAATGCCAAAAAAATAATATAACAATGTGTCCCAAAAAATCTAGCCATCTTTTATCACAGGATTACAATTCATAAGGATTGGACATGCCAAATTTCTAAGCTTTGAGCTTTTTAGTTTTACAAAATAAGACTTACGTGCAATTAACTTTATAAGTCTATCCCAAGGGACACAATTCAGTTAAATGTTATAACAAGAGGAAGAGGAAATGGCTTGCTTCAACTTCTTCAAAACCAAATGAGGAAATGAAAAGCGCAAAATTTCCAACTTTTCTGTCAAACGGAGGGAGACATTTATTCTTTATTATTCTTATAAAATATTAGTGAAGCCAATATTCAAAGTAAGTCAAAAATTTATTTTCATACATATAATTTTACATGTAGTCTAATTTATAATAAATAAATTAACCAAAAAATACATGGGATATTTATGATATTGTAAACTCTGCTAAGTATACAGTGTACCAGGAAAATGACATAAAGTACTTAAGATTGATCAAAGTTATAACACTTTAGTTGTATCAATGCCACAATAATTATGTACCTTTGAAACACAAACTACAAACGCAGCTTACAATATTATAATTCACATACTTCAATTAACTATTGATAAAGTACCGTATTTAATATTATTATTTTTAATTACAAAAGAACAAAAGACACCATTGTCACCCATATATATTACTTTTTATAAAGAAATATAACGCCTTAAAGAAAGCATAGGTTACTGTAAATAGACCTGAGTTGACATCACTTGTCTCTAGCAGATAATCTGTTCTTTCTCTCTCAGAGGAATGTGATTTTTGTAATGTATCACATTATAATAAGGTTATATTAACGTTTTGCATAAAAATATACCCATTTGTACCATATTAAATACAATGGATGTACATCGAATGCTAGCTGAAATAATCACTAATTACCTTTATAACAAAATCAGGCTAGCCTGTACATCTAGGCAGTTTGACCAGACCTTGTACTGTGTGCACGTTGCCAGCATAAAACCAAGCTAGCTTGTGCATCCATGCAGTTTAATCAAACTATTTACTGTTTCTATATAACCAGTATAAAATCAAACATACCTGTACATCTATCTAGTCTGACAAGTCTGTAATGTTTTTGTATAACTAGTAGAACAAGAGCTGTCACAAGAGACAGCGAAGCTTGACTAATTAAATACTGGACGCAGTAAAGGACAAAAAAACTTTGAAAAAAAAAATCTTTTATGATACAAATGTATATTTCTGTATCAGTATCAAGAGAGCATCACTCAAATGTTCAATATTTTTGCACCACAGTATATGCATTTGACCATATCTAAGACATGTTTATATGAAATCTGGGACGGGGTCAATTTTCACCCCAGGGCTTTTATTTGACTCTGTAGATAGCCAAGATATTTTATGCTAAATACCTAAGCTCTTGCTCTTTGGGGTTTTTAAAGAAGTTTTTATTATATAGATATAGGGAATTCACTGCTCACCTGTATAGAGCCCCCGGTGCTGGGCAAATTTTGACACCAGGGCTTTTATTTGAACAAACTTGGTAGACACCCATTGAAAGATGTTTCATGCTTAATATCTAAGCTCCAGCTCTTTGGTTTTTTTAAGATTTTTTTTTTAAAGTTTTTACTTTATACATGTTAAAAAAATCAATGGCCCACAGGCGAGCCAATTTTAACCTCAGGGCTTTTATTTGAAGAAACACAGACCTAAACCTTGAGCTGACATATGGGCAACATGAGTTCTGCACATCCCCTTGTTGAGGTGAACATTTGAATAAAACCTTTCAATTTATGTAGGACTTACAGAGCAGACACGACATACTGTCTAATATTTGATTGTGTTTGATATTTGACCTTCAATTGTGACCTTGACCTTGAGCTGAAACATGGGCAACATGTATTTTGCACATCCCCTTGTTAAGATGAACATTTGAGCCAAGTTTGAAAAAAATCTTTCAATTAGTGTAGGACTTACAGAGCGGACACGACATACTGTCTTATATTTGATTGTGTTTGATATTTGACCTTCAATTGTGACCTTGACCTTAAACACATGGGCAACATAAGTTCTGCACATCACCTTGTTGAGGTGAACCTTTGAGCCAAGTTTGAAGAAAATCCTTCCATTGATATAAGATCTATAGAGCGGACACGAAAATGGAGACGGACGGACCGACGGATGGACCGACCGACAGACGCGACAAATCAGATCCATTATACACCCCCCCCCCACACACACACACATTTTGTGGTGGGGGTAAAACAAAGAAGTTATAGTATGAAATAACATTTTTAAGGGAAAACTCAAGTTCATGGGGGATAATTCTTGAAATATTGGTGCTAGAGTTAAAAACTTTGTCACATAACGTCACCTCAGTGAAATAACTGCTTAACTGCTATTTTTAGAAGCAATTATTACGTTATTGCACTAAGGTAACGATAAGATGTGCTTGATTATAAGGAAAATAAATATGAAGTTTGAAGAAATAGAGAAGTAAAAAATCATATTTTTAAGGACAATTCTAAGTTCAAGGGGAAAAAATTATGAAAATATTGCATCTTGAGTTATGAAACTAGTCAAATAGGATGTGGTTAATGATGAGAAAGACATATTTGAAGTTTGAAGTTCATATCTTAAAAATGTAAAAGTTATAGTAAAAAAAGTCAAGCAGGCTATAATTATAGTTTGCAGATCCATGAAACCTAAGTAGAGTGTGTAAAGTTATTTACATTTATCTTTGATATTTTTATTTACGAACAATAAAAAATAAAGTTACCAGTAGAAATATTCAAGTTAAGCCTAAACTCCTGTTTGTGGTAATTAAATGAATTTTTCCATTGTGAATGAGTAACAATCTTGAACATTTGATATAAAAAAAAAGATACCTTACTCATATTCTCATTTTTCTTCTCAATGACACCAAAAAATTTCATGCAAAAAGGAAGGAAACTGTCAAAGCAAAATGTTCAAGAGAAATAATTTCTACACTATTTTTCATTATCTTTTTATGTCAACTTATGTAACTGAAATTTCCTACTGAATTTTCCTATAATCAATTCTAGCTATTCTGTTGTGTTATGTTCTGTTCTAGGACATCAAAAATGTCAAAGTATTCAACAAAATAAACTTTGTGACAGACTTTACAATTTTCTCTTCACTTATATTAACAGAATGTTTCAAGAACCTGACTACAGAGAAAACCTATCATTGAAGTTATCAGAGGTTTTAGATGACATTGGTGTCAATGAAAGAATGGTGATGAGAAGGAGAAGACATCTCATGCTGCTAGAGACTACGAGTAATATCACTTACAGGTTAACTGACCATAATATAACTAACCATTTTCTAGGTAGTCAGAGTGAAGGTACAACTTCTATAGGACTTAATTCAGACTTGGACATACTACTCTGTATACATAATGCCAATATAATACAAGACTGGTCAGAGTGGGAACATGGCAAGAACAACTACCTCATGATACAGGATGAGAAAACTACCCCTGGTTATTGTTTCTTACAAAAGCTCCAACCTGATGTACCTCTCCCTGTTACTGTCATTCCTAACGAAAACCATATAATAGACAGAAGTGGAAGAGTATTGTTAAAAAACACAACCATTCAGGGTCCGTTTCCGGATACTGTAAATCATGGACCATCAAATGTATCACAAGGAGAACCTGGAATATGTGATATAGACAATGTGCCAGCTATGCATTGTAAATCGTGGCCTAAATCAGCATCAGCTTGGTTAGAGAGACAAGGTAATGGCAGATGGCCAACGCAAGACATGAGAAGATATGCAGCCAGCACTGGGTGTTTTGTTGTTGCAACTGGAAGCAAGATCAGTGAATATCCTGATCTGGAATGGAGAATATCTACATCACTGGCAGAGAGGTTTCTTATGTTAAACCTAAATATAACACAAATAAGGTGCTATGTATTATTGAAAATGATTCTTAAATCCTTCCTTAATCCTCAAAATGAAATCAATATATCAAGTTTCATGTGTAAAACAGTTCTATTACATTGTATAGAAAACACAGAGCCATGTACCTGGAGAGAGAACAATTTATTTTCATGTTTAACATATTGCTTATTAGAATTACAAACCTGTGTACAGAATGACTGTTGTTCACATTTTATAATTCAAGAAAACAATTTGATGGCAGGTCAATTTACAGCTGAGACAAAACATGAACTTTCAAAAAATATAAGTGACTTTATACAGAGCGATGGACAGGGGTTACTTAGAATTAAAATCGATGATCTTGGACAAAGACTGCAAGTAAAACTGAAAATGGTACCACAAGGAGCATACTATTTTAAGTCTTCTCTTCAGATCTATAAAATGATTATGTCATGTAATTATATAAGTGTTGCAATACATATAAGTAGAAATGTGCCGCTTATATTTAAATATTTAGAAATGAAAAACATGAGAACAATGAAGCAATCTATAATTAAACTAATGGCATTCAGTGATAATGGTTATAGATTACAACATGCTGCAAGTAAGCTTAATCTTACATGCTGTAAGTTTCTAGCACCTTTTCTTTTTAGCACATATGGATCTTCCCTTGCATCATCAAGTATTGGTGAAAATAATCAAGTGTCACAAGAAGCATTAGATTGGTTATCAGCTGGTTTGAACTCAGATATCTCATCTAGCAGACTTAAATTGGCTTCAGTGTTCTACAGTACAGGAGATATGGAGAAAGCTGAACTAATTCTGAGACACATTGAACAACAATATTACTCATTTCCTGTTGTACCTATCTGTGGATGCTATGTGAAGGCTCATCTAGGAACTGTAGAATTTGAGAGGGTCTGTGGTGAACAAAGTGAGGACTGTATCACACATATTACAGCTGTTTGTGTCAAATTCATACGGAAAGAGATCAACTGTGTTCCTCATGAACTACAATATGAAATGTTCAGATCTACACAAGATGACATGATACACAGAGATGAAGTTACAGACTTTTGGATGGACTGGGCTGCAGTTGATTCTCTACCTTTCCTGTACTTCCTACAATACAAGATCTATCGTCAATTACAAAGACATCAAGATCAACAACAAGCACTTGGTAAACTAATAAGAACCATAGAAACAGATGAAAATCTTGGACATAGAGAAACTGCTCTAAACATTTTAGGGCAATGTATGGAACAAGAAAACAGACCTCAACAGGCATTAAATTACTACCTGCGTTCTCTACAACAAAGGGCAAGAAACAATGTAGCAATCATACATATATGTAAGCTCCTTTCTGGCTTATTGGCTAGCCAATAATTAGGGTCAAAACAGTGACAGTGTTAAGACTGAAGTTTTCAATGATCATATAATACCGCTTGTATGTCAATAAAAATGTCAAAATATAGACTGTTATTACATTTTTATCAAACATTATTTGTAATAATATTAAACACGATAAATTAAAAGAATTAATTCAACTAGAAATGACTTTGATATCTGATTTTACATACATTTGAGAATCAAGAGCCTCTTGTGAAGAAGACCATATCACTCATCAAAAAAAACTTTAAATTTTGGTTCATAAGATGAAGTTTTTTTCCAAGAGTCTAAAATCCTTTATCTGTCTCGCATGCACACAAGCAAACACACTCACACACGCACACACACACGCCGCACGCACACACACACACACACACACACAAAGGGGAATCGCTATATGCCGATAAATACACACGAAAAAACTTTTATTTTAACACAAGAGCGATCAGTAATCACATGTGTCGCCTCATGATGGCCAATTTCATGTTGGGACAAATTTTGTGACAGACGGACAGACAGACGGACAGTGCACAACTAGACTAACCACTTTGTACTGATCATTCCTGTAAAGTTTGGATAAAATTTCACCAGTAGTTTATGAGGAGTAGTCCGGACAAGCTTTTGCATATCTGGCAACACACAGAAAAAACACCTTTTTATCAAAGGGCCATAACTCGGCCAAAAATCATTCAACCGGAAAACCCGTGCAATATGCGCAAGGACTTGAGCTACAGATCAATCCTGTAAAGTTTCATTGAAATTGCATAAGTGGTATAAGAGAAGTAGTCTGGACAAACTTTAAAAATAAAAATTATTAAAGGGCCATAACTCAAACAAAAATCATTGAACCGGAAAATGCTGACAATATGCACAACTAGACTTGGTACTGATCATTCCTGTAAAGTTTGGATGAAATTGCACCAGTAGTTTATGAGGAGTAGTCCGGACAAGCTTTTGTGTATCTGGCAACACACAGAAAAAGAAACCTTTTTATCAAAGGGCCATAACTCGGCCAAAAATCATTCAACCGGAAAACCCGTGCAATATGCGCAAGGACTTGAGCTACAGATCAATCCTGTAAAGTTTCATTGAAATTGCATTAGTGGTATAAGAGAAGTAGTCCGGACAAACTTTAAAATTAAAAATTATTAAAGGGCCATAACTCTGACAAAAATCATTGAACCGGAAAATCCTGACAATATGCACAACTAGACTTGGTACTGATCATTCCTGTAAAGTTTGGATGAAATTGCACTAGTAGTTTATGAGAAGTAGTCCGGACAAGTTTTGTGACGGACGGACGGTCAGACAGACAGACAGACGGACAGACAGACAGACAGACGAACAGACAGACAACGGAGAAGTGATCCCTATATGTCGCCACTACTCCGTAGAGGCGACACAAAAATGTTTACTGAGAGGGTATCTTTATTATCTTTATTTATTAACTGATTCAGTGATTGATTTCTGGTGTACTTATTTACTGATTGATTGATTTAGTCACTTATTCATTAACTTACTTTTTACTGACTCACTAATTGATTTAATATTTAAGTAGGCAAAGCCTTTTAACGGGGAAGTCAGATGAAAAAATGTTTTTTATTACATTTTTTGTTTTAAAAGTGCCTTATGCACTGCTTCCATTTAATCTCAGCCCAGGTTCCTTTATCTATTATGGTTCCCATTGAAGTGCGTAGGTGGCCAGTCTAGCAATTCTTTTTCAATCAAAATATCTCGGCTTTCACTGTTACCTTGTAATTTGTAAAGTTGCAATTGGTCCATTATCGGAATAACCTGCCGTTTTTTATTGTGTTACGGTGCCCAACAATAAATGATACTGAAAATATCATTTTTAAATATACACATGTTGTCTATAGCCAGGCAAGCCAAAGTCTTGGACCGCAGGCTTTGACTTCTCCGTATTAATTAACTGATTCAATTATTGATAAACTGTTTCCACTTACTGATTGATTGACTGATTCAATGATTGATTGACAGATAAACTGATTGATTCATTGATTAATTATCTGACTTCTTGACACATCTAATCATTGATTGACTGGTTTCCAGAGTTAGGTGGCTTTTTACGGTAAATGATGTGTTATGAAAATCTTGGACATACAGAAACAGCTCTTAACATCTTAGGACAATGTAAAGAGCAAGAAAACAAAACATACCAAAACAAGCATTATAATGCTACCAGTTTTCTTTTCAACAAAGGACAAGAAACAATGTGGCAATCTTTCATATTTGTAAGCTTCTTATCAGAATGTTGGTTAGGCAATAAATTAAGGACAAAAGCAGACAGTATAAATACATGCAATATCTGTAGACTTAGTTTTTAGTACTGCTTGCCTGTATTAAACTGATTAAAGGGAAAGCAATACAAATATTGATATAAGAAAAAGTATGCTATAAATAGTAAAATTAACAAGAGCGATCAGTAATCACATGTGTCGCCTCATGATGGCCAATTTCATGTTGGGACAAATTTTGTGACAGACGGACAGACAGACGGACAGTGCACAACTAGACTTGGTACTGATCATTCCTGTAAAGTTTGGATAAAATTGCACCAGTAGTTTATGAGGAGTAGACCGGACAAGCTTTTGCGTATCTGGCAACACACAGAAAAAAAACACCTTTTTATCAAAGGGCCATAACTCGGCCAAAAATCATTCAACCGGAAAACCCGTGCAATATGCGCAAGGACTTGAGCTACAGATCAATCCTGTAAAGTTTCATTGAAATTGCATGAGTGGTATAAGAGAAGTAGTCCGGACAAACTTAAAAAATAAAAATTATTAAAGGGCCATAACTCTGACAAAAATCATTGAACCGGAAAATGCTGACAATATGCACAACTAGACTTGGTACTGATCATTCCTGTAAAGTTTGGATGAAATTGCACCAGTAGTTTATGAGGAGTAGTCCGGACAAGCTTTTGTGTATCTGGCAACACACAGAAAAAGAAACCTTTTTATCAAAGGGCCATAACTAGGCCAAAAATCATTCAACCGGAAAACCCGTGCAATATGCGCAAGGACTTGAGCTACAGATCAATCCTGTAAAGTTTCATTGAAATTGCATTAGTGGTATAAGAGAAGAAGTCCGGACAAACTTTAAAATTAAAAATTATTAAAGGGCCATAACTCTGACAAAAATCATTGAACCGGAAAATGCTGACAATATGCACAACTAGACTTGGTACTGATCATTCCTGTAAAGTTCGGATGAAATTGCACCAGTAGTTTATGAGGAGTAGTCCGGACAAGTTTTGTGACGGACGGACGGACAGACAGACAGACAGACAGACGGACAGACAGACGACGGAGAAGTGATCCCTATATGTCGCCACTACTCCGTAGAGGAGACACAAAAATTTACCGCATTTGAATAATTTATCAAATACTTTATAACAAACTGTAAATCGCTAAATTACCATTTTTAACAAGCAAATTCGCCGAGTACAGGTTATTACTAACACAACAACTGAAGACATAAGGCTTTATTTATATACATTTATCATGGTGTAAGATTCTTTGTACATTAAAAATATTCAGGGCAATAACAGAGCCATTACTTAGTGTTAAATAGTTATATCTGGACATGCCAATGAGATGTAAATTGCCTTTTTGTATCAATGGTTCCCATAAGTTTTGTTGAAATCAATAGAGCAGTTGCAAAGAAATAGCAATATTGCTCTATATGCATACTACATAACTAATCAAGGACCATAACTCTGTAATGAAGGGTCTGGTCTGAACAGGGCAACAAATTACGTACATCTCATCATGGTTCCCATAAAGTTTAATTAAATTCCAGCCAGTAGTTGCAGAGAAGAAGTGGGGTAACAATTATTGCTCTACATGCATACTGCATAACTAATCAAGGGCCATAACTCTGACTTTAAGTGTCTGATCGGAACAAGTAGAAGATATGCTCATCTCCCTTTGGTATTGAAGGTTCCCATAAAGCTTCGTTGAATTCCAGCCAGTAGTTGCAGAGAAGTAACGCAGAATTAATTTTTGCTCTATACGCATAATGCATAACTTATCAAGGGCCTTAACTCCGAGTTAAAGTGTCTGACTGGATCAATGCTATAATATGCGCATCTCCTCTTGGAATTGAAGGTTCCAATAAAGGTTCGTTGAATTCCAGCCAGTAGTTGCAGAGAAGTACCACTGAAAAGATTATTGTTTTACATGTATACTGCATAACTTATCAAGGGCCATAACTCTGAGTCAAAGTGTCTGACCGGAACAAGCCGACGATATGCGCATCTCCTCATGGTATTAAAAGGTTCCCACAAAGTTTCTTTGAATTCCAGCCAGTAGTTCCAGAGAAGTAGCGCAGAAAAGATTATTGTTCTATATGTATACTGCATAACTAATCAAGGCCCATAACTCTTGAGTTAAAGTGTGTGACCAGAACAAAGCAACGATATGCACATCTCCTCTTGGTATTGATGATTCCCATAAAATTTCTTTGAATTCCAGCCAGTAGTTGCAGAAAAGTAACGTAGAATTAATTTTTGCTCTATAAGCATAATGCATAACTTATCAAGGGCCTTAACTCCGAGTTAAAGTGTCTGACTGGATCAATGCTATAATATGCGCATCTCCTCTTGGTATTGAAGGTTCCCATAAAGGTTTGTTGACTTTCAGCCAGTAGTTGCAGAGAAGTAGCACGGAAAGGATTATTGTTTTACATGTATACTGCATAACTTATCAAGGGCCATAACTCTGAGTCAAAGTGTCTGACCGGAACAAGCCGAAGATATGCGCATCTCCTCATGGTATTGAAGGTTCCCACAAAGTTTCTTTTGAATTCCAGCCAGTAGTTCCAGAGAAGTAGCGCAGAAACAATTATTGTTCTATATGCATACTGTATAACTAATCAAGGGCCATAACTCTGAGTTAAAGCATGTGACCAGAACAAAGCAACGATATGCCCATCTCCTCTTGGTATTGAAGGTTCCCACAAAATTTCTTTGAATTCCAGCCAGTAGTTGCAGAGAAGTAGCGCGGAATTAATTTTTGCTCTATACGCATAATGCATAACTTATCAAGGGCCATAACTCTGAGTTAAAGTGTCTGACCGGACCAAGGCAATGATATGCACATCTCCTCTTGGTATTGAAGGTTCCCATAAAGTTTTGTTGACTTCCAACCAGTAGTTACAGAGAAGTAGCACGGAAACGATTATTGTTCTACATGTATACTGCATAACTAGTCAAGGGCCATAACTCTGAGTTAAAGTGTCTGACCGGAAAAAGTCGACGATATGCTTATTGAAGGTTCCCACAAAGTTTCTTTGAATTCCAGCCAGGAGTTGCAGAGAAGTAGCGCGGAAACGATTTTTACTCTATAAGCATAATGCATAACTAATCAAGGCCCATAACTCTGAGTTGAAGAGTCTGACTGGAACAAGCGGACGATAAGCCCATCTCCTCTTGATATTGATGATTCCCATAAAGTTTCGTTGAATTCCAGCCAGTAGTTGCAGAGAAGTAGCACGAAAACGATTATTGTTCTACATGTATACTGCATAACTAATCAAGGGCCATAACTCTGAGTAACTAATCAAGGGCCATAACTCTGAGTTAAAGTGTCTGACCAGAACAAGCCGACGATATGCGCATCTCCTCTTGGTATTGAATGTTCCCACAAAATTTGTTTGGATTCCAGCCAGTAGTTGCAGAGAACTAGCTAGGAAACGAAATTCGGACGGACGGATCGACAGACGGACAACGCCAAAACAGTATCCCCCTCCCGATTCCATTGGCGGGGGATAACAAAGCAGTGGGCACCGCCATTTTTTGTGTATGCGGTTGACGCCAAAATATATGTCTTTCATTCTTCTTAATGTTATATATTTCTTTTTGTTATATACTGTTTTCAAATAACACCATAGTTTGTAAAAACATCAGTTTTCAATATCCCCCTAATAAAGGAAGGTTTACATGAAGCACAAAATTGTGCTATGTCAAAAGATTAAGGTATGGATCTGGACTTTCAGTGCAAAATTTTGATCAATGCAAGATCCGCACATGCAATTAACAATAAATTCATTAAAGAAATATAATGAATTGACTCCTGTATGTGTTAACAGAAATACATTTGTATATATAGTAGTCATCACTTCTTCAAAGTCACAAAATGTGACAAATACAAAACCAATTCTACAGATAGCGCATCCTGTGTTGTCGGTATATCTGTGATCATAGATATTTTAGGTGTAAAATAGTTGATACATGCTTATTAATTGGTACCACTTAGGAAGTCTTTTAGTGCATTTACTTGTCTATAAAGCTGCTATATAAATGAAATTAGCAACTGCCAAAACGAATGACTCTCTCTGCGAAAAAAGTGGAAATGAAATGTGCACACTTGTTTCCCTTCAGTATGATAGATAGATCTCCACGTGGGAGAGCCAACGTTAGTATTTTTACGATTGATTATTTTCTTAAATAGTTTTATACAACAGAGAATAGATTTCAATTCGTTTGTGACAAAAAAAAATATTCGTTTTTGACAAAAAAAAATATTCGTTTTTGACAAAAAAAAATATTTGTTTTTACAAAAAAGTTGTAACTGTTATCGTCAGCATGTTCCGGTCCAGTTATAATCAGTGGACTTCTGGTCCTTCTTTTGTCCAAATTTGCAAGCATAACACTCAAACAAATGGGCACAGGTGCTCGTCCGGTCTTGGGCTTAATCTACCTATCCCTTTAAAAGTGAAACTTTTTTTTTTTCAAAAAAAAACAAGAAAAAAGAAAAAAAACTAAATAAACCCTTTATGATATACAAATACTGTAATTCAAAAAAAATTGTGATAATAAATTGAAATAATAAAAAAACAATTTTAAAGGAATGGGATGATGGCACAACTTAGCAAGCCTTTCCTTTTAAAAGGAAACTTTATTCTCCTTAGCTTTGACCTTGAGCACAACGTGCTCAGGTAAGCTGGTAACAAAGTTATAATCAATGCAAACATCATGCAACATTCAATAAATTGATCTTATGTCTAAAGTATAGGCAACAACAGCATTATATAGCAATAGCCCGAATATCTTCAATAAACTTGCTTTTTAAAAAGAAAATTACCAAAATTCTTCTTTTATAAAATACATAAAAAGAAAAAAAAAATTTCTTTTGGGCTATTTAAGGATTGAATATCTGGAAAAAAAAATTACATAAAAATATCATTTGCACAGAAAAAATTTACCTATTTTGTTGAAGTTGTATGGTTGCCAGTAGAGGGAGCCACACGGCAGCTAGAACACTGAGGGAGGATATGCTGTTATCTGATAGTAACAGTTCTATTAATAGCACCTGGTTATGTAATGACGGAATCTGAAATGATTAATATCATAAATAAAAACATTGTTAAATCTAGCTATATTTATCATTAATGATATGATCATATCCTAAAGTTGTGAATGTTAAAAGATAAGTCACAAAAAAGCAATGCCAGCACTTGAGTTGAATCACTGAACTTCCAAAACTAGCAAGATAGCTTCCTCATTATTCATAGTTCCTGGTGAGATTTGATTCTACAGTGGTATGGGTTAATTGTATTGGACCTCAGCAACCCTTAACAGCTCAGCCACTATTGCCCCAATAATAAAAAAATTTGAAACATTTTTTCTACCTGCAAAAGATTATTAGAAGATGCGTCCAATGAAAAAAGTAGGCAGAGCTTATCAAGGTCTTCAATTGCCTGGAGATGATTGTGGGAGATGTCAATCAATTGTAATGTGGGCGTGGCACCCAGCCCCTGGGTGCTGATCAGCTGATTGTGTGATATTTTCAATGTATGGAGTCTTCTCATTGTATCCATGCCACCTGTTGAGAGAAAATGCAATCAAATCAAATATTAAATTAAAATGCTCAAAAGTGGATGGCATATAAAGTGTATATTTTGTGACCAACTAATCCATACTCTTGACTTTTGTTTTTAAAGAAAAAATAACCTTCATTGTGTTAAAAAAAAATAACAGAGGCCAAACAAATTGTTGTATTTAGACAGACCCAATATGTTAAATACAATTTGACTTGAAACAAGAGGGTCATGATGGCCCTGAAATCGCTCACCTGAATATAGAAACAAGGACAAGAAAAAGTAATTTTGTAAACTATAAATAAAAGCAGACATAAAACGTAAATCACAAAGTTCATATTTGTATCTGAAATAGTGAATGTGTAAAAACATTACTGGTTGCTATTGCTAAGGGAAAACTACAGTTCCACAAGACATGTACACATAAGAAAAATCAATGACCCCAGGGGACAGGGCCAATTTTGACCTCAGTGCTTTTTTTTAAACAAACTTGGTAGACAACCAGAGGATTTTTCATGCTTAATATCTAAGCTCTAGCTCTTAGGAGTTTTTGAAAGAAGATTTTTAACGTTTTTACTATATACATAAGGAAAATCAATGACACCCCCAAGGGCAGGGCCAATTTTGAACCCGTTGCTTTTATTTAAACAAACTTGGTAGACACCAACTAGAAGATGTTTCATGCTTAATATCTAAGCTCTAGCTAGTATGTTTTTTTTTTTTTTAAAAGAAGGCTTTTTTGGGTTTTTTTTCTATTTACATATTAGGAAAATCAATGACCCCCTGGGGCAGGGCCAATAAATTTTGACCCGAGGGCCTTTATTTGAACAAACTTGGTAGACACTCATAAGAAGATGTTTCATGCTTTATATCTATGATCTAGCTATATGTGATTTTTAAAAGCAGAATTTTTAAGTTTTTACTATATACCTATAAGGATAATCATTTACTCCCACGGTAGTGCTAATTTTGACCCCAGTGCTTTGATTTGAACAAACTTGCTAGACACCCATTAGAAGATGTTTCAGGCTTAATATTTAAGCTCTTAGCTCCTTGAGTTTTTTAAAAGACGATTTTATTAGCTTTTACTTTATACATATAAGGAAACTCAATGACCCCCCCCCCCACCCAGTGCTAGGCCAATTAAGACTCCAGGGCTTTTTATTTGAAGAAACTTGGTAGACACTCATTAGAAGATCTTACATGCCAAATCTCTAAGCTCTAGCTCTTTGGGTTTTTAAAAAGAAGATTTTTTCAAGTTTTTTCTTTCGGTTGCCATGGCAACCATAGTTCTGCATGGAATAAAATTCTTTGAACAATTCTAAAGTTGACCACCAAATTCCTGTAAAGTTTGGATGAAATTGGCTCAGCAGTTTAAGAGGAGATGTTGTTTAAAGCAAAAGTTTACAGACAGACGACGCCTGAATTGTGATCACAAAAGTTCACCTTGTCACTTTGTGACAGGTGAGCTAAAAACAGAAACATACAAAGGGTAATTTTATAAATGACATAAGATATTATACAAATATGGGCTTTCTAGCTGGTGAATATGATGTGATATGTAATGAAAATATTTATATAGACCGTAGAGGTGACAGCCGAGGTCAAGAATAATTTTTCAGTACATATCACATCATACTCACCAGCTAAAAAGTCAATAACTTTTTTAATATATAATTTATAAATACATGTAGCTGTTATATGGTTTATCTAATGTGCCGTTGAATACAATAGAAATCAACATTTTTCAGCTTGTTTTCGTAATGTTCTTAAAATTATAAAGAAGGTAATTAGAATAGACTAATTTGACTTTTATTTACAAGTCACTTAATGTTTATTCAGACTAATATAACAACAAACTTTACGTGACGTCATGTCATAGTCTCACATCTTTTGAGGGATTTCCAGAAAATCTATTTTTACGAGCCAATCAGAGAAACGCATAATAAAAGAATACATGACTCACCAAGTCTTGTAATATTGTTGTGACTGAGGTCTAACCAGCGTAGATTTGTACAATTATCTAGACCATGTATAGATGATAACTTATTGTGAGATATATTCAGATATTGAAGCTGTCCTGCATCTTTTAAATCTACATACTCAATCTTGTTATTCTGTAAATATATAAACATATGTAATATAACTTATATAAATGTAATATTGTTACTTCAATATATCAATTTATAGATATAGAGATGTAGAGTGACCTTCTATATAGACAAATAACCTTTATCAGCAATAACATTTCTGGCGTTGATTGACTACATAGAAGCTTCATTTTGCTTTATGTAGCAGATAAGCAAACCGGTATATCTTATTCTTTTTTTTTAGACTTGATTATCATTTAAATTATTATGGCAATAAACAAACACCTAACCCACCAGAATAGAGCCTTGGTAGACACTGTGCTGCAGTATGACTAGACTCTTTACTGTGGACAACTTAACTTCTGTATTTTCACACTGAATTCCTTAAACTACTAATGGACTATTCCAAATTAAGGGCAAAAGAAGGGCATTAGTCCATTACAAAGATAAAGCTGGGCAAGTGCATTACAAAAATTTTACCAAGGTCAATCCATTTCCAAGAATGATTAACTCAGGTAAATCCATTTCCAAGATTAACCAAGGTAAATTCATTTCCAAGATTAACCAATTTAAATCTATTTCAAAGATTAACCAAGGTAAATTCATTTCAAAGATAAACTAAGGTAATCAAACACTAAGATTAACCAAGGTAAATTCATTTCCAAGATTAACCAAGGTAAATTCATTTCAAAGATTAACCAAGGTAAATTCATTTCCAAGATTAACCAACGTAAATACATTTCCAAGATTAACCAAGTTAAATCCATTACGAAGATTAAGCAGGATAAAGCATTACAAAGATTAACCAAGGTAAATCCATTACAAAGATTAAGCAGGATAAAGCATTACAAAGAATAACCAAGGTAAATCCATTACAAAGAAAAACCAAGGTAAATCCATTACAAAAATTAAGCAAGATAAAGTATATAAAGTGATCCACCTACCTGAACATTGACATACTGTAATTGTCTACATTGAGTTAAACCATCGATGGCAACCAAGTTACAGTTGTTAAGTGTGAGATATTTTAATCCCCCACATTGACCTAAGGTTGACATGTTGTTCCCTGGTAAGTCTTTAAGCTCCACTGTAGTTACCTAAACATAAATGAATAATTTTCAGCTGCAAATTATCTAAACATAGTTGTTGCCTATTAAAACTTTTAAACATTAAATTGTTGTTTCGTTATCAATAATGTTTATTATCATTTTTACAGAATTAAAATTATATAAAAGGGTAATCAGAAATCACATGTGTCGCCCGATGAAAGCCAATCTGTAGCAGGAGACACAAAAATCATTTTCTGGCCAAAATGTGTTTTTTTAATTCAAGGGCCATAACTCAACCAAAAATCATTCAACCGAAAAAAAACATTTAATATTATCAAATACTTTAGGTAACTGATTAATCCTGTAAAGTTCCATTGTAATTGCATTAGTAGTATAAGAAAAGTACATGTAGTCCAAACAAAACTTTAAAAAATAAATACCATTACTCTGACAAAAATCACTGAACTGGAAAATGATGTACGATATGCATAACTAGACTCAGTACTGATCATTCCTGTAAAGGTTGGATGAAAGTGAATCAGTAGTTTCTGAGGAGTAGTTTGGACAAGTTTTGTGAAGGGCGGACAGATGACGGAGAAGTTATCCCTGTATGTTTCCACTACTCTGTAGCACGAGACACAAAACTGGTGTATTGGTAATCCAAAGCATTGCCTTTACCATTTGAAATAAATAGAATATTTTTAATCAATTATAAACAATTAACAAGAGGCACATGAACCTTAAAGGTCACCTGAGTATACTTCAGCAGTTTATATGTGTTTTCTTTTTGTGTAAATAACTTTAATACATTGATTAAAACAGCAAAACATCACATTAATATTATAATTTCAATACATTGTCTTTATAAAATATTATGTATGCAACTGAGCGCTTTCACTGAAGGTGATTTAAATACCCCCTCCAGCAACCTTGACTTTTTGGAAATTAAAGTGGTCTGAAGCAAAATTTAAACTCAACCTATCACTCAGGATCAAGATCAGGATCAAATTTAAAAACTCTGATATTCTTCATTGTTTATCCTCATAGATTAAATATCTAATATTAATTTGATAAAACAGGACTTGCAATAGAAAGTTTATGAAATTTAGAATAAATTTATTGTTATTTTTGCAAAATACAGGCTTTTACCAGTATATCCAAATATTGATCCTGATCCTAAAATAGATCCTTTTTTTAACCAAATATTTTTGTATTTGTTTTGTTATTTGTTAATTTTATCCCAAAATAGTTTGATTTCTTTTTCAAATCAGCATTTTTTTACATTTTGAATATTTACTATTTAATTCTAGCAAACACAATAAATTTTAATAACACAAAAGAATGAAAACTAGAACTGCCACTGTCATGGCGTGAATACCCCCGCATACCACTTTGTCAGAATCAACAGTAGCCATTAAGAGCTCAAGGACAACCACCCTGCCAAATCTGAGGTTACTAAGCCAGTGCATTGCTAAGATATGTATTCTCCATGCTTCAAATGTGAAAATTTTAAAATCAAGTTTTTTAGTCAAGGTCCCTGTGACCTTGACCTTTGACCCAGTGACCTCAAAATCAATAGGGGTCATTGAGTAATCACTACTAAACTCCATGCCAAATATGAAGACTGTGGGTCAAAGGAATCTCAAGTTATTGGGCAGACAAGCTTTTAAAAGTCAAGGCCCCTGCGACCTTGACCTTTGACCCAGTGACCCCAAAATCCATAGGGGTCATCTACTCATCATGACTAATCTCCATGCCAAATATGAAGACTGTGGGCCAAAGGAATCTCAAGCTATTGGGCGGACAAGGAAAAACAGACGGAAGGCCGGACGGGAGACGGACGAACTTCCGGACGGACAAGCTGATTCCAGTATACTCCCCTTACAACTTTGTTGTGCAGGGGTATAATAATATCAGGATCACTTGATCCTGATCTTTTCTTTGCACACACGGGGCCAGGGGAAAGGGGCCATTAATTTGACATTTTTTGTTCCCCTTCACACATAAATGCTTTATGCCAAATTTGGTTGAAATTGGTTTTATGGTTCCAGAGAAGAAGCTTAAAATGTTGAAAAATTAATGCATTTTCACTACATAATCATTAGAGCCCAACCTCCCCCCCAAACCCCCCCCCCCCTATGTCCCTGGGGTCATTAAATTCACAATATTGGAAAATACATCCTCACTCATTATAACAATGCATTTTTTTTTGTTTCCTAAATACCCAGAAGCAGAGAAGATATTTCACGAAATAATGTACTTTCACTATATATTCAACAGAGCCCCTGGGGCCATATATTTAATAATTTTAGGCTCAATGCAATATTACAATCAGGCCAACAATCTGACTACTTGATGCCCAGAAGTAAAAAAAGAAGATTTTAGTCCCACCATTCAGGCCGCAGGGGGGCAGGGCCATGAATTTAACCCATAGATGCTTTATGCTTAATTTGGTTGAAATTTGTTCATTGGTTCCAGAGAAGAAGCTTAAAATAAAATGTTAACCCATGACACACCCATCGATGCACGACTACGGACATCAATGGATAGCAATAGGTCAGCTGAGTTAAAATTGTTCCTGTTTGTCTTGAAACCTCCAGAAACAAGCAATCCGTAAGTCCTCTACCGGTTAGCACCCCTGCATCATTCTGAAGGGCCATTGGTCATTGAATTATGCCATTGAATGAATGAATGAACTTAAATCTTTTGGGTTCTCAGTTTGTCTATATCTTAGTATTGTTTTAAGTTTCCCTGCCTAGTAAGGAAATTATGTTTTTACAACAAATTATCAAAAGATCCAATCTTTCTCAGGATGAATATGTATAACTAGATGTTTCAACTTTTCTCTATTTAAGGTAAATTTGTTGGAAAAGTTCTTTAAAGGTGATCTCAGGAAACGGTTTTCAGGAATGGACAGACAGACAAACTGACAGAGATTTGGAGGGTAAATCTTAAAACATTTCTGGTTGTTACCAGAATATAACATTTTTAAAAGCAATATTCATTAACTAAGAGAAGATAACTCTTGATATAAAGATGCTGGACACCCATTAGAAGATCTTTCATGCTAAATATCTAAGCTCTAACCATTTGGGTTCTTTAAAAGAGTATTTTTACTACATACATACAAAGGAAAATCAATGACCCCCTGGGGCAGGGTCAATTTTGACCCCAGGGCTTTTATTTGAACACACTTGGTAAACACCCATTAGAAAATGTTTCATGCTAAATATCCAAGCTTTAGCTCTTTGAGTTTTTTTAAAAGAAGATTTTTAAGTTTTTACTATAAACATATAAGGAAAATCAATGACCCCCTGGGGCGGGACTAATTTTGACCCCAGGGCTTTTATGTGATCAACTTGGTAGACACTTACTAGAAGATGTTTCAGGGCCAATTTTGACCTCAGGCCCCGTGTTCACTAAGAAAAGATCAGGATCTGGATCAAGTGATCCTGATTTTATTTGCATTGTTTTATTTCACTAAAATTTAATGTGTTTTGCTAGAATTAAATGGTAAATATTCAAAATGTAAAAATTGCTGATTTGTAAAGAAACCAAATTGTTTTGGGATCAAATCAACAAATAGCAAATTCTCTTATGAACATTGTCATACATGATGTGAGTGTAACAAAGAACAATTGAGCCATGTCATGACAAAACCAACATAGTGCGTTTGCGACCAGCATGGATCCAGACCAACCTGCGCATCCGCGCAGTCTGATCAGGATCCATGCTGTTCGCTATCAGTTTCTCCACTTGTAATAGCGTTTGTAGGCAAACAGCATTGATCCTGATCAGACTGCGTGGATGCGCAGGCTGGTCTGGATCCATGCTGGTCCCAAACCCATTATGTTGGTTTTGTCATGACACGGCTCATTTATAGTCAGAAGGAAGAAAAGTGACAAAAATAACAATTTTCAAATATACCATTAATAGTAACAAAGAGGAAATTGACAAAAATCAAGTAAATTTCAAGTTCAAAATGAAAATAATCATAGAACCCCATGTCTTATAAATCGTATCAGATATGAAGTAGGTTTTGGTAATGAATATCTATTTAAAATTTGAAGTAAATCCATGGAGAAATAAGGAAGTTAAAGAATGAGTATGAAAAATTCAAAGTTTAAGGACATTAACATTCTGGAATTCATAACCCTTGTCATATTATTATGATGTGGGAGTTTGAAGTAAATACTTTAAGAAATGTATAAGTTTGATTTAATAATAATAATTTCTAGAAAAAATCTAAGTTCAAGGGGAAAATAATTCATAAAAAATTGTCAAGCTAGAGTATTGAACCTTCTCCCAAATGACTTGAGTGATAATAAGACACAAACATATAAAGTTTAAAGTAAATAAATAAAGGAAATAAAGAGGTTATAAAAAAAAATCTTTTTTTTTTCATGAAAATTCTAAGTTCAAGGGGGGGTAATTCTAATAATTTTTGTGCTAGAGTTGTAAACCTTGTCACATATGATGTGGTTGACGATCAGAAACATATATTTGAAGTTTGAAGTAATTGTCTTAAGAAATAAAGAACTTATAGTGAATGAGCGTAATACATGAATCAGATATCTTGACAGCTTGGTGAGTAGGACAACTCTCAATATACTCCCTATAGTCAAGATTAAAATGATGTGTATAATCTCCATACTGCCATCTATCCATGTTTTAAGTTTCATATCCGTATTGCAAGTTTCATAGAAATGTTTTTACTACTTTTTGAGTAATCACAAATATTTGCCTTATTTTAAGCCTGTTTGTTGCCATAGCAACCAAATTTTTCAACATAAGAAGAAAAGAAAAAGACGTGCATAATCTCCATTCTGCCATCTATCCATATATCAAGTTTCATAAAAATATTTTCAGTACTTTTTGCGTTATTGCGGGATCCAGTTTTGTGGACGGACTGACGAACGGACATTTTCAAAGTTTGGTACTTAGGTGGCTACTCTTTTGTTCGCTCTATTGTTCTTTAAGCCATGTAAGAGAAAAAGTAGCCACATAAAAGCTCACTGAATGAATAGCATCAAAAGAAATTTACTGTTACCTATTGTTCCCATAGCAACCTACGTATCTATATGTTTGTACAGATGGACAGACAGATGGACGGAGGGTAAACCTAAAGTCCCCTCCGGTCTGGTAGGGGACTAAAAATTACAATTTCAGAGTGAATGAAATCAATATCAAAATCATATCAATAAAACTGAATGATCTTACAATTCTCTTACAAACTCTGTATGAAGAACATACCATTTTTAGGGAGGCTACTTTAGCTGCCTGAATTATTATATCTTCAGAAAGGAGCGGCATTTTTTTGGCTGAAGATGGTCTTCTAAGAGGTTTTCTGGATACTCCAGCTTTTAATTTCCATGGTTCATTGCTTACTTTACTGAAAAACAAAATATAGAGCGTAAGTTGTACATTGATATATTAACCCTTAAAATGATGGCACCAAAAGCGTGAAGCCTTTGCCACCAGTATAGAGCCAGGCCAGCCTGCACATCCGTGCAGTCTGACCAGGCTCTATACTGTTGGCTGACAAACTTTAATACATGTATATTAAATATTCAAATTGATATCCCTAAAATTAATAATGGACAGTCCCAAATATGGAAGTGGGACAAGTCCATTTAGAATATTCAATATGTTCAGGGTTAACACCATCTATGTGGCCACCATGACAAGAGTTGTTTAAGTCACTTAATTCAAGCCACATGCAACTCACTGTTGTAAGTTCGAATCCAAAATGTGGCTATTTTCATATTCAAGGAAAAATTTCATAAAGTTTTTTAAAAGTCCTGTGTTTTACTAAGCCACCCCAGTATTATTTTATTGGATCTGCATTTTATATAATAGATTTCACAAAATACTGTAAATTAAACTTGCCTTGATAACCTGTCAAACTTAAACAAAACTGATATAGTATAGACATATCAAACAATAAAAATGTTCCAAATTTAAAAGGCAGGGTATGTTCATTATATTTTAAACAGGGTAGGAAAACAAAATTCGTAAATGAATGAATATGAATGTACAAATACAGTAGACTCTTGTTTGGTATTCTATTTATCATGTTTTCAATTTAAGTATGTGTTTGTTTCTTTAAATGTCAAATTAATCAAAAACCTGTCAGGAATCTTTAAAAAATAGTCCCAAAATTTCAGGCTAGTTTGAGGTAAAAATAATCTCATAATTAAATGAGCAGCGTCACGACAAAACCAACATAATGGGTTTGGGACCAGCATGGATCCAGACCAGCCTGCGCATCCGCGCAGTCTGATCAGGATCCATGCTGTTCGCTATCAGTTTCTCTATTTGTTATAGAGTTGTAAGGGAACAGCATGGATCCTGATCAGACTGCGCAGATGTGCAGGCTGATCTGGATCCATGCTGGTCGCAAACGGTCTAATAATTGTTGGTTTTGTTGTGACGGGGCTCAAATTATTTCAATATATACATTGATGAGGAGTCTGATAAAGCTAAGGGTGACTGATAAAGCTAAATTTATCAGTCATGCACTTTATCAACAGAAATCAATGGAATGACATGATAAATTACTTCCTTTGTTCACTTCACAATATTTTACTTTTAAAGCAGCACGCCTCCAGATGACTTAAAAAATATTTCGATAAAATCAAACCTGAGAAAAATGTACAAGCTTTTGGGAAACGTATAAAGATTCAAAATTCTAGTAATAATTTACATGTTATGTGTGATTAATGACCTTTTTTTTTCAGTATTTATAACTATATTTCTACTATGTAACTAACACAGTAAGGGCTATTTTGACCTCTTTATAGTAATTTACATGGGTTGTAAGTGCCATTGATAATGTGTAAACTGCATTCTTTTAATTATACTTTACCATATTATACTGTTAAATACATTTTCAAATTTTCATGAAAATTATCATGAATCTGGAGGCGTGATGCTTTAAATATATTTTCCAAATTGTTATTAAAATAAACATGGATCTTGAGGCATGCTGCTTTAAGGATATCATAACATTTTTGTTTAATGATGAAATTTAAAAGAAATCATGACATTACATTTAACCCTTTCCCCCATGAGCATATTGTGAAAAATGGCCATTTTCACTGAAAAGCCTCCTCTTACAAGTTCAAACTGCTATGAAACTATGAAAAATGCTTAAATACTAATCAAACTTGGCACAAATGTTGACTGGACTATTGCCTTTGTAATGACATGTTCAGTCTTAAATTTCCTGTTACCATGGCAACGAGGGGACATCTCAAAATTGCCAAAAATCACTATTTTGCCTCGATTTTTTCCATCAAAATTTATTTCAAAGTGCTGCAACTTCTCAAGGGATTGAGAGGGAGTCAAAGGCTTTTCAGTGTTGGTTACACGTTACCTTATGATCGACCTTGGGTCATTTTAAGCCTCTCACAAGTCCAAAATTTTCTTGGCGAGGACTCCGCCCCCCCTTCAAACCCCCCAAACAGAAGGGGGCACATCCCCCTTCTGGCAACCCCCTGATGTATCTTTTGGATGGGGGAGCGGCGTTGAAAAAGTGCTCACTTTTTTTAGCAACATTTTTCAAACGAAAACATGTGTTTGGGGCCCAAATAGGACATTTTTTCACTATTTCAGGCCTAAAAAAGGGGGGGGGGGGTATCGAAAGTGCGTTGTTTCGCATATATATGAGGTAAAGGGTTAATGATTTCTTTCCCTTATGGGGGTCATTCAACACATAGCTGCAATTTTACTTTTACTGAAATTTGCCCATTAATAGTCAGAATCTTTCAATTTTTCTTCATTTTACCTAATTATCTTCCATTTCCCGCTACTTTCAACAACTTCTCAGAGCCACTTGTGACCAAAACTGGCTTTTTCAATGAACAAGTTTAACAGCAACAATTACATGTATTATAAAACAAGGCGTTTCAGTTTCGGTTTATTTTTTCCATTAATTTTATATAAAGCAGGACGGGATTTCAAGAACTTAAAGTGTCATACACACACATCCACTAAACAGAGCAACTGTCTCGTAATTATATACTCTTATTATTTAGTGTCCGTTATATTTAAACAATGCTACCCACATGATGTAATATCTTCCTTTTTCTACTTACATTAAAATGTTTATTCTGATTTATATAATGTATTTCACTCCCTACATGTTTCTATATACATGTATATGGATAAAGAGATTATACTTGGAAAACATCTTGACACTGGAAATAAAATAACAATTAAAAGAATAAATGTGATGATTGTTTGAAGTAAGTAAGGCCTGAAAGTGTTCCCTGTAGCAAGGACAATATGTCGAGTGTTGTTTAAATAGATGAAATTAGATTTGTCAACTCATAAATTTCCTTGAAATTCTCTTTCTTATGGTACTTAAAATAAGATTGAGGGAGTGACTGTCAGAGGTTGAAGGTTACTTGAACAAGTTTATAACACAGTTGTTATATAAACAAGAGCTGTCAGAGGACAGCGACCCTCGACTATTCAAAAACTTGTCACAAGGATGCTTCATTGAGTATAATAATGCTTACCTTTATGAATACATAAAATTGTTTGAAAAGGTACAAAGCTTGTAATTAAAATGTTTGATCAATGCTTGATTTAATTATGAATGCATAACGTTGTCACAAAAAAGGCAAAAACTCTTCAGTAGTAATGGAGATACCAGCTTACAAGCAAAAACTTAACCAAGAATTTCTAAGTCGAAAAAGGGATATAATTATGCAAAAAGCAAGTCAGAGTTATGGGACTTGTGCCAATCATGTTAGATAATAACAGAGCACAAGTGTGTGAAGTTTCAATCCATTCCCTTCAAAAGTTATAGATACCAGCTTGCACGCAAAACCTTTACCAGGAATTTTTTAGTAGAATAGACATAATTATGTGAAAAAGCAAATCAGAGTTATCAAACTATGGCCAATCATGTTAGATAAACACAGAGAACAAGTGTCTGAAGTTTCAATCCTTTCCCTTCAGTTGTTATGGAGATACCAGCTTACACACAAAAAATTAAACAGGGATGCCGAATGCCGACAAATGGGTGACTGCATTAGCTCGATTATTCTGTGAATAGTCGAGCTAAAAAAAAGAGTTTAACTGCGGAATAACATCATCATTGCGGTGGGGAAAAAAATATTACTTTAGTGCAGTAATTGTCTTTGAAGCGAGAAAATACTTTAAATGAATAAGATACACAATACATTTATAAGGAAATTTAAGGAGTTATGAATTAATACGTAAGCCACAAAAAAAATTGGCAAAGCTATCTTAACAACACTATGAGTGATATTCTCTGAATAATATCGGTTTTATATCACTAAATAAAAACCCAGACTTTCATTTATAACAATTTGACAGAGTATTTCTTGCATATCAGACTGGTGTTTCCATTAATTTTACTCATGCCGGAAATTTCATCTGTCATGGGGGTGCCAGATAAGTTGCATGCTAAACAATGGCATACTTAGGATGATGTAATTTTGCCGTATAATGAATGAAGTAGTTACGGTTGCAATGACATAAATTTCCATGGAAAAAAAGGTAAAGAATTTAAAATATGGTGGAATATGGTAAAACTTGCAAGAAAGAATATATGACATATGTTTGTGGTTTGGATCGGAATATCCATCCCTCGGGAACCCGTCCCTGGGGATGGATATTCTGATCTGAACCCTAACATATGACAGATATTATTAATCTCAAATAACAATGCAAAATATTGACAAAATAAAATATACGCTTAATATCCTATCGTTAAGCAACAGTAATATCTAAAACAGTAGCTCAGTGGGCTTTGGGTTAGAGAGGTAGCACGTTTTTTTATACAATATCTCAGTTTTTGATTATCACTTACCAATATCATTACTATAAAGATTACAACAACGTTAAATTAAAATAAACAGGTTTCACCATAAAAGCAGAATACAAAAGCCTATCTGATCAAATCGTCATCGCAATTATTCATTATTTGTTGTATAGCAAAATGTATGGTAGAACAGTAAAGTTCAAAATATGTGCACTTCAGAAACTTCATGAAATATGCTGAAATGGTGTAAATCTATGTCGGCGGGTGTTAAATCGAATGAATAGGCAAAAATGAATGGGCCAAAAAACGAACCAAGAGTACATGACTGTGATGCGTTGTATATCTTTATACAAAGAGATATTAAAACGTACATGTATATTATTGTTTGAACTTGCTACGGATGCTATCATATATCTTTCAATGTTTAACATGTTCTGTTCACTGACCGTATTATCAGTATGCAATTGACATGTTAATAACTACAGAAATTACAATGATTTAAAACTTATTCTGCCAAATGTCTGAAAAATGATAGATCAGATTAATTTTTCAGTGAAAACTGCTAAGTGCTGATTGGAAAATTGGCGTCAACTTTGACGTCTTGTTTCTATGATTACGTCATTTGAAATGTTGGAAATGTCATGTCACGGCTCATATATAGGCTGTTAGAACACACATCTGTTTAACTAACACATGTCACACAAGTTCATTAGAAAATCATCTTTGGGCCAGAAAAGGAGTGAAAATGTCTCAAGATGGAATGTGTCAAAATAATCAAAGAAATTTAACTTTTTTACAGTTAATTGTTATCAATTTATTCTATAATGACCAAGAAAATTTTTTGACACATTGATGAATTCAGGACTTAAAAATTCGACTAGGTTTTTATAAGGTATATATAGGCGGGAAAAATCAGGACTTTTAGTTTATTTCGACACATCAAGAATATGGACTAATCACAGATCGACTCACAGAAGTTTTACTATATTTACTAAAATCACTCACCTCCATGGAATACATTCCTTGATGAATTTAAGACGTAAACTTTCGAGGTGATCAGGTAAAATATCTGCCTTAATGTCTCTCTGCTCTACCATCTCTTCTCTGTGAAACATAAAGAAAGCTCTTGCAAAAAATATGTCAATAACAATTAAATATATTTGTACATATGGCGGCATGCCCGAGTGGTTAACGCGTGGGACTAGTAATCTAATGATCGCTAGTCGCATGAGTTCAAACCCCATCAGGGGCAAGTTGTTGTTTCCTTGAGCAAGTAACTTTACACTCATGCAGGAACGGAATCAAGTGTGTCTATAAGCTAATAGCTTCCTACACAATTGAACTAAAATAATTCTTTAAACCAATTAAATATATTCCAACTGAGATTTGTCTCTAAAACAACTAAAGCTATCAAATAAACAGCAAGGACGGACAGACAGCGAAGGCAAAAACAACATGTCTCCCGAAATGTTATTATATTCTTGAATGGAAAAGGTTCAAGCAATTTTCCATTTGGAATAATTCCGTAACAATCATGCCAATGCTTGAGATAGTAGAGTAAGCAACAAATCGTAATTTAGTTAAGTTAAAAAAAAATTTGCATAGTGAAAAAAGGTTAATAAATAAGGGATATTGAATGAGTGTAAGTTTAATACTGAACTAAAATTAATATTGAACAAGTTGAATAAAATCATATTTTGCAAGCCTCGAGCGAGCATAACATAGTTTTATTAAATGAGTTCAATAAACTTAGTACATGTATTAAACTTACACAAATATATTATTCTATTTATTACATACCCAAAATAAACCTTTTAAAGTGAAAAAGTAACATTTTTTCATTGACACGCCTATAGTATAACACTAACATTTAGCGCGTCTTAACGCTATTATTGTATAACGCAAATGACGTCACGTCAAAATATATGCACAACCATGCAATACCATTTTTACAAAGTCGCAAAAGCGGCAATACCATTTTTACAATGTCGCAAAAGCGTCATGGGTATGTGATAAATCAAGTTAATGAACATTTATGACCATGGAAACATTGAATGCTTACTTGCTCTTGGATTCTTTCTTGTCTTTTCTTGCCGTGGGAGGTCTTGGCGTTCTTGGAGTTCGAGCGCTTCTTGGAGTTTTCGGTCTTTTAATAACATTGTTATTTTCAGCACCTTTATCCATAGTTTTTTCAATACTTTTACCACTGTCCACCTCAGGTTTGCCTTTAACATTTGTACCTTCTGTCAGGGTTTTATCAATTTCAACAGCTTTAACTTCTGAACCACTATCTGTGTCACCATTTTCTACTAAATTTCTTGCTTTTTCAACGGTAGCTTCTGGCTCAATGTTTTCAACATTATTTTCTGATAAATTGTTAGACTGTTCAAAAACATTCATTGGCATTTGATCTTTTCCTATAAAAAGTTTAGAATTGACCTTTTCATTTTCTTTCAGTGTCTTTTCACTATTTTCATCAGTTGTTTTGTGAGCCATCTCTTCCTTTAGTTTAATTTCCTCTTCTTTCTTTCTCCTCTCTTCTTCCAACTGTCTTTCTTTTTCCTTCTTCTTTTCTTCTTCCTGGATAAACAAAATGCAAATCAAAAACTGTACCCAATGTATTTAATCTAAAGTAAAAACTGTATCAAATGTATTTAATCTATAGTAAAAACTGTATCCAATGTATTTAATCTATAGTAAAAACTGTATCCAATGTATTTAATCTAAAGTAAAAACTGTATCCAATGTATTTAATCTATAGTAAAAACTGTATCCAATGTATTTATTCTATAGTAAAAACTGTATCCAATGTATTTATTCTATAGTAAAAACTGTATCCAATGTATTTAATCTATAACAGTTAATCTGTCAAAGTTATTACAAAATTGTAGAAAAAATTTAGGACCTTCTTGAAAGGAAACAGTATAATATTCTATACTTCTATACTTTCCACCACTGAATTTGTACAATAAACTTGCCCATTTTGAATTTGAAACCGTCCATCAATGACTCAGTATAACAATAGTTGGAAATGAACTGCTAACAGTGTACGATTTGTAATGTAGTGTTTGCTTTTCTAGTTTTAACACTGATTTCAAAACATATATTGGGTCATATCTGATCGGAGGATCCACCTAACCGGCTTTCCTGGTGGATAATACACCAGTAATAACCAATTCTCTGCAAGTGACCAACTACTAATCTTATTTCTGAATCAGTTTTGACTGACAAGTGACCAACCATTAGACTTAATGTTCGAGAACAAATGAGCCACGTCACGACAAAACCAACAGTGCGTTGGCGACCAGCATGGATCATGATCAGCCTGGGCATCCGCACAGTCAGATCAGGATCCATGCCGTTCGCTTACCTACCAACCCTTTTACAAGTAGAGAATATGAAAGCGAACAGCATGGATCCTGATCAGACTGTGTGGATGCACAGGCTGGTCTGGATCCATACTGGTCACAAACGCACTATGTTGGTTTTGTCGTGACGCAGCTCAAATGTCACGGAGAAATTTCACCTTCGGACAAAACCAGCGTCCCCTGCATGACTAATCCTATGCTCTCCTTGTTGATATTAGGGGGCAGAGCAAGCTAGTGACATAAACAAGTCACCGGCCAAGCTATTATTATGTAAAAAGTTTTCGAATCATATGTACAGTAAACTCCATTTATAACAATATACCATTTTTAACAAAGCTGTTACCTTGGTTCTGACTCTTGTTTTTTCAAACGGGTGCCTTTCAAATATAAAACTATCCCGTTATAACAATATATAAAATTAGCGGTCCTCAGAATATTGTTATGTGTTTTGCCAGGGCCCTAACTTGTTTTCAAATTGGTTGCCTCTCTTATATAACAAAATCCAGATATAACAATATATAAATGCACTGGTTCCCTGAGCAGAATTTACAGTACTAAACTTCTTTAAGAGATTTGTTGTATGTGGTGGGGTATACAAGATATTTATCAGCAATATACTGTTTTAATATGATATGATCAATACATATAAATATAACAAAAACCTTTATTCTTTTTTCTTCTACTTTTCGTATTTTCTCTTCTTCTTTCAGTCGTTTTTCTTCCTCCTTTCTTTTCTTTTCTTCTTCTTCTTTCTGCCTTTTTTCTTCTTTCTTTCTTTGCTCTTCTTCCTCTTTTTTTCTTTTCTCTTCTTCCTTTCTTCTTTTCTCTTCCTCTTTTTTCCTTTGCTTTTCTTCTTCCTTTCTTTTCTTCTCTTCTTGCTGGAAAGGAAAACAAAAAGTTTACATTGTTGCAGTTTTCTTTAACCCATTACTGCATTACTAAATGTCTATTTTCATTGAAAAGCCTCCTGTTACAAGTTCAAACTGCTATGAAACTATCAAAAATGCCTCAATACTGATTAAACTTGGCACAAATGTTGACTGGACCATTGCCTTTGTAACGGCATGCTCATTCGTAGATTTCCTGTTACCCTGGCAACAATGGGGACATCTCAAAATTGCCAAAAATCACTATTTTGCATGGATTTTTCCATCAAAACTGATTTCAAAGTGCTGCAACTTCTCAATGGATTGAGATAGTCAAAGGCTATTTAGCATTGGTTACATGTTACCTTAAGATCGACCTGAGGTCTTTTTTAACAACATTTCTCAAAATGACATAAGTGTTTTGGGGCTAAAATAGCTAGGGCATTCTTTTGCATCATTTCAGGCCTCAAAAGGGGGGGGGGGCTGGGGTGAAAAAGGCGTTAAAAGACTTATATATGAGGTAATGGGTTAAATAGCAACAAACCAACTTGGCTGAGAAGTCTTCTTTCTTTCTTTGTCTGCATTCAATTGTGGTATTTGTAATGAAATTTAAAAATGCCACTAGCAACTCTCAAATTGAAATTGTATCAAAATTTAAAAATTACATATTTTCCTTTACCTTTATTCTGTCTTCTTCTTCTTTCTTTCTCCTTTTTTCTTCTTCCAGTCTTTTTTTCTCTTCTTCTTTTTGTCTTTTAAGTTCTTCTTTCTGTCGCTTTTCCTCCTCTTGTCTCTTTCTACAAATTTCACCAAAATATTTCAGCAAAAATATGGAAAATAAAGCTTTACACACCATTGTATACTTGAAAGAGTATTTTCATTGAACAAAGTCACTAAATGACTAAAATTACCAATCTGTCATTTTTCAATTTTTTTAATTTCCTAACACCAACAATTTCGTCTGCTTCAAAATAAGGTCATGTGGTACTGCTGGAGTTGTTCTACTATTTTTTGACAGACGTTTTTGATAACTAAAATTCGAATAAAAGTCTACAGAACAAGTTCTTAAAAACCTGAACAGACAATCAAAGCTGTAAGTGTCCTGTAAGAAAAAACTTCAATTAATCAAATAAAAACATTTTGCCTGATTTCAGTGAAGTTTTTGAAAGGCGGTATTGCCTTCTTATGCCATTCATTCCAACTGCATAGGCCAAGAGCTACAATATTCGTACATATACATAACAATATATTTCAATGCTATTTCTGTGAATCACACCATCAAAATTTCAAAAATAAATAAGATTTTTTATCTTGAATGCCATTTCATAGATAGATTGTAGGATAAAGGAATTTTATTAAATGCCTTTGTTTAGACCTTTTTCTCCAGTTATTGTATTGAATGCAAAGTAAAAGAAAAATGAAAATTTTTTCAAAATTTGTACATCCCCATCCATCAGTACTTTATAGAACTTTGATTAAGTAACTCAAACATTCTTTAGGATAGAGGAGGTCAAATGGGGACATTCTAGGTCTTGTGGAAGTATTCCAGGATTCATGGAAACTTTTCCATGAAACTCTTTAATAACTTATGTTATGTACATGCTAACACTTAATAAGAACTATATAATTAATGCAGGTGTCAAATGGCTTCCTCCCTATAAAGAATGCAACATTATATTAATTATACATCTCACTAAGTGTGAAAGAAAGAAATAATCATCCCCTACATCTCACTAAGTATGAAAGAAAGAAATAATCATCCCCTACATCTCACTAAGTGTGAAAGAAAGAAATAATCATGCCCTACATCTCACTAAGTGTGAAAGAAAGAAATAATCATGCCCTATATAAGTGTGAAAAAAAGATATAATCACCCCCTACATCTCACTAAGTATGAAAGAAAGAAATAATCATGCCTAACTCACTAAGTGTGAAAGAAAGAAATAATCACCCCCTTACATCTCACTTAGTGTGAAAGAAAGAAATAATCACACCCTACATCTCACTAAGTGTGAAAGAAAGAAATAATCATCCCTTACATCTCACTAAGTGTGAAAGAAAGAAATAATCACCCCCTACATCTCACTAAGTGTGAAAGAAAGAAATAATCATCCCCTACATCTCACTAAGTGTGAAAGAAAGAAATAATCATCCCCTACATCTCACTAAGTGTGAAAGAAAGAATTATTCATCTCTTACATCTCACTAAGTGTGAAAGAAAGAAATAATCATCCCCTACATCTCACTAAGTGTGAAAGAAAGAAATATTCATCTCTATCATCTCACTAAGTGTGAAAGAAAGAAATAATCACCCCCTACATCTCACTAAGTGTGAAAGAAAGAAATAATCATGCCCTACATCTCACTAAGTGTAAAAGAAAGAAATAATCATCCCCTACATCTCACTAAGTGTGAAAGAAAGAAATAATCATGCCTAACTCACTCAGTGTGAAAGAAAGAAATAATCACCCCCTACATCTCACTAAGTGTGAAAGAAAGAAATAATCGTGCCCTACATCTCACTAAGTGTGAAAGAAAGAAATAATCATCCCCTACATCTCACTAAGTGTGAAAGAAAGAAATAATCATGCCTAACTCACTAAGTGTGAAAGAAAGAAATAATCATCCCTTACATCTCACTAAGTGTGAAAGAAAGAAATAATCACCCCCTACATCTCACTAAGTGTGAAAGAAAGAAATAATCATCCCCTACATCTCACTAAGTGTGAAAGAAAGAAATAATCATCCCCTACATCTCACTAAGTGTGAAAGAAAGAAATATTCATCTCTTACATCTCACTAAGTGTGAAAGAAAGAAATAATCATCCCCTACATCTCACTAAGTGTGAAAGAAAGAAATATTCATCTCTTACATCTCACTAAGTGTGAAAGAAAGAAATAATCACCCACTACATCTCACTAAGTGTGAAAGAAAGAAATAATCGTGCCCTACATCTCACTAAGTGTGAAAGAAAGAAATAATCATCCCCTACATCTCACTAAGTGTGAAAGAAAGAAATAATCATGCCTAACTCACTCAGTGTGAAAGAAAGAAATAATCACCCCCTACATCTCACTAAGTGTGAAAGAAAGAAATAATCGTGCCCTACATCTCACTAAGTGTGAAAGAAAGAAATAATCATCCCCTACATCTCACTAAGTGTGAAAGAAAGAAATAATCATGCCTTACTCACTCAGTGTGAAAGAAAGAAATAATCACCCCCTACATCTCACTAAGTGTGAAAGAAAGAAATAATCATGCCCTACATCTCACTAAGTGTGAAAGAAAGAAATAATCATCCCTTACATCTCACTAAGTGTGAAAGAAAGAAATAATCGTGCCCTACATCTCACTAAGTGTGAAAGAAAGAAATAATCATCCCCTACATCTCACTAAGTGTGAAAGAAAGAAATAATCATGCCTTACTCACTCAGTGTGAAAGAAAGAAATAATCACACCCTACATCTCACTAAGTGTGGAAGAAAGAAATAATCATCCCTTACATCTCACTAAGTGTGAAAGAAAGAAATAGTCACCCCCTATATCTCACTTAGTGTGAAAGAAAGAAATAATCATCCCTTACATCTCACTAAGTGTGAAAGAAAGAAATATTCACCCTGGACAAGTGAATGCCTTGCATTATCTGGTCATGGATGAACATTTTGTTCTATCACCCTAAGTGGGATTAACCATTTAGTGTTTATATAATGTTGAATCATTCTATATCACCAAACAATTCAATATTCAAAATATACATCTCAAACTAAATAACTTATAGCTTAAACCTTTCTTGCTCCTCCTTTTCAAGCTGTTCTTCTTTTCTTCTCTCAATCTCAATTTCTACCTCTTTTATTCTTTGTTCTTCTTTCTCTTTCTTTCTTATTTCCCTCCTCTCGGTCAACAATGGCTGGGCTTCTTTCCTAACCCTTAAAGTAACAGACAAATTGGCTTTAAACCATTATTCAAGCACAATGATTCCATAGGCATGCATTATCACAGCAGATGATGTCACTTTGATTTCTCCTCTAGGGTTATATTGATATGGCTGTTGTAAAATATACATATACTTTTAAACTTTTCAGGTTAGTTCTTGATGTTATAAATTTATCAATATCAAATCTAGAGATATCCATTTTTGGAATACTTAAAATGCCTTTAAAAACAGTATCACTGATTGAATATAAGTCACAGGGACAAACAAAATCACAAGATTCACTATGGATAGATTTTCAAGATTTACAGAATGTTCTGAATTACCGAATAATCTCAGACGATATCAGTTTATTATTTTATTTAAGTAAACCTTATTTTCTCAAATATCTTACTTAAATCCCCTGTAAGTTCTTTGAATAATAAGAACAGCCTTTTCTCGTTTTTCTTCAAGTCTCTTTCTCTCCATTTCTACTGCCATGCCATGTTCTTTCTTCTGTCTATCCATTTCATTCTGTAGCTGACTCATCTCCTCCTGTTTAAATACATCAAATAAGCTGTTAAAATACATCAAATAATTTGTTAAAATACATCAAATAATCTGTTAAAATACATCAAATTATCTGTATAAATATATCAAAGTATCAGTTTAAATATATCAAACAATCTGTTTAAATAAATCAAATAATCTGTTAAAATATATAAAATAATCTGTTTAGATACATCAAATACTTTGTTTAAAAACATCAAAAATTCAGTTAAATATATCAAATAATCTGTTTAGATACATCAAATAATCTGTTAAAATACCTCAAATAATATGTTTAAACAATATGTTAAAATAATTTATATCAAATAATGTGTTTTTTAAAACATAAAATAATCTGTTTTAAATATATCAAATAATCTGTTTAAATATATCAAATAATCTGAAATCTTTAAAAAAAATTAAGATACCCCATTTACTACTGATGGCAACTGAATCTATCCTGGCAACCAGTGCAGACCAAGACAAGAGGACACATCCATGCTATCTGATCATGGTCCGCACTGTTAGCTATTCAGACGGCGTCTATTTTAAAATTTTACCTAAAAATGATCAATGAAGGTTTTTGTTCATATTGAAAGAGGGACAAATCTATATAAGGTATTTAATGGGTAAGGTTTAACTTACATATATAAAGACTATATAGTGAGAAAAAACAAACTTTGTGGTTAAAGTGTTAGGAAGCAGATGCCCTTTTACCATGTCTATAAGGACTCTTGATATAAAACTAGATGGTCAGTTGGCTCAAGAATGATGACCATTGACTCAAGACCTTCACTGACTGCAGCTTTCAACCCTTATCCCACTAAATTTCTGAAATGAACTTGCCCAGCTCCAACTTTTGGACCCTTCTATTATTAGTTTTAGGGATATCATAATGAAAACAAGATAGTTGGTCAGTCAGCAATAAATAACCTCAGGTCAGACAGCCTGATAACTAGTCCTGGTTTAATCTTAACTATGGCAAAAGCTGTTCATTTTCAGTTCAACAATTCTAAGAATGAAATAAATTGAACTAAATCATTAATTTATTTATTCATGGGATCCAAGTGGAATTAAAATACCAGGAACATATAAGAATAGATGTATTGACATCAACATACTAAAAATTTGGCAGGACTGAAAATGGTAACATTTACTCTACCTGTTGAAGCAGTCTGAAACAAAACAAGCAACCTTCTACACCCAAAAGGGGATTTTACAATACCATAGTCGAACTTAAATAAAATTGACATAAAATCACCCAGAGTTTTAGCTTTTTTGATGCTAATTCATCACCAAGCTTGTGTCTATAGTAACCAATTAAATCTGCCTGCTATTTTTACATACCTGAAATTTTCTCATATTTTCCTGCATTTCCTTCTCAGCCATTTCTTGTTCTTGCTTAATCTGGTTCTCAGCAATCTGCAATAGTATCAATTTAACTAAAACAAGATCTCGTTCTCGGCAATCTACAATAGTGTCAATTTAACTAAAACAAGATCTGGTTCTCAGCAATCTACAATAGTGTCAATTTAACTAAAACAAGATCTGGTTCTTGGCAATCTACAAAAAGGCAGCATGCTCAAATCTCATTCTCGACAATAAAGTGTCATAACTTTAACTAAAACAAGAAAACAAGTGTGTGAAATTTCATCCCTTCAGTAATTTTGGAGATACCAACTTGCATGCAAAGTGACAGCAAAAGCTGGGAAGAGAGCAGTAAGCACTCCCTATTCTTCAAAAAGTCAAGCTAATAATTATCTAAAAAAACATCTTTAAAATATGTGACAAATATTCAGTTCTATGAAGAAAAAATGCATATATTATGTCATTTTTTTCTATCGTGGTCATTTTCCTAATATCTGGCATTCAAAACACAAAATAATGAACATAAACTATACTAAAGTTTGCCTTAATTAAGTTCCAAAGAAAATACTTTATCAAATATCATAAAATATATAACTGTACCAAGTTTCTAAGGTTTTAAGTGAAACTGCCAGTGTAAACGTCGGAAGCAACTTTCCAGATTTATTAATGGAGGAAGACCTCATATGCTTCTTTGAACATTATTTCGGACACAAATCAGCACCTGAGTAGAACCACACACCTCCCATAAATAAAACATGTTTATATCCAACTCTAACACACTTAACTTTATTCAATATATGCAGGACATAAAAAAAAGAATTTTTTACAATTATCATATGACATCAGATATGAATTCGATACACCAAATTATGTCACAAAAATTATTTTCTCCGCTCAATATTGTTCAGCATATTTTTACATATCAATTATCTTTGTTATCAGCAAGTTAGAATAGAAATATATATTCGTTTTTCTACTGTCAAAGTATAGTAATGCAAGGTTTTATCGTTCAAATGCTTTGAAGTGGCATGGCCTGGTTAAAGTGTTGGACTAGTAATCTAATGATGGTTCAAACCCTGTCAGAGGGAAGTTTCCTTGAGCAAGAAACTTAATACTCATTGCTCAGCACTAGTTGGTTCCAGGAACAGATTCGAAAGTGTGTCTAAAAGCTTAAAGCTTCCTACATAATTGAACTAAAATAAATTCTGTATCAACCAAATGCTTTGTATTTAACCACTCAGACCTTCAGGTTATATATCATATTTCATCACATCTTATCTCAAATGGTGCATTAAAATCATATTAAGCATGCTCGTTCAATATACAAATAAATACCTCTTGTTCCACAAGGAGTTGTTGCCCCTGCCGCTGTATCTCCTGTAACTTCCACTGTCTTTCTTCATTTGTTCTTCTCTCTCTCACTTCTTCTTCATTCCTTTTATGAGCCTCGTCCTTAAATACAGATCTTTGTTTACATTATCAAATCAACAAGAACTTTAATGTTCACATTATCCTATACATATTTTATATTTGCGGATACAATTATTTTGACCACCAGTACTATGCAATGTTCAAACAGTCTTTTTTTATCTTAACTGAACTCAATGGCCAAGCACCCACTTTAAATCAATTGCGCCACAGTAGGTTCAAATCCTGCCAGGGGGACAGAATCTTAAACCCTTACCACACTAAATAACTCAATGGGCTTGTGAATTTTTTCATCCTGGACCTAAAAACTGGTCATCAATTTGATGGAAAATTTCAACGAACGTTCATCAATCTAATAAATACTAAAACATTCATCAATTTGATGGAAAATTTCAAAATAAATATTCGAACGTTCATCAATCTAATAAATACTAAAACGTTCATCAATTTGTTGGAAAATTTCAAAATAAATACTAAAACGTTCATCAATTTGTTGGAAAATTTCAAAATAAATACTAAAACATTCATCAGTTTGATGGAAAATTTCAAAATATTAAATACTAAAACATTCATCAGTTTGATGGAAAATTTCAAAATAAATACTAAAACGTTCATCAATTTGATGGAAAATTTCAAAATAAATACTAAACGTTCATCAATTTGATGGAAAATTTCAAAATAAATACTAAAACATTCATCAACTTGATGGAAAATTTCAAAATATTAAATACTAAAACATTCATCAACTTGATGGAAAATTTCAAAATAAATACTAAAACATTCATCAATTTGATGGAAAATTTCAAAATAAATACTAAGACATTCATCAACTTGATGGAAAATTTCAAAATAAATACTGAGTGAATAGCAAACAGTGCAGACCATGATCCATGCAGGCTTATCTTGATCTGCACTGGTCGCATTGGTAGATTCAATTGCCACCAACAGGGTATAGGTTTCACACTCTAATGAAGAAGCTATCCAGCTACCTTACAGAAGGATACTGACTTTATTCAAGCGGTACTTATTATACAGATAGATAGCAACTACTCTACACTGATTTAACTTAACTGTGCTAAAAGTTTTCTAATTTGATCAATTTTTATGCAAATTGATTAAAATTAACCTATAAATCTGACTACATAACCATGATCCCTGAGATAAGGGGAGGAAATCTGCAGAATATTTATCATATGACCGCTCACGGCTGTCAATTTCAAAATACTATACTATTTGCTTGCGAATACATCTACGACCTTTTCTAAGAACTCTTGGAATACTTTTTTTGTACCTACCTTTTTAATTCGATCAATTTTCTCCTGATACCTATGTTCAAGTGTATCCAGTTGTTCCCTCAACAATTTCTGTATGTCCAGCTGCGTGTTCGTGTTCTTTTCACTATTGACCACCACAAGTTCTTGTGAAACCGGCACCTCTTCATAGTCTGATTAATAAAAGATATGGTCACACTGGCATACAGTGCTGGTTAAACCTCAATATAATAATTTCAATTTGGACTTTTATGGCAGATCAGACCCAGGGCCCTTTTCCAGTTAGTTGGGTAAAATGCCCTTGGCATAAAATATTAAAAAAAAAATGACATTTTGAGAAATTTTAAAATTTTTAAAAAGTTAAAAAACTGCCATATATATTTTTTACATCTGTATGATCACAATACCTACTATTTCAAGAAACAAGTAAATACAGTTCAATTTTTTCAGAATTAGAAACACTTCAATTTTTGGGGGGCTGCCAGCTGTTGGAATTATTTCCTCTTCTTATTTGGAAATTGGGTAAAAATGAGGCTATTCTGGATTGGGAATTGGGCCTTATTTCGACCCCTGGTGATAGGGTGCAAATGCCCCGAGACCTGTTTTAAACGATCAGTTGCTATGATTAATACTTGCAAGCTTAAAAAGTATGCTTCTCTTACAACAGCCTGTTTAACATTTAAAGATTTAATTCTGTATCTCTCTCTTATAAACTGATTTTACAAATTGCTTGGCAACATCAGTAAAATATCCTTTTCTTCATACATATGTGTTACTGATTAAGCATACCGTATAAGTGTTTTTTTCTGCGGTGACTTTATTTCTGCGTTTTCTGCGGTCAGTTTCAGCACCGCAGAAATAAAAACCGCAGAATATTTCTCCACGTTTTTTTTTTTTTTAAAGAAATGAGTCCTACATTATGACCTGTTTCCTTAAAAGGAATAAAGACTAACAGATTATAACGGTTAGGGGGTCATCGAGTTATATAAAATTGATTTCGGCTAAATATGCAATATGTGCATGTAAGGATGTAATTGTTGTTAATTATGCCAATTTATGAACAAAGAAATTCAAACATCATAGTGTTTGCCTGTACGCTAAAGGGTTTGTTTACCACTAAATCATTAAAACCATTTAAACCCTTATACTGCTAAATAATCGTCGTATACATTAATTGTTGTCTGATTTACGATAAACTTCTATCAATTTTATTAAATTAAAGATACTACCGTGGTATATTTTTCACACGTCATTTCACACTGATTTAAAGATGCAAACTGTCTATTGATGCACATTATATTTGCAAGCAAACAATATAATTGTTTGTAATTACTATATAATATAGTTCTGCCGTGACGACGGTAAACAAAATTTTAATGCAAATGTGTACATGCAAATAAAATAGGTAAAGTAATGTGACTTAGACTTTGATAAGATGAGCCGCAGAATTTAAATCACATTTTGTCCAAAGAATGTGCCGCAGAAATTAAGTCCGCAGAAATAAAAACATGCCAAAATTTTGAAAAACCGCAGAATTTGGAGCCCACAGAAAAAAACCACTTATACGGTAATTTGATCCTTATTAAGAATATTAAGCACTCTAATACATGTATGGCATGTCCTGGAAGCTATCACTAATTTCATATATCATTACGTCCATCAAGATTGTCCAAAATCAAAACTAGTTTACCAACATCCAAATCTTATTGTGCAATATTCCTACATTACATAGGTCAAGCAGCGTATTTATAAAACTTTTAATAAAAATGTTTGTCTATCCCCCTGCAAACAAAAAGTTAAAATACTATCTTACCTATTCCCTCTTCAACTGCCTTCGCAATCTTAACAGGTAACTCTGCATTAGCACCCCCATTCTCTGTGGTCTCAGTGATGGAACATTGTTCTCCATCTTTATCTGTATCCCCAATCAAGTCTGCCAATTCATCATCGATTATTACCTCGTCATTTTCTATATCTTCTAAAATCTGCAAGACACAAAATGTTCAAAAAAATGTTGCATGAATATTGAAAGAAAAATTGACATTTTGTTGGCACAATTTTCTAAAATTCAGAACATTCTTATAAATTATCAATAAAACATTTCTTTTCATCACAGAGCTATATGTATATCTAAATGGAAAGGAAGCTATGACGTAAGACACTTAAAATCTGTATCACCGATTAATAACCCCGCAAGTTCAAATTTTTTCGTGAGATTTTTCGAGTCCATGTTCTGCTATATCTTGTCTATTTTTTGAAGTGTTTGACATGACCAGACTCAAAAGAAGTAATGGAAAGGTAGTTGTTAAAATATCAACAAGAGGGCCATGATGGCCCTAGATCGCTCACCTGAATTATCAAACTCATCCAAACAATTACCTAGACAAGCATTCTGACCAAGTCTCATGACAGGTGAGTCAAAAATGTGACCACTACAGTGTTAACAAGGATTATCCATATTTGAGCAGTGCGACCTAGTTTTTTACCCAGGTGACACATATTCAAACTTGACCTAGAAATCATCAAAACAAACTTTCAGACCAATTTCCAGGATACTTGGATCAAAACAGTAGCAACTAGAGTGTTAACAAGATTTTTCTATTTTTAGCTCCGGTGACCTAGTTTCACATGCGATTTCGAACTCATCCAAGCAATTACCTAGACAAACATCCTGACCAAGTTTGATGATAATTGAGTCGAAAATGTGACCACTAGAATGTTAACAAGGTTTTTCCATATTTGGGCAGTGTGACCTAGTTTTTCATCCAAGATGACCCATGTTCGATCTTGACTTAGAAATCATCAAAACAAACTTTCAGACCAATTAACAGAATATTTGGATCACAACAGTAGCCACTAGAGTGTTAACAAGATTTTTTCTATTTTTAGCTCCTGTGACCTAGTTTTTCATCCGAAATGTCCCATGTTCGATTTATTCCCAGCAATGACCTAGACAAGTTTCCTGACCAAGTTTGATGACAATTGAGTCAAAATTGTGACCACTAGAGTGTTAACAAGTTTTTTCTATTTTTAGCTCCTGTGACCTAGTTTTTCATCCGAAATGACCCATGTTCGAACTCATCCGAGCTATCACCTAGACAAGCATCTTGATCAAGTTTGATGATGATTGATGCAAAAATGTGACCGCTAAAGTGTTAACAAGGTTTTTCTATTTTTAGCTCTGGTGACCTACTTTTTCATCCGAGATGACCCATGTTCGAACTCATCCAAGCTATCAACTAGATAAGCATCCTGACCAAGTTTGATGATGATTGATGCAAAAATGTGACCACTAGAGTGTTCACAAGGTTTTTCTATTTATAGCTCCGGTGACCTAGTTTTTCATCCGAGATGACCCATATTCGAACTCATCCGAGCTATTATCTCAACAAGCATCCTGACAAAGTTTGATGATGATTGGGTCAAAAATGTGACCACTAGAGTGTTCACAAGGTTTTTCTATTTTTAGCTCCTGTGACCTAGTTTTTCATCAGAGATGACCCATGTTCGAACTCATCCAAGCAATTGACTAGACAAGCATTCTGACCAAGTTTGATGATGATTGGTTAAAAAATGTGACCACTAGAGTGTTCACAAGGTTTTTCTATTTATAGCTCCTGTGACCTACTTTTTCATCCGAGATGACCCATGTTCGAACTCATCCAAGCTATCACCTAGACAAACATCCTGACCAAGTTTGATGATGATTGGGTCAAAAATGTGACCTCTAGAGTGTTCACAAGGTTTTTCTATTTTTAGCTCTTGTGACCTAGTTTTTCATCCGAGATGACCCATGTTCGAACTCATCCGAGCTTTCAACTAGATAAGCATCCTGACCAAGTTTGATGATGATTGAGGCAAAAATGCGACCGCTAGAGTGTTCACAAGTAATTGTGGACGGCCGGACGGACGACGGACGACGGACGACGGACGACGGACATTCACCGATCCTAAAAGCTCACCCTGAGCAAGCTCAGGTGAGCTAAAAAGCATAAACATTAAGAAGATGTAAATTATTATCGGTAATGGATGAAAATGTAAACACATTCATTACGTAAAACAAGATGACGGAGATGGACGGGCAAATGAATCTCCCACAAAGGATTGTGGGTCAGGGCAGGAAAATGTTAGAGAGCTTTTATTGAGAGCTTTTTATTTTTAGAGCTTTTTATCCCCCTATTTAATAAGTCTCTGTTTTTAAAGACTTTATCAGACCTACAGGAACTCCACTGAGGTCCAATAGCCTAAAATAATAATTTTTTTCTCAAATCAATTTGAAACCAAGCAATAGATGATATGTAAATATTCACGCTATTAAACTGATAATCAATTTTTATGCAATTTTTGGCCGATTTGAGTGAAAAGAGTTTCAACAGTTTTAATTTATTGGGCCAATTTGCAAAATAAAATTGATTATTCCTGGGAAATGGAGAGAGCAAATGATCTGAAATTTTGTACATGAGTTATTGGTCTAGACATACATCTAGTAATACTTAAGTCTTGAAAAAATATTTTCTGTCCTTTCATTTCAAAAAACCTCAGTAGAGTCCCTTTAAACTACATCTTTCTTGCATGAAAGAATATAGAAATGTAAATACAGTGAAACCTCTGAAATGACTGTAGAGCAAATACCACTTTAAATCAACAGTTCTTCACAAAGTAAGCTCTTACAACAAATTAAACCACTCTTGAGCAACACGTCTCATTAACAACCGAAATCTTTGAGTCCAAAGGGTGTTGCTCGGCAGAGGTTGTACTGTATGCATTTTGCAATTATCATTTAGAAAAAAACACTTAAAGCATGCCTCCAGATTCATGCTAATTTTCATGAAAATTTTGAAAATGTATTTGGATGTGTAATATTGTGAAGTAACCAAAAGGAATAAATTTAAACATTATCAATGGCACTTTAAAATCATGTAAATTACCAAAAGTGGTAAAAAATGCATAAACAGCCTTTACTGCGTTAGTAACACAGTAGAAATATAGTTATAAATACTGAAAAATCAGTATTTAATCACACATAATATGTAAAATATTACTTGAATCTTGAAACATTTTACTTTTCCTTACATCTTAGTACATTTTTCTCAAGTTTGGTTTTATTGAAATATTTTGACTCATCTAGAGGCAAGTAGCTTTAAAATTTAAGCTTTAATTATAACTGAATTGTAAAGAAAGACATCCTTTTATTGAATTTTTGATGGAATCTACCTAAATGCAGATGTGAAAAGAAAGAGAGCTCAGTTATTTTTTTCACTTAATTGGGAAGACGTCTTTTATAGGCATATATACACAGAGAAAAATCACTGCGGCTCTCTTTATTAATGGCAAGCACAAAACAACCAAGATAAGACTGTAATATTTTAAGTTCCAGTGGTGTTAACTAACCTAAGTCAAAGTCTGAAACATTTTGTAAAAGGCCATTTTATACATTTTAGCAATAGATGTTGTCCAGTGAAATTAATTTTAGCAATTGATGTATTGATGTTGTCAAGTGAGATTAATTTTAGCAATTGATGTTGTCAAGGGAAATTACTTTTAGCAATTGATGTATTGATGTTGTCAAGTGAAATTAATTTTAGCAATTGATGTTGTCAAGGGAAATTACTTTTAGCAATTGATGTTGTCAAGGGAAATTACTTAAGACAATGAACTGATGATTGGCAAACGAAATAAGTAAAAGTGTGGGGGGGGGAGGGGGTCGGAGGGACGGCTTGGTGGTGTCTAGTTAATTATAGGTAATGATATCTTAGATATAACAGACCTGTCTCTTATACTGCTCCACATCACATCCTTGTTCCTTGGCAAGTTGTAGCAACAGATTATGATCCTCATAAGGTATCAAAGCTGAGCCCAATGTGTCTGAAATGAAGGAGCATTAAAATAATATAATTGTTAGTGTTCATGTACAAAAAATATTTTAACCAAAATACTGGGGACTCCATAGTTGAGACCAATGACAATAAACTACTCAGTATTTCAATAAAGTCCCAAAATGTTGAAGTCAGATACTTTAAGAAATCACATTATATAGGAAAAGAAAGAAAAGTATAATATTTTGGGAGTACAAACCAAAGTCTAGGAGTAGATGACTCCTAAACTAGTACTTACAGAAACCCTGATTTGTGCCAATATTTATTAAGGTCTTTTCCACAACATTTCGGGTATGCCATCAACAATGTTGGAATTCAGGATAAAAAGTGTTGTTAAAACTTCAAATTGAGAATCACAGAACAGAAACTGCTGAATACATAATGACTAAAAAGTAGCTTCTTTGCTAGCCTTTGTATTCATATTTTCTTGTGAAATAAATTATTATTTATCAATTATAAAGAGATTCCCTTTTAACATAAATGCAGACTGACAAGCTGGGACAATTTATGCCACTCAATTCAGAAAAAAAAACTCATACATTTTGGCATTGGCAATTCCTTTGTTTACTGGTAGTAAATATATAAAGGGGGAAGAAAAGCTTGAATTTCACCATTTTTCTGTGAAGTGTGTGCCAGTAACTCATCACATTCCAACAACTCCTGTTCAAATCTATTACTCTGATCCTGGAGTCTCTTTATGTAACAATCCAGTTCATTGTCCACATCCTATAAACAATGGAACACATTTATATAATGACCTTCACAAAATTTCACACAAATATATTTACTTTTAAAACCAAGCTTTTTTTCTTCCAATTTTAAGAGAATTTTATTTTATGCCTAATGCCATACATGTGGAATATATAACACTTTTTGATTTTGTTTTTGCCAAATTTTATCTTTATTTAAATTATACTCACAAAATGAAAAAATATTGTTTAACTCCTAACTTGTCAATTCTAGTAGTAATCTTATGATCCAGTTATTACTTAACTCTTGTACAGGAACTATTTTAAGTAATACTACAAACTACAAACCAAATTGTTTTCCTCAAAATCTGCTGGCAGTTCATTCTCATCATTGAAATCATCAGCTAGCTCTACTTCATCATCTAGATTGATGTTTTCTAACTCAAGCTGGATTTCTGCCTCTATAACAGACTGTTCATCCATACAACCTTCAACGCCTGAAGGAGGCATACTCATCTCAACTGAAATTTTAATATTATTCAAAACATGATTTTTATACTTGTAGACAGTATAGCAGTGGTAAACTAATGGAGGACAGTTTATTCCTGCTAAGTGTTGGACAAATCATAAGTAATATTTTTCTGCTTATTATATTAATGCTTTTATTTATGGGCGACCGTACACTCAAGACTTTTTCGTAGATTTTTTTCCAGCTTTTATTGGTGGAGGAAGACCCCAGGTGCCCCTCCTGGCATTATTTCAGGCACAAGCGGGCACCTGGGTAGAACCACCTACCTTCCGTAAGCCAGCTGGATGGCTTCCTCACATGAAAGATTTTGACCTGAGTGAGGATCGAACCTACAGGGGTGAGGGACCTGTGATCTCAAGTCAGCGACCTTAACCACTCGGCCCAGGAGGCGCCAGTATACTTTTCTGCGATATCATTATAATTTTTAAATAATTGCAATGAAAGCCTCTCTGATTAAAATAACTTTTTTTTTTTTTGTAATTTCTCATTCAAAGGAGGGGTGAAGTGTCGCAATCCGGTCAACTCGTCCCCTGGTCAACTCGTCCCCTGGTCAACTCGACACCTTTTTGGTCAACTCGTCCCCTACTTTTGGTCAACTCGTCCCTAATATGGTCAACTCGTCCCCTACTTTCGATCTCTGTCTTTAAAATGTCTTTAAATAATTCTTTTATGTAAAATATGTAAAATTAATACTGAATTTGATTGATATCGAAATATTAATAAAATAATTACGTCTTTTTTACGTTAAATTTTAATGATCTTTATCTAAGCGCACGTGCATAGCTTTGATGTCAAACTACAAAGACAGGTAAGTTTACAAACATTCAATTAATGTTTAATTAATCGGAGTTTTAATGATAATTAAAACTAAAATTAGGTCCAACTCTTTGATTTTTACCGCCTCCCTGAATGGATTAAAGACTGACGACAGATTAACAGAAATTAGAAGCGCTAAAAACTTTATGTCGGTGCGTATTGATCTCATTATAGAAGGATCGTGTCAATTAAAAACATGATAATTGTTTGTTGGGAAATTGTCAATATAAAAGTTGCCCTGATAAATATAAGATTTATTCTTAAAAACACATTTGCGTTGTACGTTATATGAACATTGGATTATTTTTTTTGTGCATATCAATCATTTCTTAGAATTCCATATTGTTGGATTATAGACTGCATGTGAACGGTGTATGTGACAATTTTAATTATTTGTGTTGTTAATTGTGACTTTTTTAATTGATTAGTGTCGTTAATTGTGACAATGTACCCCTGCATTGATTGTAGGAAACATGTGCGGAAAAATCAGCAAGCACTTCAGTGTGAGCGCTGTGAACACTGGCAACACAGAAGTTGTAATACAGGTTAGTCATTTGTGATGTTTATGTTCATTTTTAACAGACAAATGGTCTTGCAATTCCAAATGATCTTATATAGTGTATTGGAATAAAAATTGTCAAAGAATATTTAAAGAATTTATTAAGTTTTTTTTTTCTAAATTGCATTTTATTGTAATATTATGGTCCATTATTATCATAGGAGTTGTATATACATACATGCCTTTTGAAAGAGTTAGTATTTATTTTTTTTTTTTCATTATTTTTTTTTAAATAAAAAATCCGTACAATAATATTTGCAGTGGATATTAACTGATTGAAATCATGATTGAAAACATAAAAGTAATTACCAAGTATTCAATTGCCATCTAATAATTAGTAAAGATTAATATTCAATTTCCATAAATAAATCTTTAAACTGATCTCAAAGAGGAGCTGTATAAAACCGAGTTCCAGAATTTCTTGTATAATACAAGTCAACATATTGAATGTATTAATTGTATTTAATCAACATTTTCATATATTTGACCATACACCATCAAAACAAATTCGACATTTGGAAAATAAATTTTTATAACAACCTTTGGCACGATTTTCACGCGATTTGTATAATTTAAAATTAAAGACACGCGTTCTTTAAATATATAAAACGTATCCAACCACAGAGGTATTTGTGTCGTTAATCCTATTATCAAATTACCATGTGTATACTTTAATAACCAAAGGCACGTGTCATTATATATTTAATTAACAACAATTTATATCATGCATAAAACAGTACAGTATCCACTTATCGTCAATGAACACGATAATTTAGGTCATTGTATCAATTGTGTCAATTATATTTATTTATTGGTTGTAAAATAATGATGATATGTTTGATCTGTGCCTATCTTATTGGTATTGTAATATACTTCTATTATTTTATAGGATGGCATAGAAGATTGAATGGGAGGGCTGGGGGAACGCCTCCATTCTACCTTTTGATAAAACTGCTGTACGATGAGGCCCAGGTAGCGGTGAGGAACTCGGAATTGATAAGTGAAGGAAGACTACGCCGCTACCAGCGGAAAAAGTACACCTTTCTTCAGGGACAGACGCACCAGCTGTGGGATAAGTACAGGAATGGGGAGTTATCATCAACGGGACTTTTGAGAGAATTCGGCAACTTATACAAGCCCCAAGAGTAGAGTCGTAAGATGTCAAAAAAAAGACAATGAAATATGTGCATGGAAAAAAAAACAATGAAAGTGTGAAAGTGAAAGTGACTATATATACATGTATGACATAATATTGACAAAAAAGACATACGATATGATATTTTATCTTTGCATATAAAACATGTTTTTATACATTAAATGTTATTGCTATTGATCGTCTTCGTGTTGTTTTTTTCTGTATGTAATTTAATCAGAATTATGCATATATATCCTTATTATAAGATGGAACTCCAAATATTCGCATACAAAAAGCGTCAAAATATGTCCAATTCAGTAATTTTATAATATATTATTTTAACAGTCTATAATGATTTATGAACTATATGAAAAACAAGTAGTAATAAAATATAAGGGACGAGTTGGGGACGAGTTGACTAGAGGACGAGTTGTCCAGGGGACGAGTTGACCAAAAAGGTGACGAGTTGACCAGAGGACGAGTTGACCAGAGGACAAGTTGACTCTGAATCGAAGTGTCTAATGTGTGAAGTGTCTGTAACAAATGACTAGGGGCGAAGTGTCTGAGGGGTGAACTCACATACTCCATAATAGGACAAACAGAAGCAGTGTATAAAATACTGAATATCAAATTTAAAACGGAAAATATAAAATAAAAATGAATGATTATTTTATACTATTTCACGGTAAAAGTAAATCGAGCTCGCTTTGAGGCTTTGCCTTTCTCATATTATTTTCAGTCATCATTCAACTTGATTAAGGTATATGTCATAAGTTGTTTCTTTTAATGAAACACGCATGTGTAAATGAATCAGACATGAAAATATAATATGATACATGTTTATTAACCTAGTGGTCCAAAAGAGTTGAACATGTTGAACTTAAAAGTGATTTTTCTCAATGACAAAGTTTACCTTTTTTTAAAAATCTACGGAAAACATTACCATGTCCATTCAGTCAGAAAAATAAGTAGATAATGATTTCACTTTAATGCGTGTCTGTGCAAAAATATCGTTTTATTTTTCTGATTTCAAACGTTGTTTACAGTAGAAACCAAAAATTTTTGTCAGCCCATTTACGGCACATTACTGAGAAGTCGTATTTATTTTATTTTATCATGTAAGTAATACATCTGATCAGGAACAAGTTTGTAGTAATTAATACTTTTAAAAATGCATGTTGTCTCATTTTCTTTACTAATATTCCATGTTTTTATCAATTGTTATTTTACGACATCACACCGCTTGCCGTAAACCTTGCAATGAATTCAGCGCGAAGTGTCATTTTTCCAACAAAAAATATAGGCAAATAAATACAAATTTAGGCATTTAGACAATAAAAACATGACGGAAGAGGTTCCGGACGATTTGTTTAAAGATGTCACATTTTATATCGTGGGGGATATTTCAGAAAATGTAAGCAATTGGCAGCCTGATGCTAACTAAGTTCTAAGCAAATTCATAATCATAGTTCTAACTTCCAGATGGAATATTGTCAATTGGCATTTCCCCGCACTAGATTTTGAGGAGTAATACAATTATCTGGAGCTCTGCATTAGTCATGGCTTCTAAAACATTACATGTAAATTAGTTATATTGAAGACACTATCTTAACATTTTTGTCGACAAATTTTATTACAATGACACTCTCTGAAGGAATCCGGGTCAGCTCGGCCCTAAAACGTACTCGGCCCCCGAGTCAGCTCGGCCCTATTCCAACTCGGCACGGGTCAACTCGCCCCACTTTTCAATTATTAATATTTAAGTTTGTGTTATCACTATTTATTGTAATTATTTATAATACACCTATTGACAGTTTCCAAACTAGTAGCAGACAGGCTTTTCTTATCCGTAGAGTTGCGAGTAAAGATAACCGATTGCGTATCTCACTGTATTTCTGACTTGTGTTAGGTTTAACCGTAAATTTAAATACCTTCAGTGTCAAACAATGTGTTGAAATATTTATTGTTACGGGCTATTATTATCAATCAGTGTGTATGTTAAGGATACCGATTAATTAGGTGATAATTACGATTGACTCATTCATTCATTTGATTAGTGACCACCTGCAATTAATTAGACGCTTATGATATGAAGTAAACACGTTTTTGTTTCATTTTGTTTGAATATTACTTTACAAACAAAATGCATCTATTGGTCTAAGGAAACACATTTTTATTAGATCTATATTAATTGATCTATATATCGAATCTGCAAGACAAATAAATAAAAAAAATTCTAAATGTACTTATTTCGGCAGAAGTGTAATTATATAATAAAGCAAATTTAATACGTAATATATTTTGGTAAAGTGGGCCGAGTTGACCCGTGCTGAGTTGGTATAGGGCCGAGTTAACTCTTTTCCTCTCTGAAGGGAGATTCTGAAAATACAGTGCAATACTTATTTGTTATGCAATATATGCAGATATTAAGTACTTTTGTTTTCATTGTCCAACCCTTTAAATGCTTTAATAGTGTTGTGTTTCCTTAACATTTTCAGGTCATAGACCTGTTGTCAAAATATGGAGGGAAGAGAGACATTTACCTGAGTGAGATGGTAAGCCATGTAATAGCGGATGATATAGAAAACCATGAATATCAGGAGGCAAGAGAGCTGTTTGAACTGCCCTGCGTCATGGTAAGTACATATAATTTTACCACTCATCTTGTCATTATAAACATGTATTCAAAGTTTCATGTTGATACCTTTTAAAATGCTTGAATAATGGCTACATTTTAGTTTTTTGCACGATGACAACAACATTCCAATGATCATAATACAGGGCTAGAGCTAGGGGGCGACTTGGGCAAAGAAGTCCCCTTCGGATGAGCGACTTCCCCTAAAACAAACTTCAAAGCGATTTTGAAGTCACCTGATTTTTAGCTGACCTGAGCATATGCTCAGGGTTAGCTATTAGGATCACTCTTCATCCGTCGTCCGTTGTCCGTTCACACTTTTAAAACGACATCTCCTCTGAAACCATAAGGCAGATCATAATGAAACTTCACAGGGATGTTCCTTGTGTGAAGCCTTAACAAACTTGTTCAAAGAATTCAATTCCATGCAGAACTCTGTTTGCCATGGCAGCCAAAAGAAAAAACTTTAAATATCTTCTTCTAAAAAACCCAAAGAACTAGAGCTTAGATATTTGGCACGAAACATCTTCTAGTGAGTGTCTACCAAGTTTGTTCAAATAAAAGACCTGGGGTCAAAATGGGCCCCGCCCTAGGGGGTCATTGATTTTCCCGATATGTATAAAGTAAAAACTTAAAAAGTCTTCATTTAAAGAACCCAAAGAGCTAGAGCTAAGATATTTAGCATGAAACATGTTTTAATGGATGTCTACCAAGTTTGTTCAAATAAGAGCCCTGGGGTAAAAATTGGCCCTGCCCCAGGGGGGCATTGATTTTCCCTATATGAATATAGTAAAAACTTAAAAATCTTCTTTTAAAGAACTCAAAGAGCTAGAGCTAAGATATTAAGCATGAAACATGTTCTAATGGATGTCTACCAAGTTTGTTCAAAAAAGAGCCAAATTGGACCAGCCCCGGGGGACGTTGATTTTCCTTATATGTGTATAGCAAAAACTTAAAAATCTTCTTCGAAAAAACCCAAATAGCTTGAGTGTAGATATTAAGCATGAAACATCTTCTAGTAAGTGTCTACAAAGATTGTTCAAATAAAAGCCCTGGGGTCAAAACTGGCCCTGCCCCAGGGGTGTCATTGTTTTTAAATATATGTGTAAAGAAAAAACTTAAAAAATCTTCTTTTAAAAAACCAAACGAGCTAGACCTTAGATATTTAGCATGAAACATCTTCTAATGGGTGTCTACCAAGTTTGTTCAAATAAAAGCCCTGGGGTTTAAACTGGCCCCGCTCCGGGGGCCTATATACAGGTGAGCAACTTCAGGGCCATCATGGCCCTCTTGTTTAATGATCTGTCATACCAGTTTACAATGCGAGGTCTGTTAACAATTTGTTTACTTCTCTATTACAACCAATTACCCTTAATCCGCTTGTTTAGAACGCATATCAACATCAACAAAATCTAATACACGCCGCAAGGCAAGAGTTCACTATGTGTATCTTTCTTATAATTTATTCATGTGATTGACGAATCAGAACACGTGTTGTATCTGTGGCAGTTTGCATTGACCAATTGGCGACACAATAACATACTGCAGCTATTTATTGACAATAACACAAAATGGCGACAGATTCAATCAACTTTCACCGATTACATGTACATGATTAAAGACACCTGCATATATATAATGTTGATAATTGTTGCAGTATTTTGGCGAGTAAAGATAAACAATGCCCAATGTCTTAAAGGTGTGAATATGTTCAAAAATCGATTGTAAAAATTATCGGAGCACTAATTTGTAGAAATTATGTGAAGATTTGTATCTATTATTTCATCAATACATTAAACTCCATAAAGTTAACACGCTGTTTATACAACATTAAATGTCTCTAACATCCTGGCAGATCGCTAAACAAAAGTTATAGACGATGGCCAGCCTGACTCATTGCAGAGACATAGATAACATAAACACAAATATAACATACTCACTAGATGTTTACAGACTCTGTATATGTAAATATTGAGTTTGCTACATTGTATTGGTATACATTTATTAAAAGTAGATTTATAATAGAATTAATTTATTTGAAAGGTGTTTTTCATTTCTTTTATGGTTTGTAAAGTTTCCTAGCTTATAATTTTCCAGATGATGCCTTATATGTCTCCCAACTTCTCCCTAAAGTCTCCTCACTTCTCACTTTAGCTGGAGGGAGAAGACCCTTTTCCCTTAAATTTTGACCTAGCTCTAACCCTGATAATAGCTTGACTTTTTCTTCAAAGCAGACAAGCTAGAAATGATTATACAAATTAAATGTACAATTAAATATTGAAGTAATTTATTTGTCTTTTGTTATTTTTCTTTATTTAGACAATAATCATGTGTTTTGTTTTGTTTGTTTTATTTACTGAAACATTATGTATTTTCATTATAATTTATTGAATTCTATTTTTATTTTCAGAGTGAGTGGGTGCTGATGTCAGTAAAATGCAAGAAAATGTTGGAGTATCCTTGTATATCAGAATGATAGCGTTTTATATTGATATTGTCCCCTACTTCTATTATAGTCTATACCTACTGAAAAATTTTAAGAGAATCATCAAAGCTAAATTTGAATCTAGCTAACTTTAGCAATATTTTGTATCATGTGGGGGGGGGGGGAATGACGGCCAATTGTCATGGTCATTAAGTAATGACCTTTAAAGTGACTAAAATTTGAAATTCTTACATAGATCAGCACGGGCACTTAAAATAGAAAGATATGCAAATGATGATTAAGAAATATACTTGGAAATAAATTGAAAATTGTATTTTTTTACTGTTATGAATTTTCATGAAAATTTTGAAAATAAACTTACAAGTAAAATATTGTGAAGTGAACAAAAAAGGTAATTTACACATTGCAAACAGTACTTACAATCCAAGTAAATTACAAAAAGAGGTCAAAATAATATGCATAAATAGTCCTTATTGCATTAACCTAATTTGAGTGAAAAAGGTTGCAACGCTTTTATGTTGGTCATTTTTCACAAAAAGGAAGTTATTCTGGAAAAAATGGACTGAGTGAGTGATCAGAAAATTTTCACGCAAGTTATTGTTCTAGACTTGCATCAAATGGAACATTAATCTTGAAAAATTATTTCCAGTCCCATCTTGTAAAAAAAAATGTCAGTGGTGTCCCTTTAATTTTCTGCAATGAACGATCAATTTGCTGCTTTATTACGTAGACAGCAAATTAATATAAATACATGATGTAAGTTTCAAACATCTTTAAAGATGTTATGAAAGTTTAATGGAAAACATTTTGATTGTTTTTCCTTATAAGTTTTGAGTTTGAAAATATCTTTCCTTTTAATATAATAAGCACAAACAATAATCTGTCATTTGTACTAAAGTGCTAATAGGGAAAACATTTTTTTAGAGATATTTACTTTGTAAAATTGTTCCTTAATGTTGTCACAGCAAAGACCTGTTTGCTCCGGAGGGGAAGTTGTTTTCTGGTGTTGTAGCATGCCCATCAAAGGTATTTATATTTAATTTTATTTATAGAAGTAATACATGTATTTAAATTACTGTTTAAAGGCCCATAATGCCCAGAACTGCTTTTATTCACTTTCTCAAAAGCTTTTTATCTTTTGTGTCCTGTTAAAATATCAAAAAAAAAAATAAAAAAATTACTCGACCAATTTGCTGAACCAAATTTTTGCATCTCTTGCATTTTGGCAATAAGTGATTAGATATGGTCATTTAGTATTATGAATGGAAGTCAAAATACTACTTGATTTACATTTTCCTACTTATATGACAGATAATTTCACACCCAGCTCTACTTTCTTCAGGAGATAAGCATCTTTAATGTTCTAAAGCTATTATTTAAACATTATGAAACTCATGTTTGCCTAGACTAGTCTAAAGGATGAAAACTTTATTCATTTCTAAGACATAATGTGCCTTTCTCTTTTTCTATTACAGTAACAAAAATTGTAAAATGCTTAGAAAATGAATAAACTCAAGCAAACATAACTTTCACTTGCTGCCTTTATTTTTTTCAACTTCATCAGTAGTAAACGTTTGCTTGAATTTATTCATTTTCTAAGCATTTTACAATGTTTGTTTATAGAAAAAGGGTATTAATTAGTGCCGCAGAACTGATGGAATTAAGTGAAAATTATACTTCCGTTAGAGAAATAATGGAAACCAAATTCAAAATAAAAAATAACTTATCAATATGTGCCTTGTCTCCTAGACATTTCTGACCACGAAAGACTTAACATCAGAAATAGAAATATATGTATATAAATTTTAATTGATAATTACGAAATGAAAGTAACTTCTTAATTTATGTAATATGAGTTACAGTTTTTTCACACCAAAACCACTAAATATATTTCTTTTCTTCTCTCTTTTTTTTTTTAAAGAAACAAATCCAGTTTTTTTAATTTGGGACATTTTTGCATAATTACTTCATTACTATGATTAAAAAAAACAAAAAAAACTTGATGACATTGGGAATTTCTTCTTTTATTAGAGAGGTAACTTTATTGGTGGCAAAATGATAAATATTGGGGATGGTTCCCGTTTTAGAAGATAACATTATTGAAAAAAAAAATAAAGATTTTCCTCATTGTTAGGTTTCTTAGTTAATAGTAAACATATTGATTTTAGTTAGAAGAAGCAGACTGGTTGTCTCTATGGGCAATGATAGTCTGTAATGGAGGACGTTGCCATGGCAACCTGACAGAAAAATGTACACATCTTTTGACAGCTAAAGAGGAAGGAGTAAGTATTATTGGACATTGACAGTAAGAAAACCCTTTGATTTTATCAACATTTTGAAAATATTGTTCAAGTTTTAAAATGGAATTGCTATTTGTTTGTTAATTGAATAATGATAATAAAATTTAGCAGTATTGTTATAGGAAATTTAAAGTAATTTAAAGTCTGCATGTTAGCTAACAGCTCCTCTTTTGTGTATATTGATAAAGGCAGGGTCTTTTTTTCCAGCTATTTTTCAGACCTAGTCTTTTAGTAGGCAGTATTATGTGGCATTTGGGAGTTTTAAAAATTTGACAAAGAAATACATGACTTATACTTTATACATGGCAACCTGTCAGTTATTTTAAAGCAGCATGCAGCAGATTCATGATAATTTTCTTGAAAATTTTGAAAATGAACTTAAAAGTAAAATAATGTGAAGTGATCAAAAAAAGTAATTTACTCATTGTATATAGTACTTACAATCCACTTGTATTAATAAAAAAGAGGTCAAAATATACAAAAATAGTTCTTACTGCATTAGTCACGCAGTAGATAAATACAGTATATTGTGATTAATACTGCAAACGCAGTCATTAATTTCACATAACATGTAAATTATTGCTTGAATCTTTTTACTTAAAATTGTTGTTCATTTTTCTCAAATTTGATTTTCATGAAAAATTTTGGCTCATCTGAAAGCATGCAGCTTTAAGATACAAGGCAAACAGCTTATATTAGTAAATAAATTATTTAATTCCTGTATTACAGAGTTTTTTTTACTAATAAGTATATGAATTTATTTTTGTTTTGTTTTTGTTTTGATAAGCTTAGAACTTCTAACACTCTCTTTTTACTAATTTAAGACGTAACTGATCATGTTGTTGTTGTTTTTGTGATGACGGATATTTCTTATAGAAAATCCTCATTCTATTTCATTTCATAGCCAAAATATGAGGAGGCAATGAAGCATGACGACACAGTGAAAATTGTAACTCCAGACTGGGTCAGCGAGTGCATTAACAAGGGAGAGAAGCAGGATGAAACTTTCTACCATCCTAGACTGATTGTCTACCCTAAACCACCGACACCTCCTAAACCGGAGTCGCCCGTAAAACCGGAACCTATGGAGGTATGGTGATCAGTCTTTGCAGTTTTAATGTGTGTTTGATATATTGATAAAGAGGCAACAATCTCTGGTATTTTCTATAGGGGGAGGGGCAGAAAGGAAGGAACAATCTTGACAATTGTTCTTATATTGATGAGTATGTGTATATTGCTTTTAAGAAAGTATATATAGAGGATATTTGTTTGTTTCAGTGTAAGATCGAAAAATATTTCACCGAGTGAACACCAGATGCAATATTTTCCACGAGTGGCGTAGCCACGAGTGAAAATATAATAGCTGGGGTTCACGAGTGAAATATTATTTGATCTCACATGTAAAACAAACAAATTTTCTGTTTATTTCATGATTTTTTAACGATTTTTACACCATTTTACTGATTTTTGCCGCGTAACGTCCTGCTCTTATCTTCATGACGTCATCAAATAATGACGTCACAATGTTGAAGCAAAATATAATTCCATGATTATTTTTAGATTTTAGATGTTTTTCAGCACAACGTTCGTAAATATTAACGAACTACAGTTATCACGTACATTTTTTATTATGATTGACTACATTTTCGCTGAAAAAACATTCATTAATGATAAATATTTTATTTTTACGCCAAATATAGTTCGGCTACTGTGAAATTATATTTGGTAATCATTACTGTGAAATTATCAGAATATAATTAACCGTTATAATTCAGTAATCTACTGCAAAACATGTAATAAAAAAGGGTATTTCCACCCAAAGTTATGATTTAAAGCTGATTTTTTTTTTTTTTGTCAGGGTTTCTATTGACGCACATTTCCTGCGTCCTTGACGCAAAAATAGTAACCTAGGACCCTCAATTACTCGAAGTGTGCGTCCATGGGGACGCAAATTAAATTTTCCTCCGTAAATATCATTTGGAAATTCCTTCCGCTTCTTTAAAGGAAGTGACGTAATTTGGTAGACAGGTTCTAATATTGAATGAGCAGAGTTATCTTTCTTTCAATTAATTACAGTTTAATAAGGAATAAAACGGCGCATACTAGAATTTAGTCGACCTTAAAAAAGCGTCCCAGTCTATGCGTTTTTTGTTATAAAATAAATCGTAAAACATGTCGGCTGCTCCCCCAATTTTAATGAAAAGTGGTTAAGTTAACTTACCCGTGGCTCGTCCAAAACGAGAAGACCACGGATATGAAATGCAGCCATTGCGTCTCAACCAAAAAATGTAATCCATTTGCCTCGGAAAATGGATGTTTGTACTTCCAAAATAGTAGATACATTTGTCCGTATGCAGTTAAACAATTGATAAAATTAGTCGGACCAGATGTGAAAGATCTTGACTTTATGCAGGTTGCACAAACATTCAGCCAAATGAAAGAAATGAAAAAATAAAAAGTAACAATGAATGATAAATGGTTTATATTTTTTCATTTTATTTATCGATAACAAGGTCAATAAAAATGCACATGTAGTTGAACAATGTATATAAATGTAAAGAATTAAACCTAGACAATATATATAAGTAATACCTTACTTTAAAGTAATAAATGATTAGGACCCTCATATTTTTCTCTGGGACCCTCATATTTTATGAGCACGAGTCCCTGGGACTCTTAAATAAAAATTCCTAGTAGAAACCCTGTTTTGTTGGGTTTTATGTTTGATTTTTCTCAGTAAAGAATCATGTATGTCTCAGACTTGGGACAATCAATTTTTTTCTTCTATCAGTAACAACTGTTGAATAGGCATTCAAATCCTGCAAACTGGAATGAATATTTGTATTTTAAGGTCACACCTGTCAGCCAAGAATCACAAAAGTTACAAGTCCCGCCAACAACATTAGAAAGGCGTTCACCATCAGAGTCTTCCGGCCATACAGGCTCGCGTCCAGGTACACCGGGTAGTGCCAGCACAAAAGAGGCATTAGCTAAATTAGTAAACAATAGAATGCAGGTTAGTAGCTTCTGTTACAAATATATGTATATTTAGAAACGCAACTGGGGGTTATATAGGGATATCTAGGTAAGAGTAAATAGTTTAAGGCTGGCCTTATAGAGACTGCCCTAAAATGTTGCGTAAATGCCAGACATTTCTTCTGTGTGTTTGAAGTTTCAAGTGTTTGATTCTCTTTATACATTACACGTAAATAAAATTGAAAAAGAATTATTGATAGAACTAAAATTTTTAGCCAGACTATTCAAAGAATAAATTTATAATGATGTTAAAACCTAACTAAAGTGGATATTCGGGGGGGGGGGGGGGGGGGGGGTATATGTGTTTTCTGCAGTAGTGATTGTTTTAACCAAATATAGTGGTGGTTGAATGGAGTATAGGGAACTAGGGAACATTCCAGAATTCCATGTCAGTTACATCCTGGTCCAGTGTTCAATCTAGAATAAATTTCCAGCGGGCCCTTTGGGCCCATAAACTTTTCAAAAGGGGGTCATTTGAGAAAAAAGGGGGCCAACACTTAAAATGAACACCAAATTCAAATAAGGTATTGTATCTTTTAAGTTACTTGTTCACGTACCATATATAGACCAAAAGCGGTTGCAAAATTCCATAACAATCAACTCAACTAAAAAAATGACATTATTTGGACCTTTTTCGAGAGTTCTGTTAGCGTTGATGCAGGCTCAATTTTAAGAACTGATTGGTAAAGAAACAATGACATAATGTTCAAAGAAACATATGAATCTTATTAAAATGTTACCAGGGATATTTGATAAGTTTTTTAATCAGCGCCCGATATATAAAGGAAAATCATATTTTGCAATTAGCGTATACACTTACAAGTCGCTCAAAACATTTACCCTTCTCAATATATCCAAGCTATTACAGGGTTCCCACGCTGTCCGGGAAAACAGGAAATGTCCGTGAATTTGAAAACAGGAGCTCCCGGCCTTGAAAAGTCCGGGAATAAGTTTTGATACATAAAAAAGTCCGGGAAGGTACGGGAATTAGTCTGATAAAGGGGAGGTAAATCAAACAACCAAAATGGCGGTCTTAGCACAGTATATTGACTTCTGCATTTTGAATGTTGATGAATTTTCGATTTACAAGTGTTTTGGGAGGCCAAGTTTGACATTTATGAGATTTAACATTTATTTTCTGGTTACTATGGCGGTTTTGTTTGGAAAATGTTATAAGACAGTCACAAATCGACCACAAGTTTGCTTGATTGGCCCGTGCTAAGAAACATGAAAGCTCACAGGTCTGGTTGCTTCCTTGGGCAATTTGTTTAACCTTATTGCTCACAACCATGCTAAAAGCCAAAGGTAAATCAATATAAAATAAACAATAGTATTACATACATGAACTATTGTCAAGGCAGAGCACAGCCAGTTGGCCACACCATATTTGGGTAGCAAGAAATACCCAAATATTAGCCACAATATACTAAAAATGAATGTGTTATACTAAAAAAAGTGTTGTTTTAATCATGAATACAATATACACTTTCACTAAGATGTAATCGAACATACCCAAATTTTCATTTTTGAACCAAAATATACCCAAATACAGTATACTCCATGAAAACTATTAAATAAAAAAAATAATACGAATGAACTTGTATGAAATTACAACAAAATTATACCCTTCAAATTTAAATGTAGACAACAAATCTCATATCTTGCAAGTACATTTGTCTATTCATTAATGAACCTAACAGTTAGAAAAGCAAATGTCACTTTTTTTCTTACAACATCTGAACTGCCAATTTTAACGGAATGAATGAAAGTAATAGTTGGCTAAGTCACATTATTTTGAAAATATCAACTCATTTTCTCATTAAAATCTATATTGTATACAAACCAAAATGAATATTGCTATAATTGTGTGTGTTTGGGTATTTTGTGCTGCTGCCATATTTTGTAGAACCCGTAGCACTGGCTTAAGCAGAGTACAACATTTAAACATGAAAGTTGTGAAATTTTTAATGTAGAAACACCTGCAGGCAGTTTTCATATACCCTTCAGTGTGATATGCTTTTGCCATTCTATGCACCTAAGTGGACTGAGGTCAAATGTCAGGTTACTTATTAAAGTACTATGAATATCTTGTAAAAAAAGTGATCCCTTGGAAGCATTAAAAACACCAAAATTACATGAAAATTGCAGACAACCTGCAACAGTTGCTGTCACAAAGTACATTTCATTACTTATAGACACTGAATGTATTTCTTAGATAGAGTTAGATTTATGTCATGAACTACATGTATTATATTGTTATTAAATGTTGTTTTAAACATTACCATGAAAATATTCATAGGACAAAAAAATCGAATAGCTTGAAATTCAATCTTCTAAAAAGTCCTTAAAAAATCAAAAAAGGTCCTTGATAAGTCCTGGAAAAGTCCTTAAATTTTCAAAATATCTAAGAGTGGGAACCCTGAAATTTTTAGCTTAGCTAAAAACAAAGTGTCAACAGGTGCTAAGACAATGTATATTGACATACCGGTACCTTTGATCTTTTGTCAGGGCAGCAGTTCTTACGTCACGCTTAAGATGTCTGTATTGATTAATGATATGCACAATGTTTTAGCGCAGACCAGCCAAAGATCAATCAAAGTTTATTTACTAAATTGTCAGACACTCCCTAGCCAATCGTGTTTGATTAGCTCCATCTTTAAGACTTTTTTAATTGGTTGAAGGCGTGTTCGTAATAATTTATGCACACCTCTATAATTAACTCGCACTTTTTCACAAATATATAGTATTTTTTCCTCCGAAAAGTTATTGCATATTAATTTGTTTTGACCATTAAAAAACTACAACTACACGCACACATTGGATTATCTGTGACGATGTGTTTTGTTTATAAAAACTGTGACTCAAAAGTAAGTAATAGTTACGGTACGAAGAACAGGTCTGCATAGTATTTACAGACCCGGACCGAGAGAGCGTAGCGATCAAGGTTTTAAAAGGGTGACCGAGTGTGGTAACTATCTTACCAACATGCTCTTGTTTTTCTATACAAACTTCAGTTTTGAATTCAGTATTTATTAATATTATTTACTAAGGATGTCATCTGGAGCCGAAACGGCCATCCGGATATCCGAATCAGACATCTGGATACATCCGGATGTTCGGATCGTTGTTATATTCTTGACATAACCATTTTTTTTCGCGACCCTTTTCAAAGTGCAGTATTTCGTTTCACTTCCTTTTAAATCGAATGTTACGTATCAAAATAATTCGGTATTGGTTTTATTTTTTTCTATGTAGAATATGACTGTTATCGATAAATTAAGTGCGTAAATGATACTTACAATTTCAAACGAAATGAAAATGAAATTCATCGCCGATTGTCTTAAATTCTCAATTACTGCACGGATGTAATATAAATCCGTGATTAGTGCTATAATACACAATAACACTTGCTCACATTTGTGAAAACAAAATAACACCCGTTAAAAAATATTTAAAGTTTCCATTGTTCAATAACACGCATACAATTTTCTCACGATGAACTTTTACAGTTGTGTAGCCGGCTTTTCAAAAGAATCTATTTTACCAACATGTAGCGCTTGCTGTTTGATTCGAATCATCAAAGAAGTTGCCGAAACTTACATGAATTACACACATTTTAAGTGTTCATAAGTGAATGGAAAAAAACTGTGATTAAAAAATATGCACATGTTTGATTAATACTAACGGAGAAAGTTATTTTGCCGGATAATTATCGTATCAATTTAAATAAAAGCTGTGACAATTAACAAATTATTATTCGTAAGTGCATTTTTTGATTTGCTTATTTTATTTCTGCAGATTTTTCATTTTCTCAGAATAAGGAGTCGGCGGTCGGTAACCCGAAATATACGTAAAAAAACCTAATTAAATATTTAAATTTAGACATAAAAAAAATGTAACATCGTTGCCGATGACAATCGCAGGGGACTTAGAATATTCATTTTGAATCATACAAAACTTAAATTTGTTTGGTGTTCAATATAGATTAACAACATGTGTCATACCTAACTCGTAATTATTATAGTAATTATGGATTTTTGGTGGTCTGCAGAGATTATGATGTGTATTGTCACACTAAGGTACAATATACAATATGGTGTCAACACCATGGCTACGTCGATTATCTCAACGCATGTAATGATCACATTTTCTCAATATTCTGAAATATTTTATACGAACATCCGGATCCGAAAATCGGCTCCGGACATCGAATCGTGATCCAAACGTTCGGATATCCGGACTCCGAATGACATCCCTATTATTTACAAGAAACTTTTTATGTACTTAATCAGGTTTAAGATCATTAATGGCATTTTTAGCTCACCTGAGCATGCTCAGGGTGAGCTTTTAGGATCGATGATTGTCCGTCGTCCGTCGTCCGTCGTCCGTCCGTCGTCCGTTCACATTTAGTTGTTAACACTCTAGCGGTCACATTTTTGCCTCAATCATCATCAAACTTGGTCAGGATGCTTATCTAGTTGATAGCTCGGATGAGTTCGAACATGGGTCATCTCGGATGAGAAACTAGGTCACAAGAGCTAAAAATAGAAAAACCTTGTTAACACTCTAGAGGTCACATTTTTGCCTCAATCATCATCAAACTTGGTCAGGATGTTTGTCTAGGTGATAGCTCGGATGAGTTCGAACATGGGTCATCTCGGATGAAAAAGTAGGTCACCGGAGCTAAAAATAGAAAAACCTTGTTAACACTCTAGCGGTCACATTTTTGCATCAATCATCATCAAACTTGGTCAAGATGCTTGTCTAGGTGAAAGCTCGAATGAGTTCGAACATGGGTCATCTCGGCTGAAAAAGTAGGTCACCGGAGCTAAAAATAGAAAAACCTTGTTAACACTCTAGCGGTCACATTTTTGCATCAATCATCATCAAACTTGGTCAGGATGCTTATCTAGTTGATTTCTCGGAGGAGTTCGAACATGGGTCATCTCTGATGAAAAAGTAGGTCACCGGAGCTAAAAATAGAAAAACCTTGTTAACACTCTAGTGGTCACATTTTTGCATCAATAATCTTCAAACTTGGTCAAGATGCTTGTCTAGGTGATAGCTTGGATGAGTTCGAACATGGGTCATCTCGGATGAAAAAGTAGGTCACCGGAGCTAAAAATAGAAAAACCTTGTTAAACACTCTAGCGGTCACATTTTTGCATCAATCATCATCAAACTTGGTCAGGATGCTTATCTAGTTGATAGCTCGGATGAGTGTGAACATGGGTCATCTCGGATGAAAAAGTAGGTCACCGGAGCTAAAAATAGAAAAACCTTGTTAACACTCTAGTGGTCACATTTTTGCATCAATCATCATCAAACTTGATCAAGATGCTTGTCTAGGTGAGAGCTTGGATGAGTTCGAACATGGGTCATCTCGGATGAAAAACTAGGTCACCGGAGCTAAAAATAGAAAAACCTTGTTAACACTCTAGTGGTCACAATTTTGACTCAATTGTCATCAAACTTGGTCAGGAAACTTGTCTAGGTCATTGCTGGGAAGAAATTGAACATGGGTCATCTCGGATGAAAAAGTAGGTCACCGGAGCTGAAAATAGAAAAATCTTGTTAACATTCTAGTGGCTACTGTTGTGATCCAAATATTCTGTTAATTGGTCTGAAAGTTTGTTTTGATGATTTCTAAGTCAAGTTCGAACATTGGTCATCTTGGATGAAAAAAACTAGGTCACAACCGCCCAAATATGGAAAAACCTTGTTAACATTCTAGTGGTCACATTTTCGACTCAATTATCATCAAACTTGGTCAGGATGCTTGTATAGGTAATTGCTTGGATGAGTTCGAAATCGCATGTGGAACTAGGTCACCGGAGCTAAAAATAGAAAAATCTTGTTAACACTCTAGTTGCTACTGTTTTGATCCAAGTATCCTTGAAATTGGTCTAAAAGTTTGTTTTGATGATTTCTAGGTCAAGTTTGAATATGTGTCACCTGGGTAAAAAACTAGGTCGCACTGCTCAAATATGGATAATCCTTGTTAACACTGTAGTGGTCACATTTTTGACTCACCTGTCATGAGACTTGGTCAGAATGCTTGTCTAGGTAATTGTTTGGATGAGTTTGATAAATCAGGTGAGCGATCTAGGGCCATCATGGCCCTCTTGTTTATGAGTGCGCCCGCCGGGCCCACAGTTGAATTTGTTTTGCGCCGGCGGTCTTTTCAGGGGGTCAATGGCGCGCTCTAGATTGAACACTGCAGTGGTCAATTGAATAAAAGGAGAATCAGAATCTGGTCACAGTTTCAAGAGAACTTGAACATCTATGCAAGTTAACTATACCATTATAAATTAACTATATTTCTGACTAAAGAAAGAGATCCTCTATATTTCAGGAGCCTGCAGGACCCAGACAGCCACACTCCCAGTCTACATACATGGGCCAGTTTCCAACCATACCAGCTCAGCAGATGGCCTTCAGACATGGCCTACATCCTCAAAGACCACCACAAGCTCATGGATTCCCTATGCACATGGGAGGCCCTGGACAGCCACATTTTCCTGGTCAAGGTCATCCTCAAGGTCATCCACAAGGTCATCCAGCTCACCAGCAAATGTCTCAAGGTCGTCTTCCACACCCTCAAGTTCCTCCACAAGGTCATCCTCAGCACCGTCCAGGTCACCCTCAGCACCCTCAAGGGCAAGGCCATCTACAGCATCCGCAAGGACTTCCACAGCCTCCTCAGGCACATCATCATCCTCAGGGTCCGCAAGGTCCCCGGGGTCATGCTGGTATTCCCCCAGCACATTCTATGCCATCACATCATCCCCAACAACAACAACAGCAGCAACATCCACAACAGCAGACCAAGTTACGGAATATCACAAACAACATAGATGTACACAAACAACATGGGAAACAGTCTCAACAACAGAAAGGTGGTTTACCAGGGCAGCTTAACAGACCGCCACCACCTCAATACTTCCAGCAACAGCCATGGCCTCAGTACTGGGGTCATGACCCGTCAGATAATAGTGAGTTTTGATAATACATCTTCGATTATAATTTGAGTATTGTTTTAAAATGTGTGTTAGATACACAAGAAAATGTATTTGAGAGGTGTTTTATTAATCTATACAGCTGAAATTTATATATTTTTCTGCCAATATATATCTGAAACTCTTTGATTGCACGTAGGTAAACTGATTAGGCTATTCCACATGTTTAAATTCAATTTTAGTATCAAAATCCTTTTCAGAAGAAAGAACGTCAGGGACCAAAAAAAATATTCAAAGCCACTCGTTCTGCATGACGAGTAGCTTCAAATTTCTACTTGTCCTGCATGCTATGCTATTCGTCCTGTTTTTTAGGCATCATTTTCAAGATAATCTTTGCTGATGCAATAGAACCTCGCTGATGCAATAAGACCACTAGAAAGTTTCATAATCAGTATGTTAACATAAATTTAACAAGCTGAAACCGGAAACAATGCTTGTGTTTAAGGTAATGTATAAATCACACACTCTAAAGAGCATTGTCATGCACATTCCAGTCACACACGTATCCAATTAACAATGCAGAGATTTATAAAGTGCGCATTTTTTACATAACCTAAAACACAAGCTTTGTTTCCGGTTTTCTAGATTTTAATGTTAACAAACTGATAATTAGAATTCTAGAAAATTTCAGCTCATCCATACTACAATTTTGTACTTGTCCTGCATCGATCTCGACTCGTCAATACGAGTGGTCAAGTGGCATTTTCGAACCCTGAACGTGTCTTTCATGGGCATATGACGATAGTGAAAGGATATATGATGGAAGGAATAACCAAGATGTTGCTTAGTATTGTTATGTAGTAGGTTTTAGGAGATTTAAAGTTGATGTGAGTGGGGAAATACTGAATGAATTTGTAACATAATGTGGCTCTGGTCTCTGTTTTCAGTTCCACCAGACATGTGTTTGCTAGGCTGTATATTTTATATTAATGATTATCCAAAGACATTAAACATGGAGGAAATTTCTGTGTGGAAAAAGGTATGTGATTTAGACACCTTACAGCAGATTACAGTGTTTTATTAATAGTTTAAAATAATAATTTTAATGAGATGAAGCCATAGAACATCTGTGGTTCTGCTTATTAAATGAGTTGAAGCCGTAGAGCTTATTAATGGAACAGCTGCAGTGTTTATTCTAGGATTCAAAAAACGGGGGATTTTTATCGAAAAGTGAGAAATTATTACATTTGTTGATCTTTTTCCTTTCTCTATGTAAAATTTTCCCCCTGCCTCTGAAAATATAGGGGGGGAAATTCTCAAAAATATGGGTGAATCCCCCCATCCACCCTCCTAGAATAGACACTGCAGCTGTGGTTCTTGTTATTTACCTGCCAGTGCTTAAATGATGGGCAGAGGGGCTCTTGAGGTATTTATCTTCAACCATTAAAACTATAAAGTCACTGTAACTATCCTAGTATGATTGTTAATTTAAAAATGTCATTGCCAAACATAAAGAAGAATTAAAGATTATATATTTAATATAAACCTTATATTTATAGGTGATAGAGCAACATGGAGGTCAGGTAGACCCATCCTATTCTAATAGAGTAACCCATGTGATCTGTGCCAACCAAAAAAGTGATGTCTTTAATCTGGTATGTAAACAAGTTATTTTTGGGCAGATACTGTAATGCTGAAATTTAGTATTTTCATATTACTGTGTGAAATTTATTTGTTAGTCACCTAAGTTCTTTTATGCATTATGAGCTGGTTAGGGGTTGTCACTGTCACTAACATGGTAGTGTCCATAGGGTGTCGCTGTAGATCAAAATAACTTGTCTCGAATGCATTTAAGGCCACCTCAAACTAACAAAACACTCTTTGTTAAATGTGATAAATAACCGAAAATGGCAGCCGTAAATTCAAAAACAGATCAACTATTGAAAACTTCAGTGACAACCCAGCAGGAATCATGCTGAATTTGGTGTAATGGAATTGCCTTGCTTTGAAATTGGAAGAGTCCTTTGATAGTTTGAAAGTGTCTGTTTTTAACGGCATTAAATGCCATAATTTTTAGTAAGTACAAAGTAGATTATTTGACTTTTTTTTATCGGGACATAAATCAACTCCAGGACAGACATCTTATTTCTGGGACTTTCCCGGACATCCGGGACGTTATGGCGTGTATGCCATTATCATTGTAAAGTTTTGAGGGTTTTTTTTTTAAAGACGAATATATTAATTTGATAGGCTCTGCGGGATCAGCGTCGGATAGTTACACCATTCTGGTTGAATGACGTTCTAGTGAAGAAAAAGATGTTACCGCCATGGCAGGCACTACATTTACCATTACTATACAGTGAAGTGGGACACAGGCCTTGTAGTAATCAGGTAGGGTAATAAAATTGCACCGCGCTATTACAAAACCAACATAATGTGTTTGCGACCAGCATGGATCCAGACCAGCCTGCGCAGTTTGATCAGGATCTCTTCTGTTTGCTTACAAACCATATTACAAGTAGTAAAACTGATAGCAAACAGCATGGATCCTGATCAGACTGCGGGGATGCCCAGGCTGGTCTGAATCCATGCTGGTCGCAAACCCACTATGCTGGTTTTGTCATATCGCAGCTCAAATGTTGAAGATTTCATGCAACATTGTTTGAACTCATATTTTCTAAGATAGGTTGTTGAAACAAAATTGCTGTGAATCCTTGATAGAAGTTTCAAACTTAGCAAGAAATCTTTTAGGGGATAAGGATATTATGGTCTTAAAATTCCTAATTAGGACAATTTTCAGTCTGTTTCCACCTCTTTTTGAAATGAATTTTACCAACTTTTCATTTTGGAATGGTCCATTCAAAGTGTAAGGGATTTAAATATCAAAATACAAAAATTGAGCTGCCAACAATATAGAGCCTGGTCAAACTGCACAAATGCGCAAGTTGGCCTGGCTCTATACTGGTGGCAAAGGCTAATCAGTTTCAGTTCAAGCAGGTCAGTGTTAAAATGGCATTAAGCCCAACAAGATAAATGTAAAGAGACATAGAAAAAAACCAACTGATATCATAAGATATTGAACATCTGTAAAATAAAGTAAATAAGGTGTCGGTGTTTGTTCCCCTGCTTTGGGAATGGTCCCGGTACTGACGTTTGGGAAATGAAATCGTTAACTTGAATTAATTTTCCCCATGCCAATAGTCACTGGTAATCTTTTTTATCCAGCAAAAAATAGATTATGAAAATATACACTCAAAACCATGAAATTTTTAAATTTAAATGACTTTTTCAGTAATGTAAAAAATTTTGAAGGGTGAAGATCAGATTCGGGTAAAGCAATGATTCAGAAATGGGAGCCAAATATACGGGATACATGACTCGGACAAACTCTGTACTAGTGTGTCGCAGGTATGATATGTAATAAATTAGAATCTGATATAGAATCAAATTTCCATTTTTCTCAGTTATAATATAATATATATCATCAGTTTAATGAAAAGTAAAGTTAATATAGTATATATATATAATATATATAATATAAAAACTCAAAAACACAGTCCATTTGAGTTAATTATTTAATTATTAGGCAAAAATAATAAATAATAAGTAACTCATGGACTGTGTTTTTGTTTATTTATATGTACTTTTTTCCGGCACTGGTTTCATTTTTTGTATATATATATATATATATATTATATATTTATAAAATCAGTTTTAATGAAAAACAAACGTTTTTCTTTAGCTTTTGACATTTTTATAATGCATATATTTTACTGATTTCATTTTGTCAGTATTTTGTTATTAGTAACCTTTACCCTTTATCATCATTTTGTATGTACTTGTGACCTGTTAAGAGTTGTGACAGACCGAAAAAAATTATCAACTGAACAATTAGTGAGAAATTTCAAAAATTCTTATTAAGAATGTATTAAAAGAGATTTTTTTTTTTGGAAATCATAAAAACACAGTCTAATTTTGATAGTTTTATGTTATAAAATGATCAAGTGTTAGTTTTCATATAGATTGATATACGATATAGATTTTACCTTACTGTTATAACTCAAGTTTATCATTGATAAAGTGATACCTAGTATTTCTGGAGCATATCATAGAGGGCCTAAAAATTTAAAATCACCCCCCAAAACGAATGCTTCGCCCCTGGGTTGTCTTTCCCTTTTTGCCTTTGATAAAAATTTATGTGAGCCCAATTTAGGTTTAAAATGGGCAGGTAAAGGGTGGATGTAAAAAACAGGGTAGTGGTTTTTTGTATGCCATACCTAGAAATTTCACCAACATATGGTTTCCCCTTTGTTTTTAATTCCTGAGGTCAAAAATAACCAAAAGCCAAAAAAATGGCAGGGGGTGGTGAATGTGCAGGGGGCTTTTCTGACCGTTTCCCTGGGAAACCAGGGAAGGCACTAAAAACCCCCTATAAAAAAAATGTTACCTGTTTTCTCGGCCCAGTGGAAATTTTCCAGAGGGATATGAGCAAGTTAAACCTTTAAGGGTAAGAAAGAAACTTTCTTTGGTTTAGAAAAACCTCTTAAGGTTTTTAAAATCTTCGGCAATAGTAACATTATCATGGAAGGCCAATTTTTCAGGCATTTGCCTGATTTCGGGTTTTTTTTTTTACTTTTAAAGCACTCTTTTTTTTTAAAACCCAATTTAAAAAATTTTAAAGCTAAATTCAGGATTTTTAGGTTTTTTAAAAAATTTTGAACTTGCATTCATGCATTATCCATTTTGGGCCCGAGATAAACTGGGAACATTTTAAAAAGGGGAAAGAAATTTTAAAACTGGGTGTGTTTCACCCTTAGGGTATTTTAAAAAACCTTTAAATTTGGGCTTGCCATCTTTTTAACTAACCCAAAAAACCCAACATTATTTTTTGGGAAAATTTCAAAAAAGTACTGCGTAAAAAGCAAACAGAGCAAGGGCCATATCGCATGGGAAAACCAGTCTCCCGGTTTGTAAATTTAGAATCGTAAAACCCCTTTTAATTTTGTTAAGGGGTTTTTTTTTGGGGGGGGGGGGGGATTTTTTAATTCGGGCCCCAAAAATTTTCCAAAAAATAACAAATTTTTGGGGGGTTTAAAGGTTACCAAAAAAATTTTTTCAATTTTAAAAATTTTGGAAAAGGGAACTCGGATTTTTATATTTTGTTTTTTTATATATCCAGATATTGGGGCAAAAATTAACTTTTAGGCAAAATTTGGGAACTCCGGGTGCTTCTTTTTTAAAATATTTAAAAAAAGATATGATTTACTCCCTTTAAACTTTTCAAAGTATAAAAAAAAAAAAAAAAAAAACGTTTTAACAACAGGGTAAATAGGGCTTCCCAAATTTAGTTTGGGATGGGACCCAAAAAGTCCGCCCTATGTTTTTACAATTTTTGTTGAGGTACATTTTAAAAAAACTTTAGGGCTCAAGTTGTCTTTTTTTTTAGTTGCTTTAAAGGGCCCCCCTTTAAAATAACCCAAAAAATTTAAAGAAGGGTTTTTATTTTTCCCCAATTTTCATTTTAAAAAAACAAACAAAAAAACAAAACAAAAAAAAAATGTGTTTGTTGGTTTGTCGCCAATTTACTTTTGGGTAGAAGGGACTTTTTTAAATTAAATGTAATAACGTGTTTATGGAATAAATGATTTTACTCAAAATAGTAGTTTTGTTCTTTTTTATGAAAAATTCGGGCTCGTATAGCATTTGATAGTCTTATATTTCCATATATGAGGTATTACTAGAATTAGGGACATCTTCATCAGTTTTACATACCATGTGTTTTATTTTCTCACAGAAAGTTCCAGCAATGCGGAAGAAGTACGCTGGACAGGAGAATATTCCAGTTAATACGCCACCCATTAAAAAACAAAAGTAAGTAACCTTGGAATAAACAATTTCACAGTTGTTATGGTTACCATTGGTGAATTATTCTCATTCATTGTATTTAAGTTATTCATCATGAATAATCGACTTGTGTACTTAAAGCAGCATTATATCTAAAGAATGAAGTAATCTTTCCTTCTTTAGAAAGGGAAAACATTCTTTTTACAGCAATAAATTATTGGCGGCGTGGCCGAGTGGTTAACGTGTCCGACTAGTAATCTCAAGATCGCTAGCCGCATGGGTTCAAACCCCATTTTGGGCAAGTCGTTGTTTTCTTGAGCAAGAAACTTTACACTCATTGCTCAATACTGGTTGGTTACAGGAAGGGATTCGAAAATGTGTCTATAAGTTTATAGCTTCAAACTAAAATAAATTCTTTATAAACCAAAATATTGGTTTTAGAGAATGATAAAATGATGCTCATCACCTCAAGAAAGTAGAGAGAATGTAAACAAAGCAGTATTTTGACTTCCATTCCAAATACTAAATCAATATAAAAGTACTGATTGCCGAAAAGAAACAGGAGCAAAAGAAGATTCACAACAATGGCTAATGATGTAACTTTTTAAAAACTATGATAGGACACAAAAAAAAAATAAAAAGCTTTAGAGAAATAAAGATAAAAGTTGTCTCATACCTAATGGCCTGAAGTTATTCAACAATTGTTTGATCCTTTAAAGAAATGCAAAAAAATGTAAAGAATATGGCAGTTTACAAGCTTTTTATAATGGTTTACCTTGGTATGTAAGCTCAGCAAGAACAATGTTTATAGGGTGAGCTGTTATTACTAATCGTCTGTACATCTTTGCAGAAGCTAGGAACTCTGGATATTTGACCCTTATAATGCTAGCAGGGTTAATCATTAAACTGCTGGAATGAAAAATGATTAGCCTTTGCCACCAGTATAGAGCCAGAATTTCATAACTGTTTATTGTAAGATTAGAACTTATATTTTTTCCAGATTAGATAATGACAAGAAAATAGATTTTAATCAACCCGGTCCTAGAGTACTATTTACTGGCTTCCAGAAAGGATTTTGTAAACAGCTTCAAAATGTGAGTACTTAAGAACTTATCAGAAAATAATAATAAAGGTCTGCCCATTTAGATCAGTAGCAGAATATCTGCAGACTTTTGTAAAGGGTCAGGTCCTACATGGCCAAGTGGTTAATGTGTGCTGGCTTGTGCCTCAACTATAAAAAGGAGTAGGGGAAAAAAGGAATTTTTCCCTTTTAAAAACTTTTCAGCTTATAATTTCGTCTTCATTTAATTTTTTGCTTTTTTTTCCGCCTTTTTTAAAAAAACAAATGTCTTTTCAATAGGTAATCTGTTATTTTTGCCCGATTCAAATTTATATCAAAATTACGAAAAAAAAGTAAATATCTAAAATTTTGGTTATTTTAATTGGGAAAATAAGATTCAAATTTATTTTTGTTTTGGAAAGTTTTAAAAATTCAAAATTATTATGTTTTGCAAAGAAGATATCATTTTAGATTTAAATTGCAAAGTAAATATATAAATTAGGGATGTTAAAATTTCAAATAAGAATATAAAATTTGTATTATAAAGTGGGAAGTTTTGGGGGCATGTCGTAAAAATCCAGCATTTTACTCACCCGTTGCTCAAGCTTTCTCCAGGACGATGAAATTCTTCATTGGTATCAACAGATGTCATCATATCGTGAACAAACAGTGGATTGAAGACAGCTATCAGCAACATACGTTTCTCAGTAAGTTACAAAACAAAATTAGTAAATTTTCTATATTAAGACCACTGATAGGACTGACTCAAAGTGGTCTTATTATTGAATTGGTCTTAAAAGCGAAAATGTTGCTTAAATAGCTAATGCAGTCCAAAATAACTAAATGTATATGTATCCATGTCTCAGACTTTGATTTAGCGTTGTATATCTTTCTATAGATTTTATATTTAAATTGAATTCTTTTCATTTTCTTTTTTCTCCATTATACAAATTTTGACACACTGAGATGGCAATGATTGTGTGTTATTAATGCAAAATAAAGAAAGAATGAGGTTTAACAGTTTTTCCAGTTATCCAGTACTCTTTCTGGTGCATAACCTCATAAACTGAATTTTATAACATTCATGCAGAGCAAAAGATGAAAAAGAATTTGTATTTTGATCTTAAGACATTAATTTTGTACTTCACATTATGACTTTGACATTGATTGCATATCCAAATAAAGCACTTTAACTGATAGTTTGGTGCATTTAGCACCTTTACCATTTAACTGCCCAACACACAAATAAAAATGCTATTGACTTGTCTAGTTGATTATCAACAAAACTAATAATTGTTTCTCACACTATAGCTGAAGAGATTGGATCTCAATCATGCTGATGCTTGAATACTTAAGTTGTATCATAAAATCAAGCGTCTAATAAACCTAGACTGATCTTGTTTGTCCCGGTGTGTATGTTATCACCAGTGGAGAGATGCTGATAATCAGGGCAAATAACACTTGGTGTTGCCTGGCCATTGTTAATTGGCTGGTCGTAATCAGATTAAATGCTTTTGATAAGAATACTCTCGACAATGTTCTGACGGAAGTGGTCACCAGCGCGTGAATAGGAGTCAGTTGACTAGTTAATCTATGACATTTTGCAATGAATAAGACGCAATATTTTGTACTTTCGGAAAAGTGGCTTAGTAGCACAAACACTTATTTGTGGCATGGGTCGTTAGATGGTCTTTTAGTATAGTGTCAACACATTTACAGCTTCTCAATTCATATTGTGTAAACATTTATTTGAAGTTTTTAAAAATTTTAAAAACGTTCAGAGCTGTATTCTGTGACTAGATTAGACCATAAAGCTGCATGATGAACCAAAATATATCAAGGAAATCCAACTTGCGAAAAAGTACTGAGATCCTAAGAAAAGTAAAAAAAAATCAAAATAAAAGAATTACCATGTTATGTGTGATTTATGACCAATTTTACAGAATTTTCCACCATATTTCTACTGCGCTACAAATGCAGTAAGGGCTATTTTTGCACATTTTGACCTCATTTTGGTAAATTTCATGGGTTGTAAGTGAAATTTCATGGGTTGTAAGTGGGGTTTGCAATGTGAAAATTATTTATTTGTTCACATCACAATATTCTCCTTTTTAATAAATTATCAAATTTTTCATAAAAATTAGTATGAATCTGGAGATATGCTGCTTTAAAAGGCCAAAATTAGAAAATAATATTTTGTTACGCTATTTTTACTTCAGATGAGACGACCTATGCACTACATGATCCAGCTGGTGAAGCCGAGATGAAATGTTCTTTACTAGAGTCCTTAAAAAAAGCCAGAACAAGACCTTTGTTTTCTGTAAGTTTCTGATAGTTAAATTGCTCTATTTTATAACAAGACCTTTGTTTTCTGTAAGTTTCTGATAGTAAAATTGCTCTATCTTATAATACAATGAAACCTGTCCAGTAATCATATTAAAAAAACAAGGTAGCCACTGCGGCCAAGTAGCTACGGGTGTTGACTTTAAACCACACACACCATCCTGCTATATGTTTGAATCTCGTCATGGACTTTTGAGTTGTTCTTTATGAGCTATTTATCCAGCTAGCTTACTAAAAGACAAGTGATTCTGTTTAGGTGCCTGTTTGTGTCTATTTTTGAATAATAAATGAGGGAAGGGGGCACCCTTGTTTTCAACCACTGGTATATTTTATGTTTACAGGACTGGTGTGACTTAAAACTGAGAATTGATGCATTAATATGTTGAATATTTATTGCATTAGCTTTTAAGTATTCAATCTCAAGTTCTCTTCTTTCTTTTTGTGTGTTGTAAATAGGGCATGACATTTTATGTGACCCCAAGTGTTCAACCACCAATAAGTGATCTCAGGAAGGTGATTGAAAGTGCAGGTGGAACTATATTAAAGACAGGTCTACCAACGAAAGCTATAGAAAACCTCAAAGATGATCAGGTATAGTGGCGATGAGGGGTATAGTGGTGGTATACTTGTGATGAGTGGTATTGCAGTGATTAGAGGTATAGTAGTGATAAGAGGTATAGTAGTGATGAGAGGTATATTAGTGATGGGAGGTATAGAAGTGATGAGAGGTATAGAAGTGATGAGTGGTATGGTAGTGATGAGAGGTATGGTAGTGATGAGCGGTATAGTAGTGATGAGAGGTATGGTAGTGATGAGAGGTATAGTAGTGATGAGAGGTATAGTAGTGATGAGCAGTATGGTAGTAATGAGAGGTATGGTAGTGATGAGAGGTATGGTAGTGATGAGAGGTATAGTAGTGATGAGAGGTATAGTAGTGATGAGTGGTATAGAAGTGATGAGTGGTATGGTAGTGATGAGAGGTATAGTAGTGATGAGAGGTATGGTAGTGATGAGAGGTATAGTAGTGATGAGCAGTATGGTATTAATGAGAGGTATGGTAGTGATGAGCGGTATAGTAGTGATGAGAGGTATGGTAGTGATGAGAGGTATAGTAGTGATGAGCAGTATGGTAGTAATGAGAGGTATGGTAGTGATGAGAGGTATGGTAGTGATGAGAGGTATAGTAGTGATGAGAGGTATAGTAGTGATGAGTGGTATAGAAGTGATGAGTGGTATAGAAGTGATGAGAGGTACAGTAGTGATGAGAGGTATGGTAGTGATGAGAGGTATGGTAGTGATGAGTGGTATAGTCGTGATGAGAGGTATGGTAGTGATAAGTGGTATAGTAGTGATGAGTGGTATAGTAGTGTTGAGTGGTATTGCAGTGATGGGAGGTATAGTAGTGATGAGTGGTATAGTAGTGATGAGTGGTATGGTAGTGATGAGAGGTATAGTAGTGATGAGAGGTATAGTAGTGATGAGAGGTATAGTAGTGATGAGTGGTATAGAAGTGATGAGTGGTATAGAAGTGATGAGAGGTATGGTAGTGATGAGAGGTATGGTAGTGATGAGAGGTATGGTAGTGATGAGAGGTATGGTAGTGATGAGTGGTATGGTAGTGATGAGTGGTACAGTAGTGATGAGAGGTATGGTAGTGATAAGTGATACAGTAGTGATCAGAGGTATGGTAGTGATCAGAGGTATGGTAGTGATAAGTGATACAGTAGTGATCAGAGGTATAGAAGTGATGAGTGGTGTAGTAGTGATGACAGATATAGTTGTGATGAGAAAGTTAAGCATGTGCCAAATGTCCCAGTTATATGGGCACAGCAATAAGCAAAATGGCCAACTTAATTTTTTAATGTTATCCAATTTTTTATTAATTTTTTTTTATATATAAAAATAGAAATTAAAGAAAAATGATAATGGGTGACTGTCAAACAGCATGGTGTCTGACCTCCGTGAGGCTATTTGCAAAGGCTGCCATTATTTCTCTGGGGGTTATTAAAAGATTTCTAGCAAATCGGTGAATTATTTTTTTAAACAAACTTGTTTGTGTTATTCCATTATAATTATGTCATAGAAGATTTAACTATTTCACCAATGAAGGAATATTTTTATTATAATTCAACCATATATTATGTATTTCAGGGTAAACCAACCTATGTTGTGATCACTTGTTCGGATGACATTCACATTGTGGAAGATGTAATTAACAACAATATCAGTAAGTATAGGTGGGACACTTGCCCCCTTAGATGTTTGCCCCCCCTTTTTTTGCTGTGGTGGTGTACATTTGCCTTCGCATATGTTTTAAAACGGTATAAAAATAATGACCTTATGCATAAGGCTGTCATTTTTATAAGATTACCGAACAAACTTTAATTCAGGAAAGCAAATGTCAGCCCCTTACAAAGATATGGGGAAATTTTATGCCACTGCAGAAAAAAAGCCAAAAGTCCAGGGGGGCAAATGTCAAGTTACACGAATTTGACAGCGTCAAATCACAATAACTACTGTGGATATTAACTTAAAACTTCAGAAGTGTATATCTGGGTCATAAATGTAGGTCACAGACCAATCCCATAACACAGGCTTTGATTTTTCATTGAATTCTTAGCCTTTGTGAAATTTGTGCATTATTCAGAATATTGTTTAACTGAATATTGTTTAAAGATCCTGTATGTTTTGTCTCTGTGTATCACACACTTGCAAAATATTATATATGTATATAATTATGCAAATAAAACAATTTTCAAACATCCAAGAATATGTAAAATGTGTACTGCAAATATTTGTGCACATTATATTTAATCAATAACTTACATGCATTCATTTCTTATTGGAAAATTTGACTTGGAATTTATAGAAAATAAATTTCTAATTACCTCCCTTTATTTACGCAAAATGTTAAATTGGGTAATATCTTTATAGAAAATGCTTATTTGAACTTACAAGATTGACAAATCTTAATTTGAGCGTCATATTTATGAAATAAAACCATGAAAAAAATGTGTTACAGGATCTTTAACTATCAAGCACTTACAGAAAAGGACCATTCAGTTACTCTAGCAGCTGATATTAAATAATTTCTCCCTAATATAAAACAGCAAACAAGATTTGAAAGTTTAAGGAAGAATATTAAGAAAACTTTGTTCTGAAACATAGACAATAAAGGAGGAATTACTTAAAATGCTTTTATACATGAATATAGGAACTAAAAGTAATTGTTAACTCAACCTGATGATTGGTGGGTTTTTAGCTCGACTTTTCTATGAAAAGGGGAGCTATCCTACTCGCCCCGGCGTCGGCGTTGGCGTCGGCGTTGGCGTCACACCTTGGTTAAGTTTTTCGTACCACCCCACTTTATTTCAGAAGTATTACAAGTATGGCTTTGAAACTTACCATACTTGTTCACCATCATAACCTCCATCTACAGACAAGAGTACATAACTCTGTCAAGGTTTTTGACAGAATTATGGCCCTTTTTTGACTTAGAAAGTGTATTGAGCTTGGTTAAGTTTTTTGTACCACCTCACTTTATTTCAAAAAACCATTGGAGGTATTGCTTTGAAACTGACCATACTTGTTTACCATCACGACCTTCATCAACAGACAAGAGGACATAACTCTGTCAAGGTTTTTGACAGAATTATGCCCCTTTTTGACTTAGAAAATACATTGAATATGGGTAAAATCCACTTATTGCCTTAACCCTTTGAGATATTGCTTTGAAACTTTTAATGCTATTTCACATCATTACCCCCATCTGTACGCAAGAGAAGGTAACTCTGTCAAGGATTTGTTTTAAAAATTAAGGCCTTTTATCGACTTAGAATCTTGGTTAAGTTTTTAGTACCAGTCCACTTTTTGACTGAACTGTTTGAGATATTAATTTGAAAGTTGGAATACTTGTTTACAATCATGATTCCCAAACATGTCCAGGAGAAGGTAATTCTGTCAAAGATTTTATTTGAATTATGGCCCTTAACTGTCAATGTTTTGTATTATAGGCAAGCAATAAAAAAGTCGAGCGCGCTGTCTTACGGACAGCTCTTGTTTATTATAAACTGGATGTAAAACTGTTATTTTTATAGTATTTTCAATTTAACAGAGGTATATACAGCCGAGTTTGTACTAACTGGTGTGATGAGACAGGAAAAAGATTTTGGACAGTTTCAAATTAGTCTTGAAAGATGACCTCATTTATGATTAGCGATGATGCTATAGACACAAAGTGATGATGTCATCAGCATAAAGTGATGATGTTTGTAAAGTGTTATAGACACAATGTGATGATGTCAACAACAAAATGTTATGATGTTATAGACACAAAGTGATGATGTCATCAGCATAAAGTGATGATGTTAAGTGTTATAGACACAATGTGATGATGTCATCAACAAAAATGTAATGATGTTTTAGACAGAAAGTGATGATGTCATCAGCATAAAGTGATACTGTTAAGTGTTATAGACACAATGTGATGATGTCATAAACAAAGTGTAAAGATGTTATAGACAGAAAGTGATGATGCTATACTACACACAAAGTGCTGATATCATAAATCTAATGATGATGTAATACACACAAAGTGATGAAGTCACATAAAAATGTGTAAATGTCTACATCATGAATGGTACAATTATGATTTGCAATAACTGCACCATAGAAGTGATAGGTTTTTTATGGCATGAAGAATGTCATATGGCAAAAAGGAAGGTTGTAACTCTTCCAAACAGTGCATCTTTTCAGAATTTTACCCAAACACACTATAAGCAAGTGCCATGCTTTGTTATAGGGCAGGTACCTGTAAACAAAAGTATATTTTGTTAGGAATTTTTCTTCTTGAAATTAGCTTATTGGATTATGTTACATAAATGTGCTCTTTCTTTATCTATGTAAGTGTCAGTATAAGTCTTAGTGGACCTTTAAATAGTAAAATATTCATGATATCAGTGGTCCGACAAAAAAAAAAAAGTGACCACCTATTCAGGAACAACTATGTTTTTATGGGACTGCTAAAATTTAGTTGTGTATTACAAAGAGGAAGATTTTTACAAAACATGCTTTATTCAAGCTGACTGCCAAATAAATTTCTGCAGATGTTTCTTAATTAAAAATTTCACTATTCTCGTGTTTAAATCTTGAATTCTGCTCAAGCCAGTGCTATGGGACGTGGACAGTCACTACCGTGCACAAACAGGCTCAATCTAACCAAGCCTGCAACAATTTTAATTTTGTCGTTTTGGGTGTACTTTAGGGATTCTGTTTTTCTCCATTTCAATTTACTAGGAATGTTTCTGTTAAACATTATGATTTCTTTTGTCATACTTCTATTATTTTGTTCAAGTAAAGTGTTGTATAATACACGTATAGGAAACAGCACACATTGCTTTGGACCTCAGCATTATTACTGGACCTTTAAGTCAGCCCAAACATTGAACTGACATCAACCTTTGGTCATTAAATGTTTGCAGGCTGAATTATCGGTCAGTTTAATGCTGTGAAACCCTCAGTTTTGTGTACTGTTTCTTGAGACATATGAGTCGCGCCATGACAAAACCAACATAATAGGTTTGCGACCAGCATGGATCCAGACCAGCCTGTGCTTCCGCGCAGTCTGATCAGGATCCATGCTGTTCACTATCTGAGTTTCTCTACTTGTAATAGGGTTTGTAAGCGAACAGCATGGATCCTGATCAGACTGCGCGGATGCGCAGGCTGGTCTGGATCCATGCTGGTCGCAAACCCATTATATTGGTTTTGAAATGGCGCAGCTCATATGACTATGCAGGACTGTAGTTTTGAAGTTTGCATGATATTTTGTTCTCTGGGCATTACATGTGTATTTTTCTGTATTTTTCATTATTGATTATGAGAAACTGCGCTGTAAAAAAGCTACCTAAAAAAAACTGAATTGTTGGTAAAAATCATGTATCAAATTTTAGTGATTTATTAAACTAAAATGTTGGGTTGACTAGCATATTTTGATGCCCCCCACTAAGGGTGTGAGGGGCATATAAATTTGCCATCAGTTACTTGTGAACACTTTTCTAATTTTACTTCAAATGTAATGTGCTGCTGTATTAACACAAGCAATATTGTGTTGAGTTTGATTTGTATAATACATGATTGGATCTTGTACTTTTATATAATTTATATTGAGTGGAAAAAAAAGATAATAAAAAATATGAAAGACAAAAATATATCTTTTATGTTTGCAATTTTGCATTATAATTAGGTAATTATGTATGGCACAGATGAAGACCAAAATAAACAGGTCAATACATGCGAATTGGCAAATAATTTGGAAAATTTACTCTACCAGATTTAAAACAAGTGGCAATGGAAAATGGCCTATGAATAAGTTTTTGGCACATAATACAAGATGGGAGGCAAGCTTAAACTCACTTTTTAAAAATTTGACGAGTGTTTAGTAGTACATGTATATACAAAAGTTTTCCGACGAACTCCGTGACAGTTCTCACAAAAACTCCTGACAAGTTATCATAAGAAGTCCATCCCTCGTGTAACAGATTCTCCCCCGTGAACATCAAATGGGACATTAATCTTGAAAAAATATTTTCTGTCCCGTCATGTGAAAAAAAACTCGGTGAAGTCCCTATAAAGTTCTAAAGTAGTAATCGGGTATTGATACAGCCTATATATGCACTTTACTCCTGGGAGCGTTAGCCCGATAATATTAGACCTAGTAAAGAGAATGTTCTTAATTCAAAACGGAGCAAGTTCACATCTACGAATGGCATATTTTAAGTAGTGGCAACAACTCAGTTTAACCACGAATTGCACGTGAAAGTACATGTATAATATACCGCTGTAAAGATTATTGATTTTTTTCTAACCAACAGTCTATTTCCGCACGATTTGCACGTGCAATAAAATTTAAGCAGGTAATTTAAATACATGTGGTTTTGTATACTGGTTGTAAACATGGATGAGTTGCATTGTGATTTTAGAGTGGAGCAAAGAGCTTGCTAGAAATATAAACGATCTAGATTTAGTTTACTGAGAAAAAGCCCTTTCATATACAATTGACAGGTTTGGTTTAAACATATTTATGCAAGCTCGATTGCGAAACAATTTCTTGCAACTCGTATTAATCATTTTCAAGTCCGCTTCCTGGAACCAACCAGTACTGGTGTCATATGAAGAAACATGTTCGTCGTGACCCGATAAGGGCTCGAACCAATGATCCCTGGGTTGAGAGGCAGATACTTTCACCACTAGACCACCGCTCGCCATGACGCGACAGGTGGGATGTTTAAGGAAGGTAGAACTAAAGTTAAGGATGATCCCCGCCCTGAGCGGCCAATTTATTTCTGAATAAGACATTAGCACTGTCAAAACCATAGTTGATGAAGATGCAAGATATACCATGGAAATAAGTGACATATCGGGCCTAAGTGCGTGATATGTGTTTTCCATCTTGGTTAAGGAAATAGTGCGCTCGTTGGATTTTGCATTTGCTTACTTCTGACCAGAAAAGGGAGCGGGTTGAAAAAGCCTCGACCTTAATGACTAAGTTCAAAGATCGAGACCCTATACGCCTGAAAGTAATTGTCACAGGGGATGAAACATGGGTTTATTTTTTGAGCCCGGCAATAAACCCAGTAACACAATGTGGGTAGGTGAGTTAAAAGTTATGTTCAACATTATTTTTTGTGGTGGAATAGTGGCACGTGTCGCTGTGCCTGAGACGGGTAGTATCGCTGGAACATTTCATCGTGACCATGTTCTCACTGCTGTACATAGTCAATCACTACATTGACCGAAGGTCGGTGGTGCGCAGGGTCAAATTACTCCATGATAATGCACCTGCGCACCGGTCATTCTTGGTTCAAGCTTATTTAGAGGAGCAGAGATCTAAGGTTTTGCTACATCCCACTTAAGTCCTAACCTCTCGCCTTGTGACTTGGTTTAAATCCATAAATCAAATTTTGTGGTCGCCGGTTCAAAAGCTGTAGTGCCATCGGAAGCGCTCTCTACATACCAGTGTATAACAGTATACCCAAAGAACAGTTCAAAAATGCTTTTTCGGAATGGGTTCTGAGGCTGGAAAAGTGTGTAGATGTCCATTGTAAATATTTTGAAGGACTCTACTAATTATTTTTCACAGGCATCACTACTTCATAAAAACGCTCTGCCGTTGCCACTAATTAAAATATGCCTCTCGTAAATACAAATTTAACAAGAAAAATAATTTTTAACCACCATTTAACCAGCAGTTACTTCTAAAGCACTTCTCATTATTTATCTAATGCAATCTGGGAACCACTTGTGATATCTTAATATGTTCTTAGATGGATGGACGTCTTGCCATTGCAATTTTTCTTCAGTTTAGATCTGTCATTTTGTGTGAGCTTACACATTTACTGGAATTGACAGTGCAATCGCCACTTTTCGGCCCTTTCCGTCAGTCTTCGGTTATTGAGGATGTTCGATTGGTGAAAGTGAGTATGTCACTGGATTATAGCTAGGCCAGCATGCACATCCATGGACAGTTCTAAAACTTGAAACTGAAAAAAAAATCAGCAGATTAAGGGTTGAATTTTTTCTATTTTCCGCTTCCATGTAATATTCTATAAATTAATATGGAGTTATTTCCCCTTACGTACAGTAACATTAATAACGAAAAAAAGTTCGATTTTTCGGACATGTCTCAAATTATTTACAAAATGAATGGTAATTTTCAGCGAATATGATATTCAAAAAAACGATAAGCAATATTTCAGATTTGCATTAGATCAAACACTCCAGTGGTGAATTTTTGCGTTTAATTTTATCACGTACATGTATATTAAAATGTCTGCGATTTTTTTTCATAGAAAATTTGCCAGCAGCATGTTGCCTGTGTGTTTTTCGTTTTAATTTCTATTGTAAAAACGCTTGGAACATGTTTTCCTACACAATTTTACTGATGCATTGCCTTTAAAAAGATAAATTATGTATCACAAAGCTGACATACTGACATGATTTATATGCGTTACTCTTAACTTTTATTGATTTTTTGCCTTTTTTTCCCCAAAGACAGCGAATTATTATCAAACAAAATACATGTAAAAAGATTACTGTATACTTTTTATTTCTCATTATCTACAACATTTGATAGCGTCAACTTGGAACAAAAAAAAACTCGGCATTTTATTAAAATTCTCTTTGTACTGATATTTATCCTTCATTTTTTCAAAAGTATATAAGTTTTAAAAAATTTCAGTTTCCTTTGTAAGAATATCCATCTCTTATGTATCTCCATTGCTAGATCTCTTATAACGGTTTTCGAAGAAATCTGATTTATTTTCATCAAGTAGTATGACGTATGATAATTTTCATATCACAAGGTGAAAATAAATCCTGTATTTATTGAAAAAAAACTTGAATTTTCTGTTTATTATATACTTTTTTCTTTTTCTTTTTAACCTTACAATTCTTAAAACATCTACTGTAATTTTGTGCATTGGCTGAATTACGAAGAAAGTAGTCTGGCAAGACACCAGTGAAAATACGGAAAATGTGTTTCACTGCAGTGAAAAATATTTTTTTCACAGTGAAAATACGGAAAACGAAAGTACGCATTTTATTTCATTAATATTTCTCAATATTTAATTGATAAACTATACAATGAATTCGGTTAAGTATCATGGATACTCAGTAATGAAGTAAAGTTGTAAAAACTTTATTGGCACATTTATGATCATACTTTAGGGATATATACACTCTGTCTGTGCAGTCAAAGGTATGACATTTGCATGTCCAACTTGATGGATTTTCAATAACGAACTTAACTATATTTATTGTTGTAACAACTTTATTACGCATATTTATGATCATACTTTAGAATCGTATCTTGTCATATAATCTGGGGAAATATAAAAACACCATATAGAAACATAGAGAAAAACAACATAAGACATTCTTTATCTCATATCTTATTCGTTTTGTGTTGCCACATCTACCATTTTTAGCTCGACTATTCGAAGAATATGAGAGCTATTGTAGTCGCCCCGGCGTCAGCGTCCGCGTCGGCGTCTGCGTTGGTTAAAGTTTTTTGTAAA